TTCATGTGTGCAAATCCCAGACAAACCTTGTTAATGTCTGCGTGCAGCTCATTTCATTGAGGAATGAGCACTTTTTTTGTGACACCTTCGATGTGCTGTGTTTTCATATGACAAACTCACAGGCATCTTTGAACACATCTCTGTGCTGCGCATTCTATTGGAGAAAGCCATTCCATGACCACACTCTCGACCTGCTGTGTTTTCAATGTACAAACCCCAATCAAACCTCAATTCTAGGCAGCGGAGGAAACCTACAGTTGCCGCGCGCAAAAACAGAAAAAAAAAAGAACTTTCCTTTAAAATCCTGTCGCACCTGCTGGCATAGTCCGGCCCCATAGATTTGAGATTTGAACAAGGCTTGCTTGAGCTTTGTACATTTGAAAAACCAGCATGCCAGAGCTTTGCCACTTGAAGTGTTTCTGCAATTGTGAACTGTCTGATTGGACGCGTATTCCGAGTTTGTTCGAGGTTTGTACATATGAAAACACAGCATGCTAGAGTACTGGCAGCCAACCTGCTTTTCTTGAATCTTTTCCCGGCGGGTTGATGCTTGCTTATGTTGCCGGAAGCGTTGGCACAGACCTCAATGTTTGAGAGAGAATGGCATGTCCATGTGTCTCACAGGCAGTTTGCCATTCAGCAACTACTGCGTCAAATTCAAATCATTGACAGCTTGTCGCCAAATTTCGTAAAGCCCATGATGCCACGCCACAGCATGACACTTTCAAGACACCAGGACAAGCTTCTCCAAACCTCAGCAACTTTGGAGACACTTGGAAGTACCTCTGCAGTACTGTCGGACTCATTGGAGAAGGAATTACGACCAGATTCGGGATTTGTGTCGCTGCACACCTGATGCTAGGTTCTCTGAGGGTAAAAACTTCTTTTTAAAGTGCATGCATTTCTGCTTTAAAATGCATGCGTTTTTCAAGCGCACCAAGACATGCAGAAGAAATGCAAAAAAATACCAAGGATCTATTTATTTTCCCAGAAAATACAAAAACAAACAGCATAAGCAAGAAAAAAACTGCACAAGCAAATGAATTTAACGGAAGCAAGGTCTTGATGCAGGAATATTATCCCCGCGAGAGGCCACAAGCAATATGGGGGAAGTAGGAGAATAAAGCATTTTAATGATGATGATGATGTTGATGATAATGGTGATGTTGCTGAGGATGGTGAAGATAAATATGTTTTGCGGAAGACAAGACAAGACAGGCGGAACAAAGCGACACAGGACCACGACTTCTGACTGCGTGTGCGTTCACTGTCACCCCCCGATACAGCAACAGCTGCGGACATCTGCGGACAACTTGTTTTAACTGCGGACAGCGGGGCGCGGTCAGTGATGACGGTGCCAGGACAGCCATCGACAGGATGAAAAGGTGGATGATGATGATGACGATGATGATGATGATGATGATGAGAATGATAATGCGGAAGATGAAGTGGATGTGAAAACGTGGAGGATGATGATGTAGAGAAGGGGGAGGGGGATGTTGAGGGCGAGTGATGATGATGATGATGATGGTGATGATGATGATGATGAATGTCGCGGCCCAGATTTGGCTCAGAACGCGGACACACACACACACATTTTGTGCGAGCCCGCGCAGTGGAAATGCATGTCCACATGTCACAAGAGTCATCAGAAGAGCCACTTCATGGGGAAAATTAAAGGAAAAATGCCACGGCCCAGAAGGCGACACACACACACACTTTGGGGGCAAGCCTGCACAGTCGAAATTCATGTCTACATGTCACAGGCGACATCAGAAGAGCCACTTTATACGGAAATTTACAGGAAAAATGCCGGGGCCCACAGATTGGGCCCAGAACGCGGACACACACTTTGTGCGAGCGTGCGCAGGCGAAATGCATGTCAAGATTTCACAAGAGCCACTTTAGACGGAAATTTACAGGTAAAATGCCACAGACCAAATTGAGCCCAGAACGCGGACGAACACTTTGTGCGAGCCTGCGCAATCGAAATGCATGTCTGCATGTCACAAGAGTCATCAGAAGAGGGACTGAAATTTACAGGAAAAATGCCGCGGCCCAGATTGGGAGCAGAACGCGGAAAGACACTTGTGCGAGCCTCCGCAGTCGAAATGCATATCCACATGTCACAAGAGACATCAGAAGAGCCACTTCATATGGAAAATTACAGGAAAAATGCCGGGGCCCACAGATTGGGCACAGAACGTGGACACACGCTTTGTGCGAGCCTGCGCAGTCGAAACGCATGTCAAGATTTCACAAGAGCCATTTTATAGAGTTATAGAGGAATTTGCAGGTAAATTGCCGCAGGCCAGAGTGAACACCTTGATCAAGCACCGGCCTTTACAGCTACCGTAAGAACCCCTTAGTGTGGACACACTGTTTGAGGAACTTTGTACATGTAGCCGGTGCTTGGTCAGACATGAGAAAAACAAGTTCTGCTGTATGTACTTTTGATCATGAAAAGGGCGTTTCTTCATATGCTGCAGGCTACAAATGTGTTTGCTTGTTCAGTGCCACGTTCGAAACAAGTTTGTGCAGGTATACCCTATCCTGTGAGTTGGTTGACGCGTGAGATCATTGCTCCAAAGACACTGTGAGCCAAAGCAACATATCGCGTAGGCGTAGATGACTCTGGCAACAGGAGAAGAGAAGACGTGACAAGAGAAGACAAGAAGTAGAACGCAGAAAAACACTTTGTGCGAGCCTGCGCGCGTCCCAGAATGAACCCAGAACGCGGGCAACCCAGAACGCAGACATACATGTTGTGCGAGCCTGCGCGGTCGCAACGCATGTCAATATTTCACAAAAGCCACTTGAAAATGCCACGCCCCAGAAAAAGTCCAGAACGCAGACGAACACTTTGTGCGAGCCTACGCAGTCGAAACGCACGTCAAAATGACACAACAGTCACTTTTGATGGAAATTTACAGGTAAAATGCCACAGACCAAACACGCGCCGCAGACTTGGTGCGAGCCTGCGCAGTCGAAATGCATGTCAAGATTTCACAAGAGCCACTTTATATGGAAATTTAATGGCAAAATGCCGCAAACCAAATTGAACCCAGAACGCAGACGAACACTTTGTGCGAGCCTGGGCAGTCGAAACGCATGTCAAGATTTCACACGAGCCACTTTACACAGGAATTTGCAGGTAAATTGCCGCAGGCCAGAGTGAGCACCTTGATCAAGCAGCTACCGTAAGAACCCTCAGTGTGGACACACTGTTTGAGGAACTTTGTACATGTAGCTGGTGCTTGGTCAGACATGAGAAAAACAAGTTCTGCTGTATGTACTTTGGATCATGGAAAGGGCGTTTCTTCCAATGCTGCAAGCTACAAATGTCTTTGCTTGTTCAGAACCTCGTTCCAAACAAATTTGTGCAAATTGGTTCATGAAGACACTGTGAGCCAAAGCAACATATCGCGTAGATGGCTCTGGCAACAGGAGAAGACTTGAGAAGAGAAGACAAGAAGTAGAACGCAGAGAAATACTTTGTGCGAGCCTGCGCGCGTCCCAGAATGAACCCAGAACGCGGACAACCCAGAACGCAGACATACATTTCGTGCGAGCCTGCGCAGTCGCAACGCATGTCAACATTTCACAAAAGCCACTTGATATGGAAATTTTCAGGAAAATGCCACGCCCCAGAAAGAGTCCAGAACGCAGACGAACACTTTGTGCGAGCCTACGCATTCGAAACGCATGTCAAAATTTCACAAGAGCCACTTTAGATGGAAATTTAGAAGCAAAATGCCGCGGCCCAGAGTGACCAAGAACCCTGATCAAGCACCGGCCTTTACAGATACCATAAGAACCCCCAGTGTGGACACACTGTCTTGGGAACAAAGTCTTACAAGTATGTTATTTCACCCCACAAGTATATTTTGACTGTCACAAGCATCTTTGAAACATCACTAGTATCTTCACATGTCCCAAGTAGGTTTAACATTTCACAAGTATCCTGAAGTCTGACATGTAAAATTTTGGTTCCTAGCGTGAAAAAATTGACAGTTTTGTTTTGTTGAAAAACTAGAAACGAAAAAATGTTTTTTCTTTTTAAATTAATGTACTTGGTTTGTATTTTTTTTACTAGGCTAGTAAATTAACTCACTTGGTTAGCTATTTTTCTAGGCTAGTAAATTGCAAAATTTACTGTACTGGTCCCTAGTAAATTTTCCTAGTAAATTTGAAAAGTTTACGTGTTTTAACCGCCAACTAAAAACACTAGATTCCGAAATTCAGGGGCAGTTTGTCAAGCAAACCTCGATGGTGAATTTCCTGACCGAGTTCCTAGATTGCAAACATGGCATATCCTGGAAGACCGTGTAGATTGAAAGAGAACGCGAATTTGCAGGAAACATTGCCTCGCCGGGCACATCGCGTCATTTCAGTTACCGGCCCCAGTCAAAGGCCACAGAAAACACTGAGTTGTTGCTTCGATGACCTTTGGCTGTTGGGTTTACTTCCAGCCATCTTGGCCGTATCTTGGATCATTCAGCGCTTGAGCTAAACAGGCCATGTGCAAAAGGGTTTTTAGATGAAGGCCTAAGGGTTCATTTTCGTGGTTTGGACCCGTCTAGATTTTGCACAACTTGTATTGATGTGTTTGGAGTCACTCATTATGTGTTGTATGATTTTTGGGCAAACATTTTTTTTCATTTTTGTTTCCTCATGTTTTCATGTTGGATTTCACAAAAAACATTGCAATTTTTGATGACAATCGCGTGGAACTTTTGGTTTGGGTTTTCTGATAGTTAGTTTTCCAGTGGCAAACCTTGGCCGGCGATCGTGTTCAAATCATCACCACGATGTCACATAAACCCATCGATTTAGACGGACAAACAAATCCATTGTATTTGGCAAAATCGCGTCGAAATGGCACCTTGTTTGTGTTTTTTCCAAAGTGATGTTAGTCGTTGTATGCTGTCATTTTTTCAACAAATTGATGGTTCCATCTGTGCTGTTTGGCCCCAAATGGATTTTTGTACAGTAGATTGATTGATCCACGCAGCCAATCTGGGTGGAAAGGTGGGTATTTTGATTCTTTGACATATGTTGCAGTGTTGCCACAGTGTTCATTGTGATAGACACTTCACTTCCATATGGCAGAGACACCCGGCTTTGCTGCAAAAGGTGAAAACCACGGGAACAACAGGACCGCAGTCGAGCGATGACTCGGTTGGCGTGGCATCATGTGTGATCCTTGGTTTGGGTCTCGCACAAAAACACATTTATTGCATCGTAGTATATAATGTAAGTGCATAATGTCATGTGGAAATCATTGTTTTTGCGTTCTTTGGGATAAGTGAGCACTACAGGTGGGTTTGTTATTTTGTTTGGATTGACAGGTTTTTGCGACCCTGCTTTTCGCGGGGTCTGCCTACATGATGGAAGATGCGACCACAGCCTGCTTGATGTGGCAGGCAATTTTTTGGATGATTGTATGTTTGGACATTGTTGCAGCAAACAAATTGTCCTTAAACGACGTTGTGCAGGGAGATGGATGCGAAAGCATTACAGATGAAACATTGTGCGTTTGACCCTGAGTGATTTCTCGATACACATGAACGTCAATGGATTCAAGGCGTTGGTGATTTTATGATTGCATATGTTTGTTATTGTATTGAACAGTTTTGTGGTGCTTATTCCAAGGTTCACAGTCGTGATGGTATGGCGCATGATTTTTTTGGCAGCGTCCGATTAGGCGCTCGTCTGTTTATTTTCAATGAAACCGTGAAACATCGAGGATGCTTTGATCGAACAAATCTTGATATTGTCGGTATTTTCAGACATGAACTTTCAACATATGTTTGATTCCAGATCTTGTCAGGAAAAGCCTGCGGTTGGCATAAACGTGGCATTTGTGAGTATGTGGCTCAAATTGAGCACATGTTTGTGTTGAAATGCAGTGCACTGGCAGTGCACGGTGCACATTTGAGGCGAGTTGATGAATGGATGCGGAAACGGGAGGATCCAGGTCGGAACTCGCAATTCGACACAGCTGACACAGCTGTAGCACAGTGGTTTTTGCGTTCCTGATAAACCTGGGATGTTCATGGATGTTCTGGATGTTGCCCCAATTGTAGAATCCGCAAATGTTTTGAGGTGACTACAAAGTTGCCACTTGCAAGGCTGGTGTGATCCTGTCTTGCCAACACTTCAAATGATTGTATGTTTCCATTCACAAGAAAGGACTTTATTCGCAGTTCGCCTTGCCTTCTTTTCTGAGGATGGAGAGACGATTAACACCACCATTGCAGCAGTGCAGCCCCCCGCGTCCACTGAAACGCACTCAACTCCAGGAGCCCGAGTCAGGCTCTCAGATGCTCTCAGCTCTCAGACAAAATGGTTGTGCGATGCATGTGGTGATACAGTGGGGATATATCGTATAGACATGTCTTCCCGGACAAAAAAAGGCAAAAAATACAGTAACCTGTGTATATACATTATATGTAAATATGCGAATCGGAAACCACAGCACTCATCCATAGCATTTCGCCATTTTCCACATGGAATTGTCATGTGAATCTATCCTCTATACTTGAGGCCCTGCGGCTCAAAAGGATTGCCCGTTTTGCTTCGCATGGTAGCGGGGCCCATTCCTTGAAGGGATGTGAGTCTCCAGCTGCCTTTGGACATTTTTCTGCCTGAGAGGTGACAAGTTCTGGCTGGGAAGGAACCGTGGATTGATAGAAACTGAAGTTTGTCTGCCGTGGCGTACATTTCTGGATAACATTTGCAGCTTGTTTCAGGTGCATTTATAGACTCGTTGGGCTTTGGTACTGACTGGGGACAGCAATATTGAACCTTTGGCGCAATTTTCCAGAAGTGGCTTAGTCTTTGCAGAATTTTCTGGTGAGAGATGGAACCAACGGTGATTCAAACAGCGCTACTCGAAGTAGCAGACGCTACAAAAGCAGCAGCCCAGGCTGCACAAGCGGCTCAGGCAAGTGTGACTAGCAGTAGTGGTGCCTCTGGATCCAAAGGTTCAGTTGTGGATTTGGCCCAAACTTCTGAATAAACCCAGTATCTTCGAAAACAAGAATGCCGAGGAGGACATCAAGTCTTTTCGAGACTGGCATTGGCAGTTATGCCAGTATGTGACAGCAGTGGATGAGGGTTTTGCAGGAGAGTTGCAACAACTGAATGATGATCCAAGCAAGAAATTAAGTATGGAAACGGCTTCAGCTGAGACCCGACACAGATCTACAAAGCTTTATATACAGTTTGCTGGCTTCTCTTGTGAAGAATCGTGCGTTGAGCATAGTGCGTGGAACGGCCAACTCAGATGCCTATGAGGCCTTGAGGCAGTTGATCCTTTATCTACGTCCTAATACTCAAACTTGTGGCCTTGCTTTGTTGCCAGCAATCACATCATATCCTTCTTTCAACATGTCAAAACCACTGGTGGATCAGCTGATTCGACTTGAGGAGATGTTTGACGAGGTGATAAAAGCTGGCACACCAGTGCAGGAAGAGCTGAAGGTTGCAATTTCTCTTGAAGGCAGTGGGTGGACCTTTGAAAACGCAGTTGAATCTCATGCTTGATGGGTCAGCAAGGTACATCGATGACAAGGAGCAAACCCAACGCTGGGGTCGCTCTGAGCAGACGTGGTCTGGCCTGGTGCTTCCTTCAGATGATGTTCACCCCGATGAATCAACTCCAATGGAGGTGGACAGAATTGGTGAAAAGGGATAGACGAAAGGCAAAGGTGAGAAAGGTAAACACAAAGGAGATTCGAAGGGACCATATGCTGGAGTGAAAGGCAAAGGTAAGACAAAGTCCAAGGGCAAAGATGGTGGAAAGTCATCTGCAAAGGGTGGCAAAGGCTTCAAAAGGCAAGTCGTATGAGCCAAAGGCAAAGGAAAGTCAGACAAGTCTGGCAAACAGTGCCATCGCTGCGGTGGATATGGACATTTTTCAAAGGATTGCTGGGCAAAAGTTCGACATGTTCAAGGTGGAGAGCAAGCTCAAGGATCTCCATCGTCAACTGGTGGTGGTTCAACTGCATTCACCAGTGTTTCCAAGCAGCAACCAGCTTCAAGTTCAACAAGTTCACAGCTGCAGCAGCGCACTCAGTATCGTGTTTCACAGGTTTCATGCCATTTTGGCACAGTGACAGAAGATGTAGGTGCAGAGCCATTAGGCATTAGTGTTTGATTCGCGCCATTTCTCCTTCCAGTTCAGCGTCCCTTCATGCCGTGCAGCAGTTTTTCATTGGTGAAATCAATGATGTTCATGCGTGTTCTGGGAATGTGAGAGTGGTTGTAGAAGAAGTTGAAGATGGAGGTGAAGGTGATCTTCAAAGTATTTTGCTTGCTAGTGGTGCAGATGCAGCGGTTTTTCCTGAGCGTTTTGCAACAGCAGGCATGGAATCAGGTCATCCAAACCTTCAACTCCGTTATGCCCAGGGACACCAAATTCCAGTCCTTTGCATGCGTGACTTGAAAATTCATTTGAGTGATGAGCTTGGGCGCAAGATTGTTCTTCAAGAGCATGTGGCAATCAGCGCGCACGTTCAACAGCCCATAAAATAAGCTCATGGAAAGTGGATGGGTAGTTGATGCATGTGAGCAGTCATTGGTACACAACACAGGTGTCAAGGTGCCAATTGAACTTCAAAACCGTTCAATGGTTGTCAAGGGTTTTGTTCGAGCAATTTGCCGCAGGTGAGTCTTCAAGTCAGGCTTCAATGGTGCGTGCAGTGCGTGCAACAGTGCGTCCAGAAGTTCTCCAAGGTCGGATTGGTTGGAACTTGGATGATGCAGGCATTGGCGTTGGAAGACGCATTTCAGAGACTTACCAAGATCCAACACTTGCTTTTCCTGGCATGCAGGGTATCACGGATAGACCCACACTGGTGAAAGGTGATGACAATCTATGGTACGTTCTTGAGCTTTGTGAACCCCTCCGCAGTCTCATAGACATGAGTGTAGATTTTTTTGGGTATGATGGACCGCGTGAGGTCTTGACTTTCATCACAGAAGGTGAAAAGCCACCAGCGTTGCTGGGTTTTACATTGGCTGACGATGATGCTGACAATGTGCCCACGATGCGCCAATTGCTGAAGTATGTTGTCTCCACAAGGTTGTCTTTTGGATTACCTACAGCATACTCTCATGGAAACTCTTTGGAGAACACCACCGGTCGTTTGCGGCTGCTTCCACATTGATGATTTCCTTGAAGTTGAAAGTAGGTCTGGACTTTTCAAGCAATCACCCACTTTGGACATGGGCCCACTGACAGACATGCAGCATGGTTGATGAACCATTAAGGAGTTTCAAGAAATTTTACCCCATCTGAGCTTGTCCACAAGAAGGCCTACACAGGGGCCATTGCGCAGTTTGGTGAACCGGTTTTTGTCGTTTGTCGAAGTGGAGCAAAAGGCACTGCAAAACGGAGAAGGATGCTGTTTTTTGGGAAAGGTTGAAGGACAAGATTCTTTTCTTTTGTGCAACGGCAACCACCTCGTTTTGACAAGAAGCATTCGCGGAATTTCATGTGACTGGGCAGAGTTGTACCAACACAGGTGAGACGTGAACCATTGTCAGTGACTTTTCAACTTCCTCAAGGTGAGATTGAGCCCAGTTCTTTTCATGATGCTAATGCAGAAGCTTCAGAAGCTGTTAGAGAGAAAACCCGAGAAGAGTTGCGTGAGGAGTCAGAGCGTGTTGACATGGGAGCAGAGGATGCCAGGCAAGACTTGCCTCAGCTGTAGGATGATGCACCTCCAGAGCTCAGTTTTGGTGGAGATGTTTTGGAGGACAAGGACGAGGTCATTGAGGCTGGAGATGAGATTCAGGTTCATGCTAGCGCAGGAGGAGTAGCTGGCACTAGTGGTCAAGAAGCTCCCACAACTCCAATCTTTTCTGACATTGTTGGTTCTCCTGATGCTGCGCATGTTTCTTAAACTCCAAGAGGTTCTCCCACAACACGTGCTCATGGGTCTGATGAGATGGATGATGACCATCAGTCCAAGCGTACAAGGGTTGAAGATAGCAAAAGAGCAAGACTTCAGCGTATCATGGAAGAGCATGCAGCTCATGTGAATGCAGTTCAGTTTGGTGGTGAAGAATATCACACGATGGATGACTACACCACTGATTTGGATGTTGAGAATCAAACTGAGAGTTTGGATCTTTGGGCAGATAAGGACACGTTGCAGTTCAAGGATGTTCCTGAGGACTTGTGGAGTGATTTCAACATGGAACGCCAACCCGAAGAACCACCTGAGGGGGTTAGACGTTCTGGCCAATGAGGTTGAGATTTCACGTTTGCTTGCGATGGAGGGCATTTCTCACAACTGGTGCAAGATTCATTGACAACGAAGTTTGTTCATGATTGGCGTGCAAAGGACACTACTATGCCCAATGGTGATGTTGTGAAGAGATGGTTGAGGCAAAGTCGTCTTGTTGCTCGAGAGTATGCCTTCATGGAGCGCAGGGATGACTGTTTCAGCCCAGCAACATCAACACATGTGATGAACTTGCTTCCAATGCTGTACTTGCAACGTTGTGCAGAAAGGCGAGGTTGTGAAGCTCAAACTTCAGAGCATGTGCTTGCCACAGCGGATATCAAAGATGCATTTCTTTGCGTGCCTCAGGAGAAACCTTTTTCAGTGCAACTTGGAGGTCGAAGGTACATCATCGCGAAGAACTTGCCAGGGCAGAGGTTAGGTGCTAAGGCGTGGTACTGGCACTTTCGAACTTTTCTGTCTTCCACATTTGCATATGAGTGGTGCGTTGAGCAGCCTTGCTTATGCAGAAACAAAGACTCAATCGGAAAATTTTGGGATGAGCAGTTTGTTCCCAAATCCAAGGAACAGTTTGCAATCAGCTCAGCAGTTCTTGGAGACAGTGGCAACTCTTTCCTTTCTCAAGCGTAAGCTGGTGAAGTTGGAACAGGGCATTGGACTTGTGCCTGGAACAAATGTTCCCAAACGTGTTGAGAACTTTGAGAATTTGAGAACCATTTTGGCCATGTGCGTGTTCAGAAGGTGTCGTACGACAGCTCAATCCAGTTGCCAGATGTTTCAGCACATCTTCATTGGTATGATGCCTGGCCTATGCTTATCAATCTGCAGTTGGTGGTCTTCTTTACCTTTCACGGGACAGACCCGACCCTTTGTTCTGTGTCAAGGAGCATTCGTCAAAGATGGCTCAGCCCACTATAACTGCATTACAGAGATTGAAGAAAGTCATTGGCTACACCAAAGGGACACCAGAGTTCTGCGTGGTGCTGGAAGAGCCTACTGGAGGCCAAGGTAAGTGGAAAACATCAAATTATGCATTCTGGATTTTGGAAAGTGCAAGTGACTCAGATTGGAGCTCAAACAAGGAGCATCGTCGATCAACAAGTTCTGGAGTCCATCTTATCAATGGACAGTGTATGTATGGCAGTGCACGGACACAAAGAACAGTGAGTCTTTCATCGTGCGAGAGTGAACTTCATGCGATGATCAGCTGCCTATGTGATGGAATTTACATTCGACGTTGTCTTGCTTTCCTGTCCAGCTCTGAAGTTCAACATTTCCTGATGACACACTCGTCATCGGCGCGTCAGCTGGCTTCAAAGCAGGGAGTTGGCAAGGTACGCCCATCTCAGTGGGAAACTTTGGTGGATTCAGCAGCATGTTTTGAGTGTGAAGTAACTCTACAACAGCTGCCAACCATTTGGAACATAGCCGACTTGGGCGCCAAAGCTTTGAATCAGCGAAGAGTGAAAGTACTTTTGCATGAGCTCAATGTTTGTGATGGACCTGAATTTTTCCCAGTAGGACAAACTGAACACCAAGAACAAACCGAGAAACATGGCTCGAAAAGACAGATGATGCAGCTAGCGAAGGATCTCATGCGTGTGTTTGCAATGATGGGCCTTGGGTCAGCTGGTGCGGAAGGACGTGTGAGTTTTTCTGAGATGGATGAACAAGATTTATCATCTGGTTCCCAAGGGCAATGCAGCGCAGAGACATCAATGAATGACAGCGGATTCGCCAACTACGTTTTCATTTTTCTGCTGGTGACAACATGGTTTGTTTGTTTTCGGACTTGCTGCATGGTGGTTTTTCAGAAGGTGGAAGCGTGAACTTCAGAAAGACAGCGCTATGACTTAGCCTTGCAGTGGCTGAGTTGGACACAGAGACCATCAAGGTAGACTCACCCATGTCGAATTTGGACTTGGAGAAACGGAGAAACTGCAAGGGATTTAGAATTTCTGCAGCACTTTGCGAGCTCAATTCACTATGGCTTGGTGGAGATAGGTGGATTCAGAAGATACATTGAGTTGAGTGCAGCACAGAACAGACACATGTACACCATCAAAAGAGGAAACATGATCTCTTTGAACGTGATAGGTGGTGATCGGTACATGCGCCTAGTTGCGCAGCACTCAACAGGAATTCATGGAAGAACAGACACCACGGATGTTGAAGTTCCCGATGATGGCGAAGGGAAAGAATCAGAAACGGAGATAGACACCGAGGTGATAGACACTCAGGTGAGTATCCCTGGAGTCAATACTAGGGAGCACATTGTGACCCGGCTCAGGGAATTCATCAATGAGCCTCTTGCAGCAGAAGAGTTCTGAGATGCTGCAGCTGTCCAACAGCTGGTGCTCATGGTCTTGGACCGCGGCATTCCAGGACAGCCCTTAGATGATTTGGAATTTCACAACTTGCTGCAGGACGTGGTGACGGGACTTGATATGCACTTTCGAAGAGCGAACCAACATTCTTGATCCCGCATGGCTGTAGTTTTCAGTCGATACGTGGCAGAATTTGAAACTCAGATGCGAATCAGATGACAGAAAACCTTTGACAAACGCATGGAAGACTGGGCGCCAAATGTGTGGAAAGCATTTGGAGAAGAATTTCAGCGTGAAACGCGAACTTCGATGGACCTACAACTAACTGTGCTGTGGGTTGGTCAGAGAGGAAAATAAATGGCCAAACTGAAACTTTGGCATTTTAGGAGGAGTGTGAATCAGAAACCGCAGCACTCATCCATAGCATTTCACCATTTTCCACATGGAATTGTCATGTGAATTTATCCTCTATACTTGATGCCCTGCGGCTCAATAGGATTGCCCGTTTTGCTTCGCAGTATAAGATGTATATATGTACATCTTGGCACAACATGTAATTAATATGTACATATATGGATATCTACATCATAAAACAAAACCACAATCTCTGTATAGGACATGGGCAGGAGATAGAGCAACCAACACATATATATTTGGGTAATCCTAGACAAGAACAAAAAAGTGACGTTTGAAACTGAGGCTCACATGCCGTGGGGCGCAGTAAAACTGCAGCCAATGGATGGTGGTAGCAATCGTGCTTGCCGTGGAGTCACCCAAGGGCAGACAGGGTTGACTTCTCAGCATCCCTAGCATCCTCAGCAATGGGTGTGATTTGCGATGAGAACCAAATGAGAACCTGATACCGGGTTCCCGGTATCAACAAATGAGTAACCAGTGGACACTTGTGACACTTCACCTGAGACAAGGTTTGTGTCCCGCCAGTACAACTTGTGGAGCGCTGCTTGTGGTTTCAGTATGTTAAAACAAAGATGCAATGCTTCTGGAACTTGTGGATTGCGAATAAACAGAATTGCAGAATGCAAATCTGTGCTGCGTTGAAGGACTGCTCAAACTCTTGACGACTGCAAGGTGCATACATTTCAGTTTCCGCCTTGCAACCTCTTCCCAGATGAAACACAAACAGATGCAACCTCCACTACACGAAATTGTTTCTTCAACCACTACTTCTGCTCAGCCTTGTGCATGTGTAGGGTGTGATTCAGCGCCTTGTGGTTCACGATTCGATTTATGATTGGTTTGTATTCAATTTGCATTTCGGACCTGTGACAGGCCTTATGTACTGGTCCTTGCACCGGTATTGAGTTCCAAGCTTCCAAAAAGTACTGCGAGGCTACGAATGCGGGGCACGGCCTGTATGGACAAATTGTAAGGCGTTCACTGCTTTCCTTGGACTTTCTTTGGACTCCCTGTGACAGACCTGGTTTGGCGACATCCTTTTCTCCACCAAGAGCGATGGTTTTGAGTGCACCAGAGCTGCAGAATTCTGTCGCATTAGCGTGAACTACAGCAGCACCATTTTCAACATACAGATGCTTTTAATACTCATCAAGTCTTTCAAACACATGTGGACATACACGAAGACTCATGTACATCGGCCAGACAGCCAGATAGCCAGACAGCATAAATAACATCCATCCTTACATGCACCGATCATGGAGAACTTGACCCGTGGATAGATAGAGACGGATGGATGGATGGATGGATGGATGGGATGGTATGGGATGGGATGGGATGGGATGGGATGGGATGGATTGGATGGATGGATGGATGGATGGATGGAGGGAGGGAGGGAGGGAGGGAGGGATGGAGGATGAGATTAGATTCGATTCGATTAGATTACGTAGATTAGATTAGATTGGAGATTGGATTGGTTTGGATTGGATTAGATTAGATTAGATTGGACAGATAAATTGGCTTAGCTTTGCTTGGCTTGGCTTAGCTATATAGCTAGATAGATAGATGGATGGATGGATGGATGGATGGATAGATAGATGATAGATGATAGATGATAGATGATAGATGATAGATGATAGATGATAGATGATAGATGATAGATGATAGATGATAGATGATAGATGATAGATGATAGATGATAGATGATAGTTAGATAGATAGATAGATAGATAGATAGATAGATATATAGATAGATAGAAAGATAGATAGATAGGTAGGTAGGTAGATAGATAAACAGACAGACAGACGGACGGACGGACAGACAGACAGATCGATCAATGGATCGATCGATCGATAGATAGATACTTGTAGATAGACCGGGGGTAAGAAATGCTAGCGATCAGAACAAGGAATTAAGGAAAGACATACCTTTGACAGTCAGGACCTGCAAAACAAGTAGTAGTACAGGGTTGCATATGGTACATTTCTTTCTTCCCTATCGCTCTGTTTCATAAAGTTTGGTTACACACGTTTTTATGCATTACAATACCCTGCTTGCCTCTCCTGGCACTACAAACCCACAAACAGAAGCTCATAAACAAAAAACACATATGGACATTTATACACAGGCATTGTCGCGCGCACAAACACACACATGCAGATACAAATGTAAGCACATACAAACAGGATCAAACAGGTATATCATATCGGTATACACATCACTTCCCACTGCCTGACATAACACAACACAACCAGGGATTGCCTGCAACACTTATGCCCCTTTTGCAAACTTTGATCATTTGAATCCACAACATGCTAGATAGCAACGCATTCCATGCTATGTAACTGTGTGTCCTTCCACATCATGCTCACCGGTTTGCCAACACAAGCCGAGTTGCATAGGACACTGTAGAGCTTGTAATTTGCTCCTTCGCCTTAGGTTATGTGAAAGAGAACATTGCCCCTTGGCATCACCAAAGTGTTGCGAAACCTTTCATGACATTTTGGCGCCAAGCAACTGGAAGCAGTGCCTCCCCATCGTCCTCAGGACCAGGCCTCGAAGTTGGCCATGATCCGACCACAGGAGAGGTCCCAGATGTTCTCAGATCCCAGTCTTTCTGTTTACTGATAGATTCTGATAGATTCTGATTCTGCAGCATTCCGCCCTTCGTTCATCTGGTGACGCTACGAATGGTCTTAGGACGACAGTTGCCTGCGAGAAGAGATCAGGGGCTGCGGAGCCTTGCAGGCGTGGAAGCATTGGAAGCCGGGGACGAGTCTGGTGCTGTGGGAGTCAAGTAGTCTTGTGTGTCTTGAACCGCCTTCTCAGCAAGTCTCAACGATTCTCAACGCTGTCTCTCAGACAGTGTTTTAGGTTGATTAGCACTTTCACCCCCTTGTGTACTTGTTGTGACCATGACACCTGATGTTTTCGTGAGTCCTTGTTTGTTCAATCTTTATCAAAATCTTGACGTTGCAAAACACGACAGTAAAACACGTGCACCGTAATCGTGATGGTACGTGGTACACACTTGGACCCACCCAGAAAGTGATGCAGATTATGGATGTTGAACTCATATATTTAAAAAACCACTCGCGCTGGAACCTCGATGGAAGACTGTCCATCAAACCGCTCCAAGGATCGCTACAGCTGCCTCAGCAGCAAGGATGGTAGTGACACCACTGACATCTACGGTTTGAAGGCCCATGCTGCCCATGCTGCCCATGCTGCCCATGCTGCCCATGCTCATTAATGCCTGGCTTGTCATGCGTGGAAGATCAATGCTCGCTGCTAGCGGCTAGCGGCTTCCTGGTGCGGTGAGGTGAAGGGTGAGCCTTGCATTTGGTGTGGTGGCACGTTCCAAGCTTACAGTGGTAAAGTCAGTGCATGACACTGGAGACAATGGACAAATGGTAGAAAACTACAACGACTCCAAAACGACCACAAAATCATACCTGCCAGAATTTGACACTTTTTGAGATGGCTTGTATGAAAACGGTCAGCTGAGGGCATGCAGAACTGGAAGCGCTAATAAGTGCGAACCCTTCGACTTCCTCATGCGTGGCATGGGAAAGGACAGGAATGTGATAAAGCAGCATCTTTTGAAAGATGGATTGTCTTGTGAACACTTGAAACAATCCACACAATTTCCATTTAAGGTACAGTAGTCAAGCCCATTGTTAACATGTTTATATACACATTATGAATCATCTCTAAAGATTAGTCTAAAGTTTCTAAAGTCTTGAAAAAAGTTTGTCAATCTTCAGCAGTCCATGGGTCGAGGAGCATGGCTTTGACAGCTTCACAGCTGTTGGCAGTTTCGAGACACCCACCTGTGAGGCAACTGAGTGACTGTGAGTCACTGTGAATCATTCTGAATCACGGCATCACGGGTCACCAAAAATGCTGCAGTGAAATTGAGCATTGAGCGTTTCAAATGTTTCAATTTCAGTGATTCACCGGATCTTCATGTCTAGATATGCCTCGGGCGACGTTTTTTGATGCTTCAAATCATCCCGTGGTCCCGTGCCCTGTCATACCCTTAGCTTCAGGCTGGCAAGTCCACAGTCTTTGATGAGGCTCACCAGCATCGATGCAATGTGAATCAGAGTAATCAGACTCCACTTGATGGAACGGGGTGAAGCCTATGCCATCTGTATTTCAAGATCTGACAAAAGTCTGGATATCTGAAAATGCAAGGATGCCTTGTATAAATGCTGTACAGCTGTACATCTCTATTTAGTGATCCCAGATCCCTATCACTTGACATGTTTTCTAGCAGGCAGCGCAGATGGTCTTTGGAAATGTGGACTGTTTGAAGAAGCAGGCGGAAGGATGCGGCGCCATCAAGGACTGGAGTGTGGGGTTTGTCGAAATTAAAAAAATGCAGAATGAAGTGAACGAAGGACGCTGACAGTCAGGAAGAACCTGTTGAAAACAGCAGCATTTGGAAGTTCGAAGGACGTTTAAGGTGTTTTTTTGCAGCATCTTCCAACTAGCAACGCCTGGCTGCGCAGGACAGGTCCACGTGCCTTTCCAGCGTTGACGGACGGCAATTTCCCGGACTGAAGGTGGACAAATGACCCATGCAAGCCAGGACTTTTTTGTGCGACATATTTCGTCTATTTAGACATACTTAGACCATCTTAGACAATAGTACTAGTACATACAAGTACATACAAGTACATACTAGTACATACTAGTACATACTAGTAACTTTACTAGTACATAGTAGTACTACAGAATCTATGTCTACATGCGGAGTGGCGAGTGAGGATCCTCACCTTTCGTGAAATTGCAGGTGGAAAACCAACCATGCGTCTGGTGCGGAGGGGCGTTTGGGACTTACGTAGCTGAAGAGCCTTTTTTTCTTGTGGTTGCATCGAGTTGCATCTAGTTGCATGTCCAATGAAACTTGGACCTTGCAGTCCAGGTCTCATAACATCTCATAACGCTGCATTGGTGTTCGGATGAAACTTGGATGTCATTGATGTTCTCATGCATTTTGAGGCCTTGCAACACCGACAACGACAATCTCTGCGAGCCCTACGGCTTTGCTTTGAATGACAAGAGCGGTGCCTTTCACACGTACTTCTCCGCAGCCTGCGAGGTGGAGATCCGCCGGAGATCCGCATAGATTCGCCAGACTTAGCTGTGGCTGGCTGTGGCTGTGACACTCGTTCCGCCAGGCTGGGCAACCAGTCGAGGAGTCCATCTCCACTGCAATGGCACGACAGGGCTCGGTGAAGGTTGTTGGGATCCTAGGAAAACATTGTGATCTCCTTCTTGTGCAGATTGTGCATTCGCATATTTTGCATGGACTAGCTGTATAAGAGATATGAGAGGTTGCTTGATCAGCATGTCAAATCCATCTGAAGTCTCAGACAAGCCATGGTTTACTGTTTTGTTGAAGTACACCTCCAAGCATGCATGCCATCAAGGGCCATCCATGGCCATCCAATATTTTGAAGTTTCGCGACCTTCAAGGTCAATTGCGGACTTCCAAATCCTACTTGGCTTGGTGTCAGCAGCGCCCTTGGAATCCACCCGTATTTTGGTTTGTTTCTTCAATCAGTTCCTGTTATGTTCAACAAGTTCAATCGACTGCTCGCCTTCTCAGGCAAGAATTGCGGCTTCTGCAAGGTCCAAGTGGCAGACCAGGCAGTAGAAACAGATAGAAAAAACCGTTTTTTTGGAGACGTACAGTGGCTTTGGTGCACGCTACACGGTATATTTTTGTTCTGACAGTGAATCTGTAGGCCGCAGAGTCCTACCTCTCATGCAATGCTTACTGCCAAGCCCAAGGCACTGAGTCTTTTCACTTGTTCACTTGTTCACACAGATGCAGAATAATTCAAATGAATTCAAGAATTCAAATGAAATAATTCATAAAGTACATAGATATAATATACAGATATTCAGATGATATACATCATAGATTCACACAGAAAAAGCCTCAGAACGTCCAGAGCTGCAGGGGGTCTCCAGTGTGCAAAAGCATTCAAGGGCTTCATGAGCAGCTGTGATGTTGGGTCTGCTGCTCAGTCGTGAGTACAACGAGCGCTTGAGGGTCGCTTTATGGGTCATTTTACTACGAAAGAGGTTGTGTTACTGTACCTATACGGGGTTCTTACGGGGTTCTTACTCACTGTTGCATACCTGGGAATCGCAATTCAGTATAATTCAGGAATTCTGTTTGTCTTTGGGTTTTTGGTTTTCCCTCTTGTCTCACGCTTGTCTCCACATTTCTTTCGCCCTTGCCTTCTGAGCTTTGGATGCCTTGGGATGCATGATGTAGGTTTTCTCTGTTTATGTCTTCCTCGTGCCTTCAGCGTGTTTCCTAATGGGTTTTTGATGCTTTGGGACGTATTATTTTGATTTTGTCTCTTTATGTTTCTCTTTTTATCTGCCTCCGCTTGTCTCCTTTGTCTTTTCAGTTCAGAATTCTAACCCAGCGCTGGTCTCAAGCAGAACAGTTGGTACTGTAACCAAGACGCTGTTGAAAGAGAACATCTCATAGAGGATCCGAATTGATTCCCGGTGTATGTAGCTGTGTTGCCCACAAACTGTTTGGGATCTCCAGTGGCTGAAAGATGTTGAAGATGGAGTCTGGTTTTCAGTATTTTTTAGTGACATTTCTTCTGGAGCATTAGAGCTTTGGATTAAAAAGAAATATTGGAGGTTCGTTGCTATTTATTGCTTTATTGCTATTCGTTGAGTCGTGTTAGGCCAGAGATCACCTGCGACGCCGCATTTGAAAAGAACAGCTACCCCGTGTGCGAATGCAGTCCAGCAACTGTCAAGGATGGAATATGTTGACAGAGTGTTGTCAGTTGACAGAGTTGACAGCCTCTCAGTGTCAAAGTCCAGCTTGGTTTGTTGGCTGTAGAAGCTGTACAAAGCTGTACGAAGCTTTCGCTTGGAGGACAATGGGCCGAATGTCATGATGGCAACTCATTTGCCGCGTCCTGCAGAGGTGCCAAGATGTTTCAAACATTTTCAGACACTTTCACAAAACTTCACATTTGTGTGTATATTTCGGTTGCTGTAGGAAAAACTTGCGTGCTTGGATGTGGTTGCCGGTGTCTCAGGTCTACAGAGTTGGGATATCTACGTATAGCATTCTATAACATGATAGATAGATAAGAAGGTAATCGAAGGAAGTTTAGAAGTCAAACTTCCGACAACATGGACAGATAAAAGAAACAGAGGTGGGAAGAGTCAGAGAGGAGAAGAGCAGAAGAGAGAAGATCAGAGAAGAGAAAGAGTGAGAAGAAAGAAGATGCAGGTGCGCGAAAAGGTAGGAAAGTCGCGAAACACTGTGTTTTTCCAATGATTTGTGGCTCCGGAGGGTCGAAAAGTAGGCTCGCTAAAGCGGCGGGTGCGGAGCCATGTGGTCAGATGAGAGATGAAAAGTTGCACGCCCGCCGGTGTGGCGCGTACAAAACACACCAACGTCGGACCACTTTTGGAAGTTGAGATGTCGTAAAAGTGCACGCCGTTGTGGGGCGAAGCACATGTCGAAGTCAAAAGTGTTAAGAACCGACGGAATCGCACCACTTTTGGAAGTTGAGATGTCGAAAAAGCGAACGCCGTTGTGGCGCGAAGCGCGTTCCCAAGTCATCATGTACAAAGCGCACCAGCCGGACCACTTTTGGAAGTTGAGATGTCGAAAAAGTGCACGCTGTTGTGGCGCAAAGATGCGCAAAGCACATGTCGAAGTCAAAAGTGGAAAACAATGATGGTTTCGGAGCACTTTTGGACGTTCGGATGTCGCTTTGTGCGGCGGGCACAAGGGATTCTGCACCTTGCCAAAAAGTGCGCAAAATGTGAGGGTAGCAGTTTCAACTACAACCACTACACTACACTCCACTACAACTACAGCTACAACTTCAACTGCAACTACACTACATTAAACTACACTACACTCCACTACAACTGCAACTACAACTACAACTACATTACACATCATTACACTACACTACACTGATTCCACTACATTACAAAACAAGTACAACTACGCTACATTACACTACATCAATTCAAGTGCAGTACGCTAGTTACATTACACTACACTACACTACATTATACTACACTACACTACAGTACACTACACTTCACTTCACTTCACTACACTACACTACACTAACTACAACTACAACTACAACTACAACTACAACTACAACTACAACTACATTACAATACACTACACTAACTACATTACAATACACTACACTCCACTCCACTCTACTACATTTAATTGCACTACGCTACACCACACCACACCACGCTACGCTACGCCACAGCACACCACACTACACTACACCACACTACACAACACAACAACAGCAACAACAACAACGACAACAACAACAACAACAACAAGAACTAGAACTAGAACTAAAACTACAACTACGACTGCAACTGCACTACATTAATTACACTACACTACACTGCACCACACGACACGACACGACACGACACTACACAACCTACAACTACAGCGACAACTACACTACTTTCCACTACACTACACTACACAAGACTACACTACACTACTTTACTTTACATTACACTACACTCATGACACCACCACAAATGCAACTGCAATTGCACTACCTTAATTACACTACACCACAGCTACAACCCCACTACACTACAGCTACAACATGCTACAACTACAGCTGCGCTGCACCACACTACATCCAGCAGTTGTGGGTGAGGTGACCGACCAGGTGACCACTGCAACCATTGTAACCACTCCAAAATAGACAACTCCAACCACCTTTCAGTCCATCAGTGGATTCGCTCTGCCATCCGTGATTCGCAACAACCAAGCTCTCCTATAGGTTTCCTATCCCGAAACTTCCGCCACCGCCTTGGGCGGCACTACTGGGATAAGATAAGACAAGATGGGATAGGTAAAGGTAAGATAGATGGAGAGACAGGCAGAAGATAAACAGTTAGTTGGAAAGAACAATGATTACACACGGTGGATTTTTCTTTGCAAACACTTTTTGGGCTGAGGCTGAAGGTTGCGGATCTTTGAAGGACCAACTGAAATGCTTGAGTGTGGAGCTCTGCTGCTTAAAACACTTGGAGCAGCTGCTGCTGTATTTTGGGTCTCAGCAAATTCGAAACTGAGGCAGCAAGGATGGCTCTGTGGCAGATTATCGTGGCTTGAAGATTGCCGGAGAACCATGCGTTTGGTGCGGCGGAGGGTGGGGATCCTTGGAGAAGGTTGGAGGATGGGATCTGACATCATTCCTTTACCAAAGGCTTGCACGTATACATAACATATATATATATATTTATATATATATATACTGTATATAGAAGATACATGAATAAACAGTTCCAACTGATTCGAGGTCTTGCTCTGACAACGACGAGAATGTCTTGTGCGCTGCTTATGACTTCCTTGCAAATGGCCAGGGCTTGGCTGGAAGCTAAGTGGCTCCAAGTGTGTTTTGCTTCGTGCTGAAGCTTTTGCAGTGTCTGGCATGTCCAGTTGTGGTCCTAGCTGTCCCTGCCTCTTATGCTTTCCTAAGGCCTTCACAAGCCGACAGGCACTGATTCAGACATCCCTCACTTTACACCTATGACTGCATGTTTGCAGCATGTGACCATGAGAGTTACTGTACACAATTAAACAGATTTCCCCAGTCCAATCCAACGGCAGGCTATCACAGTCATGGATGTGGCTCACTGCAAGGCACGTTTCATTATTTTTGCATTCTTGGTGTTTCAAGGCTGATCCTTGCAGAACGGTATCATAAATTTACAAGTTATGCTGAGCATTTCAACATGTTTTCAGTCTTTTCAAGGAGCCGCGTACCAGCTTCGGCAATGTCGATTGCCTGAATCGTGTTTCAGAAGGCTGCGGCAGTCTGCAGGACTGAGCGATTTGGACAACATCTATGAAACTATGCTTATGATTACTGATGTTGGGTATGGGTTCACGGTTTGGCTTGATGTGCCTATACACCTCGCAGGACAAGGATACCTGCTTAGCCAGCGTTGATGGCAGCCCATACAAGCAGCTTGCCGGTTTGAAGGCCCAAGGGTTGGAAATGGTGCGATGCAAGGCTTTCTTGTTTGAGCGCAACACCTGATACAGGTTGAGGGTCAGCCGTGTGTTTGGTGCGGTGGCGGGTGACAGCCTCAGTTTCCACAGATCTGACTTCACGGTCTTGCAAAAAGAACCTGAACGACGTCTGAGGAGCTTCAAGTGTTGATGCATCTAATGCTCCTGTTCTGATGCTTTCAGCTGCGTCCTTTATCTTTTCCAATAATTCTATAGTATAGATTCTTCATCATTCCATATTAATTCTATATCATCTACATCTGTATCTATAGCTATGGCCAAATATGGCCAAATATCTATAGCTTGATGCTTCTTGAGTCTCTCCGTTTCGCGCAAGTGTAGAGTTCAGGCCATGCAGCGAACATGGAAACCTCTGCGAGCCGCATGAGTTTGTTGTCCACGGAGTAGGCCTGCCGTGGGATCCGGGGATCCGGGGATCCGGGATCGGTGGGTGACCTACACTTTGAAGATCTCGAAGCAAAGAAAACAAGTGAAAAACCAGTGAAAAACAAGTGTTGTAACAAGTGTAGCGAATAGGGAAACTTTGAAGGTAAGTGATGGTAAGCACAACATGAAGCAACATGAAGCAACATGAAGCAACATGAAGCAACTGGGCATCTGCTTTGTTTTGAGTTTCCAGGTCATGCCTTCAATACGGGAACGTCGATTTACACGACAGCTGCCTGTGAGGCGTGGCACTGTCTAGGGGAGCAAGGTGACCTTGTGGCAGAGCCACGGAAATGGGTTTGTTGGGAGCAAGATTCTCTAAGAAAATCAATGCGAAATAAATAGGTTGCATATGTTGCATATGTTGCATTACTAACTTCATGGATAGCAGCTGTTGTTCTGTGCATGAGGTTTCCCGGTAGAGGTCTGGAAAGGCCAATTCGTCCAGTGATGTTCGTGTTCGGAAGGCCGGCAAGCCCGTGCAGCATGAAATGCCAAGCTCCATGGCGAACTATGGAGCTAACGTGGCAGTCAAGAAGCTCAGCAACTGAGTGAAACCTTTTGACGTTTCGTACTGCAACTGCCGCAGCATTTTCCCCTTCAGTCTGTAACGAGCCAAGCTTTGGAGCGTAGTGTGCAGTGTATTTTTATCTTGAGCCTGTCTTCACAGCTGATACTTAAGTGCCAAGCAACTGAGGTGGACTGTGGCATTCCCAACCCAATTTGGTACAAAGTGGGTCAGAACCTGAAAACATCTGAGCATGTTTCACTTCATTTCGCAGCAGCTGAAAAGGAGGGACACGTGCAAATCTCTTGACTTCTTGCACTGCGGTGCTTGAATCCTGGTGACTTTGAATGACTTTGAATGACCCAGGTAAGGTCTGTGGCTTCTGCAAGGTTCAGGTTGCAAAGATGGTGCTGCTCTTAGCTTTTGTTGTGAAAGCTTTCTTATTGTTGACTGGAAGAGCACCTGATTGTTCAACATGGTCATTTCGTGATCCTTTGAAGCTCGAAATGGAGGCTCTTCCAGTCTACAAGAACTGCACAGGATACTGCAAAGCTCAAGGCTCGAGAGACTCGAGACCAAGCAAATGACAGAAATCACACAGCACACTGGCAGCACACTACAGGTTGTAGTCTCTTTATGTTGCTCTGTGAAGTCTGTTGGTTGGTACTTTAGAGGCCTCACGTGCTCGAAAGCATTCAAGGGGTATTTGCACAGCTGCGATGTGGAGCCCGCTTCCCAATCGAGGGTTGAACTTGGTTGAACGGTTGAACCTCGTTGGACCTGTTGGACCCGTTGGACCTTCAGCCCGAGAAGAATGTGTCTCTCAAGGTCCCCATTGGGATGCGACGAAGCTTTCGGAACCGAGACAGCACCATTGTGCCAATGCTCGCCGGCCCTCATTAAGGCTATCTACACTGCCTTTGGGTGGCCCAATTCAAGCGTTTTGCACTAGGAAAGCAGATTGGCAGGTTCTCTTAATTTCTTGTGATTGGTATGATTGGTTCAAGTGCAGCAATATACAACCTTCTTGTATCTTCTTGTTTCCAGGACAACTTCGAGCCAGTGAAGCGACCTAGTGAGGTGAGGAACCCAGATCATGGGTATCACAAGAGCTTTAACCCTTCGCTTCTGCTTCCAAAGATTTTTGCCAACTGTGTTTGAGCCGAGAAGCTACTTGGGATAGGAAACTTTGGAACGGATGGATTTTCTGCCACTGAGGAACAGATGCAATGCCTAAAGGCGGAGGCTGGCAATTATAAGATTTATAATTTATAAGTGATGTGGAACAGGTATGAATGGGTTGCATGTATGTACAGGAATAAACCAACGTTTTCGTCTACCAGACTCCCGCGTAGAAGCTTGAAATGAATGTCAGAGCAGTCTTCATTTCTACATATATTTTATCCATTTTGCTCATCATTCTGAATGAATAATGATCGATTCTCTTAGCATTTGAGATTTCGCTTGCCAGGAGAAGGGCTGCTTCGAGATTTCGGATCGCATCAACTGTCTCAGTGTTGAGCTGAGCGGCAGATCAAACCAGCCTGGGTGAGTTTCAAAGGGCAGTGGCACACAGTCTGAACGACTGGTCTGAGGCAGCAAGGATGGCTCTACTTCAGCTGCAGGCAAGGGAGGCTTCAAGATTGCCGGTGAGCCCTGTGTGTGGTGCGGAGATGGGCACTGTCCTCAGAATGAGGGAGTGATGGGACACAAAGATCCCAAAAAAGATCCTAAGGAATCGAGGAATTGCATGGAATTCCTGTATGTTTTGCGTTTGGCACTTTATTGGGAACACATTTTCCTCCTGTTTTCCTACTGTTTTCCTCCTGTATTCCATTGAAAGCCAAGGACTTGCACCACCGACTCAGCTGCCAAGTGTGCCCCATATGACTGGCTGATGAATGGTAAGGGAATTGTCCTGACCTCAATTTGCCATTGGTTTCAACATGTTTTCAATATGTTTCAAGGTTTCAGAGTTTCAGATGCGCTAGTGGTTGGAACTTTGGAACAATCATCAGGAATACTCAGGATACCACGTCAGAGCCTCAACTGTGGAACCATTGATTTTACTGATGGAGTCTGAGTCATTCCACTTGATTTCCTGCATTGTAATGAGGCAGAGGGAAACTACAATGTTGCCACCTGCAAGGTTCAGAGCCAGCGCAGCGAACTGATTTTTCACCAAAGCTAGCTTCTGCTAGCTGAAGTCCCTCTTACTTTAGCAAGGTATGGGGGGCGGGGCTGGAATCTTCAATTGCATTAATCTTCATACTTATATATATATATATGGTCCCGTCCTCCGTCTCTCCACCCCCCCCCCCCATGGGTTGGGTCCCCAGGTAGTAGCCCCAATTCCCTTCTATTTGCAAGCTATTGGCAGCATTTCTGAGGTCCAGCGTCGTATTTGCTAGGTCTTTGCAGCATTTCTGACTACCAGCCTCGCATTTACTAGGTACATGCTACCTTTTAGGCGACCTACGTAGCACACATACTCCTTCAAAGTACCTACGTGCTACCTATAGTCATACATACATGTGCTATGTATCTACTGTATCTACTTCCTGTTTACTACCTGTGTACTCTGACAACACTACCTCTGTTGAACATATACCGTACCTACCATACATGTCAATGATGCCATGCATACCATACCTATCATATCTATCATACATACCATACATACCATACATATGAAATGTAATTACCACACCTACCATACATACAATAGCATACATACAATAGCAAGCATACATGCCATACATACCATACCTACCTTAGATAGGACATATTCCATACCCATCATAGTAACCATACATACCATACAGACCATACATACTGTCATATCAAACATACCATATCCAACAGACTTACATACCATACCTACCATCCATACAATACCAACCACTCATGCCATACATACCATACCTACCATACATACCAAACATACCATACTTTCCAAACATGCCATACCAGACCGACCATACACACCATACATACCCACCATACCATACCACACCCCCACCACACCACGGGGGGGGAGGGGGAAGATCTCATATGGGACCAGTATATGGGACCCATCCACCACACCACAGGGGGGGGAGGGGGACAGTGCCACACCCCCACCACACCACAGGGGGGGGAGGGGGAAGATCTCATATGGGACCAGTATATGGGACCCATCCACCACACCACAGGGGGGGGAGGGGGACAGTGCCACACCCCCACCACACCACAGGGGGGGAGGGGGAAGATCTCATATGGGACCAGTATATGGGACCCATCCCATATGGGGGGGGAGGGGGGGGTGGCAGGGCCTGGTGCATATATATAACTCCCCTCCCTTCCCTCCGGCTGACTGGTTCACAAGCAGTTTGGCTGTGGCTCAGTCCCCCCCGGGGACACAATTGGCATGTCGCCACTGGCAGCAAATTTGGCAGCATCCGCATCCTCAGCATCATTGTTTTTTCCCCACCTCTTTGGGATAAATTACGATTCAGAAACTTTCCCCGATTCAGAAACTCCGATTCAGAAACTCCAAGGATTCAAGAAACTCCTGGTTGCCACGATTCAGAAACTCCTCTGTGTCCCGATTCAGAAACTTCAGGTTGCCCCGATTCAGAAACTCCTCTGCAGTCCCGATTCAGAAACTCCAGCGTGTCCCGATTCAGAAACACCTCTGTGCCCCGATTCAGAAACTCCGGGTTGACCCGATTCAGAAACTCCAGCGTGTCCCGATTCAGAAACTCCAGGTTGCCCTGATTCAGAAACTCCTCTGTGTCCCGATTCAGAAACTCCAGCGTGTCCCGATTCAGAAACTCCAGGTTGCCCCGATTCAGAAACTCCTCTGTGTCCCGATTCAGAAACTCCAGCGTGTCCCGATTCAGAAACTCCAGGTTGCCCCGATTCAGAAACTCCAGGTTGTCCCGATTCAGAAATTCCTCTGTGTCCCGATTCAGAAACACCAGCGTGTCCGGATTCAGAAACTCCAGCGTGTCCTGATTCAGAAGCTCCACTCTTGACCCGATTCAGAAACTCCAGGTTGCCTCGATTCAGAAACTCCACTTTATCCCGCTTCAGAAACTCCAGGCTGCCTCGATTCAGAAACTTCAGAGTGTTCCGATTCCGAAACTCCAGCGTCACTTTTGAAAAATTCCCACCCCCAAAGCCCTACATGCAATGGTATTTCCCAATTCACAACCTCCTCTGTCATAGAGTTCTTGGCACGCTTGCAAGTCATTTTCTAAACTTCCCCCCCGCAAAAGCCCTACATGCAATAGTAGTCCTCAATGCAAAACCTTCCCCTTCATAGAGTTCTTGTCACGATTGCAGGTCATTTACTAAACTTCCCCGCAAAGCCCTACATGCAATGGTATTCCTCCATTGGCAGCCTCCTCTTTCATAGAGTTCTTGTCACGATTGCAAGTCATTTTCTAAACTTCCCCGCCCAAAGCCCTACATGAAATGATATTCCTCCATTGGCAGCCTCCTCTTTCATAGAGTTCTTGTCACGATTGCAAGTCATTTTCTAAACTCCCCCCCAAAGCCCTACATGCAATGGTAATTCTCCATTGGCAGCCTCCTCTTTCATAGAGTTTTTGTCACGATTGCAAGTCATTTTCTAAACTTCCCCCCCAAAGCCCTACATCCAATGGTAATTCTCCATTGGCAGCCTCCTCTTTCGTAGAGTTCTTGTCACGATTGCAAATCATTTTCTAAACTTCCCCCCCAAAGCCCTACATGCAATGGTATTCCTCCATTGGCAGCCTCCTCTTTCATAGAGTTCTTGTCACGATTACAAGTCATGTTCTAAATTTCCTCTCCCAAAGCCCTACATGCAATGGTATTCCTCAATGCACATCCTTCCCTTTCAAAGAGTTTTTGTCACGATTGCAAGTAAACTTCCCACCCCAAAGCCCCACATGAAATTGTATTCCTCCATTGGCAGCCTCCTCTTTCATAGAGTTCTTGTCACGATTGCAAGTCATTTTCTAAACTCCCCCCCAAAGCCCTACATGCAATGGTAATTCTCCATTGGCAGCCTCCTCTTTCATAGAGTTCTTGTCACGATTGCAAATCATTTTCTAAACTTCCCCCCCAAAGCCCTACATGCAATGGTATTCCTCCATTGGCAGCCTCCTCTTTCATAGAGTTCTTGTCACGATTGCAAGTCATTTTCTAAACTTCCCCGCCCAAAGCCCTACATGCAATGGTATTCCTGAATGCACATCCTCCCCAAAGCCCTACATGCTATAGTATACTCCTCAATGCAAAGTGGGCCGGTTACGACGTTTCCGAATACGAGGGCCTGGGCGTTTCCGAATCAGTATGTCCGTGCAGTTTCCAAATCCGGGCGGCTAAGACGAAGTTTCCAAATCCACGGGCCTGGAAGTTTCCGAATCCGACGTTGAAGTTTCCGAATCCAGGGGGGCGAATCCCAAGGCCTGGAAGTTTCCGAATCCGACGTTGAAGTTTCTGAATCCGGGGGGGCGGCAAGTTTCCGAATCCGAGGGCCTGGAAGTTTCTGAATCCGACGTTGCAGTTTCCGGATCCGGGGGGCGGCGAGTTTCCGAATCCGTGAGCTTCGAAGTTTCCGAATCCGGGGGGCAGCAAGTTTCCAAATCCGAAGGCCTGGAAGTTTCCGAATCCGAGGGCCTGGAAGTTTCCAAATCCGACGTTGCAGTTTCCGAATCCGGGGGGCAGCGAGTTAATCCGTTGGGCTTCGAAATTTCCGAATCCGGGGGGCAGCGAGTTTCCGAATCCGAGGGCCTGGAAGTTTCCGAATCCGCCGCTGAAGTTTCCGAATCCGGGGGGCAGCGAGTTTCCGAATCCGAGGGCCTGGAAGTTTCCCAATCCGACGCTGAAGTTTCCGAATGCGGGGGGCGGTGAGTTTCCGACTCCGAGGGCCTGGGAGTTTCCGAATCCGATGTGAAGTTTCCGAATCCGACGTTGGCCCACATCTTTGTGTGGGGTTCTTGTTTTTAATTCTGTATCCCTCCCGCTCCTCGTCCGCCCGCTCCTCCTCCGCCCGCTCCTCCTCCGCCCACTCCTCCTCGGCCCCTCCTCTTTGACAACCACCATCTCTCACACACATCTTTGTCACACACTATCTTTCACACACATCTTTGTCAACCACCATCTTTCACACAATACTTTGTCAACCGCCATCTTTCACACACATTTTTGTCAACCACCATCTCTCACACACATCTTTGTCACACACCATCTTTCACACATCTTTGTCAACCACCATCTTTCACACACATCTTTGTCACACACTATCTTTCACATACATCTTTGTCAGCCACCATCTTTCACACACTATCTTTCACACACATCTTTGTCACACACACTATCTTTCACACACACCTTTGTCACACACCATCTTTTCCACAATACTTTGTCAACCACCATCTTTCACACACCATCTTTCACACACCATCTTTCATACACAACTTTGCCAACCACCATCTCTCACGCACACACACACATCTTTGTCACACACCATCTGTCACACACATCTTTGTCAACCACCATCTCTCACGTGGCAGGTGTGGCACAGGCGTGGCACTTGCTGACATCTATCTTCGTTTCACGTGGCAGGCATGGCATTTGGTGACATCCACCCCCGTTTCACGTGGCAGGCCTGGCACTTGGTGACATCTGCCGTCGGCAGGCGTGGCATTTGGTGACCTCCACCTCCGTTTCACGTGGCATGCGTGGCGCTTGGTGACATCTGCCTTCGTTTCACTTGGCCAACCACCATCTCTCACGTCGCAGGCGTGGCACAGGCGTGGCACTTGCTGACATCTATCTTCGTTTCGCATGGCAGGCGTGGCACTTCGTGACATCTACTTTCGTTTGCGTGGCATGCGTGGCACTTAGGGCACTGGGCTGGCTCTGGTGTCGCGCTTGGGCCAGGTTTGGTCGCCGGTGACGCCGCGGCACTTTGCGTGGCAGGCGTGGCACTTGATGACATTTGCCTTCGTTTCACGTGGCAGGCGTGGCACTTGGTGACATCCACCTTCGTTTCGCATGGCAGGCGTGGCACTTGGTCACATCTACTTTCGTTTTGCGTGGCAGGCGTGGCACTTAGGGCACTGGGCTGGCTCTGGTGGCGCGCTTGGGCCGGTTTTGGTCGCCGATGACGCCGATGACGCCGCGGCACTTTGCGTGGCAGGCGTGGCACTTGGTGACATCCACCTTCGTTTCGCGTGGCAGGCGTGGCACTTGGTCACATCCGCCTTCGTTTTGCGTGGCAGACGTGGCACTTAGGGCACTGGGCTGGCTCTGGTGGCGTGCTTGGGCCGGTTTTGGTCGCCGGTGACGCCGCGGCGCTTTGCGTGCCAGGCGTGGCACTTGGTGACATCTACCTTCGTTTCGCGTGGCAGGCGTGGCACTTGGTCATTTGCACCTTCGTTTTGCGTGGCAGGCGTGGCGCACTGGGCTGGCTCCGGTGGCGCGCTTGGGCCGGTTTTGGTCGCCGGTACGCCGCGGCACTTTGCGTGGCAGGCGTGGCGCTTGGTGACATGCACCTTCGTTTCGCGTAACAGGCGTGGCACTTGGTCACATCCACCTTCGTTTTGCGTGGCAGGCCTGGCACTTATGGCACTGGGCTGGCTCTGGTGTCACACGCCATCTTTGTCACACACCAGCTTTCACACACCGCTTTGTCACACACCATCTTTCACACACCATCTTGGACACACTCTCTTTCAAGACTCTTTCAGGCACCATCTTTGTCACACAACATCTTTCACACATTTTCGCACACTATTTTTCACACACCCTCTTTCACACCCAACTTTGTCACACACAATCTTTGACACACCATCTTTCACACACCACATTGTCATCCACCATCTTTGACACACCATCTTTCACACACCACTTTGTCACACACCATCTTTCACACACCATCTTTGACACACGGCTTTGTCACACACCATCTTCCACACAACATTTTTCACACACCATCTTTCACACACCACTTTGTCACCCACCATCTTTGACACACCATCTTTCACACCCAACTTTGTCACACACCATCTTTGACCCCCAACTTTGTCACACACCATCTTTGTCACACACCATCTTTGTCACACACCATCTTTGTCACACGCCATCTTTGTCACGCGCCATCTTTGTCACGCACCATTTTTGACACACCACTTTGTCACACACCATCTTTCACACACCACTTTGTCACCCACCATCTTTGACACACCGTCACAGACCATCTTTCACACTCCATCTTTCACACACCACTTTGTCTCACACCATCTTTCACCACACCATCCTTCACACACCACTTTGTCACACACCATCTTTCACCACACCATCTTTCACACACAGCTTTGTCGCACACCATCTTTCATCACACCATCTTTCACACACAACTTTGTCACACACCATTTTTCGCCACACCATCTTTCACACACCACTTTGTCACACAACATCTTTCACACACACACATTTGTCACACACACACACCATCTTTCTTTGTCACACACCATCTTTCACATACAACTTTGTCACACACAACTTTGTTTTACTTCTCGATCCTCCACCACCTCCTTTGTCTTTCCTTCTTTCCCCGCCCCCGCTGCAACATTTGGTGCTCATTATTGGAAGAAGTTGCCTTGTGGGGTTATCCGGTCCTTTAATTCATGCAAAACTCCCTGCCAAGCTAGTTTTCGTCCCTTACCCCTGGGCCTCAAGTTGACTAACATTGCAAACGCCTTGACAGTTGTTGACTTGGATGTGCCAAACCCAAAGACCATGGAATTTGGGTTCACAGGCCAATGCAGATGCAGTCTTTTCGAACTTGGACTGCCTGACATCTGAAGCAACTGGCTGCAACAGCATCCAGGACCTCAGCACGTTTTTTTTCATCCTTTTTTCCCATATATTTCCCAGCCTTCGTCTGTGTTTTGATATGTTTGGGTTGTGGTGGACTCCCCAAAGATTGTACATAGGAGGCAACATTGTGAAAACTCTTAAGTGACTATTTTTCAAAGGACATCCTCTGTCAGAGGCAACCCTTTGCACGTTATGCACATTTCACATTTCCTACAAGATTTCTTTCAAGTGAGAGCAGTTGCTGTTGACATGAGAACTGCAGCCAACGGTCTCAGATGGTTAGCCTTGAACACGTCAGGATGAAGACAAGTGCTTGAAGAGCAAGGATGGTCGTCCATATGAATACATTGCTGGTTTCAAGGCGAATCGGCGCATGAATTCACCTTCTATGTGCTCAGATTGTTGCATTGCATTGCACATATTCCTGGGATTCCTTGGATCGGCGGTTCCAACGAGCCACTTGGCTTTCATTTGGCAGGCAGCAGGTCAGCCTTGCGTATGGTGCGGCGGAGGGTGTGGACCTCCAAGTTCCAGTGGGTCTGAGGAAGGATCTTGAGATCTAGGCAGTCTAGACAGCCAAAACTTACGCGAATGAACCGGGGCAAGAGTCACAGGCTTACAACTGGATTGATGCGAAGTAGATCCTTGCAGGAGTCACAAAATTGCACTTTTGTAGGTGTGAAGCTGTGAATCCATAGTGAATGCCTAAATCACCCCTATATAAATTCTTCCAGAACCACTTAGCATAGACAACTTGTACAAAGACGACAAGTAAAGGATAAGAAAGGACCTGAGAGGCTCTGGCGCAGCTATGTTCAGGAACTGCCACACCGGAAGCACCAACAAATGCGAGCCCTACGATTTTGCCGTGAATGGTGAAGGTCCGGTTGTCGCACTTTGTTTTGGATGCGAGCTTCGGTTGAATAAACATCTCATGATCCACAGATGAAGCCTTGTTCTTCATGACCGCAGGCCATGCATTTGACACTTTCCACGTCCGGAGCTCAACGGCTGCCATGTACCACAAACTCGGGAGAGATCCAGGATCCGACAGTGCAATGATTTTGCGCAAACACCAATCCACTTAGCAGTTGCAATGCCTTGAGCTTTCGTTGACCGTGGACCGTCAACTGGCCCAAAAATGCAAGACACTCAAGAGTTGTTGTAGCTCGCATTTCAGTATTAAGATCGGAGATGTGGCTTTAAAATCCCAATTAGCTTGTCTGATCACAAGATTCTTTGAGAATCAGCAGTCAGGACAATCATGAAATATCATGAACAATTTTCGGAATGCATAGGATGCATCGGATGCCAAAATCCTGAGTCTCTCACTGGCTCCTGAAACACCGTTGCGCAGCGTTGAGCCATGGTGTCGTTTGGTTTGTTGGTTGGTGCTGCCTTGGCTGGAGTCTACAACTGGGCCTCCGGGGTATATTCCTACAATCGTGATGCTTGGATGACGGATATCCAGGTTGAGCAAGCGCATGTCTATCAGGAGGACAACTTGCAAATTCAGCTAAAGGCCATGCAAAGAGAGGAAGTTCGTGATTTGGTCAACTCTGACCTCAATCGAATCAACAACTCACTTTTGGTTGCCACTCTGATCCTCTCACTTGCAGGAGAAATGCTGTTTGAGGGGCAGATCCCAATGGATTGCCCTGCCTTTGTCCTCAATGCTTACATGCTTTGTTTAGGCAGCGCTGTGTTCCACTTGTCTTTTTCCATCCTTTTCGGCATTTGCGCGAGCAGCAAAGCATATCGTCGGGCTTCAAGGTTACTGACCCGCTTCATTCGGCCACAATGGAAAGAGCACTTCCAAAAGATGAGTCGTCGCAAAGCGACGGAAAACACAGCCACCTTTGAGTCCAAACCTTTGAGTCGCATGATGATGCCTCCCTTGGCATCGAGGATGTTTGGAGGCCGTGTGCGGGAGGAATGGCAAGCTGATCCAAGGAATCCAGGGAATCCTGGTGATCCAGAGCATCGGCATCCGGGGCATCGGCATCCGGTGCCGGGGAAAGGATCTCCAAGTTTCACAGCCACCTGGTCCAACCGCACCGAGTCCGAGGGATTTTTCAGTCCGCAGAGATGTCCTCGGCGCTGGGGTCCATCGAGATCACTGGGAAGCTATGCTGCAGAGGAATATGACAGAGCTGACTCGGATCTTGAGAAAATGCACGATGCCAAGCCAGGTGATTGGCATTGGCATGTGGCTCTTTGGAAAGACACTTCTCAATCCTGGGTGAAATTTTCGAGCTGCATGTTCAAATGTGTTGCTCGTGGAACCATGAACCTGTTAGAAGCTTGTGGCTATCTTGCAGTCGGAACTCTTTACAGTGGCTACGCAGACGCCTGGGCTTTTTGGGCAATTCAGATTTTATTCACAGTCATCAACATCATGATTGTGCACTTCTTGCTCGACAGTTTTGAACCATCCAACATCAAAAGTGACTGGCTTATTTGGTTATTGAGGCGGCATCCATTCGTGGTGGCTTGCATTGTCGCTTCTGGTCCCTTGTTCTGTGTGATTGCAGCAGCTACCTCATGGGTCATATTCGATCGATTTCTCATTCCACTGTGCTATGGCACTCACACTTTTGTGAATATCTACTTTGTCTCCATGTTCACCACTGATGAGGAAGTTCAGGAGAGACACCACGACTCTGATTCCGAGAACGATCAGGAAGGGATTCAAGTGGTCGAGGGTCAGAGTTGGGGACCGTGGGCTGCCCAACCCATTCCAGCTTCACCGCCACGGGCGCATCAAGATTTCCTTCCAGTCCAAATGCTTCGTCAGGGAACCTTGGTGGTGAACTTCTTATGGTCCTGCGCCTTTCTGTGGGCTCTCTGGGGTGCTTGGTTTGGAATGGATTTCAAAAACTCCAAAGCTGCGGTGCCAGCTTGGCGTGATACTCCACCAGTGCTGGAGCTCTCCAAAGAAACCATGGCCTCTCCAAGTCCCTTTTGGAAGCCCCATGCTTTGGTTTGCCCGCGGAACCAAGTCTTTGTGGCAGACCGGTACCACGTTTATGAGCTGCGTGCCGACAACACCAAAGTGGAAAGATATCCTTGCATGGTCAATGGTACCATTGCTGATATTGCAGCTGCGTGTAATCAGGAGAGCTGTTGGCCAGTGGTTTTGCTGCAAGGAGTGCCTCCTTTGGTTTTGGATTGTTCCACCGGGCGACAAGACCCGCTGTTGCAAACCACGGACGGTGCAGGACGAATTGCTACCAATGCTGATAGGGAGAACAGTGGGATGCTGCAAACCCTTCTTGCCACTACGGGTGACAAGATGATAGTGCAGTATGGATGGTCAGTTGAGAGAGAGGCTTGGGAGCCTTTGTGGGACATCGAGAAAGCAGGTGGAGTACTGGCTATGGATCTTGTAGAAGACAGACTCCTCGTTTTCCACCGTGGGGGCTATTTGCAAGCACAGGATATTGAATCTGGCCGTTTGTGCAGCACTTGGGCATTCCAGAGCTCCGATGCAGTGATTGGTGGAGGTTGTGGGAACAAGGACCACTCATCCATGCTGATCCTCGTGAAGAACGGCCATGGCACCGATTTGATGCGAGCTCGGCTACCGGCCCTGGATGACTGCACTGGAAGAACCAGCAAAGCATCCGTGGCGCTAGCTGCGGCTTGAGGCTCGCCTCCCTGTGCTTAGCTGCTAAGGCTAAGATCTTCTAAGGCTCCAGGCTCCAAAATTCCATCTGAGAATCCAAAGGATTCCAAAGAATGCAGATGGGCTGGGGTTGAAAGGAGTACCGCAAGGTTGTCAAAGTGTGACTCTTCATATGTGAAAACAAAGCGGAACCCACACATTTTCATACACTTTCAATGAACTTCCTGATCTTCTTGACGTTGCAGGGTGAAACTATTGCCACTTTCCATCACTTTCCTGCACTGCACGAGGCAGTTGGAACCTACAAGATGGCCTCCTGTGAGGTGATCTCAGTATGTCACGCTGGTGTCATCTCGACTCAGCTTGAGCAAGTAACATATAATAATGTATATATTATATATAATTATATATATATACATATTACTTCTGATTTTTCTGAAATACCTTTGTCATCTCTGAGTCATCTCTTGACATCCTGTCGAAAAGTTTTTTGACGTAAGTGGAGTATCTTTGCTGCTGCAGGCTGGCGCAGTGGCCGTGCATTTCTTGAACAGCGGCTTCTCAGAACATGGCACCTCTCTTCAGGCGCACACAAGACATGTATCTGGTAGTGACTTAGTGAATGGACGTGGATGTGGATGGATAGGGATATCATGATATCCATTGCTTGCGTCGAGTCCAATTTTTGCCGCACTTTCCGCCAGGTCTCCTGTGGCTCTGGCCCAGCTCCAATCTGGTCCAAGGTCAGTCTGAAGCTCAGGAGCTCGACAGGGCTTGGGGCTCCACTGACCAAACTGTTCACTGGGCTTCACTGGGACCTGATTCGACTGCACTGCAAGGCCGCACCTGTGGTGAGTGCACTGTGAATGTGCCCAACATCAAGGCCAGGCCATAGATCTTGTAGAATACGTGTTTTTGCCTTGCTATTTTTTCCGTATTTTTTTTTTTCTATCTTCTTCTCTTCTATACTTTTGTCGCTTTTTGTCTCCCTTCTCGTTTTCCGGAATCAGTTCCTGCACTGATCTTGAAGTATGTGTTCCCATGTTTTGCTTACATTGTGAGGAGTTCACATACACATGCAACACCTACTGCAAGAATCAGCCTGGCTGGAGCCCTCAGGGGAGTCTCGGAGTCTCGGATAGCTCCAGGTCTGAATTCTCTTGGAGAGTTCTCCACGTGATTCTTCTTAGCATCTGTGCCATGGTCAACAGGTCAACAGGTTCACTCTCTACCCGTATTTGAGGACGGTCATACCAGGGAATTGCAAAGGCCAACCCAAGGATTAGGATGCCCAAGAAAGAAGATTTAATGGTGGGATGACCATAATCCATACGCTTACCATGTTTCAACTGATTTTATATATCAGTATCATCAATCATATCCCTGTGGTGACCCAGGTTCGCCCCAGTGCATCAGCGCATCCATTGCATACCATCCAAGCTCCTGCGATGTCAAGTATCGAGCTTAGCTCTAGTATCTGAAGTGCTGATTGGGGCCCTCTCTATAAGCAAAGGCTGGAGAGGTCATAGGACACTTGTCTTATCTTTGTTTCTGGTGGAGACCTTATTTAAAAAGATTCAGCCGCCAAGCGCTCATTTGGATCCTATTGCGAAAGATGACACTCAGAGACTGGATTGTACGATTTGCGAATTCATCATACCAAGGATGGGGGCATCTTGCGACTACAAGTTCAGTGATGCGTGGAAACTTACTGTTATCAATTCCGTTGTCTCCACATTTCTTGTTGCTCGCAGATGACTACTTTTGGCTTGTAAGGATCAGGATGCTCTTTGTCAATGCGACAAGGCCAGCTTTTGGGAGAAATCAGAAGATTGTACAGAACGCTAACCGTTGAAAGTGTTTCCCACACGCGTTGACAGTGGATGTCGCAACTTGCATCTGAGAATTGCTGAGTGACTTGTGGGAAACTTTTGAGACTCTTGAAACTTTTTACGAGCAAAGGTCTTGTATCCGCATCAAAAGGTTCAAGCCCTGTTGGACTCTGAGACTGAAGCTTTCAAATTTGTGAAGCACAGCCTGTGCAATATGACATTGAACCATTGAAGTATATTGAATATGACGAAATATGACGACACACCACCAGGTATGCCCAGTGTGGTGGCAAAGAGTGGAAGGGCCGCACCGGGTGTGAGGCATGACCTGGAACTTTCGAATTCTTTCCGCTGAAAACATGGACTTCTTTTGGAGACTGATCATTCAAAACACTTCTCAAATCTTCTCAACCAAGTGGCATCAAGTGGCATGAAGTGGGGCTGAAGGCAATGTCAATGTCCAGGTCTGTAAATCTGTGCAGTCTTTTAACGTGTCACTTTGGAAGGCTGGTGCAGTGTGCAACGTACCTTTCTCAGATTTCTCAGGGATGTGCTGGAATGTGCCATAAAATGATGCTGAGATTGTGGATGAGTGGTACTCCCAGTGCGTGCCCGCACTGGCAGCTTGCACCTGAGATTTCAAGATATAGAAACTTAGACTGTCTCTCCAGCTTGGAGCCTTGCATTTCCACCTTGAAGGCTCAGCCTGGCATCAAGTTCACAAGCGGAGAAGCGGAGCTGGTTGGAGCCTTGTACAGACACAGTTTCCAGCAAAACTCCTATGGCTGTAGCCTTTCTGAGGCAGCGGCAAGCGCTCCCATTGGTGGCGAGGAGCTCCCAGCAACTGGAGTGATGTGAAGGAAGTATTTTGAGGATTTTCCCTATATTTTCCCTATATTTCCATATTCATTTCTTCCATATTTTCCCAACAATGTGCGGCAACAGGATGGTTTTTCCTCGTTTTCCCCTTGCCCCACATTGGAGGAGGACCTCGGTGCGGCAGCACCAGTCCTGGGCGCCGCCGCAGTGGCCGGAGTGGCTGGGGCCGCCGGAGCTGCTGGCGCTGCCGCTGGCGAAGTGCTGGATGCAGCGTGCTCCGCTCACCCGCAGTGTGCTGATTTGAAGCCGATGCCTCAGCTTCTCTCGACATTTTTCGACTTCTCTCGACATCTCGCAGGGACTTTTCCAGCCGTGATACATCCCTTCCTCCACTAAGATGTGATTCTTTGACAGGCAGCATTTCTTGGAAGTTTGTTCTTGGTGTTGAAGGTTGTCTGGCAACTGCTGCCCAAATGATGATGCTGCCTGACTCCCAAACTGCTCCAGCCTCCCATTTGTGTCAAGATATGGTAGTCTTGCCAGTCTTGCTGTTGGAGTTTTGTGATTCTTGTTTCAAGGTAGTCCTTGGCTGCTGCAAGAACTTTGATCCAGTGAATTTCTCAGACTTCGCGTGGCTCCGTTGTGCAGTTCAGAGATCTACTTTCTTGACATCACATTGCAGAATTCAGAATGCTGCAGAATGCACATTTGGCGTCTGGGGTCCAAGGCTGCCGTCAAGGCAGTGCCAACCGAGCCACCAGCTGGGCCCTTTGCGCTTTGTGTCAGACTTGAGCAGCCAGACCTCAAGTGATACACGATGATACACGATGATACTGTACACCTCTAAACTATTTTTCTAAACTGATATCGACTTGTGGCATGATGAGCTTACATGGAATGAAGCACGAGTTCTGAGACACGATTCGCTCAAGAGTCAGTTTGCCATTTTCGAAGGATGTGAACAGAATCTTTATGAGGTGATTGCCACACTGGCCCCTTTGGACTTGGCAACACCTGCCCCACCTGTAGGGCTCTCAGACCTCAAAAGGCTTTGCCATGTTTCGCTTCAGACGTCTGACGACAGGTTTGACGAACTGTTCAGACGAAGTGTTCAGACGAACCGTTTAGAGATGTTTAGCAATGTTTAGACAGTCTGACTGTACCCATGGCACCGCGTATCGCAAGGACCAAAGTTACTGGAAGAATCAGACCTCTCGGCCAACTCAGGCAGAGAGAAATCCGGTAAATTCGGTCAGCTGAACACTGACCTCAGATGGAACCATGGCATACCATGGCAGCCATGATCCACCACGGTGCACCATGACACATCATGACACATCAACATGTTATCGCGGCAGGCAGAACTATCATGTCTTCCAGCAGAGCCGAAAGGTTGCAGCTCCTCGACTGCTGTTTTTGATGTCCCTGGCTGTTTGATGTTGAATTTCGTAGCGTTCCCGTCTGATTTGCACGTTATGCAGTTATCTTTCTTTATGATATATAAATTTTCTTATTTTATTTGGTATTGTCTTATTAAGAGGTCTTTGCATTTTATGCCGCAAGCTGAGGTGCCATCAAGAACAAGCTGATGTGTCTCAGTGAAGTGCTCAACCGGCTGAAAGCTTGCTGCAGCTTATTGCCTGCAGAGGTTGCCACGGCCACCTGCTTCAGGTCGAGTGGATGGCCGCACTGGATACACTGTCCACGGCCTCAACGTTGGTGGAGAGCCATGCGTTTGGTGCGGCGGAGGGTCTGAGACCTACGTGTCATGAGAATTTCAGCGCAGCTTGTCGACCGGATTGACGACATGTCACACATTTTGCTGGTATCCACTTCGAGGACCTGAAGAACATGTTTAATCATGTTTAACTCTCTCCAGTTTTCGAGTATCCTTCATGCTTCTGATTTTTACATGTGCATGCTGACTTACCCTGTGGACAATGGCTCTGGTCTTGCCAGACTCCCAAGGTTACTCTTGACTCTTGGACTCTTGACATTTCGGACATACCAAACAGCATCCGGGAATCCGTGTCCATCCTGGCAGTCACTGCACTCCAGGCCATGCACTGACTTTAGCAGTGCTGTTTGCGAGCCCTATGACTGGCTCGTCCATGGCAGTGGAAAGGCCACATTCGTTTGCAGTTGGATGCAGAGACACTTAAATTCATCATGTTTGATACACCATTTGAGTCCATTTCATGCATTCGACACAATTGTCAAATGAAGCAAAACAAATTTTGACACAGTTCAGCTTTGGAGCTAATTTTTCTTTCAGGCTTTTGGGTCTGTGCACGTCCGCACCTCAAAGACACAACGGCAATATCGGCAATGAAGATATGCTGTGACCAAGGCACGTCACAGTCTGACCGTTGCCAGGTGCCATGCTCCCTCCTCGGTTTATCTTAAGACACCTGAGAGTCTCAACGTTGACAGTATCCTGATTTTGTTTTTCTTCTACTTGAATATTGAAAGAACACCACATATCGGGAATATCACAGTGATAGTGTTTCGAGCATTTGTACAAAAAAGTGCAAACGTCATATCATAAGCCCGTAAGCAGCCGAGGAGAGCAAGAACTCTGTGTTCTCCGACGAGCAAGTCTCTTGCTTGTCTGCAGCAGAAGTTGGCTGCAACGCGATTAGGGTGCGCCAGTGGCCATTGGTTTGTAGCTTTGTTTCGAAGCGTAGCCTATTCCCATCCACGGTGAATTGCCAGGACAAAAATGAGTGCTTGACCAGCAGGGATGGACGCCCATACTCTCAAGTGGCTGGCTTCAAGGTGGTCCTGTTCAATCTGTTCAGTCTTAAAGAACTGATCAACACACTTGACAAATTTTGACACACCTTGACACCAAACTGCACTGAGACTCCACTGAGACTCCACTGAGACTCCACTGATTGCTGGGCCCTGCTGGGCACTTTTGACTTTGACGCTCTGCGCTGCAGACCAACAACCAGCCTTGTGTTTGGTGCGATGGTCTGTCTCAGCCCCAGACTGGAATACCGCACCACCTTGGTTTGTGAGTGTGTAAAATTTGGGGGGCATGCAGAATCCATGCGGTCTGATGCCACAAAGGATGTGCCATTCCAACAATGACAACATGTGTGAGCCGTTCGACTTCGTCATGAACGGGGCAGGACAAACATTACAAATGCAAATCCGATGTAGCTTGATGGACAGACTGGCTCCAGTAAGATCGTCCATGTCTTATTTGCACATCTTATCATTCTCATAACTCATAGGCGCACCTGGTATTGTTGCATGCACTGTAGCCGTGTAGCCTCTGAAACGCAGAGGACAAGCATTTGGCAGCAACATCGGTGCCCTGAACACGTACATGGTGCCTGAGTGCCAGGCGATCTCAGTGATCTGCATGTGATCTGCTTGGACCGAACCGGACCGTGGCCACCATCGCCAGGATGGCAAACTCATTCGCAAGCGATACGGCAGTGCTGCCTTTGACCGGGGTCTCCCCAAGACGGTCTAGGACTTGGTGTTTGTACTGTTTGTACTGTTTGTACTGTTTGTACTGTTTGTACTGTTTGTACTGTTTGTACTGTTTGTATGCACCAGAGGAACTGGCATTGTCGGTTTGCAGCATAACTCTTCATCACGAAAGTTAGCGGTAGCTTGCTGGAGTTTTTTTGTTGCATTAGCATTGTTCTAAATCATTTTAAGGCAGAAGATATCTAATTTTACTATTATTGACTTATATTGTCTCATTGTCTTTAAGCAGCTTCAGCAGCTTGCCTTGTGAAGCGCTTTGATTCCGAAGGTGAAATGCGGTGGTACCGAGACCACCTGGAACGGCATCAGCTTGAAACCTAGAGACGGCCACGACCACCACCTGGTCACCACCTGGTCACCACCTGTTGCTCGGGACGGCGACGGCTCCACTCTGAGGTAAAGTCTGTGCAAATTGTGACGTCACCATTCCAAATATCAACGTCAGATACCCAGTGATACCCAAACCCAAAAAGACCTAAGATTTGCACTCTGCTGGCTTTGGCTGTCCCCGAAAGTTGGCTAGTGTGTTCTTATTCTACCAGAAATTGGCGGATCTATTTCACAGATCTTGTGGGTGTTGTCCTTTTCAGGCCACCTATGGCACGTGCGAGAAGTACTGTGCATCACAAGGCGGAGACGGAATCTGAGGGAAAACCGCCCAAAGAAATTGCTGTTTGGGGAAGCATATGGCAGCACTGCATGATCAAAGGCTGCGGTGCCGCAAAAACAGCAAAATGCATCAAATGCATTTTCAACTCAGATGCCGGACTTAGCCCCAAGGACCAGAAATGTACAAGGAAATGACCCCATTTGCAGGGCTGATAATTGAGTTCCTCTAGTTTTGCACGTTGCTGAGTTAAAAGTCACTCATGACCTTCATCGCTTCTTTGTCAAACCCTTTGGAGAAATCCGATCTGAAGGTGGCAGGAAGTGCTTTTCAGCAGGCCTGGCATACACGCACTCCTGCGAAGTGCAGGCTGTGAAGTATCTCTGGCATGTTTTGGCAAAGATGTGCATTTTGCTCTGGGTTGCTCTGGGGTCAAGGTTTTCGAGTTTCTTTTCAACTTTTACGCCTGCAGAGAATTGCAGAATATTGCAGAGATGAGTTGAGACACATATTTTGTCTTGTCTCAGTTTTGCGCGTTTTGCCCGTTTTGCCAGTTACTTGCTGGCATGCACTACGTCTTTCGACGAGGGGGAGGCTGCTCGTTGTAGGTGCCAAAGTGGACAGGCGGGGTCTTGTCACCACTGACGGCAAGCCTCTGGCTTGCCGTCTACACTGCATGTACCGCTAAACTCATTGCATTTGACCTTTAGCCGAAGCACTGTGTGTGCCTGTTGAAGGTAACGGCAGCGGCTGAGGAGGCAGCGGCAGAGTTGCCATTGACACCGTGATGGGCTCAGCTGCAAGTTGAGCAGAGGGAGCTTCTGAAAGAAATCTGAAAGAAATCTGAAAGAAATCTGAAAGAAATCTGGAGTTTGATAGCTGGGCCACTTCGTGAGGTACTCCCAGTGTGGTGGCGAGGGCTGGACCGGCCAGACCAAGTGCCAGGACGGGTATGGTGGAGCAATGCTGCATGTTTTTTTTGACCAGAACTGCGAGAATCTTGGTTGCCTTGGTAGATCTTGGGTGCAACCGTGAGTGTAGGTGTTCAACACCTGCGCAGTTCCTTGGCTGCAACCGTGTGACTCTCTTTTTCTGGCCAAGCTGTTAGTTGTTACCTCAGTGTTTCCTTTCGCCTGTGCGCTTTCTGAGGTGGTCAACAAATGGTACAGCCAATGCCTTCCAGGAGTTCTTGTCTGGCATGTTTGCTACAAGGAAAATCCTCCACTGCCATTGGTGTATCATGATGTATCATGGACGTGACACCAAAGCGGTCACCCTGCCAGGGTTTGGCGAATCCAGACCAGGCTGCTGAGGCAGCAAGCCAAGCAGCCCAGGCAGCACTTGGTATTTCCATCGTTTTGGGATTCCATGCCGTTCGGCCAATTCGCTTTTCTATCTGGGCTATTCGATTCAAAATACGACTGATGTTTACTATGCTCCCTCGCAGGTTGCAGGAAAGACACTGCAAGAGCAGGCCACCTTTGTAGAATTCTTGCTGCATTTGGACGTGATGCTTGAAACCGTAAACCTGCAGTGAAGATGAGAAATCTGTTATGTATTTGATGTATTGATAGGATCTCCTAAAGTCCTGAAGGTGTTTCCTCAGATGTTCAGGCAAGCTATGCTGGACAAGCAGCCTCGGAGGCTGCTAAGGTGGCAGGCTTGGCACCAGCCACCCAGGCGCCAGCAGCATTGTCAATGAAACGACAAGAAATCTCGTTGAAACTTTGAAGATTTTGATCAAAGTGGCGATGGATAGGCAACTCGTGCCTATGTTGGAGCAGCGGGCACAGCTGACGAGGGCGGACTGGCTCAGGATGAGGCGAGCGGGGTTCATGTGGTGTTCTTTGTTTCAAGTCTTGAACACATGCCAAAGACCAGGAAAACAGACATTCTGGATGCTGAACGGTGATACTTGATGCATTTTGATGCATCTTGATGCATCTTGATGCAAACTGCAGCTTGAATTCGACCAGGCAAACGCTGCCGGCGTGGCAGCTGTGAAGGATGCTCTTCAGGATGCTGGCGTAGCAAGTGACCAGGTGGGCGTATGACTTCGTTGCTGAAGAGTGCAAGAGTTCTTGCCAGTGCCATGGTGTTCTAAGATAAGAAAAACCCTTTTGAGCTTTTGGTCAGTTCATCCGACATTTCCGGGCTTGCGCAGGTTGATGGCATGACTGATCAGGCGGGAGACAGCTAGCCACCAAGTTCTGTGTAGACAGTGCAGATTTGCCCCAGCTGGGACGCGACCAGGCAGTCGCTGAAGGAAAGGCTGGGGAGACTTTGCTCGGTTGTTTTGTAGTTCTCAGCAGTGGAGGATGCAGAGTATGCAAGCCACAAAACCCCTCTGGCAGGTCATTGTCTTTGGCCATGAGCATGGTACTCAGTCAAATAAGTGAAGCTAAACGAGAAAGATGAAGAAGTTACAGCCACAGCCTAGCTTGTGGATACTTTTGGACGATTCATACTTTTTGACCACACATTTCTTGACCAAAATGTTTGATATGTGGCCATGTGGCTTCTCAGTTTGTACAATTTTCTGTCGCCGCCCTGTGCCCCGAGGCAGAATCCACGATCTGCTCCCTACATTGCGGGGGAGGCAGCCTTCAACCAGGCCCATGATGCCGGCCTTTCCAAGGAGGACTGCCATGATGCCATGAAGCGAATGGCGTCGACCACGAGGTAAGATCCAATGTGCAAGGAGAAATGCCAGAAGGCATATGCAGCAGCTTGGAAGACAGCCAAGGCACACGGTTGCAAGACGTTGCAAGACGTTGCAAGACGTTGCAAGACGTTGCAAGACGTTGCAAGACGTTGCAAGACGCAAGTCGAGTCGTAGAAGTGCACTCAGTGCACTCCCCTTTTCAAGCATTTGAGAGTTTCATTCTCCTTACAAAGATAATACACATATATATCATATAAAATGTCACATATAACTCATATGACTCATATACCGGGTGAATTGTCATGACATGCTCATGACATGGTTCCATGATGATGTTTTGTCCGTTTGTCCTTGTTTGAGGCCAATGGCAAGGTGGGTGAGCAGATCACCGACGTGGCCGCGGACGTCATGGTGAAGATTGCCACGAAGATCGGCATGTCGCCCGAGGAGCAGGTGAAGTGCTCCGTGGAAGCCGCCAAGGCGGGGCCGAAGCCGGCCTTGGGATGCCGATGTGGAAAGACTAAAGACGTTGGGAATTGTGGACAAAAAAACAAAAAAAGATGTAACTCTTCAGAACTTATCCATCTTACCCAAACTAATAGTATATAATAGTGTCCAATGATAACTAATCCGTAGCTTTTCCAAACTCATCCATGGATTTTAGATGATTTTAGGACATCATGGCAAAATTTGGCAATGCGCGCTGAAATTTGCCGTGGTAGTCTGAAAATTCTGTGCTAGCGTTGGACTGGAAATAATCGGATGGTTGTGGAACAGTACTGCTAAAAATATGTCCATGTAACCATGTGCGATGGATTTGAACATATTTGAACATGAACAATATCAGAACTATATTATATCATAAATATATTACTGTAATTTGCTGCAGGAATTCCATGGTTGGTATTTTTCCCCTCTTGTGTTTGGCAGGTGGTGACCAAGGCCTCTGGCGGCTTCTCTGATGACATTGCATCTTCAATGCACCATGCTGGCGTCGTTGTAGCAGTGGACGCTGGCATGCCAGCAGCACAGGCCTGCCTCGAAACTTTCGTGACTTTAGTATACTTTAGTAAGATCAAGAACATTCAAAATGAACCAGTGAAACTCTCTGAGTGGATGATTTTGGATGACTTTGGATGTTTTGCATTTGCTGATGCAGGTTGACTCAACTGTCTCAGCAGCCTTGGAGGCGCCATGATGCATTGGCCTCGCCTTTCGGGCTTTACATTTTCAATCCCCTGCCCCGTCCTACGTCCTGCCACATCCTGCCATATCCTGCCAGGATGTTGAGACTGAAAAAGGCGACAAGATCGATGCAACCAGGATGAACGAAATTATGAGCAAGTGCCTGGCAGCTGGCCAGGCCGATCACACCAAAATGGCGGTTTTAATAGGCAAAATATGGCGAAATGATCATCAATCACTGAAAATAGGATAGCTCTGAAGCATTTGAAAGCGACAGGCAGCAGGCGATAAGGCAGCTGAGAGCGCAGCCATTGAAGCCACCAACGTCGGAAAAGCGCTGGGAATGTCTGGTGTGGACACCGCGCAGGCTGCAAGGACAGCGCCGCTTTGTGGATGGGATGACTTGTGACACTTGTGACACTTGTGACATGAACTGTCTTTGAATTCTTTGAACGAGCTGCTGTCGGCAATGATTGCAATGTAATTCCAACAGGCCAAGTGCCAAGTTGCTGCAGGAAATGTGCCTATGAAGCTGCGATTGCCTCTGGCCGAAGCCCTGTGGAGGTGCTCCCGTTTTCGCGTCCGATCAACACCATTCAAATGAGAGCAGACGGAGTCACCCACTGACAGAGTCAGAGCGCAGTGAGTCAGTCACCCTCCGCCCCCCCACTGGGGGCGGAGGGGTGACTGCACTGCGGCGTGCTGTAAGCAACGACCCGATACGTATGTTGGCTCTACCAACTCAAGAGTGACCGTTGGGATGGAAACCCCAAATAGGAGAAAAACGTCGGGTTATGCGAATGGGCAATGTTGAGACTCTGAGGTACTTGTACCGAATTGCTTCCAACAATCACAATGAATTCAATGAGGGTGTTTACTGCACCCACTTTGAATTTCATCACGCATTTCACAACGTTTCAGTCTATCCAGCACTGAACGGGTATGCTAAAGGGCCTTGTCACCAGCAACACCTTTCCAGGCAACTGCCGCTGCTGAAGCCACCCGATCCATGGCACGGGCCCTTAGTTGGGAAGATCTTCCAAAAATTTGATGAGTTCTCCTTGGACAGGAATACAATTGCTATATATTTTGTTTCTATGGCAACAAACAGCAACCATAATATACATATATTCTATTTCAGTAAACGTTTTAATCATTTTTTTTACTGTACACCGTGCGCTCAGGTCCCATCCGTGGTGACCAGTCCCTCTGATGGTGACGCCATCAAGCCAGACGACTTGCAAAACGTTGGTGGGGGACCTTGGCGTTGCAGTGCTCATTCCGCTGCTGTGCCATGCGCACCATGAGTCACCATGAGGCAAGGACTGCTGGCTTCCATGTGGCAAAGCGTTCGGCGTCTCAGAAGTGGAAGGATTTGGATAGGGTTTGATAATGTCGGACGACGTGAACGGCGGCTGTAGAATCTGCAGAACCAAAGCGCTGTTTCCGTTCGTCTCGGTCAATGGCAAGGCAGGTCAGTGCAATTCACCTGATGCATGGGACCGAATGGGACCGAATGGGACCGAATGGGACCGAATGGGACCGAATGGGACCGAATGGGACCGAATGGATGTTTCGGTTGCTGAGTTCCGGCCTCTGTGCCTTCTGCGGCCTGGGCAATGCCTGCTGCCGTCAGTGGGAACCTGAGCCGGTCTTGGGAGTCTGTGCATCGCCGGCCCAATAGTCGTTTTCCATGGTCGCCATGGACCATGTGGATGTTTCATGACGTTTCTGTTTTTAATGCCAAGCTAATCATGCGAATTATATCTAATTATCGCTTTTGGCCGCTTCAAAGGTTTGCATTCACGCTTATTGAAAAAGGGCATGAAGTGCAGTGCACTGTGACAACTCTCTTCCTCTGCAGGGACGAGCCGAACGCTCCAAAAGCATGCCAGGGCGCCAGTGCCTCAAACATCTCGTGACAAAATCGAAGGAAGGCAACAAATCAGGCTCTAGGATCAACAATCGACAGATGATAATGAATAACACTACAATAACACCATAGAAAAAAATCAGATGGTTAATTTGGTTACATGTTTCTGCCGAGGTTGTTGTGAGCACCTGGCACCACTCGTGTGTGAAGCCAGTCGACCCAACATCTGTCGTAGCCCGAGCTAGCATCTCTTAGGATTCAACTCAGTCACATTGATTTGAGACTCAGAAGATTACCGAGACATGCGTGACATATCGTGACATGCATTTTGAAGACCGATACGCATTCACACAGATTGACGCAGTGGCAATGGCCTCTTAGGATGCTGACGACCTTTCCCGTGGTGTGGAGAGTGCGATGATTTACGCCGAAGCCAGGGCCAAGGGTGACGAAATGGCTGATGCTGCCAAGTCGGCTGGAAAGGGCGTGGATGATCAGGTTGCTGCCGCTGCTGAGGGAGCCATGGACTCCATGAATTCCGAACATGCGAAGGTCTCGGATGTGGTCAGTGCCGCCTACAAATCTGCCAAGGAAACTGGTTTGGAAGAGGGCCTGACTGAACCTGCTGCACAGACAGCAGCCATCGATGCCATCAAGGACGAGTTGCAAAAGTCTGGCATGTCAAGTGCAGAGGCCTGGAACAGTTCTTGATTCTTCTATAAAATGAGCAGACTAGACTTGTGTATGTATTTCATATAACGAATGATGTCGAGCACTTGGCGAGGGTTTTTTCCATTCTATTTTTCCAGTTGATATTCGTGATATTTTGAGATGAATCCTGCCAGTCTTGCTGTCCACAACACCCTTTCCTGCAATAGCCGCTTGACAACAACCACAGAGCTGGAGGGAGCATTTGAGAGTTCCGCCTGCAGGCTGCAGGAATCTCAGCCTTTGCTGCCACCAAATCCACTGGAGTTGTGGTGGCTCCAACGGTTGATGGCTCAGTGCTTTGGTTTCTGGCCTACCCGGCCTACCCTGTTCTTGCAAAACGATCTTCATGCTCCATCCAACTTCGACCTTAGGTGAACATTAATGGAGGTGGATCTGGAAAGACGGGCTCTACCGCCGTTTCTGCTGCTGTTCCACCTGTGGTCACAAAACCAGAGGAGACCACTACGGCAGAGCCACCTGCTACCCTTCCACCTGCTGCTACCCTTCCGCCTGCCACAACCGCTGTGCCAGCCGAAGTCACTGCAGTGCCCACCGTGGAACCGACTGAAACAGTGGCACCGCTTGCAACCGTTGCACCAGCCGCGACCCTTGCACCAGCAGCAACCATCGCGCCAGCAACGACCATTGCACCAATTGAAACCGCAGATCTGACGACCGTGGCTCCAGCGGCAGTTGTACCAACCTCAGTCTTTGTCGAACACTTGCTGCAAGATGTGCAACGTCGCAAGAGCATTGCAGCCGCTTCAACTTACACAAAAAAGAATCCAAAACAAGTGCGCCAAGGCTACATTGCCTCCGATAACACAGCAGAAGGACAGCATTGCAGCTTCAGTCAGAAACCACCAGCCGTTGCAGTGAGTCATTGCAGGTGGGCCGTAGTGGTGAGACTGCCAGCGTTGCAAAGGCTGTGGTGCGCTTAGCATCTCTTGGCATGGAGTGACCGCGGTAATCAAGATGAACCTTCATGAAACTTCATGAAACTTCTTGGGCTGAGGAAGGAACGCTTCCAATTGTTTCTGAAATGTCCGATGCGGTCATGGCCCTGGTGTCCATCGACATTTTCAGTGCAAGCCTTTGTTGCATTCGGACGTGTTTCTCCAGGTTCAAGTGGGAATTGATGCAGCAGATCTGAAGAAAAAGGATGGTGCTGATGTTGACACTCAGGCCAATACCTTGTGCCAATACCTTGTGCCAATGTTATGCCCTGATACAGCAATGTCAGCGTGCGGTTGATTTGGCCTGATCGGCAGGCGCTGGTTGCAGCTGGTACCAGTGGATCTTATGTCCAGTCCTCACGTTCAGCATGAAGGAGCTGAGGAATTCCCTTCGGCAATGATCTAATAATCTAATTACATCCACTGATCTCTTGAGCTATCTATTGATTCGATGCATTTCAATCCATGACATGTTTGCAACCGCAAATTTCCGAGGCAGCAGCTGACGGATACGCGAAAACTGGTGCAGATGATGAAGCTACAGAGGCCCCGGCCACGGAAAGGGCGGTTGGAGGCGAAGGCGGTTGGAGGCTTTGGATCTTGGCTCGACAATTCTTCGACACTGCTTGGCATGTAGCAGCCAGCAGCTGCAGGTGGCCAAGTATATCTACATGCGATCCGGAAAGTCCGCTGAAGAGGCTCCAAGAAGCTCCAAGAAGCGCTTCAGACATGGAACCGCTATGAACCGCTACTTCAATTCGTATAGATTCATCATTGATTCATCCAGATTTGTTTGCGCTGCGAATGCTCGTTGCGGCAAAGGCATCTGCCCTGGCTTTGAAGACTGTTGCGCCTGCGGCCGAGTATCAGAGAAGTGTTTTTTGTGGTCGTTCAGTCGATGTCACCAGTGAAATCCACAAACCTTGTTTTATGACCTTGTACGTGTACTAGATTGTTCTTTGCAGCATCCATTTTTGGCCTTTAAGATTTTTTTTTCAGCCCCTGCTGATATTACGGTGTTAGATGAAGGCAAGCGGCATAAGTTTTCTTTACATTGGGAAAATAGATCGCCCGGACGATTTTGGAACAGGCATTCTGATAAACTGCACGGGTCCATTTTATGCCTCTGAAGTACATCAAAAATGCACGAAACGGACATTTTGTCAAGTAGCTTCCCAGTGGCTTTAGTAAGCCTGGAAACCTTTGGGCATTTCAAACCGTTTGGTCCCCTGTGAGAAGCATTTCATGAAAGGGCAACCCAGCTGAAGCCCGTATTGTACAAAAAACGGACCAGAAAATTCCAAAACAGGGACCTCTGCCATTGCATCAACCTCTACTTTCGGTGATGTGTTTTGGCCTTTGAAGGATCTCAAACTATATTATACATATATATATATAATATACACATATGAGCAACCGACACAATTATTGTAGTACTAGTTCAGTCTTGCTTCGCCTTGGCCTTGCCTGTGGGGGTATGCAAAAGCTTCATTACCGATAGGGGACGACCCCATACCGATACCCTGTTTTGCATGAGTCACCTCAAAGTCTGAGAATGCAAACATCCTCACTACCGATAGGGGACGACCCTAATTTGTGCATGGCATGAAAATGAACAAGTAATTTGTCCGCTATTCACACAATGTGCAGCATGTTGTCTTGGAAGCCTCTGAAACCTTCAAAGATGGATGCCTATGATAGGCACAAGACTCACTACAAGACTCACTACTGTACAGTTACGCGCAAGCCAAACCATTCGTTTCCTTTCCGTACGAATGTGGCACGGCACGAAAGATTCTAAGATATTGAAACTCATAGTTCCAGATCTAGTTCCAGATGGTATTGCTGTAACTAGTGCGTTTCCAGGCATTTCATTTTGCCTAGCTTTCGGTCCCAACCAGGTGAGGTGTGACAACGTGTCACATAAGACTGGTCTGACCTGGTTACGGAACTTCTATTTGAGCACCCAGGCAAGCAAAGGCTGATCAAGGTGGTGAGTTTGCTGGGGCCTTGCTGAAAGGATTGTGCCTTTCTGTGCCTTTCTGGGATGAGATTTTGCCCTGTGCTGGATCGAGGCCGCGCCAGGCTTGCTCCAGAGGCATGGATTCTCTGTGCCGCTCCGAGATCTGTCTGAAACGAATCTACCACTGACAGAGATCTTTCAAGCGATGAAGGGTACAATGGGTTCATTGAAGAGTATGACAAAAGTGTGCTTTCCCACTGTTCATCCTAGAATTTCATGATTTGCTGCTAATTCTTGCTGCACTGCTTGGGGTCCTCCTATTCTGATTTTTGGAATCGTATCCCCTTCTCTTACTGCAAAAAGAGACCCAGTGTGAGAGTGACATCTGCAACCCCAAGGATTGCTGGGAACCGTGTGGAAAGAAACCTGGCTATTGCCCAGAATACTGTGGAACGGGAAATGCATGTTTGATCCTCAGATGGGAACATTTTCTTCAAACACTCCAGCACACGCTGCTTTTTCCTTCAAAGCACTAGGGACGGGGGCCAGCATTTATTTGCAGCACACGGAAATCCGCAGAGACCCAACTAGGCTGCCGAAAGACTGGTGATATTGTTGTCCCACGTGAGTGCAAAGGCGTCTGAGGCTTAATGTTTGTGTCACGGCGACGACAGCCAATGTGTTGATATTTGAAGATATTTGAAGATTTGTCCATATTTATATTCCAATTCCTACATTTTCCTAAATTCTTTGAGGGGGAGGTCCATACCTCTCTCTGGAATCATACAAGGTTGCTTCCAGCTATCTCCAGACTGCAAGTGAATGCTGAGAAATTGAAGCTGCAAGTTGCAGCAAGTCTCAGAGCGGCTCAATGAGGTCTACGATTTCTTCACTCCCCACTACGAGTGCGTCAAGCCGACGGTATCACTCTGAGTTATGACAGTTATGCAGATGTTGAGAAGTCTTGTTCAATCCGTGTAGGTAGGCTTTCTGTCGATGTTCAGCACATCCAAGTTTTTGGAGTTTGATGGTACAAATGATTTTCATGCAACTCAGTGCCCACATGTGGGGATATTTTGGATGACAAAACATGAACAGAATAGTTTCTTGGGATTTCTTGGGATTTCTTGGGGATCTTCATCTTCCAGTTGTTGGTGGCTTTGAGGTTTGACCCATATCCATCCACCGTTTGCATCTAGTTGCAATTCTAGAGTTCTAGAGTCTTCTAGATGCAACAATGACATACAATGACAATGATGTACCATTCCGGACCATTCCCAAAGCTTTTTCTTAACAGTCAGCAGGTTGCAGTTCTTGCTGAGTCTTGAGGCTGTTTACATTCCGGCATATGAGAAGGCAGCTGGTGAGGCCGACAGGAGATTTGGTCAATGGCCATTCCATCGCTACAGAAAATAAGAACGGCCGCTGGGCCGCTGGCCGTTCTTAAAAATGGCCAGTAAAATCGACCAGAGATTGTGCTGCACAGTGAATTTGGTGACTAAAAAGATCTAAAAAGTGTATCGAGTTGAATTTTGTGGACGGCTCTTGATTCTGAAGGCCTCTACTGGAGAAGTAGCTACAGGTGACGAGGAGACTGAGACATCAACTCCAACTGAGGCAATACATGCGACAGTTTGAGACTTCATTTTTTTCTTCAAATAATTTCCGGGCGGCACTTGCATTACTCTTTTCTGTGACACTGACTTTTTTGTTCTACTTTCTCTTGGCGGCATTCATAATAACTTTCTGGCCTTGTACTGGAGGCACCTGCCCTTTTCGGTACTGGTACCTTCGTTGCGGCCGGGAACTTCTATCAGATGCCTACAGGGTAGAGATGGAACGGCAGACAACAGCGGACGGGTCGAGGTTGGTGCCTGCATTGCAGCCTGCTGCGTTGCTGGACTTGCAGGCTCTTGATAGAGGGCTTTTGCTGCAAAGTGATGCAACGTGTAGATGTGGGCAAGACTTAGACTTCATCATTACAGACTTCTTTTGACTCTTTCGGAGATGCTTTCACATGTTTTCACATGTTTTTTCAAGGATTCTCGAGGCATAGAATCAATATTGAATCAATCGTTTCAACCATTTTCTGCATGTTTTCTGCTTGACATTTGCTGTGCTCAGCCTGGCATCTCTCCGACTCCGAAAGCAAGAGAATCTTCGCCGGCAAAGCCATGCGGTACACAGAGGCAGCGATAGGAGTATGGGCGAGCAATAGTAGCACCAAGCAGTAACAGTAAGCAGTAGCAGATAGCAGTATCAGTATCGGGATGTGGGACCTGTAGGGTACGGAGCAAAACACTGGTACAGGGAACTGTACCCAGTACAAAGATCCCATAATTCACATACTCAGACTCTTAACATCTCTTCTTATCTCTTGAATGTTTTTTTTTTGCATTACAATGCATACAGAATGTAAAAGAGTTATCAAAAGTTGAACATCGCAGAACCGACTTCGAACCGACTCCGAACCAACTCCGCACCAACTCCTTGGTGCCTTTCGGTGCCTTTCACGTTGTTTCACCTTGCGAGGTGGCTGCTGCGTCCCCCGCAAGTGCTGCTGATTTGGAGCTCCAGGCCAGTGGTACTCCCCTCGACGCTCGACACAGTTTTTGGATTATCCAAAGATATCAAAAATACAGGTATGTACGAAAGTCAACCAGTTAATGTAGTTTATAAACATGTAAGAGTTTGCGACATGTTTCTGATGTTTTTCGCACTCTTCACATATCTTCACCCCTTCAGCTGTCACATTGCTGCTGTTGGAGGCTCCTCTGGCTCGAAATGGGGCCATGGCAGCAGCAATGGCGGCTCCCGGTGCCTCCATGCAGATGGCAAAGAGCTCAGACTACGTTCTGCAACCTCTGGAATCATCATGGAATCAATCATGGATCATTGTTCACTGATCGTAGACCGTCAGTGTCTTAAGTGTCTTAAACTCCCTAGGCATAGTTTGTTGATGTTTGCACATCTACAAGTTTGGTTTATTGCATTTCTCTTATCATTTGAGCTGTGTGCATGTCAGGCTGCTCCGATGCAGAGCTCAGTACAGTGCCCCTCTGAGTCTCAACAAGTCATCTGGGTTCAACATGCCTTCATCAAATGACTGTTTTGTATTTGTTTTGTATGTTTTTGTTTGGATTTCCTTTTCTTCCATTGCTAAGGTACTCTAGCATGCCATATGCACAGGACCGTGCGTACATTTTTTCAAAAAAGTCAGCTGGCGGTTCATCGAATTGAGAGTACCCGAGTGTTTTTTTATATGACTTGTCTTAGTTTCATTGTACAGGATAGACTGATCTCCAAAATCGTTGGCCGTGTAAATGAATGAATTGGCAAATATTGGCAACCTCTTCGGCTGCAAATTCTTGCCAATGAGAAGGTAGGAGCCAGCGTTGCTAGCGCCGCCCCAATGATGGTAATGGCCCCAGTATTCCTGGTAGATCCTGGTCGTGCATTCACCCAAAGCAGAGATGTTGTGATTCTCATTTTCTAAAGTGAACACAGCATTGAGATTTTTGCCTCAGAACTCCTCGTCAAGGTAGCAGCACCAATGGGTGTACCAGCTGCAGGGCTCCCAGAATGGCCAAGAGGGCAAAAATCTATGACGAAGATATGATACCTGATACGACCATTCATAAACGTTGAACATCTGATCGATGTCAACATCTTTCAACTGTGATCCAAATCAAATGGCACCAGATTGATCTTGGGTCATCTTGGGTCTTGGGTCATCTTGGGTCAATTATAATTATGGTCAATTGCATTCAATTTTGCATTCTGCCACATTTGAGGCTCCAATGATGACTGTTGGCGCAGCTCCCGCACCAGTGACGGTCACCGCCGCTCCCATGGCCCAGAGCTCACAGAGGAAAACGGCGAATGAAGAGATGACGAGATGATTCGAATATGTTTCGAATGAGGCACATCAGAAACACATTCGAAACACATAGAAACATATCTGGCCCAGAGCTGCGACACACGTTCCTTAATCCAAGAGGGGAAAAGGTCAGTATTCTCGCAGTACTTGTTTTGCTGAATTGGAAGATATTGGAGAAAAAATGAGAAAAGCAAAAGCAGTTTGCCCATTTTGCTTTTGAACTCATCTTGTCCAGATGTCACATGATCCCTGAGAGACTGAAGAGTGAGCATGAGATGAGGTAGCCATGCCTGCGGCTAGTGTCCACACTGGGGTGCCCATGCAGGACGCCAGCTTAGCACAGAAATTGGGAGAACCCAAGATTGGTGGAAAAGCGCAAAAGACACGTTTCAAACAACGCCTTCGCAAGCAAACATACAAACTGATCCCAGGAGTGTCAACCTCAGTAGATCTGTCTTTGTGTTCTTTTAAACATCCACTATCACCCGCAGTCGCAGCTAGAAACAATGCCTCATACGCCAAAGTATTTGTTGTGTAGTCCATTCACATACATGACAGCTACAAACTTGGACCCAGCCCCTGGACCAAAACGTAGTTCACAGCATGAAACTCTGGGTGCAAGTTCCAAACATCATTCCATGTGCGCATGTGTTATCGAATTCCTTGAAGTGATCAAAAGGGGAAAGAGAAGCGGCTTCGGGGTCGAAAGAATCCGATCCAAGAGGAGGGACAGAGGGAGCGATTGACAGAAATTGACAGACTGGCTGTGCAGCTGTGCAGCTGAGGCTGGAAGCGCAGTGACAGGGGCATTGTTTGCCGGCGGCTTCATGGCCAAAGCCTGAGAATTGTACCACAAACTGAGGAGCTAGAGGAACTGGGTGAATTCATGTAAATTTTACTGTAAAACTGTAAAACCACGGATTGTCTACATCACAGATATGTACTTTCAGTATGCTTGCATGAATGCTGGATTCTGTATGAAGGAAAGTCGCATCCAGTCTTGTTGCACAGGACCAGTTTGATCGCATGGATATGAATCATGATGGAGTACTGCAGCGATCCGAGTGGGACCGTGGGATGCAGGCCATTTGAGAGAAGAAATTCTCAATTCATTCAATTCTCAATCCCAAATAATCCAAATCTAGCTTTGTGCAAGTTTGTCCACAAAAGTAAACCAATAAGGGGACAGAATTGCCCACAGCGATTTGGGCAGGGTCAGCGGTGATCCAGCTGAAATCTCAGTTGTCGAACATTCTACATGCATTGCATGTCAAGACTGTGTTTGCAAGGCCTTTCACTTTGGTTTTCAAGTTTCAAAGCCAAACATCTCCAACTTCCAAGTCCTTTCCTCCTTGCCCATCCAAGGAATCGATTAATGTATTTCAGAGGAACAGAGTACGAAGTCTGAGATGCCCTTCGGCACTTCTGCTCGAAGGCGAAACCTGGTCTTTTGACGCACCTGAAATATCCTGAAATGCTATGAGTCTAGATGAGTCTAGCATGTGCAGTATGCATCATGGATCATCATGGTATCAATCTGCCAGGTTAGTAGGGTGTTGAAGGATTTTTGCTCAGCCAGGAGCTCAGTAATCGGATTTTTACAGGACAGCAGTGACAGCAGTGACAGCTGCTCCCTTGGAGGTCAGCTTTTCAAGGGCGTTTTCTGCAGGCGCGGCGCTAAGCTGATTACGGCCAATCTGTCAATGTTTCATGGTTTTGAATAATGCATCAGATTGAATCAAGACACACACACATAATTATACATATATATGATATATGTGTAGTATATTATATATATATAGTATATATACACATTTAATATTTTATGTTACATACAGTTATATATCTATATTATATTTCCTTCTGATTTTCGTTGCACCTTAACCTTGCTGAGCTCCGCGCAGGATTTGGCAGCGGATCATGACTTGCAGGTCAGCCCGCCAGTGGCCAAGACCTTCAAAGTTATGAGCTGGGATGACTCCGGTCGACCGGTCGACCTGTTGGAATGAATGATCATAGCATCCTCATAGCATATCATAGCTTGTCATAGTTCTACAAAAGACATACCAGAAACACCCCTGTGGGATACTGTAAGGGATTTAGTCAAGACTGGCCGACCCTCTTTTGATTCTCCCGCAGCTGCCAAATTAAGCGTTATTTGGTCTGACCAGATGTGAACGGTGATTTTCCAAGTCGTAAGAATTCGAAATCATTTCCTTTTGATCACATCTGCTCTGAACCGGCATTTCCCAATGTGGAAAATGCCTGGACTTTACCTTTCAACGCGCCAACAGAAAATGCACTGTGATGGGAAGGCATGGGAAGGTTGCAAACCCCCGCAAGGCATTGATGGCCAAGTTGCGAAGGGAGATGCAATAGTGTCCAGGGATTTCAGGTTGACATTTGGACAGGGTGGCCGCCACACAGTGTCAAGTCAGACGTTAATCTCAAGACTCAAGCCCCATGGTTTCAGTGCAGCTCGGAGAAGCAAGACACGCGGAATCCTCGCAATCAGTTGTTTGATGTTGTTTCAGTTGATCAGTCTATTTTTTCAGTGTAAGTTATTATATGTTGACAATCTTTCGCTCCAGAGAAAGATCAAAGACTGTAGTCCGACCTGGTTCGCTTTCACTGGTTCATGGATCGACCACTGTTGATGGTCCCAGTCTCTACAGGGTGGAATGCCACTAGCCATGAAAGCCAGCAGGTGGGCAGTGTGGACGGGTGGATATTCCTTGCTGTTTTACATCGCTACAAGCCGAACTTTGCATTGCTCCAGTTCCTTCTGATCCTTCTGATATTGATACACAGTTTCAACGATGATGACGAAGTGTGCACAGAGTTCTGTAGATCTTCAGGATACAAGTAAGTAGAGAGTACTCTTTGGCGATATGGCAGACTTTCATGTGTACAGAAAACCTTGCTGTGCTTACGTTACTTCAACGTCATGTCGATGTGGAGGTAATTTATCCCCAGATTGGAAACTGATTAGAATGAAAGCCGCAGGGTCCTTACTGCTTGAGACATTGTGGATTTGTTTCTGGGATGCAGGTGGTACAAGCCAAGCCTGATCACACAAGAGTTGCGACGTTCCACATGGCCCTTGATGCTGCTGGAAGTGTTGCGACAATGGTCGTTGGAGGCTGGAAGTGAGCAGAATGCTGAGGGATGAACCTTCGCAGCTTTCAATTCAAAGCGTAGAATTGCCGTGGAATCTGTGACACTCTTCAGTTGCACCATATTGATCCATGTTGCAGTATTCTAAGCAGCCTCAGGCCAATGTCTACCATTACAACGCAGCGCTGGCAAGTCTGGCTCGGTCCAGCCGGTCCAGCTGGAGAGCTTCTTGGAAAATTCTTCGCAGAATGCACGACGCTGACGACGCTGTGGAAGGTCCTGATATCATGAGCTTCAGCTCAAGTGTCGCAGCAGTGCGGAATTCCAACCCCGATGGAAATTCCTGGACCAAAGCAATGGACATTCTGTCTGTCATGAGCTCTCGCGGAATTCAGACAGATTTAATTTGTGTGAATTCGCTGATTGCGGCCTGTGAGAAAGTCTGCAGGTGGCAATCAGCAACTGTGGTATTTACAGAGTCCGGTCTGTCGTTGGATTCTGCTGGATATGGTGCTCTGATTTCAAGCTCCAAAGGCTCAAAGGAGGCAAAGGGTAAAGTGGAAGGCGTTTGGAGAGTTGCTCTCATTTGGCTGGAGCTATCCGAGCTATCCGAGCTATCCCCCAACCAGATATGCTACAATTCGTGTGTGGATGCATGCGAAAAGGGTGGGCAATGGCAGATGTCATTTCATTTGCTCGACAGGATGGATCTTGATGAAGTGAGTTTTACTTGCAGAATCAGCGCCTGCCACAAATGGGAAGAAGCTGCAGTGACCCTTCCACTGATGAGAACGCTACGCACCCTTCCAAACTTGAGAAGCTACAGTGCTGCCATTTCCTCTCAACAGAACTGGCGTATTGCAGCAGAGTATTGCCGTGAAATGTGCTTGCGCAATCTCAAGGTAAATGAAGTGGTGAGCAACGCATTCCTCAGCAAGCAGAATTGGCAACGAGCTACAGCTCTTTTGAGCATCACATCATCCGCTGGACTCCAACTATCTCCACCTGGGATCAACTCGTGTTTGGTTGGTCCACCAGGATGCTGGGCGGTCACATCGCAGCTGCTGGCACAAGTCCAAAATCTGATGATACAGGGAAACGTCGACTCCTTTAGTGCACTCCTGAGTGCTTATGAGAAAAGCATCATGTGGGAAGATGCCTTGCATGTGTGGCTTGGAATTTTGAATAAGGGTGTCAGGCCAGATGTGGTCTGTGTCAATGCAATGACCAGCGCTTTTGCCCAGGGCCTGTGCTGGAAGTTTGCAGTTGACTTTTTCGGAAGAATTCGTTGCATGATTTCCGCGGATTTCATCACCCGCAACGCAATTTTGACGTCCTGTGGAGGAGTTCATAGCTGGCAGATCGCCCTTGGCTTTTTTGATGGGTCTGAATGGTCTCAGCGGTCTCAGTATGAGTTCCCAGACATGGAAGCGCATAGTGTGATGATTGCCTCCTGCACCTCATCCTTTCAATGGAGCTTGGGGCTTCGTCTCCTGGAAAGGATGGATTCCCTGGATGCTTACGTCGATCACTTCCAGCCGCTTGCAGTAGCAACCACTTCGTCTTTGAAAGGCTGCTTTGGAGCCGCCTCAAAATCCTCAAACGATGCCCATAGCAACGTTGCCGGAAGCGGCACTGGATCCTTGCAGAGGGTGCCTCACTTATTTTCCTACTTGGGGGATTCGGCCACATTGGCCTGTGCAGCCTTAAAAGCATGCAGCGAGTAGTCAAAATTTGAGGGGAGAGTTCTTTGGGTTTATGGTTGCTAGAAATGTAAGAAGCTGGGCCCAGGGCTTCAAATTTCGACCCATGCAATGGAGACCCTGCAGGTTGACGAGAGTTTGCTGTCTTCACATCGCATGAAAAATTGATCCATCACTCAGTGCATTTCCTTCCACTCTCTCAGATTCTTCAACATTGCAGTTCTTCTTGACAGTGCATTGCATGCCGCAAATATTTGTGACCTTCACAAGCGGCTCCAGAGGCTAGAATATTGAGTCACGTATACTTGCAATGAAAAACCTTGCCAATATAGCCATTGATACGATGCCAATGAATGCAAACAAATGTCACCGTATCCAGAACAGACTTTGCTTCAGCTTATTTTTTACTTTCTAAATGGATTGCAGTACATGATTGCGCGGAACTTGCGCGCCATGGAGCGTCAAAAGGATGTTCAGGCAGGACACCCTATCCCAATTGGTTGCGCTTGCCGAGTCTTGTCTTTCCGTTTTGAAGGTGGCGAGTTGGCAAGTGGACTTCCACTTTTGGAGGCCTTCATACATCCTTGCGTTGCAAGTTGTGCATGTTGTGCTGCATCGGCGCGTTCCTGACACGCAAAGGTCATTTCGGTGGTTTCCGGCGGGTCTTCACAGATGTGCGCTTTCAAGATCTTTCTATCGACAAGAGACTCCTCAGAGGCATAGAGGTGGGAGACGAAGCGTTTCTTTATTTTAAATTTCCACCATATACATAGTACATACATAGTACATACATAGTACATATATACATATCGTATCATATCGCTGCCCTTTGCGTGCAGGCAGCTGTTGGTGCTGGTGCCCGTTTGACACCAGTACAACACCAAGCTTTTTCACAGCTCCAGAGAGCTGGAGAGGCCGGTTTGCAGTGAGCTTGGTGTTTCTCGATGTTTTTTGGCGACTTATGATTCGATTTATGATGAATATGATGACTTATGTAAATCTTATGCACTTGGTTGCTTTTTGAACAATTTTGAAAAGGTTTCAAGTTTCAGGACTTTCCAAGGTTTTGCTTGTCTTTCTGTCTCAGAAAAATGGGCATCGCAGAGGAACCGTGCGAAAAGCGTCCTGATTTGCTGCTGCAGGCCCTTCAGTATTTAGATGTATTTAGAATTTGCCTGTTCCAATCTGATTTTCATGTAATTTTGATAGGCTGAGGTTGAGGAACGTTCAGCGCTGTGTTGCACATGTGCTTCTGGAATGTTCTGGATTTCACAGAGAATATGGAATTGCTATGCGTTGCCAAGATGTTGCCTGCGGTTTGCAGGCTCACACTGGCACTGGAAAGACGATCGCATTTTTATTGCCGGCCTTACAGAGGCTGCTCGCAGAGGAGGACTCGCTGAAAGCACACCTGGAATCACTTGGAATCACTTGGATGCATGGAGAAGTTTGTGCACAATCTCCAATGATTCCCTGCGCTTCTCTGGTTACTCTGGTTTGCTGGGTGGAGGCCAGGAAAAAAGGTCTCCGGCGCGCTGAAGCAAGCAGCCCAGGGACGTAAAGGTGAGATTTGATACGCCATTTGTAACATTTTGCAACGTTGCAGTTGTGATGTCGTGCAGATTTGTGCAGATTCGTGCAGATTCGTGCAGTATTAATGTCAACATGCTCTCAGGGTGTATCTGTGCTGGTGCTCGCCCCAACCCGAGAGCTGGTCCTACAACTGGCAGCGACCTCAGTGGAAACTGGGACCACTTTCCGTCGGTCGAGACTGCTGCCGCCAGGCCAAAGTTGCCAGCAGGCTGCTGCAGTACAGTGGAGGATTGGTCCGAAGCTCTTTCGTGGTTGGAGGCTTTTCGGTTCAGGCCGGGCTGAGAATCAAGGTATATCATTGAATCATTGGTATATCAAGGTTCTTCAGCAAGATGAAAATCATTGAGTCGCTGCGTCCAACAGAAGTCCATGCAAGGCATAGAACCATCAGCAGATTCAATGTGATTCAGCAGGGAACCGATGATGCTGTCAATGAAAATAGTGAAATAATGTGAAATATGCAGGCTTATTATATACATCTTATTCCATCTTAATACTTGTTTCTGACTCTGGCAGGAAGACATCGAGCGTCTCAAAGCAGACGCGCCGCATATCCTTTTTGCAACACCTTGGCGCTTGGTTGGGCGCCCAGCCCTACACTATGGTAGCTATCTTTCCTCGTGACACTTTGCAACCTTTCTTCTCATTCATTTCATTCATTTCAATTCCTTTCACATGTCAGTATATCATATTCTATCTTGCAATAGCAATCTGGCAATCTGCCACAGAGTCGAAGACAGTGGCAATACTATTTTGCTCTACAAAACATGTTTTAACATTCCACAGGAAGGGAGACAAAGGGTAATATGAGATCATGCCAAGCGCCGAAGCATTCGTATGAGTTGCGATTGATTGTCGGACAATTGCAATTACGAGGAAATAGGAAAAATTGGGCTAGCATTGATTGGTTGCAAATAACCACGGTGACGTCGGCGACATAATGGGGTAGCAAGTTTCTATTTGCAGCCCAGGTCCATCATCTGCAATCTACGCCCCACTTTGTGTGATCCTCAGAATGCAGGATATCACAGGAGGTTCAGTCCACTCGGTTCGTGAATTGAGGTTCGGGCACTGGGTTCAGTCCAGTCGCTTGTGTTGGATGAAGCAGATCGCCTGCTGAATCCAGTCTTTGTGCACAAGGCATAGTGCAACAGAGCGGAGAGTAGTGCCATGAGTAGCGATTGAGCACTGGAGTTTGGTCTCGATGCCAGCAGGTTGACTACATCTTTCGTCGGTTGCCATGTTCAAGGCTCCTTGCAGTCTTGTTTTTTTTTTGCATGCTTTTGCAAGGTGTAATCAGTGTAATCTTTCTTTGCACTTCTTCACTGGTCTTCAGTGATGCCCATTGTAGACTTGACTTGTCCACTGGGCATGGAGAGCCAAGCCGGCAGGCCACAGATGATTCTGTGCTCTGCCACGTAGAAGGCTCAGCTGCCTCCCCAACTCCGGTTTTTTCCGAGATATTGTCCAGTTTTTCCAAGTGAATGACCTGTGCAAATGAGTTGATGCTGCCCAGCTCGTTGATGACATTTGAAATGCCCAGGTTCAATGAACATATTCAAAAATTTGCAGTTCGATCGCTTCGAGCAAATCTTGAAGTGTCCCTTGCATGCAGAGAGCAATGCTTTCTGATGCCTGATGCCTTTGGTTGAAATTGCAGAAATGTGATATCTCAATAATTCTCAATATATCTCAGTGATGTCCCCATTAGCACTCCAAGGATCAGCACCACTGCAGAGGCAGAGACCCATTCTGTGACACACGGGTGACGGCTGTGCGACGGGTGTGTACGGATAATGCGTTGAGACAAACAGACTGACCTGAGGATGTGCATGCTGAGACGCACCCGGTGCAGACCAAAACGAAGGTTGAGGTCGCAAAACCTGTAGACCAGGTGCCTCCCCGCTACTTCGAACTTTTTGAACCTTCTACTGTAGCTGATCAAAGCTGATCAAAGCTGATCAAAGCTGATCAAAGAATGTCGAGTCATTTGCTTCTCCGAAAGCACAAGACATGACTTGAAAGCTTGAATGGAAGGTACTCATTCGCTACGACCCTCACAAATTTCTACCAGTCTTGCATGCGTTGCTGGTGAAGGAGATGCTAGCAGCAGAAGGCAGATGCTGCCCCACAGCTGCATACTGCACCCTGCAGTTTGGCATGTTTCTCTCGTCTCTTTTACGCGAGTTGTGACAGTTGTGAGTCTGATTCTCCCGCTTTCCGTTTTTTTCAGTTTTTTTCCATCCTTTTGATGAAAGCCATGAGGAAACAATCAAGGCTTCTATCTGCAGGCGAAGCCAAGCGAGTGCTTGTGATCTTCCCAACGGTGCGCTGGCTCCAGCCTGCGGCCCAGGAGCCAATCCCAGCCAATCAGCATGCCTTGCCTCAGCGATGCCTCAGCGATGCCTCAGCGATTTTACGTCCTGATTGGCTCAGGTTCTTTTACGTCCTCTTGAAGCACCGAGCCAACATGCCAGACGCTTCGTTTTCAGGGGCTTAGATAGCCGAGGTGTGAACACTGTTTCTGCCTGTTTCTTTCGTCAAGCGAAACGGTGGACCCTAGTGGGCTACTTGGCAGTGTCAAATATAGATCATATAGCCATATCATATAGCCACTTTGACTTGAGATGAATGTTTCCAAGTCCACATCAGGTGTTGATGTAAAGAGTCCCTTGCAAGGCCTGGCCTTTTGTCATTGCACCGGAGCCTCTCAGCCGACCGGCGCCGCAATCGCGCTGTTCAATTCTCCAAAGGGGTCAATGACTTAGTCCTACAAGTCCTACAAGTCCTACAGTAAGAGTCCTAGGAGTCCTAGGAGTCTTAGGTTTTATAGTTGTTTCATTTTCGCAGATTCTGCTAGACTGGACAGAACGCGACGCAAAGAACAGAGGCTCCTGCCACCTCCGGCGCCCTCTTTGCCACAGATGTGGCTGCACGTGGTATGGACTTCGAGCAAAGCTCGGTTTTGTGAGGTAGTGATGTGCTCGCAACTCTCTTTGTGTTGAAGTCTCTCCCTTCGTTGTGGCTGAGCTGCGCTGAGGACGTCCATTCAGTGATCCAAGTTGGATGCCCGGAAGATCGAGAACAGTACGTTCACCGGGCAGGCCGTACAGGACACGAAAGTGCTTCGGTTTGATTCGGAATGTGCGTTTGTGATTCTTTGTGTTCCATTTAACGCAAACACACACACATAAATAATCATATATATATATACACATGTGGAGTCTAGAGCATCCCAGTCCTGACAGGAAGACTGGAGTCAACTGGTCGCTCCTTCCTTTTGTTAAATCCGCTGGAAGAAATCACGCTGAAGGTGTGGAGGGTGTGCTCGCTTTGCAGGAAAGCTCGGAAAGTTTGTGTCTTGATGTGACTGCCGTATACGGTTGTAATCCATTTTTTTTCATTGCATTTCTATATGCAGAGGAGCTAGATGGTCTTCACTTGCATCGTGAAGAGCACATCGAGGAGAACGCAGAGACGTGCCGGTGCCAGTATGCCATGAATTTAGGATGCATAGACTGAGTGTTAGAGATATGAACCTCTTCGACAGGAGGACACTACCTTTGCGGAGGCTGCCACAAACATTCATGGTTGGTGGGAGGCCAGAAATGACAGATGCTCTGATAACATCTGATAACAATTAGGCAGCCAAGTACCGTGGTGCGCAGGATGCCAGCATCAGTGCCTCTGCGCACCTGTTCTATGCCAGTGCAATCTCCTTCTATTTGCACGACATTGGTCGCCTACGAGCCACCTGGCATCTTTTCACTGTGACTGACAGTTATAACATGTTATAACCGTTATGGATCTAATCTGGTGCCCTTAGCGCTGCTGAAATCACATGCACTGCGTCTATGAGGCGAACGCTGGCGAAATTGTCTGCTCGGCCATGATTAATCACCACGGACACAGCACTCTTCACCATGTTTGATCGGTTCCTGATGTCAAGATGCTTGATCTAAATTCGGCGCAGCAGGTACGAACCGTTTCGGCTTTGATTCAATCCGCTGGCTTGCCAAAGGACCCTATTGCTTTCACCTGTGGCTTAAGTTCTGCGGAAAAGGCCAGTTCGGGTGAAAGTACCGGCTGAAAGTTCTCAGGACTACGGCCTTCCAGCGCTTCCAAAAGGTTTAGCGGCGACTTGGCATCGTCAAGCGTTGCGCTGTGCAGGTTTTAACATGTTTTGACATTTTTTTCAAACCCCTGTTGTTTTCTCCTCGCCATTTTGTATTCGTTTTGGCGTTTGGCTGCCTTGTTTGAGTTGAGGCATGTGGCAGCCACGGTTTAAAGTTCTTTCTGTTGAACCATGTGCTAAGGCCAAGTTGCGACAGAAGGATGAACTTGTGGCGGTGAGAACTGAAACTGTAGGAATCTGAGCTCAAGCTTTGCCGCAGCGGCCATGGCTTTGTTCCTCCATTTTTTACCCCATAGATGGAGATCCATGATGATCCATGTAGCATTTTCTGATCAACAGTAATTGTAAATATTGTAAGTATCAGATAGTATCACCACAGGAGTCTGAATTTGTGACTCGAATTCCAGAAAGACCTGCGGAGAAGTCCTGCAATGCCTTCCTGCAAGGTACGGGAACGCTGGGATGTGCTTGCTGCGCTGAGCCCTCATCCAAAGCCAAGGCCGGGCAAAAACCAGGCTTCTGAATTGGGCTGAAGTGCACTGCTAGGTTTAGTTTCCTCTTGGAAAGGAACAACTGTTGAACAACTTATAACAAACTTCGCTTTTGCTCTTTGCGCCTTTTGAATGCGCGGCTTTCAGGAGGATCTAAAAAGAAGTTGTTTTTGGACAGAACACAAAACGACCACACTGCAGTCCATTCATTATGTCTTTAGATGTCTTTAGTGCATTTTAGTATATTTTAGTACTAGTACTTGATATATCTTGATATTCAGGATGTCTGGAGATGACTCAGATCGAGATGATCGAGAGGCAGGGCTTCATGACAGCGATGATTTGCAGCGACTCAATTGATTCTTGCTGCACATGTCGCGAACAGGACGATGCTGACGACGATTTGGCTGAGGAAAAACATGGAAAAACATAGAACTCTCGTGGTGCGTGTCAGTTCTGCTGATGCAATATTCTTTCTGATTGATTAGATGCGAAGGCCGCCGGAAGGCCAACGGAGACGTCATACGTTCAGCAGCTTGTTGAAATCGTTGTGCTTCGCATTTGTTTGGCTGCAGCCATGAGCTTGTTGCCATAGGTAGCTACACACCGGAAGTGAATTTTGTCATGACATGTTGCAACTCCACCCACTTCTTATTGTGACTGCTATTTCACGCCCCTCGTTTGCAAGGTGTGAAAGTAAAACACGGCTTAAGCCTACGGAAGACTTAACAACTAGTTTGTTTGATTCTTGGTTTTTTGGCCTTCTTTTGAATTGGCACCTTCAATCCACATGCATGCATGGGATTCACGGGTTTCTACACTAGCACACACACACACTCAGACGCACATGCACACATGAATCACATGAACGAGCTGGCAATGTTCTGAATTCCCAACATGGGAGATCAGGCGGTCATTGAGTGTGCTGAATTGTGTGTTGAATCAGTATGAATCAGTATGAATCAGTATGAGAGTATGAGCTTGCCATGCTTGGGATGTGAAGGACAGCTTGGCAGCTATTTGCCGTGCGAGCTTCCCGGAGAGCCGAAGTTGGAGGTGGAAGCTCTGGAGCCCCAACGACAGCGTGTGGTACGAACGCATCCGAGAGCTGTGGGAGGACTGCCGCTTTGGTTACAGTGTCACGGTTACAGCTCAGCTCACAGCTGGGATCTTGTCGGATTTTCGGCTGTTTGCAGCCTGGATTCAAAGTTTTTAGCTTCTGGAAATGACATGCAGTGCATGCAGTCTCAGTTAAGATAGTTAAGATTCGGATTTGTAAATTCAGTGACTTACCATGAAGTGCAGCAGTGGAGGAGCAATCGAAGAAGATAGAGTCGATAGAGAAGGCGGATGGGAATCCAACCATCCCGCTTCTCATTCACCAGTTGGAAGTCCTAGAGAAGTCCCGGACGATTTTACGCAATTTTATGGTAATTTTATGGTAATTTTCACCTTGGACTTCGAGATTACGTCCATGAATCTGAGGATTTGGCTTGGAAGCGCCAAGCGACCAGAGATTTGTGATCAATTCGCAGAAACCTGGCGCACACGTCGTGACCTTGGTAATTTTTATTGTAATTTGACAAAGTGTCGCTGCGTAGCTCCGGAAATTCATCGATATCATTAGACTTCGTTATAGATATCATCTGATATCAAACGGATATCGACTGGATTGACTGGATATGTATATATTATTATACATATATATATATAATATGTATTGATATGATATGTATTGATATGATATGTATGTATGTATGTATATATATATAGTAAGTGAAGTTGCAACCGCAGTCAGGTATCCAAGGTTTGTAGCCTCTGGTCGATAGAACACAGACTCATTTCGCAGGGCCCTTGAGCGGATCAAACGTAAGTTTGGTAGCGGAGCCCTACGGGGCTCGCTGCCGGTCCGCCATACGGACCTCGCTTACGTGGCTGCCAGCCGTTGACGCGGCTTGCCTCGTAAGCGGGGCTGGACTGGGGCGACTTCGATCGGGACTTTGGCATCGACAACTTCCTGGTGCTGCGCTGCTTTTGGGCCGTGCTACATCAGTGACTTTGTCTTGGTTCTCGGGCCTGGTGCGCTTCATCCTTGCCTTTGACTTGACCCTCGGGCTCGCTGCTGCGCTTTGCTCCTGCCCTTTGTCCTGGTGCCTGAATCCATTGCGGTGGCACTACACCCTTGCCGGCGACTTGGTTGTCGGGCACTGCTGAGCGCTTCAACCCTGCCTTTGACCTCACAGTCGGGCTTGTGGCTGCACTTCACCACGGCGGTGCTCTACATCTTCGGGTTGGCCTTGGCCTGGCACTACATCCTTGACTTTGCCTCGATTGTCGGGCTCTTGCATTGGGGACCTCACACTACATCACCGGCTTTGTGGCGACCATCCTCTTGCTGGTGGACTTCGGAGATGACGGAACCGCCAACAGGTTCCGGGGCACTCCCATTGCAGGAGTACAGACGGGAGATCCCGCCTGGATGGGTGCCTGGTGATGCCAGTTATCCACTTCGGCTTTACTTCGACCGTCTTCGCCTCTGGTACCGAGTGACCAACCTGGATGATGAGATCATTGGACCTCTGCTGGCTGGACGGCTCTACGGCAAAGCTGGAAAGATCGCCTTGGCTCTGAAGGTACCCCGTCCTGATGGGACGTTTGACACGGGGGACGCGGCATTGAGCCGACTTGCAGTTGATGAAGTTCGTGATCCAACTACTGGGGCATTGCTGCAGGAACACATCCCTTCAGGTGTTCAGTACCTCACGGACGCTCTGAAGAATGCCTTCGGCCAGATGGATCAGGACCTGGCCACACAGGCCTTGGAGCGTTTCTTCAACTGCAACCGTGGCAAGATGAGCTTGGCCGAGTACTCCGTGGAGTTTGAGACTCGGCTGGACGAGGCAAGTGACCGTGCTGGGTTGTCCCTCAACAATGTTGGCCGCTTCTACCTCTTCTTCCGTGGATCAGGTCTGGGAACGAAAACCATCGATGACATAAAGCTCCAAGTTGGTGGCGACTACAACCGCTTCCAAGATGCAAGGCAGTTGGCATTGCGTCTGAGTCCGAACCGCCACAACGATGGAGCTGAGATCTTCTATGAGGACTCTTGGGACTATGACAACGAGATCTACTATGACCAGGACGACTGGTACGACTTCCCGGAAGATGAATGGTGGTCATACTATGAGGATGGCACCTGGTACGGCGATGACTACGATGACCCATGGTACGAGTGCTACGAGGAGGATGAGTCTTGGAACTATGAGCCACCTGGAGAACAAGGTGGACAAGAAGCACAAGCCTCAGAAGAACCTGTGAAGGATGATGCAAGTGGCACTGGAGAGTACTATGGTAAGGGCGGCAAACATGGAAGTCAAGAAGGATGCTTCAACTGTGGCTCCAAGTGGCACATGGTGAAAGATTGCCCACTGGCGAGGAAACCGACTTCTCACAAGGGCAAGGGAGCATCCTATTGGAAAGGCAAAGGCTATGGCGGCAAGAACCATGCGAAGGGCTGGAATCGGCGACCCTACTTCAAGGGCAACTTCAAGGGCAAGAAAGGCTATGGGAAGAGCAAGAACGGCAAGAAAGGATTCAGTCGTTTTGGCAAGGGCTCATGGTTCACCTCTTCGACATCAAGTGAAACCCCACTGGCTGCTCCTGTGCTGATGGCATCAAGAGGCCTGAACATCACGGATGGTATCCCTGATGAGTCAACGAAGATGAGAAGACAAGCCTCACACAACGCCAAGGAGTATGTCATCCACACGTCTTCCGAGGAGCAGGAGGAGGTTTTGAAGCTGAGCAGATCTTCCAATCAGGAGAAAACCCATGAGGCTGCCAACACCGACAAGACCACGGAGAAAGCTGATGATGAAGGTTCCAACAGTGGTCGTGCCAAGAAGAACCACTCCGTTGCCTTCAGCTTTGCATCCAGCTTCTGCGACAACAACGAGTACTTCGTGGTCAGAGGGCAGAAACGCAGAGGACTTTTGATAGATCCTGGCGCAGCTTCTGGGCTGATTGGAAGTGAAACCTTGCGTGACTTGCTGGAGACCTGCGTGTATCCTTTTGGCACCCAGGACAACTATGAGATCAGGTATGATCGCACATCTCCAGTGAGCGGCATCAACGGAGCTTCAGACAGAACGCTTGGACAAGTGACTGTGCCATTGCAAACAAACGGACAGTCAATATCCTACACCGGTGAGATTCTTGGAGGACAAGGCAGTCTGTGTCCGGCACTTGTCGGCAACCCTGCACTTCGCAGCATGAACAGCGTCCTGTTCACCAACTACTTTGAGAATGGCGATGGACTGCTCTCCACTGACTATGTCACTGAGAAGGACGGTGAGGAGATCAAGCGCTTCAAGCTCTTCAGACTGCTGCTGACTGAATCAGGGCACTATCTACTTCCCACAGATGAGCCTGGAACGAAGAACAAGCTCCCTGATGGAACGCGTCAAGAAGTTGTGGCGTTCTACACCAAGGTGGTCAAGGAGTCAATGCGGCTCTGGAATGATGTGAGCGAAAAGATGAGACACTGCTTCTTCAGTGATGCGACCCTGGCGACACAGACAGAAGGCGACCGGGGTGATCTACTACAACCTTGTGAAGATCCTGAAGAATGTGGAAAACAGGAGACTGCCGAGATGCTTCCAGCTCCTGACAGTTTGGACAAGATCGGCAACAAAGAGGCCCAAGATGTTTCACTCAACGGCATTTTGCCGGAATCACAATTTTCCCACGACACGCACAACGAGGAAAAGCCCTGCGATTTGTTTCACAACCAAGAGGCACAACTTTTGCACTCCGATGAGATTTTCCCGCGCTACAAGGAGGACCAGATCCCCGAGAACATGGACCACAACAAGATGGTGAAGAGGTACCGAGCTATCCCTGAGGAGTTCTACAGCAAGTCTGGCTTTAGACCCATCACACCATCGAACTTTCCAAAGTGGTTCCAACGTGCTCGCAACAAGGGACTCAAATGGCACTTTTGGGAGATTTGCAGTGGATCAGGCAGATTGTCTTTGACCCTGCTTCTTGCTGGACTGGTGATTGGGCCACCCATCGATGCACGATATGGCTGGGACCTCAATGACCTTGGACACCAACGCTACCTCAACATGGCCAGGAACGAGTTTGCACCTGGTGTCATTCACTGCTCTCCAGACTGTGCTCCCTGGTCAGTGTCATCAAACTTGAAGGACCCAGAACTACGTCATCTAGAACGACTTCGTGATCAACCTGGATTGGCATGGATCCAAGAAACTTGTGAGTATCAAGATGCACATGATCGAGGCTATGTCATCGAACAACCCCTTGGCAGTGCGATGATGAAAGATGGACCTGAGACTCCCATTCACCTGGAGAGGATCCAAGGCAATCGTTCCAAACAACGAGTTGATCAGTGCATGCATGAAGCTCGAGATGAACGTGGCTGGCTGATACAAAAGGCAACTGGACTTTCTGCCAACTTCAAGTTTGTTAAGACAGCATTGCGATGCTCTGGACACAACGGCCAGCAACATTCCCATCTCCAAGGCCAAGCACCAAATGGACTTTCAAGGACTTCTATGGCTGCAGTGTACCCCAAGACGATGTGTCAACGCATGAGGCTAGACATCATCCGGTACCTGGACCAGAAGAAGCTCCTCAACATCAAGGCTTGGCCCAAAGAATTGTCTTGGTTCTCAGCCCAACACTTCTATGAGTGCGTCAGATGCACCCTAGGACGATCATGTCCGAAAGGCATTGAACACACCATGATTCCTGGACAATGTCGACATGGCAAGCGGGCTACAGGCACTGAACCTGAGACCAAGAGTGACCCTGTCAAGCGATGGAAAACAACCACCAACAAAGAGACCATGGAACAAGTCATTCTCAACAACAACAGCAACATCGAGATGACGGTGGAGTGCTCTCACTGGCTCAAGAAGATGCTCATGGAGACTGTCCACAATGCACTTGGACTTTTCAGCGAAGCCTCCAACAGGAAGGTGGAGTACGAACACTGGATTGACAATGCCCTGATGCTCTCACTCTTCAAGGAGGTCTTCAACCAGCACATGGAGGTCAAGGCTGTGAAGGTCAGTTTGCGACCCTTCAAGAAGTCTCCACCAAATCCACAGGTGGTGTCATCAACAGCCTACCTACGACTTCACATTGTGGGCAATGTCAAGGAGTGGCAACTTCATCCAATAGAAGATTTGCGTGAGATGAGCCACAACCAAATCCATGCGGACATCGACGTGGAAGATTGGCTGGTGACTGTTTATGGTCAAGAACTAGGAACAGTTCCAGCTCCATCTACACCAACATCAAGGCCAAGAAGCATTCCACCACAGCCTGAACTACCACCACGACAAGACGATGCTGCACTAATTCCTCAAGTACGAGAACGACCTGCAGATCCTGGAGAACAAGTCGCGATCCAAGAAGCACCATACGAAGAGTTTGATGCGCACGATCGCAAGGACTTGGACAACATCAGACCTATCAAGCCCAACTACAACATCAGAAGAGTGCTGCACAAGTTGCCCAGCTTGGTCACCAACGGCGACATCACACGAGCGCGACAATTGCTGCTCGGACTACATGAACGACTATGGCACACACCTGTCTCAGACTTTGTCAGTCTTCTTCGACGTGCTGGAATGCCAACAGAAGTTCTTGAACAAGCACGAGAAGCTGTGGCAGGATGTGCAGTGTGTCGCAAATACATCAGGTTGCCAAATCGACCACAAACCAGAACCGGAGGAGCTCATGTCTTCAATGAAGCAATCCAGATCGACCTCTTCAACATGGATGGCTCCTGGTTCCTGATCATGCTGGATGAGGCAACCCGCTTCAAGATGTGCAGTGTGGTGGAAGGACAAGAAAGTGATCAGCTGTTGTCCTGCATCCTCAAGTCCTGGATCTACATGTTTGGCCCACCGTTCAAGATCATCATGGATCAACAATGCAGCTTGATGGGACATGAGACAGCTACAGAGTTTGAACGTTTGGGCATGACAAGAGTTCCCAAGGGCACCACAGCAGGACAAGGAGCAGAACAACATACTGGCACTGGACTTGTCGAACGACATGTACAACTGCTGAAGCTAACCATGCTCAAACTACGTGCTGAACTTGCCCGACAAGGACTGCCTCATGATCCACAAGATCTATGCCAAGAAGGAGCTATGGCTCACAACATCACCTTGAACTATGGTGGAGCAACTCCATCGATGGCAGTCTTCGGCATGCTCCCACGTGGCTTTTATGAGCTGGACAGCGACGGCATCATGACCACCACTGGGGCACTCCAGACTGATGTCACACCCTTTGAACGTGCCATCAGAATCCGACAGACAGCTCTTGCTCAGACACAGCAGGCAATTGCAGAAGATCGAGTAGCTCGAGCAAGCAGAACCAAGCCACACCAACTCAAGCTTGGCGAGATGACTGCTGGAACGTCGGAGGTGGAGTTTTGTCGGGAGGTCAAAGGAGACCCAGGCTGGCGTGGACCTGCACTACTTCTACGACTTGACGAACAAGAAGGCACTGCAGTGATCCAATACCAGGGGAAACCATACCTGGTAGCCTTGAGACACATCAGGCCTTATCAAGGCATTTTCATGGTGGAGGTGCAGAACGAGACGGTTGAGACAGCGCTACATCATTTGATGCGCTATGTGGAAAGCCTCACCGACTACAAGATCTACACGTGCGGATGGCTTCAGAAGAAGAATGGCTCTTGGTACAAAGTGCCCAAGGATGAATATCCTGTCACGGCATCATGATGGGCAAGAGCCTTCGCACTTTCAAGCCTCCATCCAACACCACTGGAACACTTCTTTCTTGGCTTCGTGGAGGTAGAGCGTACTCCATCATGGAATGCAAGAATGCAAACCACCTACAAGTCAAGAAGTTCAGTGGGTTAGCACGAGAAGATCTTTGTGTCCTGTACTTTTACTACTACCAGTTTCCTTCTGCAGAGATGGAATCAGTGGAACAACCTGCAAAGTCTGTGGCCATCAATCCTTCTCCACCTCAACAACCTGAAGATGGTGCACAAGACATGCAGATTGATCCAGTGAACAGAAAACGTGATGGGCCAGAAACTCGAACAGTTGTTCTTGCCCCTGAACGCAAGAAGCAAAAGATGATGATGGTTCGTCGAGACCTGGAGTTCCTGAGGATGTTCTACATCGAGGACTCCCGCAACAAGCAGATCTTGGTGGACTTCCCAGAGGACTGGCGGATTGGCTATGACCTCATGACCATTGCCACCAGGAACTTTCTACTTCAACGACGAGAACAAGAACGTGCTGCTCTACCTGTGCTCTTCAACATCGAGTACAAGCAGGACTCAGCAGCCATTGCGTGCTTGCGCACCGCCAAGATCTACAAGGTTGATGACGAGACCAAGAACATCGAGGATGAGGCTATCACACCAGAACTATGGGATCAAGTGGATGCTGCAGACAAGGCTGAGATCGCCCAGTTTGTCAATGAAGGAGCCTTCAAGAAGATCCACAAGGACCAGATCACGGCAGAGATGACTGTTGTGGATGCAAGATGGATCAGGAAGTGGAAAAGACATCCAGACCGCAGCTTGCGGGTGAAGTCACGCTTGTGCGCGAGAGGTTTCTTGGACAAGCAGAAGGGCGAGCTCACAACACGTTCAACTACGGCAACCAGATTGAGCCAGAGAATCTTGGTGAGTCATGCGGCCAGTGATGCATCCAGAACATTGGAAAGCATCGACATATCTGGTGCATTCCTGAAGGGCTTCAACTTTGAACAGATCAGAGAAGCATTACGTCAGATGGGCATTGATTCACCTCACAGGACGGTGATCATCATACCGCCACTGAACGTCTTCAGGCATCTGGCTGAGCTTTCAGACAAGTTCCACATACCAGAGCACCAGATCCATGACTATGCCCTCCTGGCCATCAAGCCGATTTATGGGTTGAACGATGCACCTTTGGCATGGCAACTTTGTCTCCACAACCACATCAAGGACAGCGGTGGACAAAAGTCACATCTGGATGAAAACACCTTCAGTTGGAAGGAGAATGGTGACTGCATTGCCATGGCGACCACACATGTGGATGACATTGCCATCTCAGCACCCATCAAATGGATCAACAACACCAACGAGTCCTTCACCAAGCGATTTGGCAAGGTGACCAGACAGCAACTACCATTTTCACATTGCGGCTGTGAATATACAATGGTCTCTGATGGCTACAAGATCTGCCAGAAGGAGTTTGCCGAGAAGGTCAAACCAGCACCAGTGCCCAATCGTCCAGACTCCTCGCGTTTGACCAAGGAGGAGCTCTCCAACTACAGATCAATACTGGGCGCACTGTTGTGGCTGACAGCTACCAGACTTGACCTGATTGCTGACATCTCCCTGCTGCAGAGTCGTGTCACGATCGCAGAAGTCAAGGACTTGAAGCAGGCAAATCAGGTGCTTGAGAAAGTGCTGGAGTTCAAGGATGTTGGCCTTTACTACCGCCACTTCAAGACCAAACATCGACGGCTGGTATGCATACATGATGCGTCTTCAGCCTCAAAAGGAAGGAACTATGCCCAAGAAGGCATTCTTGTTGGACTGGCAGATGACCTCTTCTACAACAAGACGCTGGACACCGAGATGGTCTTTGATGATGCCGGCCCCTTTGGAGTTCAACTTCATGGAGGAGTGTTTCACATTTTGCACTCCAGCGGTGGAAAGGCAAAGAGAGTGAGCTACTCAACATCGCATGCAGAAACACTTTCAATGGTTGGCGGCATGGAGACCACTACACTCATCATGGTGAGGATGGCCGAGATCATGCACAAGGAGAAAGCTCCCAGCATCCAACAGCTCATTGGAATTCAAGAAGGCGGCTTTCCTGAACTTCCCATGGACTTTTACGGGGACTGTAAGGACGTCTTCGAGCTGGTGACTGGTGTGCGGACTCTCCCACAAGACAAAGGTCAACGCCTCTACATCCTGAGCATCAAGGAGAGCCGAATCTCTGGAAGAATGCGCATGATGGTGCTGGTGCCTACAGATTGCATGACATCGGACTCACTGACGAAACCGATGATACACCACAGCATGCTCTACCTGCTGACAACTGGAATGGTGCAATTTGCAAATCAAGAAGATCATCCAGTAACTGCCAGAATTCTTCCCGCACTGGAAAACTATGATGAGCACGACATCGTGAAGACGGATGAAGAGATCATTGAGCTGACCAAAGGAAAAGACTGCAAGGTCTGTCATTCGACTATGTTGCTTGGAATGCTGGCATCAAAGAAGGTGCTCACGCAGACAGTTTTGGCTGCGACAATGCTGCAGGTGACTTCGGCGGCTGCCATGGAGAATGACGCCGAGTCGAACGAGAACAAGACCTATGCTGGTGTCTACGTGATGATTTTCTTCACAGTCATCATTGCAATCAACCTGGAAAAGATGATGTCCTACATCGGAAGAAAGATCTCTCCGCCTCAAGTTCGACGGAGAACACGGCGACCTCTGGTAAAAGAAGAACAAGCAGCTTCACCTATGGATGTGGATCAATCCAACTTGGGCATGATGGATGAGTCCACAGATGATGAGATTCGACAGCTGCGGAAAAGACTGCGCATCGAGAAAGAAGAGCAGGACGACCTCAAAGTCGTGATCCAGGTGCGCAACCAGGCACTTGAAAACTTGCAGGAAGTTGTGGATGAGAAAACACGAGAAGCAGTCAGCTGGAAAGATTTTGCAGAAAGAATTTCAACGAGTTTGGAAAACCACAAGACCATCAAGGAGGAGAACGAAGAGAAGATTGCAACAATGGAAAGTCAGATGAACCTCCTGGAGGAGAACATTGAAAAGCTTGCAAATGACAATACCGATCTGCAGAAGAAGATCAAATTTGTGACTGGCGAGAACAAGATGAAAGAAGGAGTCATCGCTTCTGCACAACGGAAGATGGCACAGTTGCAAGAACAGCAGAAGGAGGAAAAGAAGAAGCACCGAGATGGACAAGAACTGTTTGGAATGCATCCTGCGCCTGCGCCTGCGCCTTCTACTGCTGCTGCTGCGCCGATGGCGGATGTGGAGAAGGAAGAGTTCAAGAAGCGCATTGAGCAGCTTGAGGCCGATTGTAGGAGGTTTAGGGAATTGAATGGCCAATACGGCCGAGAGATACAAGATCTCCGCGGGAAATTGGTGGACGCAAAGGCACCACCGAAGATTTTCGTGACCAAGTCAGGCACATGCTACCATGAGGCCAGCTGCAATCACCTCAAGCATGGTGCCCAGGACAGGCCACGTGCAGAGTACAGCCGATGCCGAGACTGCTTGTAAAGGCGTTGACACACTCCCAGAAGAGCGACCGGAGTGAAGTTGCAACCGCAGTCAGGTATCCAAGGTTTGTAGCCTCTGGTCGATAGAACACAAACTCACTTCGCAGGGCCCTTGAGCGGATCAAACGTAAGTTAGTATATGTAATATATTATACATGGATATCATGATTCCCTGGTCTCCGATGATCTCCGGTCCAAGGCCATCCCCAATGGGAGTATCGCTTGTGGACGGATAAAGACGCGGCGGTGATCTTGCAGCACCATCCTGGACTCTTGCAGGCTCTGCCAATCTCTTTGTAGCTTCTAGCTGCTTCTAGCTGCTTCTAGCTAGAACTTCTAGCACATTGTAATACAGTGTAACATTGTGAAGCTTCAATTCAGAAAACAGCCAGGCATTTGAAGCTGCAAGCAACCCTGCGGAGAAGAGTGACATACTTCGTAATTTCCCGAGCGGATTGGAAGCCAAACTTTTGAGTCGCGCAGTACAGTCTGAAAACAAATGGTTAAACCAACTTAAACCATTTCACTTCCAAGCTTCCGACATGTTTGGCTTTCGGATCTTACTCACGTATCACACCGCCTTCTGAGGTCTGGTGATTGTTTTGGAGCAGGGAGGCTTGTACGTCGATATGGACTGCATGAGAATTTTCTTGACATGTTTGTTTAATGATATAGCCATCTTGAAAAGGCTTGAACGCATGACACTCTGAGTACACATTGGCAGGACTTTGAGTGCTTACGACCTCTTGATGAATTGCATCATGCGACATCCTTCTACACTGGAGTGTCAAATGCTCCTTGAAAAGACAAAGTGAAAACATGCTGTCCTTTGGATTCATGATGGATTCATTGTGATTTCTTCCATCTTTCCTTAAAGATGGAGAGCACGAACTTTCAAACTGGGCTCCATGGCGAGCAGAGATCTGCCGCCTTGGACGTGCCAAGGTTGGTGCCTTTGAGTTGAACAACGGCCTCTTTGCGGCAGCGCCAAGGCTTCGCAAAGGTGAAACCGCCGTTGAAACGGCCATTGAAACGGCCATTGAAACCATGGATCAGTGCAGGCACCCACTCGTGGCTTTTTATTGCGAGCATGTTGGCAAACCGTGGCCAGAGTGGGGGCAGGCGGGTCCAACTCGGGTCTAAGCCAGTTCGGCTCTGTTTCAGTGCTCTTCAGCCTCAGCGCTTCTCCGCGCTGTATTTAACGCTGATCTTTCCAACTGCTTCTGTTCGGTCGCTGCGTTGCTCCAGTGCTTGACATTCAGGATGATGTTGAACCTGGCGAAGCAGTAGCACACCAACTGCAGAGGCACAGCATGGCACAGCTTTGCATCTTTAGTTTACTCAGCAATGTGACACAAAAAAAGGTGTGCCAGTCAGCTCAGTTAGGCTTGCTGCTTTTGGTTCACACCGCACCAGGTCGGGGATGCTGGGCGTCGAGCTTGCAAAGGGAAAGGCACATTCATGACATTTCATGACATTCTAAAGATTCTAAAGTATGGTTTGGTGTGTCACGAATTCAGCAGTTGAGCAGTTGGACATTATGTCAAGATTCAAGATTGCGTGACTACATAGCACTTGTGCTCTTGCCCGCAGAACACACAAGGCTTCCTTCATTGCAGACACTGGGCCGGGCTTCTTCACACGTGCCACCATGAGGGCTTTGCCTTTGGTTGCAGGCCAGGACCGGCCAGGAAGGAATTTGACATAAATGGCTTGAGCGGCTTGATGCCAAGAACAACAGAGGCGTCTCATCTCAGAACATCTCAGAAGACATTCTTATCATTCTTGCCCGAAGGCATGCATAGGCACCCGAAGTGCTCAGACTCTCAGACTCTTGACCCCCGGACCGGATTTCTGAATCTCCAGGTTCTGCTGACCTTGCAGCTCCAGCAGCTCCAGCAGCTCCAATCTTGATTTGCCCTCCAGAGGCAGATTGAGTCTTTGAAGCCGCCTCCAGACATATTCAGACGTTTTCAGTCTCCAGAGACACTGATAAGATCTGACAAGGCAAAGCATATGACCTTTGGCTTTTGATGCCCTTGGCTTGTTAGCCTGAATGATCTGGCTGAATCCGATGCAGGTCTTCTATCCCTTGCCAAACAGCGACAGAACTTCACCCTTAGAGGAGATCATCAAATACAGGAGCGGTCCATAGCGGTCCACACTATGTCCCCGTACATTTCGTGGTGTTCACTGTGCTCAGTCGCAGGACGGAGTCTTCTGTAGCGATTCACCACTGGTTGAGGACGTGGGCTGAAAGTGAAGGATTTGAGAAAAGAGCACGCATGATGTTGCCGAGGGCTTGCCGATACTATCCGATACTGTACATAGTCCCTCAATATCCCTCAATTCGATAGGTCGATGATTCGGTGGATGAGTTTGGATGTTGTCTTGGAACATATTATGTGGTGCATTTGTGCGACCGTAGACATTTGGGTCCAGCTCGGGCAAACTGCACAAGACACAGCCCTCGAAGAAGTGTATTGTTCTTCCTCTCAGCCATGCCTGACATCGCGAAGTCCGACATCTCCCCCAACTTGGACCGCGACAAGATGTTCAACGAACTTTGGTGGTTGAACTATTGCTTCTGTGAGGGTGTTGGCATTGGTGCTGTTGGTAATCCATTCTGTGGAGGAGAAGCTGTGAACATTTGTCTCCACAGCAGGTGCGAGATGACTGATGTGGGCGATCCTTTCTGCTCCAACATCCGTGTTTGCCTGTGCATTACGGACCAGTGCGCTTTGCCCCCATCCGAAGGATCTCCAATTTGCGTTTGCTTCAACAAAAAGCTTGCAGGTGGTGATGGATGGAGTGGCAAGCAGCTCTTTGACTGGTCTACCAATTTTGGCGACACGTTCTGGCTGTACTACATCTTCTGCATGGGTTTGGGCTTTTCTGCTCCTCAAGCCAATGGTCGTCCTTTATTCGCTGTGGAGACAAAGGAGCTGTGCATCAAGGGTGGTACAAAATTGACCATGCCTATGGAGGGCGGCAAGCTGTGCTCCATGGTGAGCACTCGCCTTTGCTTCTGGGAGCAGTGTGCTTTGCCACCGGCTGAGGGAGCTCCGATGTTCGTTTGTTTCAACCTTTTGAACCCGAAAGGATCATCCGCAAAGCCTTTGGCATATGGTTCCTAGAACATCATGGCATCAATTGCATCCTGCAACCAATTGGACCCACGCTCCTCTACTGGCTGCGCCTTTGCTCAACCCGAGCGCAGAAGACATCCCTCAGTGACACAAATGTCAAGTTTCAAGATTTGCAAGGGCCTGTGAACAAATATCAGCAGTGCCTTTTTGAACTAATTATATACTGCAGGTTACATATGGCACAACGCCTTCCGGTGATGTTCCGATGTTCCGGAGGAGAATACGACACTTGCTTTGAGCGGAAAAAACACATCCAGTGACACAGCGTTATTCCCGCCCCAAGAAATGATTCGAGCTCTTCTTCAGTTCTCTAGAAGAGATTGCACACATGCTTATCGTGATCATTGTGACCGCACCACATTGTTCTGTTTTGGTTTTGTGGCTGCAGCATTTTTGTGTGATGATTTCATCTGCTTTGCTTATCTGAGTAGCAAAGTAGAAAAGGCAAATCATGAAAGTCATACTGGACCAAATGAATCCAAATGAGATCAAGTATTGACCAACCTGTGACATCATACTGCGAATATAGCAGCAACTAAATGGAAGTCTGAACTGCATTTGTACCCTGCTTGGCAAGACGTTCAAGTTGCAAGAGCTCGCACCACAGTGTCCAGTTGGTGCAGCCACCGCAAAGGCCAAGAAATCAATAGTGCTTCAGTCACTTCTCAGCTTGATTTTTGCTGAACATGGATCCCCTTTTTTTTGTCTCGTGGGACCCTTGTTATTTTGCAAAGTGCTTTTGGGTAACATCATTGGCTTGTTCCAGGGATGACTGTTCATCGAGGCGCGATGCTGTGGACTGCTATGGACTCCTACGGACTGCTTGTGCTCAGCCGAATTCCAACCCTCCGCGCGCTGCGCGTTGAGGACTTCTCTCCTGCCTCGCCAGCTCCAGAAAAAAGTTCGAAGAGGCCACGGCATCCACGGGCTAGGGATCCCCGAGATGAATGCTCGCACTGCGATTCTACAACATGGAGAAGATAACGAAGCAACTAAGCCTAACTAAGCTAAAGCTAACTAAGGAAGATAACATAAGATAACTATGAGAATCTCAAGTTGAAACATGGGAGCTGTCATGATGTTTAGGACCTCGCTGCACTCCTTCCCAGCCGAGATGCCGATGGACAGGAGGAGATCCTAAACATATTAAACATGTTCATGCGCTTGTAAGTTGTGAGCCAGATCTACTGAATCTACATGAATCTACATGAATTTACATGAATTTACTGTAAAGATGAGACATCCTGATCGTCCCATGCTGCTGCATTCTCTTCATTTTCTTGTTGCCATTGGCTTGGACGGCAAACAAAACAGCTGGAGCAGATGCCGTGTGGAGAAAGGCTCTAAGGATCTCTAAAGTATGGTCTTAACATGTTTTAACTAGGGCAAGGATATCTTGGACATTCTTGGACGCTGTTCTCTATATCGCAGGTCTCGGTTTTCTTTTCTATTTAATCTGAAACATGTTCAAAACGTGTCACTACATGGAACTACCATTAAATTTGAGGTTCAATATCAGCACACAGTATAATTTACATTGGTTGTGTATACCTTTTTAAACACATGTTTTTGTCTCATGTTTTCATTTTCATTGACCTTGAGAGCAAAATTGATCACGGCCAGAAACACTGTAAAACACAGTGTTTTCTTCTTCAAACCATTGAACAAGTAGAAAAAACATTAAACATGTTTTTTTTTTCAGCTGCCCCGAAACCATCACACTGGACATGAATTTATGCGCAGGAAATTGACCAGATGGAACCCCTGCAAAACAAGGATGATGTCCAAGAAGAGGACGAAGCTGAACACCTTCCATGTTGCTATTTTTGACAATGTTTCTGGAACCCTTATAACTTGTGTCGGTTTCAATTGATTTTCTTGTTCATTTTCCAATGTTTGAAGATTGCCCTCCTTGACACAAAGAGCAGTCAGCCGCTGGCTTGTTCATCCTGTTTTCTGTGTTGCAGCGAGAATTTGACGCGGATTTTGCACCTACCACTCAATTCTAACAGGTTTTGCCGGCTAAGCACTGAACAATTATCTTGACCGATGCTCTTTCAACAATTGGAGCGTTGGAGGATGAACAAACGCATTTACCAGAATACGAAGAGATACTTCATCAACCAATTGATGAGGCTGGAAAATTTAGTGATTTTGACTTCATGGCAGCACGTAACAAGACCATCATGTCGTACTAACTCTGCAGACAGGAGGCGGAAATGCCACAAGCGGAGGAATTGGAAGAAGCAGAAATTGGAGAAGTGGCGCAAGCAGAAGTTGAGGCAGGCCGCTTTGAATTCCCAAAGCGCGGAATTGATCGTGAAAGTGGAAGCCATTTTGCTCGGCCAGCGACACAGTCAGCTGCATGTTTGGCACTGTCTGTTAATCAATCTGATGTCATTTGTTCAACAATTACAACAGTCTTGTTGGAAGGATGAGCAAGAACGACTGCCGGAAGATGAAAGTGGTGATGAGCAGATAGTTGACGCACAAAGTGATAAGGCTGGAGAATCCAGTGGTTATGAATTCATGGCAGCACGTAACAAGACCATCATGTAGTACTAACTCTGCAGACAGGCGGAAATGCCACAAGCGGAGGAATTGGAAGCAGAAATTGGAGAAGCGGCACAGATGACAGACGACAAGTCTGGAGACAAAGCAGAAGCTCAGGCAGGCCGCTTTGAATTCACCGGGGAGTTCAGCGTGCATGATAATGGATGATTGGTTTGTTGGAATAAACCCAGCGATCCCAGTGAACGCTGCTCGAACTTCGCTTGAACTTAACTGCTACATTCCGTTTTTTTTCCCTTTGAACCAAACTCAAAGCAGAATCGAACCGGACAAACATGTTAAAAACCCGCTTGAAGTGAAGTTGCCCCGAATCTGAACAAGACTTGATCTGGAACTCGAGCCTCCCTTTCCCTGAGTTGGGGACTGCCTGCAACAGTCTGACTTCAACAGCAGGTGATCCACACATTTGCCCTTGTGGAAACAAGAGGTTCCACAATGAAGGTGATCGTTGTGGTGATGATGATGGTAGTGGTGATGGTGATGGTGATGGTCATGATGGTGATGATGATGATGATGATGATGGACAACATGATGAATACGATCCTGCCACCCAGAGCCCTTGCGAGCCTTTTTGAGCCCTGTATACAGTGTTGCGTAGGATGTGGATCCTGACAATATGTCCCCAACGATCCAGCAGCAATTTGGTGCACCATTGAAGGCGTGGCTGCGACGTTAAATGTCGAAAACTTGCTTCAAAAAATGGTAAGTCTATGTACTGTAAGTCCAATGAATTCAATGGAAGGTTTGCGATGGTTGAAATGCGCTGAACCATATGCAGACATGTGCCATTTTGAGGCAGTTCGGCCTTTGGAAGCTCCATGTTCTGTGGCTGAGCTCAGCCCCCTTGCTGAGCCTTTGGAAGAGCCTTTGGAGGAAGAGGCATGGCTCTGGAGTGCGGTATGCAGGTGCTGCAGAATTGAATGGAGGCCTTCTTAAATGAACATTTCAGATATTTCAGGACAGCGAATTAGAGGCTGAGGAAGTCGGTGATGTGAAGATGCACTTGGCCAGGCGCAGTCTGATGTGTTCAATTCTTTGATTTCACATGATTCTAAGATCTTTCCAGATTTGCAGCGCCCCTCGCACCCTTTGTGTTTGCCAACTTTCTCTTTTTCATAGCGGAAGCAAACATTTAACACAATTCCTGAGAGAAACTCGGATTGTGTTGGAATACAAAGGCGAAGAAAACGCCTGGAAGCCCAACTTTTCGCAACTGGGCGACGTCGCAGCAAAGCGGATGGGTGGCCAAAGCAGGAGATGAAGGCTCCAAAACAGCAGGATGCAAATGGTGTCAATGATTGTCAGTGTATGTCAATGTGTATCATTGTCGTTTTATTACGAAAGCCAGCTAGCTGGCTAGTTGCTGTTTGCGAACGAAGTGAGAATAGGGGGTGTGGGGGGGGGTGGTTGCCGAAAGGGAATGAAATCTCGCCGTGCCCCTGTGTTGAGCGCCAGAAAACGGAACATTTTGCTGGATTATGTACCACTAGGTAATTTGCTGACGGTGGGGTATCGATTCCCCCTAGGTCCGCCTTTTTGGTGGCCGGAGAGACCATGAGGATGTATTGGAAAATACAATGAAACTGCAGGAAAACATGATAACGATCAGAGGAAATCGTACAAACCCCCCTGGAAAACGGACGAAAACGGAGCGAATGCTAGGAACAAACCATGCAAAATCTGTTGGAACATGGAGGAAACCGGAGTGACTGCTAGGAACAAACTATGACGATGCAGTAAACATGTTGGAAAAAGACAGTGAAAGTGCAGGAAAATGCGATAACAACCACAGGAAATGGTGCAAAAACGATCGGAAAATGAAGGAGACGGGTAAAACTCTTGGAAAAATACATTAAAAATGCAGCAAACCAGAGGAAATGGTGCAAAAAGGAGACGGGTAAAAATCTTGGAAAAATAGATTAAAAATGCATGAATAGACTGAAAACCCACGAAGAGGATATAGAAACTGCAGGAAAACATGATAACAATCAGAGGAAATCGTGCAAAATCCACTGGAAAATGCTGGAAAGATACAGTGAAGGAAAATGTGATAACAACTTGGCAGGAAATTGTGATAACAACCAAAATAAAGGGTGCAAAATCTGTTGGAACATGGAGGAAACCGGAGCGACTGCTAGGAACAAACTATGACGATGCAGTAAACATGCTGGAAAAATACAGTGAAAGTGCAGGAAAATGCGATAACAACCAGAGGAAATGGTGCAAAAACGATCGGAAACTGAAGGAGACGGGTAAAACTCTTGGAAAAATATATTGAAAATGCATGAAATGCAGGAAACGAGAGGAAATGGTACAAAAAGCCACAGAGGAAAGCGGTGAAAATGGTAGGAAGCATGTAGTAAAAAAAGCTGGACAAAACACAGAGAAAACCTACAAAAGAGAAGAAAGTAACCACAGGAAACGGTAGAAAAAGCAGTGGAAACTGGAAGAAAAGTTGTGACAATATTAGGAAAACGGTGTACAAGCTAGGAAATGCTTGTAAGAACTACTCCCCCTCCTTTTACCGTAGTGCAAAAAAAAAATCTTCCACGTTAACTAAAGTGACAATTCGGAGGTTTACTTCCATGTTAGTTGCAATGGGGGGGGTAAACTGCTAATTTGTGTTCTTTGGATCTGAGCCCTTTTTTTTTGGCTAGTTCTTTTTGCCACGAGTTCCCCGGGAATCCTGGGCATTTGTTGATTAACGTAGAAATTTTGAATTTTTCAAGATAAAGCTGGGAATGCCTCCATTTTTTAACAACCAACGATTGGAACGGATAACTTACATAGAAATTTGCTACTTGAAGTAGGATGTGGGCAGTGCCATGTTAGGGAGCGCTCGGTCCTCCTTTTACCGTAGTGAAAAAAAATCTTCCACGTTAACTAAAGTGACAATTCGGAGGTTTACTTCCATGTTAGTTGCAATGGGGGGGGTAAACTGCTAATTTGTGTTCTTTGGATCTGAGGCCTTTTTTTTTGGCTAGTTCTTTTTGCCACGAGTTCCCCGGGAATCCTGGGCATTTGTTGATTAACGTAGAAATTTTGATTTTTTCAAGATAAAGCTGGGAATGCCTCCATTTTTTTACAACCAACGATTGGAACGGATAACTTACATAGAAATTTGCTACTTGAAGTAGGATGTGGGCAGTGCCATGTTAGCGAGCGCTCGGTCCTCCTTTTACCGTAGTGCAAAAAAAAACTTCCACGTTAACTAAAGTGACAATTCGGAGGTTTACTTCCATGTTAGTTGCAATGGGGGGGTAAACTGCAAATTTGTGTTCTTTGGATCTGAGCCCTTTTTTTTTTTGCCTAGTTCTTTTTGCCACGAGTTCCCCGGGAATCCTGGGCATTTGTTGATTAACGTAGAAATTTTGATTTTTTCAATAAAGCTGGGAATGCCTCCATTTTTTAACAACCAACGATTGGACCGGATAACTTACATAGAAATTTGCTACTTGAAGTAGGAGTGCCATGTTAGGGAGCGCCCGGTCCTCCTTTTACAGTAGTGAAAAACAAATCTTCCACGTTAACTAAAGTGACAATTCGGAGGTTTACTCCCATGTTAGTTGCAATGGGGGGGGTAAACTGCAAATTTGCGTTCTTTGGATCTGAGGCCTTTTTTTTTGGCTAGTTCTTTTTGCCACGAGTTCCCCGGGAATCCTGGGCATTTGTTGATTAACGTAGAAATTTTGATTTTTTCAAGATAAAGCTGGGAATGCCTCCATTTTTTAACAACCAACGATTGGAACGGATAACTTACATAGAAATTTGCTACTTGAAGTCGGATGTGGGAAGTACCATGTTAGCGAGCACCAATTTGGCACCATTGATTTCGAAAGGTTGCATCCTCAATCGCTCGGACATGACAGGGGTGAGAAGATAGATGCAAAGAAGAAAAGAAATGATGTGGCGGTCAGTCTGGGGGTTTTAGGGATCGCCCTAGAAGGACGTAAGAAGTTGCCAACCTGATGTCTGGACCCTCAAGTTACTTCCACGTAAGGGTTTTTAGTCTCAGTTTTCACACTTCCATGATGAATATGTTACTGACATATCTGATGAGCTACTTCCATGTAAGAGATTCAAGGTCAGTTTTTCTGCATTTGCTGGCCCGGTAGCCCAGTTTCACTTTTTCCCCAGGAATTGGACGTAAACGACTTCCATGTAAACCGACAGGTTTTTCCATCCTGACTTCCACGGTAAAAGGACCCGGTGTAGAGGAAACGATGTAGAAAACAGTACAACATGGAGGACACGCGTGAACATGCTAGGAGGCATGTAACATGTTAGAAAAATACAGTGAAAACCTAGGAAAATGTTATAACTAAACATGCTTTAAAAATTAAAGGGCTACGCCCTCTGCCGCCGACCCCTGGACACTGGAGGGTCATGCCTGCCTCTGTGTCCTAAGCATGAAATGAACCCTAAAGAAACCAGAAACTGACCTAAACAAACCATTTGTATGTGCGTTTGGCACTGTGCACATGCAAGCAGCATGGACCCCTGCAGGATGACACGCACAACTATGTGCTCTGACACTTTTTCATGGCTCAAGAAATAGGAGCTTTCGTCATTGGCCAGGTGTCTTGGGGACCTAAAGGGTTGCTCTAGCACTTAAGACCCATACCCGAAGCCCCCGTTCGTAACCGCAGTATGAAACTTTAAATGGCATCCTAAAGAGACCCGAGACGACACTGCACTGCCAACTGCCACCCTGCTCGTGTCCTCCTGGAGCCGGCTTTCGTTCTGCACCGCTTCGGTCCAAGCTGGAGTCCAAGGACCGTATCCCAGACTGCCAAACGTCACTTTCTGAACCGACTAGAAACTAGCTCCAAACCTTGACTTTTCCTGCGTTTCTGCACTGCCAACTGCCACCCTGCTCGTGTCCTCCTGGAGCCGGCTTTCGTTCTACACCGCTTCGGTCCAAGCTGGAGTCCAAGGACGTGTCGCAGGGCTAAAACACCATGGCAGTGAAGGACGGATTGGGCCTGCGGCCCGTATCCCAGACTGCCAAACGTCACTTTCTGAACCGACTAGAAACTAGCTCCAAACCTTGACTTTACCTGCGTTTCTGCACTGCCAACTGCCACCCTGTCGTGTCCTCCTGGAGCCGGCTTTCGTTCTGCACCGCTTCGGTCCAAGCTGGAGTCCAAGGACCGTGTCGCATGGCTAAAACACCACGGCAGTGAAGGATGGATTGGGCCCGCGGCCCGTATCCCAGACTGCCAAACGTCACTTTCTGAACCGACTAGAAACTAGCTCCAAACCTTGACTTTTCCTGCGTTTCTGCACTGCCAACTGCCACCCTGCTCGTGTCCTCCTGGAGCCGGCTTTCGTTCTGCACCGCTTCGGTCCAAGCTGGAGTCCAAGGACCGTGTCGCAGGGCTAAAACACCATGGCAGTGAAGGACGGATTGGGCCCGCAGCCGGCAGCCCACGGTGCCAAACGTCACTTTCTGAACCGACTAGTTCTGCACTGCCACTGCCACCCTGCTCGTGTCCTCCTGGAGCCGGCTTTCGTTCTGCACCGCTTCGGTCCAAGCTGGAGTCCAAGGACCGTGTCGCAGGGCTAAAACACCATGGCAGTGAAGGACGGATTGGGCCCGCGGCCCGTATCCCAGACTGCCAAACGTCACTTTCTGAACCGACTAGAAACTAGCTCCAAACCTTGACTTTTCCTGCGTTTCTGCACTGCCAACTGCCACCCTGCCCGTGTCCTCCTGGAGCAAACGTCACTTTCTGAACCGACTAGAAACTAGCTCCAAACCTTGACTTTTCCTGCGTTTCTGCGCTGCCAACTGCCACCCTGCTCGTGTCCTCCTGGAGCCGGCCTTCGTTCTGCACCGCTTCGTCCAAGCTGGAGTCCAAGGACCGTGTCGCAGGGCTAAAACACCATGGCAGTGAAGGACGGATTAGGCCCGCGGCCCGTATCCCAGACTGCCAAACGTCCCTTTCTGAACCGACTAGAAACTAGCTCCAAACCTTGACTTTTCCTGCGTTTCTGCACTGCCAACTGCCACCCTGCTCGTGTCCTCCTGGAGCCGGCCTTCGTTCTGCACCGCTTCGTCCAAGCTGGAGTCCAAGGACCGTGTCGCAGGGCTAAAACACCATGGCAGTGAAGGACCCCAGACTGCCAAACGTAATTTTCTGAACCGACTAGAAATTAGCTCCAAACCTTGACTTTTCCTGCGTTTCTGCACTGCCAACTGCCACCCTGCTCGTGTCCTCCTGGAGCCGGCTTTCGTTCTGCACCGCTTCGGTCCAAGCTGGAGTCCAAGGACCGTGTCGCAGGGCTTTAAAACACCATGGCAGTGAAGGACGGATTGGGCCCGCGGCCCGTATCCCAGACTGCCAAACGTCACTTTCTGAACCGACTAGAAACTAGCTCCAAACCTTGACTTTTCCTGCGTTTCTGCATTGCCAACTGCCACCCTGCTCGTGTCCTCCTGGAGCCGGCTTTCGTTCTGCGGCCCGTAGCCCAGAGTGCCAAACGTTACTTTCTGAACCGACTAGAAACTAGCTCCAAACCTTGACTTTACCTGCGTTTCTGCACTGCCAACTGCCAACCTGCTCGTGTCCTCCTGGCGCCGGCTTTCGTTCTGCACCGCTTTGGTCCAAGCTGGAGTCCAAGGACCGTGTCGCAGGGCTAAAACACCATGGCAGTGAAGGACGGATTGGGCCCGCGGCCCGTATCCCAGACTGCCAAACGTCACTTTCTGAACCGACTAGAAACTAGCTCCAAACCTTGACTTCCTGCGTTTCTGCACTGCCAACTGCCACCCTGCTCGTGTCCTCCTGGAGCCGGCCTTCGTTCTGCACCGCTTCGGTCCAAGCTGGGGTCCAAGGACCGTGTCGCAGGGCTAAAACACCATGGCAGTGAAGGACGGATTGGGCCCGCGGCCCGTATCCCAGACTGCCAAACGTCACTTTCTGAACCGACTAGAAACTAGCTCCAAACCTTGACTTTTCCTGCGTTTCTGCATTCCCAACTGCCACCCTGCTCGTGTCCTCCTGGAGCCGGCTTTCGTTCTGCACCGCTTCGGTCCAAGCTGGAGTCCAAGGACCGTGTCGCAGGGCTAAAACACCATGGCAGTGAAGGACGGATTGGGCCCGCGGCCCGTATCCCAGACTGCCAAACGTCACTTTCTGAACCGACTAGAACTAGCTCCAAACCTTGACTTTTCCTGCGTTTCTGCACTGCCAACTGCCACCCTGCTCGTGTCCTCCTGGAGCCGGCTTTCGTTCTGCACCGCTTCGGTCCAAGCTGGAGTCCAAGGACCGTGTCGCAGGGCTAAAACACCATGGCAGTGAAGGACGGATAGGGCCCGCGGCCCGTATCCTAGACTGCCAAACGTCACTTTCTGAACCGACTAGAAACTAGCTCCAAACCTTGACTTTTCCTGCGTTTCTGCACTGCCAACTGCCACCCTTCTCGTGTCCTCCTGGAGCCGGCTTTCGTTCTGCGGCTCCAAACCTTGACTTTACCTGCGTTTCTGCACTGCCAACTGCCACCCTGCTCGTGTCCTCCTGGTGCCGGCTTTCGTTCTGCACCGCTTCGGTCTAAGCTGGAGTCCAAGGACCGTGTCGCAGGGCTAAAACACCATGGCAGTGAAGGACGGATTAGGCCCGCGGCCCGTATCCCAGACTGCCAAACGTCACTTTCTGAACCGACTAGAAACTAGCTCCAAACCTTGACTTTTCCTGCGTTTCTGCACTGCCAACTGCCACCCTGCTCCTGTCCTCCTGGAGCCGGCGGCTTTCGTTCTGCACCGCTTCGGTGCAAGCTGGAGTCCAAGGACCGTGTCGCAGGGCTAAAACACCATGGCAGTGAAGGACGGATTGGGCCCGCGGCCCGTATCCCAGACTGCCAAACGTCACTTTCTGAACCGACTAGAAACTAGCTCCAAACCTTGACTTTTCCTGCGTTTCTGCACTGCCAACTGCCACCCTGCTCGTGTCCTCCTGGAGCCGGCTTTCGTTCTGCACCGCTTCGGTCCAAGCTGGAGTCCAAGGACCGTGTCGCAGGGCTAAAACACCATGGCAGTGAAGGACGGATTGGGCCCGCGGCCCGTATCCCAGACTGCCAAACGTCACTTTCTGAACCGACTAGAAACTAGCTCCAAACCTTGACTTTTCCTGCGTTTCTGCACTGCCAACTGCCACCCTGCTCGTGTCCTCCTGGAGCCGGCTTTCGTTCTGCACCGCTTCGGTCCAAGCTGGAGTCCAAGGACCGTGTCGCAGGGCTAAAACACCATGGCAGTGAAGGACGGATTGGGCCCGCGGCCCGTATCCTAGACTGCCAAACGTCACTTTCCGAACCGACTAGAAACTAGCTCCAAACCTTGACTTTTCCTGCGTTTCTGCACTGCCAACTGCAACCCTGCTCGTGTCCTCCTGGAGCCGGCTTTCGTTCTGCGGCTCCAAACCTTGACTTTACCTGCGTTTCTGCACTGCCAACTGCCACCCTGCTCGTGTCCTCCTGGAGCCGGCTTTCGTTCTGCACCGCTTCGGTCTAAGCTGGAGTCCAAGGACCGGGTCGCAGGGCTAAAACACCATGGCAGTGAAGGACGGATTAGGCCCGCGGCCCGTATCCCAGACTGCCAAACGTCACTTTCTGAACCGACTAGAAACTAGCTCCAAACCTTGACTTTTCCTGCGTTTCTGCACTGCCAACTGCCACCCTGCTCGTGTCCTCCTGGAGCCGGCTTTCGTTCTGCACCGCTTCGGTCCAAGCTGGAGTCCAAGGACCGTGTCGCAGGGCTAAAACACCATGGCAGTGAAGGACGGATTGGGCCTGTGGCCCGTATCCCAGACTGCCAAACGTCACTTTCTGAACCAACTAGAAACTAGCTCCAAACCTTGACTTTTCCTGCGTTTCTGCACTGCCAACTGCCACCCTGCTCGTGTCCTCCTGGAGCCGGCTTTCGTTCTGCACCGCTTCGGTCCAAGCTGGAGTCCAAGGACCGTGTCGCAGGGCTAAAACACCATGGCAGTGAAGGACGGATTGGGCCCGCGGCCCGTATCCCAGACTGCCAAACGTCACTTTCTGAACCGACTAGAAACCAGCTCCAAACCTTGACTTTTCCTGCGTTTCTGCACTGCCAACTGCCACCCTGCTCGTGTCCTCCTGGAGCCGGCTTTCGTTCTGCGGCCCGTAGCCCAGAGTGCCAAACGTTATTTTCTGAACCGATTAGAAACTAGCTCCAAACCTTGACTTTACCTGCGTTTCTGCACTGCCAACTGCCACCCTGCTCGTGTCCTCCTGGCGCCGGCTTTCGTTCTGCACCGCTTAGGTCCAAGCTGGAGTCCAAGGACCGTGTCGCAGGGCTAAAACACCGTGGCAGTGAAGGACGGATTGGGCCCGCGGCCCGTATCCCAGACTGCCAAACGTCACTTTCTGAACCGACTAGAAACTAGCTCCAAACCTTGACTTTTCCTGCGTTTCTGCACTGCCAACTGCCACCCTGCTCGTGTCCTCCTGGAGCCGGCTTTCGTTCTGCACCGCTTCGGTCCAAGCTGGAGTCCAAGGACCGTGTCGCAGGGCTAAAACACCATGGCAGTGAAGGACGGATTGGGCCCGCGGCCCGTATCCCAGACTGCCAAACGTCACTTTCTGAACCGACTAGAAACTAGCTCCAAACCTTGACTTTTCCTGCGTTTCTGCACTGCCAACTGCCACCCTGCTCGTGTCCTCCTGGAGCCGGCTTTCGTTCTGCACCGCTTCGGTCCAAGCTGGAGTCCAAGGACCGTGTCGCAGGGCTAAAACACCATGGCAGTGAAGGACGGATTGGGCCCGCGGCCCGTATCCCAGACTGCCAAACGTCACTTTCTGAACCGACTAGAAACTAGCTCCAAACCTTGACTTTTCCTGCGTTTCTACACTGCCAACTGCCACCCTGCTCGTGTCCTTCTGGAGCCGGCTTTCGTTCTGCACAAACTCTTCGCCCCTTCTGGCATCTTGTTGCTAGTAAGGCCTCCTCTGACGCGCTCCCCCTGCTGACGGCAGGGGTCGGCGGATTATTACACAGAGTACATGTGCTATACACGGATATTGCCATCAACCCTTGAGTCTGATGGACCCCAAAATAGCCCAAGTCTCGCCAGGTCGGTAGCCTCACCGAAGAGTATGAACTTCTGCCCGGTGACTCCCTGGTGGCTGCTGGAATGGTGGGCTATGCTGGCCCCTTCGCTGGCGAGTACCGCCAAAGTTTCGAGAAGCTTTGGCTGTCGACGGAGGACAACGAGGGCATCACGCACAAGCAGGGTGCCACTTTGGTGAGTGTGCTTGGACAACCGGCTAGGGACTGAGCCCTTAGGGTAGATGCTGGTTGTGGATGATGCTTTGGGCTTGAATTTACTGTAAGACTGTAAGAGGTAGGATTTGAGAGGTCTTTATCATTCAAAAGGGTATGACAGACTCTGACAGACTGTATCATGGCTAAAAACCAAGTGCTCTCAAGCAGATCTATACTGCTTCAACTGCATGATAACGCTATTTCACATGCTTCAAGGTCATCATCCAGCAGTGGGCTGTGTGTGGCTTGCCCAATGACAACCTGTCGGTGGAGAACGGGATCATCATCGCCACCGCCAGGCGAGATGAAACAGTTGGGATCATCCATGGAGGGGCTTGGAGCACAGCCGCGCCAAGGCGATGGCCATTGATGATTGACCCACAAAGACAGGCAGCTATGGCAGCTATGGGCTGCGGGTGGAGTGTGTTCACTTGAATTGAGTCCCACTATGTGTGTGGATGTGTGGATGATAAGGGCGATCCTAGTTGAGGGCAAGGGATTTTCCGTGAAATTGAGACCTAGGAATCTAGGACTCAAGCAGTTCTTTTCGACTGGGATACAACCGCTCCGACATTGATCCAGCAACTATGGCTGGCGAAAGGCAAACAAATACATCAAGCTCTATGGCAAAATGGCAAGCGAACAAGGAATGGGTGCCGTCCTCAGTCCCTATGAAAAGAGATGAACTGGATTCGTCCGATTTGGAGACCCTTCAAAAAGAAACCGTTGACACGGTCTATTTTCCGCGCAGGGTCAAGCAATGAATGGGATGTCATTTCGATATGAAAAGTAGGTCCATCTAGGTCCATTTGGCCAAAAACTTGTTGCCATTCTGAGGCACATGCAAGCTGTCTGATCCAAACCTCCTGCAGACTGTCGAGCCTGGCGTCCCAGTTGTGGTCGTCCAGAATGGGTTTGTCCAAAAAATGGGGGACAGGATACCCCCCAAATTGCTGCTATTTACTGTAAGTTGCGAAAAGGATGATCGACCATCAAATTTTAGGGTACTTTATTGAATTGTTTTTTCATGTTTTTTTCCAACAGCAATAAAATGGGACAACCATGCTGATTTTACTGGTACCAAAAATGGAGAGATTTGACCAAGTAAACATGGTGATTGAGTCAATCAACCAATAAGAGAAATAGGAGAGTCCCTTCACCCCAAACAAACCCTGGGCTTGAATGCATTGGATCCATTCGTATTTTTGGGACCTTTTCAAGGGAATCATATTGGAGGGATGGGACTACATGGTTGAGATACTATCAGATATCCAGTCGATTCAAGTTGATTCTATGGTGGCCAGACATGGTTTGTATGTTTACATAGCACGATTTTGGGACACTGGGGATGGGTTTCAGCATCTTCGATCTGCAGGGTCTTTCTGTTCGATGTCCCAAAGATCCAAGCTGTTTGACTCAATAGACACCTCGAAGATAGGTTTGTAACTCACTACTTTTTGAGGATTGGATTTTACTGATTTTACTTGTCTATCTTTTTGGGGGTTGCTTAATATGTTGGCTTGAAATATCCCGTGCCGTTGGATGCAGCTGGATCTTCATTGGATCTCCCGGGACTGAGGCTTGGTATCCAGTTTGGCAAATGGATTCTGTTGGAAAACATCGGTGAAGCGCTGGATCCTGCACTGGAACCTGTGGGGCAGCCCACATTTTATCCAACTTCGGAGATGACAATGCCTTGGGCTTCATAGTGATTCAACTGTGGTTGCATGTCTGAACCGACAATTTAGAGGAACCTCATATATGTGAGAGGAAAGACCTGGTTTCCCAGATATTTACCTCTCAAGCAATCCGTTGATCCCCTTGATCATGAATCCTGGTTGCATTTCGAGTGCTTCAGACGCATTTCGAGTGTTGCAGTGTCAGGTGCTTCAGCAACAGAAAATCCGTGACGGGACCTCGTTTGTCATCAAGCTGGGTGACAAGAACGTGCCCTGACCAAAGAGTTCCGTCACAGTGCGTAGGATGTGGGTACGTCTCAAAATTGGGGATAGGGGGATATGCCCTAATTTATGGCCATTAAAGACATGGGGAAACTGATAACAAATCAATATGCATATACAAATACTTGGTATATATATATATATACATATGTATAATTATATATATATATATACAATACATATATATATATATATGCATGTACTGGGAATAACGCGATTTTGGCATTTCATCGGTGATTTGAAGTGGGGGCGAATGCGCAACCAGACACACAGCTTCAGGTTGCTTATGATGACAAGTTTGGGACTCAGTGCAATGGCCAGTACACTCTGACTTGCAATTGGAAAGACATCTCCAGCAGAAACCCAGGGCTGAATCATCAGACGCAACCATATTATGTGATATATGTATTTATATATATATAAAATCTATATTGATGGGATTTAATGGTGAGATAATCAACTATTGATGGCATGGAACCAACCATTGTCGGATTGTCGGAGATTCAGATTTCTAGTTCATCAGGATTCACCAAACAGAATGTTGCGAGGTTCCGGTTCTTTATGACCACGACTCTGTCCAATCCTCACTACTCCCCGGAGACCTCGGTGAAGGTGTGCGATCATCCTGGGGTTTGAATGGTCGGCTCGATTTTCAGATCTGGTTTAAGGGAATCCTGACAGAACCCCTCCAACATTTTCATGGTTTTCTATGGTAAGTTACGGCAAGACCATTCTTTCCTGCAGACTTTCCCATCAATCCAGTGAAGCCGGTAGCAGATACGGTCAAAAGGATGCCACTTGAACAGGCGACCTTGCTGAACTTTGCCATTACTCCGGAGGGCTTGCAGGAGCGCAGAAACATCCGAAACCGCCTTCTGGATGTCCAATGTGTTTTCTGTGGCGGCGATGCGCCGCTTGCGACAGGATCAGATGTTGGGTATCGTGGTTGCAAAAGAGCAGCCAGAGATGGAAGAGAAGAAGCAGGACAGTGGACAGGATGCTTTTGATGACATTCTGAGCTTCAGGAATGAGCCGGTGCAGTTGATGATGATGTTGTATGATGTTGTAGCATGATAGGGTCTATAAAGCTTCACATCATTTCCCTGGTCGAAAGCACTGAGCTTTGCACACTTGGATTCCAGGAGCTTGTGAAGAATGGTGCCGCGATGAACAAGCAGCTGAAGGACAGCAGATATTGTCTAAATACATTCCCAAGATTCATGGCAAAACACACGAGAGTGTTGATGATTGTTATATATAGCTGTCAGTCGGATAAAAAGTTCTAAAGAAAGCGCCCGGGCTTGCAAGGATATCGAAGACGAGATTCTTCGACTGCTTTCCGCTGAGGGTGACATCCTTGAAAGCAAGGAGTTCTACAGTTCAATGTCCTTGACCCAACAGCTGATATCAAGATATATCAAGTCTGTAATCAGATTCATCAAGTTGTTTGAGTCTCCTGGGACTCGAGACACGACATATTTGTTAATTTTTGCAGGAGCTGATCGACACACTTGAGTACTCCAAGAAGACCTCCGCGGTGATCAACAAGGCCGGCCGCTGGGAACTCCCCGTGGCCATCGTGGCCTAAATGGGCATTTCAATGTTGGAATCATCGAACCAAAGGGGCATTCTGCAGCAATGGAAGTGTTTGATTACCAGAGTCACCAGAGGGTAGAAGATTCATCAATGGTTGGATTATATATATACAGTGTGTATATATATAATTATATATATATAATTAATATACAGTATATGTATATATATATAATCAACAATTGGTAGATTGACTATGATTGACTACCTCTTCAGCCAAGCATTTTTGTCTTCAGGCCATGGAGGAGGCGAAGGTGACGGAAGTTGAGATTGACGAAGTTCGCAGGTGGAAGTCCTGGGAAAATCATGAAAAATGAACATGGCAATGTTAGAACGCCTGGAACGGGTAGAATTGGGTTTTCCTTGAAATTTTCGAAGCCGTGTGGAAATTTGTATGAAAAGCCTGCAAGCCTGTGCGAAGCTTCTGCACTGTGAGGTCCTACAAAGATTATGTGAAACCGACTCGCTTTGCTGCAACGGATGGTTTGGAACATCATTTTACACATGTTAAAGTGGCCAGTATACAATAGTATACATTCCTGCTTTTTGGACACACGGAGATTACGATGATCCAAAAGTCCAGATTTTGCACCACGAAAAGTCCCAATTTTTGGTGGGTTAGGTTTTCATTATGGTTGGATTAGTCACCATTCCCAGCGTTGAACGATTTCGAGCGCCGTGGCTTTCGCTGTGCCAGGCCTTCAGATCTCAGCTCCTCTTCTTTGCCGTGAGCGAGATGAGCATTACAGATCCCATGTGCGCGGCTGGTTTGTGCATGGGAGATTTACCCACGATATTGGTAGGCAATTTTTTGTAGCAATAAATGTGAAGGTATTTGCCAAGTCCTTTACATGATCTCTCAGGTGAAAGATTTTGTACTCTTACCTTTTATGTGACTTTATCTTGCAATTTTTGGACACACTTGGACACTTTCCTACACCTTTGGAGATTCCCGAGACAGGTACCAGTTCAGTCTCCAGTGGTTCCAGCAGCTGGCGGGCTTGAGCATTGACAATGCTCCTGCGGGAGAGACTCCGTTGCCTGGCGTAGTGTTTCAAAAGAAAAGCCGTATATATGATAGTACTGTATATATCTGTATATCTTATAAGATACATGATTCCATGAAAACTCGAAGTGGATATAAAGGATGTAGCTTGTGGCCCGCGAGGTCTTGATCAGAAACACACTGGCTGATATGGCCAATATCTCCAGAATTGTGGATTTTTGACATGGGTTCCTTATGGAAAGATATATATATAATTATATATATATATAGTCATGTTCATTCTGTGCAACCGAGGGCGCAACGACTTCAGAGCATCGGCCTTGGACCATCCATGGACACAGCATTTTCTTGGCTTGTTCGCTAACCCGAGGTCATAGAGTGATTATTGACCCATTGACCCACGAGCCTTCACTAAGTGATTGCTGAGATCTCATCAGCTACTTCACCTACTCGATCTATCAAAGTGTTTGCCGTGGGCTTTTCGAGAAGCACAAGTCCGGGAACCCATGGAACCCAGGGAACTCAGTAAAAACATGTAAAGACTGCATCTCGGAGGAGCCTCAACAACCAAAAAGTTGAAACAGTTGCCCCGCTGCTATGCTCCCGGTATCTCCCGGTGCTGAATAAATGGTCTCACTTTGTTAGGCTTCTCTTCTCCTTCTCCTTGACCATGAAGATCATGGATGGAGAGGGCCGCCTCGATGCCAACGAGGTGCCCAGGGGAGGTCCGTGGTCAAAATTACTACATGGTCATGGCTATGGTTCAAAGATGCTGGAACCATTGACATCATTGACCCAGATTTTAGGATGGTGAAATAGGACAGAGGACTCATTTTTGTGGGTTGATTGATACTCGTCCTCCTGAACACATCACATCTCGGCCGTGCCAGGCCCGGTTCCTGATGGCTGGCCCGACAGGTGAGGTGAAGGCTGGGTAGTGCCTTCGAGTTGGTCATGTGTTGATTAAACTGTTTATGAACCATATCCTGATGTCCATCCGGACGTTCCACAGCGTTGCCATTGCCAGGGTGGACCACCCAATCCTGCCGAGAAATGGCTCACATCGAAGAGCTGGAATGAGGCAGCAGGCTCAGCTGTAATATGCTGGTAATCCAACCTGGCAATGAAGGGAAAACCATTTGGGAAATTACCATCATCAATGGGAAAAGCATGTAGGAATTTACAACAACCACTGGGAAAATCATTGGCAAATGATGACAAATGAACATAGATGGATAGAGATGGACACAGACAGACATAGACTGTGACATAGATGTATATATGTGAATGAACATCAACGAATATCGGCGGGTAATCACCGGGTAATCATTTGTCTGCTAGGTTAGGTTGCTTCATCATCCGTTCCGGCGCGGTGTTGTTCTTTCTCGGGTCTTGATCTTCAACAGAGGTAGAGAGGTGTTCAGATTTCTGGTGTCCAAGGTGCTCACTCTTGCGCAGATGCCAGCCTTCAAGGGTTTTGATGCTTTCTTTGCCTCAAATGTCGGGCACCGCAGTCTGGTCACAAGATTTGCCTGGGTCAACCTTTAAGGTGAAGGCTGTGAAGGGAAGGGTTGATGGGCAACATTTCAGCAATCAATAGGAAAAGATGACGCTCAGCTATTTCTTCCGCAGGGTGTCTAAGATAAACATATATAAACAATGTAAGACAAGACTGGATGAAGACCAGTGCGAGGTCAAAGGCTTCCAGCGCATCTATGATGCTCCAGAAGCAGACAAGGAGGGAGCAAATTGAGCGGTGAGACATTTCCAGGATTTTTGAGATTCAGGTCACCCGGGTCAGTCAAATTTTTGTTCTTATGCCCCTTTTGGCTTTTTTGACCTTGGAGGAGCCGATTCCTGGAGAGTGGGCTACAAAGATGTCGCCCTTCCAGAAGTTGTGCTTCCTGAGGACCCTCAGGCAGGGAAGTTCACTTGTCAAGCATGTTGTACTGTAGCTGCAGGAGTTGTAGACAGAAAGCCGGCATTTTCGTGGTTGCGTTTCAAGGGTAGCTGCAGAAGTTCTTGCGGAATTGTTGCTCCACTTGCTACATTGCTACACATTTGAGGCCAGACAGGATTCAGACCTCCGTGCTTGACTTCGTGACGCATGAAATGGGTGGGGTGACCAGTTGCTACTCCATTGCTGCAGGATGTGAGATATTCAGAAGAACTAGACATTGTTTCCTTCATGAACAGCTCTGAAATCGAATGCCCCAACGATTTTAATGACTGCGGAAAAATGAGCTCCCACTAGAATCACTAGAATGCTCAAAAGTCGAGACCCAATAGTTTGATGACCTTCATGCATTTGCCACCAGGTCAAAAGTTTGTCGAACCTCCAGTGTTTGACATCGCGATCTCCTATGAGGTCAGGTAGTCGACCAGAGCCTAGAAATCCTGAAAATTATGGCAGTTCCTAATCAGTTTGCCCACAGTCGGAAAAGAAGTAATTATAGCAGAAGACATGACTCTGTTGCGACACATGATTTTTTGCGTCGGTCGTTGTAGTGCATTCTCTTGACCTCTGCTTTAAGCTGGGTTTCTCTCAAATATTGTTGGTCAGCTGTATATCCCTCATTGCATACCCATGACATTCCATCAACTGGGGTATACTCAACCCAACCCACATTTTTTCATGGACAACCCCCGCCAGGACACACCCCAAAGTCCTAGTTTTGGTTACATATTATCTAATACCATTCCCATTATATATAGTTATATAATGTTATATAATACATAGATACATAATATCCCATCGTTATCCTAATATTGATTATCCCATATGTGTGCCATTGTCGAAAGTTAGATTGTGTACCCATATTTGGAGGATGGTCGTCAATCCATTTTCAGTTCGGGATTTAATATATACCCATTGTAAGGATTCCTTATTCTATTTGGATGGATGACCATAAGTATATATCATATTGGTGGTTATATACCCATGATATTTCCATTATACACCCACTAAATATCCCATTGTTGTTGGTCAAACCCTTGTTTTGTAGTCTAATTATTGTTAAATTCCCATGATAAATCCCCATGGCCAATGGTTGTTGGTTAAATCCCCATTATATGGTATTATGGTATATAACTAAATATGATGGAACATGATGGAACTATACCATATATATATATATATACCATATATATATACCATATATATATACCATATATATATACATACATTATATATATACACATAGCTATAGCATGATATAGCTATGTACCTTGACGCTGCCAGGATTCCACCAAGATGAGTCCCTTGATCTTCGTGTTGTCCGCCGGCAGCGACCCGGTGGCCGACATGTTGGCCTTTGCGGAGGCCAGTGGCATGGGCGCCAAATTGGAAAGCATCTCATTAGGCCAGGGACAAGGACCCAAGGCGGCCAAGATGATCGAAAAAGCGCGGGAAAGTGGTGGATGCTTGGGTGAAAAATATGGTTGTTTTTGGATATATGGCTGTTATGATCTGTTATGGCGTTTGTTTGATGGGGTTTGATTTGTTTCATTGATGAAATTGATCCTGGGCAAGGCTGAGTTTTTGGAGCAAATCCAAGGTGTGAGGCTGCTTGTAAAGTCAGACTTTCACTCTATCTGTAATTTAGATGGGGATGGGTCAAAACCCTGGTACCTAGTGAACCCCAAAATAGCTGGTAAATGGATGTTCATCCCACTAAAAATGTATCTATAGGTATTGACCCATACCCAGATTGAGTCAATGGAAGATGTGAAATGTTCAGTCAACATGTTTGTCGATTGTTGTAACCGCTAGGGTTCCACAACTAGTCTCGGTAGGAATTGCTGGCCTATCCACTGTGAATTCTGTGACATCCAAGGATGGGTCTTGCTGTGCAACTGCCATCTTTCCATCAGCTGGCTTCCTGAACTTGAACGAATCTGCGAGCAGATGAACCCGGATGACACGGACAACAACTACCGGCTCTGGTTGACCTCCATGCCCACCAAGCAGTTCCCAGCCCTGCTGCTGCAGAATGGTGTGAAGATGACCAATGAACCGCCCAAGGGCTTGCGTGCCAATGTCTTGGGATCCATGATGAAATGCGATGATCGCATGTTGTCGGATTGTGAGAAGCCAGAAGCCTATGCTCGACTCGTCTTCGGCTTCTGCTTCTTCCATGCGGTTTGTCAGGACTGTGTGTTGTTGGCTATTGCTTGTTCGATTTGCAGTCTGCTGTCTTTTGCAAGGAAAAAGCACAATGGGGATGCAATATGAATGTGGATTTCGTTTTTCAATGATCTATTCGTCATATTTCTGCCAAGAGGTTTGTCCTGCATGAACAGCTTCCAGAGCTCGACTTGTGCAGGACAGGAGAAAGTTTGGGCCAATTGGCTGGAACATCCCGTCCCAGCCTCAGCAGACAAAATGCAATTTATACAGGGGATAGTCAAGACTAATCCCTTCCGATATGAAATACCATACAAGCTCAGAACCTCTGGTCTACTAAGTCTACTAGTGAGTGGGTTTGCTGGGTTTGCTCATTTTGCGGGCCCTTAATAAATGGGGGTCCATGAATCATCTTGAGGGGAAGGGATTGATCGACCTGCCTCCATGTTCCCTTGGTTTCCGAAGGTATAACTTTACTCCAGAAGATTTGACGACGAACCGCCGGCAGTTGAAATACTTCCTGGACAACTTTGAAGAGATCCCCTACACGGCCGATGCCTCGTGGGATCTCAACCTCACAGGTTTGGACAGAACCGTAGTTTTTTTTTTCCCACTGGTTGAACCCTCCATGTATTGACCTTTTAAACTGAATGGCTTCATACCGGTTGGCCGCTCGTGACCCGGCCCAATCGTGCCGAGGTGCTGCAGTTCTTAGGCTCCCGCATCAACTATGGTGGTCGAGTGACGGACAAGAAAGACAAGGTCGGTGATGCAGAGCAGAATCTCGTTTTCACATGGGGATGGCTCAAAAGCTATGATGCCATATTTGTGTGGATATTGTGGATGAGCATCCATGATTATCAGAGTGTTTCCTTTTGAATATTTTGGTACCAGGTTTTGACCCACAGTCTTACATAATTGACAGAGACATGGAACTTTGGTCTCAGCTTCACCGACCAATGGCTGGAAATGGCAGGTACTCATTGATTGTTTGATCAAGATCTTCATCTGCGAAGAAGTGGTGGTCAAAGGCAGGGAACAGCAAGATGGGTGGATGAGTATGGCTCAAAACGTGGTGGCAATGGACCTGCAAAATGTGTACCATTCTTGCATATTTAGTCAATTTAGTCATCCAATTTGTTGGAGCTCCCAGTGCGGTGGGCTGGTTATTTTTGGAACCCAAAGCATCTCATCGTTTGGCCACCTCGATCCATACCCAGATCATGCAACGCCTGAAGGTGCTGACTATCATTTCTCAGCAAGTGGCATCTTCCACTGCCCAAATGCCTCCTCTCAGGACACATGCCACAAAGATCGTGAAGCGGAAATTGCTTTTGGTTTGCAGTAGATTCTCAGTAGATCCTCCAAAGAGTGGGTTCTTTGAAGTTCTTTCATGGCAAAAAGAGATTTGCAGGACGAATTCCTGTCGTACCTGCGCGCACTTCCGATCATGACTCCTCCAGAGGCCACGATCCAAACCAAATGACTTGGGATGGGGCAGAAAGGATGAGACAGGCTAGATAGTTGACTACAATATACTACAATGTTTTGTAGGCATATTAGTGGTGCGGGTGCAGCCGTTCGTAGATCTTCATGCCGTGCCATGATGTCATGGCAGGTCTTTGGTTTGCATGAGAACTGCGAGATCACCTGTGCAGAGTCTCTTGCTCAGTGAAGCTCCGGCAGCTATATGAGAATTATGAGATGGGCCCACCATTTTTGGAACCCGCTATATTGTCAATAGTTGGTTACATCCCACTGTTTCCAGCAAGATACTCATAATACAAACATATTATTTACATATTATACAAAATACATATGTTCATATCAGGCTCCGCACACCGATGCTGTGTGGGTCACAGGTCGTCAGCGCAACGCATGGTGAGAGCTATGGTGTACTGTACTGTAATGTAATGTAATGTGATGTATCTATGTATATGAGTAGGCATGTACATATGTATACACATTATATATATATATATGTATATACATATATTCATCACTATAGATGGCAAAAACCCCACGTGATTGGACAAACCTGTTTGGGAACCCTGTCAATTGTCTCAATGTGTCAGGGCCGAGTCTATGGCAATGCTGTCAGACATCATGGCTTTAAATGCTGGTGGCTCCTCCAGTGACGACCTCAGCATTGAAGTTAACCATCAAGTGGGAAATGGTTGGGCCTTAAGGTGTTCTAATTGATTACTTGATATTACTAGTTTCTAAGACAACTCATGTTAGCCTTGTGGTTGAAGAAAACCAAACACACATTTTTTGTTGATAATTTCTTCAAACAACAAAACCAATGTTTCGTCGTGGACCTAAATCTTTGCCTGTGGTCTCGCAACGGCCAAATCGGCCTAATGGTGCTAGGTTCTGGTGGTGGCAAATCTGCAGACGAAGTCATGGATGCAAAGTCCTCAGAGAGAAAGGGCGGATTTTACAGTCCAGGTCGATTGATGTTATCGGCTATATAATTTGTTCATATAATATGGGTGATATATTCTATCCCTACTACAGTGGTTTGGAGGGTTATGGCTTAGGAGGGTTGTAAGACACAACAGAAACACACATGCTGCCATCCAATGGTTCAAGAAGGACAAAAAAAATACACATGTTAAACATGTGTGAACATATTCACGTCGCTTCGCGACGGCAACCGCCCGCACCGCATCGTTCGTAACTGCCAATGATGTCGGCCATTGAGACCAAAAACATCCGAAAGTACTGATTGTCGGAAAAAAACACGCGAAGAATTTGATAGCCATGTATAGCGGACCAACGCAGTTCAAAAAATAACGAAAAACATGAAAAAACGGCGAAATTGCTGTTATTTACAGTGTTTTTGCGCGGTGAGAAGCAGAAACCACTGCAAATACCATGGTTTTTGAGGGTCAGGTGGCCAAAAACACTGTAATTTACAGTGTTTTTTTAACCAACGTCAAAAAACACTGGTATTTACGATGTTTTCATTCACACCGTAACATAAAACAGCGTAATTTACGAGGTTTTTGGAAGTTTTGAAGCTAGCCGTCAAGCATGCAGAAAACAGAAAAACACTGTAAAAACCAGTGTTTCTGCTATCACAAAACGACGAAAATCAGTCCGAAAACGGGTCCAAAAACTCAAAAATCCGCCTCCGGGCCAGGCCACCTGCGGAACCGCAAAAAAAGATGTTGCAAACCAAAAAATTGAGGTCAAAAAGTTGAAAAACACGGGGTTTTTTCACTTTTCGCTTGCCGATTTTGGACGGGCGCGTTCACGAACAGGTGTCTTCCGTACTGTTTTTTACAGTGTTTTTTGAAGGCGAGCGTCACGACCTATCAAAAACAGGAGGTTTTGGCCGAAAAATGCCCCGCCCCCCCAGGTAAACCTGTAACCTTTTACGAGTGCCATCCGGAAGATCACGCCCCAGCACCTTCGGTGCGGGCGGATTTATATCATATCTATATCTCTCTCTCTCTCTCTCTCCCTCCCCTATCTATCTATCTATCTACCTATCTATCTATCTATCTAGCTATCTATCCATCCATCCATCCATCTATCTATCTATCTATCTACCTATCCATCCATGTCCAAACAGCGTACCAGGAGCTGGCCGCAGAGCTTGAGAAGCAGACACCCAATCCATGGGACTTGGACAACTGGGAGGCCAGGCTGTCGAGGTCGAGGATGAGGTCGTGAGAATTGGGATGTACCAATGGATGGAGCTAAGACAGCTAAGGGTGAAACCTAATAGTGATGTCATACCAGGTGAAACTCTTCCCTTTTTTTTCGGGTTGCGAAGCTCATTCCAAGCTCTTTGGTGGGAATGGTGGCTTTTTGATGCTGGGAATGATAGCGCCATGCTTGGCCACACACCAAATAGTGTTTGTGATTAGGTCCATTTTCCCCTTCTTTTGCAAGAAAAAGCCTGGTGGAGGAAGCTTGGTCGCCAGTTGATTGCCCACAGGATCGCTTCCCAACCAAGTACGAGGAGTCACGGAACACAGTCGTGAAGCAGGAAGCGGCAAAATACAACAAGTTGCTGTCGCTCCTGCCTGCCTGCCCTGTTTTGTTGCAAGGGTTTTTTTGATGTGTCTCTCTGTTCAGAAAATTTGAAGAAAAGTCAGAAGTCTTGAAGCCTCGCAGGATGTGAGTGATGAAGATGCTGCAAAGTGTGGAAGCCCGTGATATTGGTATGACTTGTAAAAGACGGCTCTACCGTTCATGTGCGCCATTTTCGTTGACAAGTTTGACCCAAAAACATGAAACCTCATGTAGAGGCGGTATGCAGCCTGTGCCAGGAAAGTTCAGCTACCCCTCTTCCGAAGAGCTGTGAAAGGCTTTGTTGTCAAGGGCTGAATGGGAGTCAAAATGGTCAAAGGGACACGGTGGGAAACTTTTCTTGTGGGTCCAGGAGTCCAGGACTTCTTTATTTTCAGCATTTCCGAGCCTGTTGCTTTCACAGTAGAGTCCTCTAGTGAAACCGACTCCAACAGCAGAGGATCCAAATGCCAAGCCCGCATCACATGGTACAGTTTGTACATAACATAAGCTTCCGTTTTACATCTGGAGTTCACTTGGCAAACGGGGAAGAGATTTCTCCAGATGTCCTCTTGTATTTAGCCTCCGGTCCGGAGCCCTTCCAATGCTTTCATTGAAAGGTAGAAGCAAACAAAAAGGTTCAAAAACAGCCGGATGGACTGACGGTGTCTGCGCCAAAACAACCTGCCAAGATCTTGGCTTTCATACTTGCGCGGCAATCCTGATCCATTTCGCCTGAGGTGATGACGGATGAGCTTGAAGCGATCGGCAAGGGCCTCTTCATGAATACCGTTCCAGAAGGTTCGGCAACTCCTGTCGGCGGCAACCAAGCAACCTGGGTTGTTAAGAATAGGCAACGTACAGAAGTCATTCTCATGTCCATCTTGAGGCACGAAGTACGCCCGAAAGTTTGAAGGCCTTTAGTCACAAGGATTAGTTTCTGATTACCTTCCTCATTTGATCATCACCCGCGTGCCTCTTCAACCGCTTGACATTCTGAAGTAGCTTCAGTAAGGATTTCATAAATCACCAGCAATCACCAGCACTCCTAACATCACCTGGCCAATCTTTCGTGCTCGAGTTCTGCGACGGGATTTCCGGATCATTCCCTCACGCGCCATGACAGCCATGTTGTCTGCGATTGCGCAGCAAATCTGCAGCTTCAACCCTTTCCAGATCTGCAGCTTCAACCCTTTCCAGCAGGAGGCGGCAGGGGACATTGGGGATTCTATTAGTATGTATTATGCATATTTAAGCATTATAGTCGTGCTTTGTTTGCTACTTACTTTCAGTGGGGGTGTTGGATCAAGGAGGACCTCTGCAAAGTAATCAGCATGGATTCGGAACTGCCAGGATGGCCAGAGGTCTTACTAAGTGAAAAAAAGCATGTCGATTTCACGAAAGCTAGCGGTAGCTAGCTGAGTTACCAAGGGGAGGGGCAGGTCTGAGTCCAACACCGTGATTTTTCACTTGAACCCCCCCCCCCTAAGCTCCCGGGGCATTTTGAAGCAGTCTCGGAAGCAGATGGTCACGGGCTCAAATCCTGCCAGGGCCGTACCTTTGCTCAGGATTTGTTGAGTTTATGTGCTGTCCAGTTGATGCCCGTACATTTGCCTCCGTACATTCTTTCTGACTCAGGCCAACACTGTGTAGATTTGAGCCTAATTTTCGATGGGGCCCAAAATTATAGAGTCACCATCTTCTTTGGTTCAAATGAACCTCTTTCGCCAGATGCCTCCCCAGAACATTGGCCTCCATACGTTTTTTTTTTGTGACTCCGGTCAACACTGTGTAGATTTGAGCACCATCAAAAATTATAATTTTCGATGGGGCCCAAACTTTGTAGAGTCACCATCTTCTTTGGTTTACATGTTATACGACTTGCAACAGACAATTACTTGTTGTTCGGATGAACCTCTTCCCCAAGATGCCTCACCAGAACACTGGCCTCCGTAAGCTTTTCCTGACTCAGGTCAACACTGTAGATTTGAGCCCCATCAAAAATTTATTATTTTTGATGGGGCCCAAAATTTATACAATCACCATCTTCTTTGGTTCACATGTTGTACGACTTGCAACAGACAATTACTTGTTGTTCGGATGAACCTCTTCCGCAAGATGCCTCACCAGAACATTGGCCTCCGTACGTTCTTTCTCACTCAGGTCAACACTGTAGATTTGAGCCCCATCGAAAATTATAATTTTGGATGGGGCCCAAACTTTGTAGAGTCACCATCTTCTTTGGTTTACATGTTGTACGACTTGCAACAGACGATTACTTGTTGTTCGGATGAACCTCTTCCGCAAGATGCCTCACCAGAACATTGGCCTCCGTACGTTCTTTCTCACTCAGGTCAACACTGTAGATTTGAGCCCCATCGAAATTATAATTTTGGATGGGGCCCAAACTTTGTAGAGTCACCATCTTCTTTGGTTTACATGTTGTACGACTTGCAACAGACAATTACTTGTTGTTCGGATGAACCTCTTCCGCAAGATGCCTCACCAGAACATTGGACTCCGTACGTTCTTTCTCACTCAGGTCAACACTGTAGATTTGAGCCCCATCGAACATTATAATTTTGGATGGGGCCCAAACTTTGTAGAGTCACCATCTTCTTTGGTTTACATGTTGTACGACTTGCAACAGACGATTACTTGTTGTTCGGATGAACCTCTTCCGCAAGATGCCTCACCAGAACATTGGACTCCGTACGTTCTTTCTCACTCAGGTCAACACTGTAGATTTGAGCCCCATCGAACATTATAATTTTGGATGGGGCCCAAACTTTGTAGAGTCACCATCTTCTTTGGTTTACATGTTGTACGACTTCCAACAGACAATTACTTGTTGTTCGGGTGAACCTCTTCCGCAAGATGCCTCACCAGAACATTGGACTCGGGTTACCAGTGGACGATTTCGGTCCCATCAAACACACTTCTGCATAGGGACCCAACTTCTTCCAGAACCCATATTCTTTGCTCCGCATGTTCTACGAACGCAACCTAAACTTTACACCTCTTCTTTGCGACCTTCTTGACTCCTTCCCTCTGGATCCGTGTCGTCTACCCAACCCTGCATGTTTCCAACTTTAACTCACCTGTTTCCACATTCATATGACCTTTAGCTTTCGTTCACCCCCCCCTGGGCCTCAAGTCTGGTTCGTTCTTAGTTCCCATGGTCAGGTCATTTTGGATGGACGCATAACGCATAGAAGCATTTTACGAATATTATCTATCTTGTTTATTTAAACATGTCAGACATGACTACAAAGTTTTCATTTTTAATCACCGTAGTGATACAACTACAGTGCCCACCGTTGGGATTTGTGAAACCAAAAAGTGAGGCCCAACCGGATGTTAGCCTGTCCTGGAAAAGATTATCAAATTGCAACAGCCTGTTAATTTCTGGCTCATCCTTGTGCCCCTGATCATCTTACTGCATGAATCATAACCTGTGTGTGAGAGAGAGATAGATAGATAGATCGATCGATGGATAGATAGGTAGGTAGATAGATAGATAGATAGATAGATAGATAAGATAGATATAGTGGTTACACAATCCAGTGTGTGTGTTGTTTGCATGGGTGTGGGCCAACCGTTAAGTAGGTGCGAAACATTGTTCCCATGAAGTTTGGTCATGCGAAGATTGTAAAGTCATATGGTAGCAAGCCAAGTTGGGAGTTTGGGGTGAATTAGGACTAGACCCATGCCCAGGTGGATGTGTGTCACAATTTGGGAGCGTCTTCACCATCGGGTTTTCCCAGACCTGACTGTTGGATATTATGAGTTATAATAATATCCACATGTCTCTTGCTTATCAAAAAGTCGTGTCCCCCACCTACAACATGTTCAGTAATCCCTATCATCAAGTTTCGTACACGCGCCTTAAAAAGATTGGTTTGAATTTGAAGGACGGTTTAAAGGGATGCGTTTAATATTCAAAAAATGGAGCACTAGAAAGCCGACAGATGCCCGCAGGGGACCGCAGCACCAAAATTGCTGGGTGCGCCATTGAACGGAGGGGGCCAAGGTGATGGAGGGTGGGAACGGCCGGCGTGAGGGTTGAAAGGGATCAAGAAATATATTTTTAGTGGTTCCCAATGATGTTGAGTGTTAGTTTTTATGGAACATGCAAAAGTGTGGAAGATGGACAAGCAAGGAACATATTTGGCGGCGGAGAAGCCGTAGGTTGTGATTAATTTAGGAAGTGAAGAACGCAAGTACTTCCAACATCATTGCCCAGATAAGGCACACATTGAGGAAGAACATTCAGCTCTAAGCCTTCATAGCAGTTTTTCGGGATAGCTTGGTGATGTTTGGTGAATGGCCAGTCGCTTCCAAAAAATCCTTTGATCGGTGGGTGTAGCAGCCTTCAACATCCTTCAACTAAGTAGCTGGAAACACCCCGAACTTTTATATTTGGTTGGGGGCTGGGCTACGCCCCTCAAAAGCCAAAATATCAAGAATCAAAGCGTGACAGGATACAAATCAATAAAAATTGCATTGCTCACAGTTACCTAACATGAGCAACATGGTCAGCAATCAATCAAACATGCAGAATGAATAGCGCAGGCAAGAACCTAAACTCACGACATCAACCTGCTGTCCGCAGGGGTAAGGCGGCCCCACGTCCCACCGCTGAAGCTCCCATTGCCATTGCCTGCCTCGTCATCGACAGAGGCGAGGTGTGCTTGGGTCTTTATGCCAGATTTGGGAATGGTGTTTTTCTAGATATACTTAGACATTTGTACAAGTCATAGTTCTAGTTGAAACGTAATATTTGAACAAAGCCCAAAACACCCATGTGTAGAGGTGAAACATGATTGCCCACGTGAAATCACTGCCCCATGCTATTTCACCATTTTTTTCAGGAGACGACTGGGAATATGTTACTTATTTTCTGGGGCCCTTCAAATCTTGTGCTGCAACATTGAGTGCCCAAAAACTGGATGCTTTTCCCCAACAGCAAAACTTTGCTCTGGGGTCTCTAGCCCGGATAAGCTCCGGTGCGATCCGGTGCAGCTTCAACGCCAGGTTCCGGACAAGGTTGGGTTCTGGTGCCAATACCTCGTGAGGTTCTGGAGGGTTCCGGTGAAGATACCTGCTGAGGCTCCGGACGGTTCTGTGCGGTTCCGGGCGGTTGCAGATGCCTTGTGAGGTTCCGCAGGGTTCCGGTGCAGATACCTTGTGAGGTTCCGGAAGTTTCCGGTGCAGGTACTCGGTGAGGTTCCGGAGGGTTACGGTGCAGATACTTGGTTAAGTTCTAGAGGGTTTGGGTGCAGGTACCTGGTGAGGTTCCGGAAGTTTCCGGTGCAGCTACCTGATGAGGTTCCGGAGGGTCTAGGTGAAGATGCGTGGTGAGGTTCCGGAGGGTTCGGTGCAGAGACCTTGTAGGGTTTTGGCGGTGAAGATGCTTGGTGAGGTTCCGGAGGGCTCCGGTGCAGATACCTTGTGAGGTTCCGGAGGGTTCTGGTGCAGATGTTCCGATGTTTTTTATGGCATAAGCACTTAATTTTTATGGCACAAGCGCTTAATTTTTATGGCATAAGCACTTTTTATGGCAAAAACATGCAAAAACGCAGACACTCTCAAGCTGTTGGGGATAGCACCTGAGTTTATTTTACACCAAGAATTGATCAGAATCTGCCGACGAAGGAAATCAAACATTGGTTCCGTACCCACACGAACGCTTCAATCAAAACTTAAATAGTAACCTGCGTGAGCACTCATGTATGCAATGAATGATGGCGGCCTGCTCCGCCTCTAAAACAAAGAGCCTGAAAGAGGGTTAGAGAAAGATGTGAAAAAACGCGGAAACATCGGACGCGTAGGATGAAACTGCTGAAATTGTAAGGCGCCCGGAAAAATAAATTGGTGGCCATGGGGCCGCACAAATACCCACAAAATCTTGTGAAGGAACGGCCCAACATAATGTATTTAGTTCGTTTTTGGGGATGCTTATGGAGGTATCATGAAAAATAACCCCATGCATTGATGTTCTCAGAGGTCAGGATTTCTTGCACTGTGATTCTCCTTCCCGCCAGACGATTCCTACTGGTCCGACCACGGACGTGCAATCGCGCTGTGTTTTGGTCGCAGAAATATAACCCCTTGGAAGATCAGTTTCCTCGAGCAGATACTGTAGTGGCTTTCCAGCCTGTTGTTATTGAAAACAATGGTGTGACCAATTTTCTTCTCTTTTACATACATGCTGCGCCTGGATTCACGTGATTAAGTCGTTTACCTGCATTGATGGTTATCAATAATTGGATTACAACCGTTATTACAATTTATAACCCAGCTAGACGAGGATGATAAAACATGATAAAACCCACTTATTGGTCAGCAAATTTGTCATAGTTTGTCCAAATGACCTATCTTCTAACGTGGGTTGGTTGTTTGAGGGGGCCAGTTTCTTCAGCGAAAACATTAAGGTGTATGGAACGATCTTCTGGATGGTTTGTATTCATCATGGTTGGCACCCAAATCTTTATAAAACAGGTTGCTGCTGACGGCAAACACGAGATATTTGACGTCTAGGATTTCATTTCTTCAGATCGAGAACACAATATAAGCGTTCTGAGATCCTCGGTTCTACATAGATGATGGCCAGTAAGGAAAACCACCCTCAAACTGGCTCAGATGTTAGAATTTGTGTAGTCAGATGGTTCTCAGATGTGGCGTTTGGCGGGCTCCTGACCTTGAAGATGGCATCCTTTTGGGATTGGGATGTTAACCTGTCCCCATTGTTTTGGATGCCTTGGATCTGTATCTGAATGGTTTCCGGCAAAATCCAGACCCGGTTGGTCCCAAATATGCAGAATACAAGTACCCCAAAACTGCTTTGAATGATGAAGAGCTATGAGATTTTTGGTGTTCTCATGCGTTCTCCCAGAATGTTCGGACCCCTTTTCAAGGCACATTGAATTCCGAGTTCGACCAGTGGCAGCAGGCTGGGCTGAAACTGACGAGCAGCTGCGCTGGGCACCAAAACATACCAAAACTTTGAAGTTTCAGCTCGGTTTCAGCTTCATTCCTCGTTCGTTTAAACCTTGTGTGTCCGCTGACTTCTTGCTTTGGATTACTCTTACAGTAACTCTCTTTAAAAATATCGTGAAAGGCGAGGAGTGACTAAAAGTTTCACACTTTCCATAACTTTCCTGATCGAAATTGCAGCTATCCCTTTTCCATGTTTGTTTACAAGAAGGATGTAAAATGATGCCAGAAAGAATGCCAGCATTGAGTGGTTGTGCGTAACGGAACCCCATCAAGCCAAATACAGCATCCAATTGTTTCAGTTTGGGTAATTTTTGATGGATTGTGATGGCTATCGCGTGATATGTATTAATATTTTTGTATTGGAATATAGCCATTCAATCACCGTTCGATTATTGATAGTAGTTCGGCTTCCCCCTTGGTTTTCCAAGTCAAAGCATCTTGAGAATCTCTGAGCATTTGGAGACGATAAAGTGAATCCATGTGTAATCGGTCGCTACAGTGCCCATACGAGCAGTGTTCAAAAACCCCTGTTGGTTAATGATTTCTGGACGTTGTACTACCCGAAATGTTGGGGATTATCATGATCCCCTACGGGAATCCTTATTAACCAAGCAGTATAATTTAGTCACAAAGGGTTTTGAAATCTGCTCATATGAGCATGTCTGAAACTCTGGAGCCGGGTAATGTGACATGGTTAAAACATGGTGGTGTTGAGCACCCACAGCGTGCCTACACTTGTACATCATATATGCAAACAGATACAAATAGAATTATCGAACATTGGTCACCAACTCTGTGTACTAAAGTGATCGAAGGAAGTTTGGAAGTCAAACTTCCGACAATATGGACAGATGGAAAGGTAGAGGTGGGAAGAGTCAGAGAAGATAAAGGAAGAAGAAAGAAGATCAGAGAAGAGAAAGCGTTAGAAGAAGTAGGTAGAAAAGTCCCGAAATGCCAATGTTTTGTGCCCCGAGAGGGTCGGGAGTGGGCTTGCTAAAGCGGCGGGTGCGGAGTCATCTGGGGAGATGCTCCTCCTGCAACAACAACAACCACCACCACTGCCACTACAACTACAGCTGCAACTACCACTAGCACTACCACTGCCACTGCAGTACCATTACACTACAACTGCAACAGCAGCAACAACAGCAACATCGACAGCTACTACAACAACAGCAAAAGCTACAACTACCATTACACTACACCACAGCTACAAAGACACTACACTACACTACACCACACGACACGACACTACACCACACCACAGTAGATCCAGCAGTTGTGGGTGAGGTGACCGCTGCAATCCTTCCAAAAAACACAACTCCAACCACCTTTTGGTCCATCAGTGGGTTCGCTCTGCCATTCCTGCGTCACAACAACCAACCTTTCCTATAGGTTTCCTATCTTTGAAACTTCCGCCACCGCCTTCTGCGGTACTACTGGTATCTCTATGTGTTATATGCCTATGTGTGCATATAATGTTGTAGTATACTCACATTCACCAGGGACTGAACATACGGAACTAGACCATCCCCAAGTCTGGAAAACGATCGCAAGACAGCAAAACATGTTGGAAAACATCGGTTCCACTTTCATACTTCTATCATGTTACCAACACTTGCAATAAACCACTTGGATTTGTCTGAAGGTTGGGCACCCGAAATCCATCGGTTTGTCAGTATGTTTCGCACTAAAACGGTTGCTTTGGGGAATATCATTTTTTTCACGCTGCGTAGTCGAAACCCCGTTGTGCCATGTTTCCCTGTCACAGAGGCTCGGCATGCGGCAGAAACTGGTGAAACAATGCGTGACAATGACCTCCGCTTTCTCCACGGCGTGCTGCGCAGCCGCTTGGTAGATGTGGTTGGGTCAATACAAAGGGATCTGCAGGTTGTTTTGAATATTTGTATAGTGAGAAAAACAGCAAATGATTTTCGATCTTAAGGGCGCGTATTTTGTGGAGTTACAATTTGGATCAATTTGGAACATTTGTTCGGCTCACGGTTTCACAAGTCTTCGTCTTTTGCTGGCAAATCACGTTTTAGGGTAACTGACAACATCATTGGTTAACCGCCAGTGATGTTTCAAGGATTGGTTCAGTTTGACCACTGGAGACCATTGTCAACTTTATTGGATTAAAACGGTCTACCCTTGGCTATGCAATGGTTCATCTGGCTAATAGCGATCGTACAGTTTCCAAACCGGTGTCGGTGCAGTGAGCATTTTATGATACCAGAATTCACTACGCAAGAAGGACGTCCCTTCCAAATGTAGATCTGCCAGGTTGATGCGATTGCGTTTGTAGTGATTGTTGTTGTAACGTTGATGACAATGAATATGGGGATGAGTGAGAAGTCTCACGGGAGATTGATGGAATATTGATGGAATGTGGTTTCAAACAACCGATTTTTCAACCAACCAGTTTTTCAACCAACCAGGATATAGGACAGAAAACAATCAGCAATCTCAAAATGAGGCGCCTGGCTGACAAAACTTTCTTTCCTCAGCCAACTAGCCGAGGCTACTTGGCGGACAAGGAGATCCGCAAGGTCAAAGCGACCTGTGCTTTGAATTCACAGGAGTCGCAACCAACGTATTCCAAGTCAATGGAAACTTGGCTACATGGGTGTATTTGAAACTGGGGGACACCCATAGAGAGCAGTGGTATAATATGACACCCCATCGCTTTCTTGGGTACCCCGTTTCCAGACAAACCAATTTCCAGGGGAGCCAGCTGGAGCGGGGTTCGTTGGCTGGCTATGAAGATACGGTTTGTTCCCCTTTTCTTGTCCCCCGTTTAACGACAATGAAGCGTGCCATCCTTGTCATCCATGGGTAGCTCAAAACTGTTCTCATATCTAGTAAAGCCAGTGTCTGGATTGTAGCAATGCACGTAGTATGTTTTGGGGTCAATTGGGTTTGCTAAAGGCTAAGCCGCCCTCATCATCTACAAACTCATCTTTAAGCGAAGTTCAACCACAATTGTGATGGGTGATATCGTCAAAATTGTTTGTTCTATACCTCAGTTCTGGTCATCTATCGATCAGAAGCACCCTGGCAAGGAAGCCAAGTACCTACTCCCTAATACATACATATATATATATATTTATGGGTATAGTCTGATTAAGAGCTCTTTGCAGTGTTTGAGAACTTGTCATCGAATTCATAGAACTTGTCCACGTTTGCAAGAAGTCGTGCACGTTTCACAGAAGTTGTGCACGTTTCACAGAAGTCGTGCACGTCCCACACGCCACCCTCATAACGTTCTTGTTCAACTGCTGTGGAGTGGACGGCTCTCATTGGGGGCTCTTAACCAGACTATCCCGAGGTAAATAAATAAATAAATATATATATATATATATATTATATACACATACATACATTACATACATTACATACATTACATGCATTACATACATTACATACATTACATACATTACATACATTACATACATTACATACATTACATACATTACATGCATTACATACGTTACATACATTACATACACTACATACATTACGTACATTACGTACATTACGTACATTACGTACATTACGTACATTACGTACATTACAGACATTTCACACATTACACACATTACATACATTACATACATACATACATACATACATACATACATACATACATAACAATACAAATACAATACCATACAATACAATACAAATACAATACAATACAAATACAATACAATGCAATACAATACAATACAATACAATGCAATACAATACAATACAAATCAATACAAATACAATACAATACAATACATACATACATACATACATAACATACATAACATACATACATACATAACATACATAACATACATAACATACATAACATACATAACATACATTACATACATTACATACATTACATTACATTACATGCATAACATACAGACCATACATAACATACAGAACATACATAACATACATAAGATACATAACATACAGAACATACATAACATACATAACCAGCATAACATACATAACATACATAACATACATATATACATATATACATACATACATGCATATATACATACAAACATACATACATACATACATATTAGAAATTACAGATAATTTCACACTCTCTGAAGAAATTGTAACGACCTTAGTAGGGGCCTCATTGAAATTGATGGTTAGGACTGATGGTTAGTATGTCAGGTGGGTGAATTTACTGTTCTATAGCTCATCCAGAAACCAGGATCAGTTGCCCTTAGCCTTCAAACGATGCTCTTCAAAATGGATATATGCCTTGGAACTGCATGAACCAATAGTTGTCAAGATCAGTGGTTTCTAGCCATGAACAGAAATGATAGGAACCATGACAGCGAATCAGGTTCAACAGGGAAACCATGACCATCAGATATGAACGTATTTATAATGGTTTCAATGGGGGTTTCAATGAAATTGGTTTGTTAGCGTTCGTAGATCAGACTATGCTGTTTTGGAGAGGCTATGGATCACCTAGGAAGATCCCAGATGCCAACTAACCAACCAATATCATCAGTCAAGTGTTAGATATTATCAACCTGGACTCACAAGGACATCATCTCGTTGGACACAGACCTTGTGGCAGAAGAATGTGGAGCCTTGGCAAAGTTTGGAGCACAGGCGGGGTGATTCCCTTCAACAAACAGTTCACAGTGGATGGAAAAGACATAGAAATCTACATTATAGACATATATATATATAATGATGAAACTTGTTTTAGACAGTACACATAAAAGGCATGATTGCAATGATTTTTTTGACCCGGCCATCATACATGAACCATAAAGAGAGCCTGTGTTGTTTGTTCCTTTTTCTTCCGGGATCTTTATGTAAACCACGGGGATTTTTGACACCCATAAGTGAACATCCAAGTGAACTAACGATCACAATGGGATGTTTGTTGCATTGCCAACAGGCGCACAAGGAAAACTGTCTTCAACTTCCTGGAGCCTTACAGTCATGGTTGTTGTTGAACATGAGCCGAAAGTCAAAGACATGTATAGGTCAAAAACTTCGATGAGAAACCAAACACAATTTGCTGGGCTCTGTTTTGCCTTTTGGCTGTTTTGTCTGACCCCAAATGCCAATCATTTGTAATCTGTTTTCGAAGTGGCAAATATGGGGCATATCGATTTATACGATATAGTGAGATAAACCCAATAATAAACCATCCCCAATTTGGGCTTAGTATTCGGTTTACTACATGACCCTATTTCTGGACCAACCCCACTTTCGTTTCCCATCCCATATCATCGTGGGCCAAGCTTCCGAGCCAAGGCATTGAAACCACATGCCTTTTCCCAAGCTTGGGTTGGCACTGGGACACGATTTTCTGCTCGGGCCAAGTTGTGGACAAGCATGAAGTCCAGGTGAGGTGTTTCATGGGGAGTAGTGATGAGTAGTGGAAGACTGGAATGTAAATGCATTGGATTTATACCACTTAAACCAAATTTTGAATCCTTAAAATCTTTGAAGGGGGATTCAACCAAGCCCCCCCCAAAGGTGAACTTGCCAATAAAAGAGGCTTGATAAATCTTAATAAGCCCTTGGAAAAGTGACTGTTAGTGGATGTTTGTAAATAGAGTTTCTATAGGTCATAAAGCCCTGATTGTTGGATCCCGAGAAAGGAACCGGCCAGCGCAGGTGACCCGATGCGCGGCTAAAAAGTGCCGCTTCTGAAGGTTGAAGTTCGGTGTGGGACCTAGGAGTCACAGACAATGACAAAAGATGACAATATCGCATCGACCACACAGACACTGTTCTAATATTTTCTAATATGTTTCGATACATGTTCGTTTTATTCCCAGTTTAGATTATATAACTATCAACTGCCATTTAAATCGTTGAATGCACACCTTTGTGTGGTCCTTTCTGGTGAGAAAGTCTGTCTGTGACGATATTTCAAATCCTGCACCCTTCATGCTATCTTGTGGCTTCGGCCGGAACAGAAGCGAGTTGAGCCTTGTCGGCACGCAAAGAATGGAGGCAGTTGCCATGGAAATGTCTCGGTGTATCTCCGCGCCTCTAGGTGCGTAAAGAATTGCCAATTCCATCCGAATAGAGGGTCTAAACGGATGTTCATCCTCCAAATTTGAGTATCATAGGTATTGACCCATCCCAGATGCAAATTGCAATCAAGAACGCCATATAGGTCGCCCCAGATGGAACTTGCCCTACCCATAAAGTAAATCCCCATAAAAGCCAGGTGGGGATGGTTGATAACATGAGAACCACCCATTTGAGTTTGAATATGGGATGATTTGCTGGACACCAGAGCTGAAAGCCTGGCGGCCCTCCAATCCGTGCATGGCCCCGCTCCTCGCATGCGAAATGATGGGAAATGACCGTTCTACCCGTAGCTCTGGGCATAGGTCTCAAACGATTCAAGGTTGGTTTATCACACATTTGTGAAGTCCTTTACATATTTGACCACCAAAAACATGGCCATGAGAACATTTCACAAATGAACGCGCATCCTGTTTTCCGCCATCATATTTTCAGGGTGCACTCTTTTCAGATGAGCTCAACTCATGGCATGTGGCTGAGACTGTGATTAATGTGTGACCGGATGTGTTTCAATATTTTTAACAGCAATGGATCCACATGTCAGTCCAATGCAGGAATGCATCGTCAGTTCTTGGGGTATGCATTTTTGACCGATATGCCGACATGATCAGACCAGATTGGAAGGCTCCAACCTTGATTTTTGAGACATATCCCAGCTCCGTTGAAATCGAGCTAGCTTAATGCTTAAGCCCCTGGATGTTCGCCTGGCTCTGTCAACATGATGGGGCGCGCCATCCATAGAGGCTGAGAACATCAGTGCGGACAGACAAAAACACCTCGTGCGTTTGAACTCATCCGCATGTCAATGGAGATGAAACAAAATGGCAAGCCACCATCATAAATTGCCTCACACCTCCTTTCCAACAGTTTGTAACCCACGTATTACATTAACTTCATTTCCCCTCTAGGTAGACTTGAAGTTCAAAGGTTAGACAGCTTCAGGGTGCACTCGGAATCTGACGTGAAACGCGAAACGGAGTAGTAGGCTTCTGGTACTGGTGCCCCATTCGTCTCTGCAAGTTGCATGGGTTTAGGCCGGTTTAGGCTAGTGTGATTGCATTGGGCAGGGCCAGGGATCTTCCCGTTATCCTACATAGCATAGATTTGTTTGATGTTGTTTGTATTTCTATCTGCCCTTTGGTGACTTCACTGGACTTGTGTTCACGCTGAACAGTCATTGGTGTGGTTGTACCGGGCACTTTCGCTTGCCAGGCTGGGCAGGTGTGGGTTTCCTCTCCCTCAAACCATTGACTGCTTGGTACAAGGACTGCCCAAGGTGCTGATTTTCAACGGAACATGTTCAGGTTCAGCATTCATCAATTTGCCAGGATTTGAACGACAGGATTGCCTTCTTCAACAAGTGGTATGAAGGAGGTTTGAAACCTGGATGAGAAAGCGAAATCCAAGCCACCCAAGCCATGGACACGGTGTATTCTGCAGCAAAGCAACGTTGTACTTTCATACGCACAATTCTGGGCTACTGGTATGTCTGGACATAGGATACCTATCATCATTTTCGCATATTTTTTGTATCATTTTGTATCAAACTTGCCACTTTGAGAGTTTGCGTTCCATTGCTTTGCAGGTCATCCGATCTCCTTTTGGCTCCCGGGACTGTTTTTCCCACAGGTCAGCAGCTCAGCCACGACAGCCTGCCATAGCCTGCCACAGCCTGCCACAGCCTGCCACTCCTCTAGGCCTTCCTCACTGCGGTGATGCAGAACTTTGTGGCTTGGACTGAGATGAAGGAGATCTCAAAGATGGAAGGGAGCAAGTGAGTCTGGAAGTGGGGAGACGGAATGAATTTTGCAGTCATTTCACACCAATTGTCATAATCATGCAGAACCCGTGTTTTTTCCGGTGTGATATCTGAGGCACGTGCCCACAAGTACCCGATCGATCGGATCGACTTCGACATCGAGGCGTCGATTGAAATCGTGCTCGGGAGGTGAACCAAGAAATGTGCTGAGTATGGCTGATCTGAAGCGTACTTGTATCATCTTGTATCTTGCAGACTTGAATACAATTGAAACAACCCACTGACCAGTTCCTATTGTTTTGGATTCAGCTTTGTGTTGAGATGATTGTTGGAAAGACTTGAAGTATTTGAGACAGCGCCTTCGCTTTGTCCTTTGTTCCATTAATGGTCTGACACAGATTAAGTCCGTTCTGTAGTTTGACGAAGAACACTGACATGGACCATGCCTCATGCCTGCCAGTCTGGCAGGTGCGGGATGATGCGCAATTGGACGGAAGCGATTTGAGAGAACATCCAGAGGCGAGGCATCTTCAGTGCATTTTTCTTGGCTGTAAATGTTTGGATTGTTTGGCTGGCTGATCATGTTGGCTTAAGGTGGCTTCAAGTTTTTCAATTTTTCACTTGGGATGAGTACCCCCCCGTTGCACATTTTTGGGGCCACGGCTCAACCACCAGCCGGCTGCTGTGCGGAGGCTGGATCTTATATGTGCGCCCAGCAGTTTCGCACGGTTCGCTGTTGTACACCTTCACCATCCTTCACCACTCCACAGAAACTGCCTTGATTAATCTTGATTGCAAAGATTCATCCAGCCTGAAACTAAATGCGAACTTGATAGACTGGAGAGGTTGGGAGCTTGGTACTCGTGCCAGGGTCCATGGATATGTAAAGGCAAACCTTAAGTCTGGCTCAAGTAGTAGTATATATGTCGTTAATTAAAACCTCCCTGTTTGGTTGTGGCGGTGTGGACCAAATTATCAGCACAGGACACAAAAGATGGATTTGGAAAGTGGATCGCAGAGCAGCAGCAGTGCTTCGGAGAGCTCCCCGCAGAAGGTGGACGGCACGTGCATGGTGCGGGTGATCGAAATCTTTCGCATCCTCTTGTGCTGTGCCGGCTATGCTTGGGCATATCACTACTATTCCCAGAAGCACTTTGTAACCGCTGTGCGGTGGTTGCAAGTGGCCCTAAGTCACGCACTCTGCGGCACAGCGGTCGTGGAGGGAATTTGGTTCTATGAGGCAGCCGGTCGTTTGAAGGGCTACCATCAAGGCTTTGACTACTCTGTTGGACGCAATCCGTATCAAACGCAGAATACCCTGTGGTTTGCCACCAGCCTTGTCATAAGCTGTGCAACTTTTTGCGCCTACTCTGATCTAGCGCCTCCACAAATTGCCATGGCGGGCCTCCAGCTTCTTTTCTTCACGCTGTCAGCAATGAACCACACCTATGAGGCAGTGGCTCATGGCAATTGCCACTGGCAGAACATCAACCGGCCCATTCTCTCACTCCTCCTGCTTGCAGGAGCACTTCCGATCTTGAGCAAGGCTTTTAATGTGTGAGCTGATTTCTTTCGCCGGCAGAACCCCGGAACCCTGCCGGTAGAAGCAGATTCGATTTCGCGACCGGCTGACCAGCAATAGCCACTGGCAGCTTCATGCAACCCAAACCTACCACGGAAACCAAATGTAACCAGAGCACTAGCCAGCTAGTAGGTATGGAGCAGACAAGGTCAACGTCGGACATCTGGTTGTGGTTGTTGTTGTTGTTGTTGTTGTTGTTGTTGTTGTTGTTGTTGTTGTTGTTGTGGTCGTCGTCGTCGTCTTCGTTGTTGTTTTGAGATCACAACATTAAGCCGGTTTCATCCTTGCTGATATTGGCGGACAAAAACAAGACTCATGATCACAGGAAACCATTCCAGAATCACTGACATAGACATAGAACTTGGTGTAGTCACTGATGAAGTTATGCCTTCAAACCAATTCCATTTTGTTTGTTTGGGTTTTGTGAATCATTAGTGGCTTGGACGATTTGTACAGAGATGATACATGCAGCAGCGTGCTGCAAAGACCAGCACAGTAATTTGATAGAAACAGCAATCCACAAGTCTACGTCGCCGTTGCAGGAAAAAGGCCGTCCTTGTCATTTGTCGGACAGCAGTTGAGTCGTGCAACCATAACGCCACACCTGAACCAGCCAATTGTACTTGGTGGGTCCATTGGCGCCAAATTTGAATCCACACCTACTAGTAATACCTACTAGCTTCGTTAATTTAAACTCTTGTGGCAAAAACGGGTCAAAATTGGATACTCAGAAGTGGATGATTAAAATCTTCAAAGTTGGACACCGATCAAATTCCTGAAAGATGATCTTAAATCCTGAACATGACAAAAGATATTTCTTCTTCTGGCCCACGTGTGTATTTTCCAGGCCCCCAAAAATAAACAAATTGGTCCCCCGCCTTGGCGGCCCCAAACACTGGCAGGTACGGCCTCTTCTTGGAGGGTTGCCGCTGGGACAACAAGATCCACGCCCTGGGAGCCTCCCTGCCGAAGGTGCTCTTCACACAGGCGAACCGTGCCATTGTTCTGGGATTGGCCGTCCAATATGTTTTTGTCCATTGTCTTTGAATCAAGATACATGATGATACATGGGGATTTGGTTTTGTTTTTTTTTGCTTAAGTGTGACTCCATGTGGATCTGAAAATCAGCCACTCAAAATTTGAATGGTTAATCCTCAGCTCCCTCAAAGTTCGGGCAGAACTGCCTGTGTTCAACGACCTGACAACAAAAATCACTGGAGGTTCCTGTGGTGCACTTCATCCCGACGTTGGACTTCAAGGGCAAACCTGGGGTATACCCTTGTCCTGTGTACAAGGCACCCGACATTGCGACATTGCCCCGCACGGTGATGTATGGTTCCAGTGTGATAGTGTCAAAGGTTTGTTTCACCCATTTGCCATGGCCAAATTGGAGCGGCCTCTACCTTGGATTCCTTGGATGCGCCGCGCAGGTTTTGAGCAGAAAGGGTACATTGTCCACAACCGGACACAGTACGAATTTTGTTCGCGACATGATTCTGCCGACGATGGATAACCCAGATGTCGGATCCTCAGAAACTGCATGGTCTGCTTGTTGTTTAGATGTTCCTTGCTCGCTCTGGCTTTGGGGCACAGGTAAAGGTTCGTTTTGGGACTAAGGTCATTTTTGATGTAAAGGATAAATTTGCCAGTCCTTCCACCTTTAGAGTAGCAGTCCACCTCACTGAAGGATCATTCCAAGCGTGATGATCCACTGGCTCCGAGATGTGCGACCCAAGGTTTGGATCCGCGCTGGTGTTGCAGCCTTCTTGGCGCTAAAGTACTGAGCGGGTTTGGGGGGTGCCAGTGCCAACAATTCACATGACCATCCCTTACTGGAAGAACACAACCTGGACCTCATGACTCAGCCAATGCGTTTCAGTGACTGGGCACTGTCCCGCCTAGAAATTTCAAATTTGTTCCTGCGTTGACGAACCGCAGCTTTGTAATTGACTGTCGCCATGGCTTTGCTTCAGTCTCCAGAATCCTGCAAAGAAATCTGATATTTGCAGACCGAATAGTAACCCACAAGTTGGAAGGCTTTGTGAAGTATGTAGCCTCGGCGGCCACAAAAAATGTTTGCAGAGCCACTTCAGATCTTTTGATCTGGTGGTGCCCGGCTGCTCGTGTTGCGAGCTCTTGAATCACACTCCATGCATGGTGTGTGCAGATGCCGGCTGTGTACCATAGGGACACATGGCGGTTGTACACAGCTATCGGCGTCGAAGTTGCAGCTGCAAGCATGATCGGTTCGATCTTAGGACATCATATGACATATTATATGACTCATATCATATGACATATCATATGACATATCATATGTACAATATATTATTGTAATATACATATTATAATTATATATATATATATTATAATACAACAATGTAAGTTAGTTTCAACGATACTTTCTGTGATTTGTTTGCATGTTTTTGATTTGTTTTTGTTTGTTTTCTGTTTGATTTCCAGTTGTCTCAGGTGGCTGCTTGACTGCTTGACGTTTGCATTCGATGCCAGGATGGAAGCTCCCCTAGAAGGAGACGTGTTCCCGTTTCACCCGTCGCGTCATGTTGCGTCGCCAAAGAATGGCGCAGGATGCCACAGGTGTCTCCCACCCGAGATCGCACTCGCATGTTTTTTGATTTTGCCCGAAGATTTGGAGAGTCTACCAGCACTTCCAACAGGTTTGATTGCAAGTCACATTTTGTACATGCACGCAGCGTAGTGATCTTTGTGGTCCGTCGGCACCATCAACGAGTGTCACATTTCCGCAAAAAAAATGGCGCGATTGGGTTTGGGGACGCAACGTCTTTGATGTTTATAGAGGATATAGTCAAGAGTTAAGACGCCAATGTTATATAATGTTGGCAACAATTGGCGAGAATTATGTGTTATGTCTATATAGAGCAAATACGTCCATACTGTATCATTTATATAGTCTTCGTTGGCCAGTGGGTTCCTGGCCCCCTGCAGCTGGCAGAAAATTAAATCGTCAAAGATGGGAAATCCGAAAGCCAACATGTAGAGCGAGGTAGAAGTTTTATATCGATTCAGATGTTCCACACACACACACACACCCGCGGGCGCTGACTGTTCTTGGGGTCACCCGCTGCGAAGGTGCTGCGGCAACCGCACAAGTTCTGTTATTGTAGCAGCCCTCCGCGGCACAACCTATGGTAGGGGCAAACGAATGAGTGATTTTCTTGATCCCTGAGGCGCGACAAGTCTAGGGATGCCAGACCCTCTTTTTGATCAAAAAATGATTTACCCATTCTCCTTTGCAGCCCCCCTAGATAAAGACTGTTTTTTGGATGCGGGCACTTGTTGCTTGACTTGGAGATTTTTTTTTACATCTCTCTCTCTCTCTCTCTCCCTCTCCCTCTCGGTTCAAATCTTTTTGCGAATTGCAGGTTTGGTGGACTTTCCACCATGGCAAATGGAGCGGATGGACATGTTTAAAACACAGGTACTCCCATTGGGGTCCAACAATTTGCAGAAGATCGTTCTTGGGCGAGACACTTTTCTTTTTAAAGTTAGTGGAGACAGTTGTTTTGATCAGATCATAAGTTGTATGATTCCAATGCGTTTGAGCATGTTTGAGCCATCGATTCGCAAAACTTCTTGCAAAAACCCCAACATTTGTGTCAGCCGAAATCTGTTCGGAAAGCGCAAAATGGACATTCAATTCTAGAATTCTAGGTAGGTGCCGCAGTTTTCTCCGGAGAACTCAAATTGGCACAGGTCAAATTGTGAGGAACACATTGTTTTGTCGGATTTGATTCTAGTTGAATGCAGTGTATGCTGGGTACCACAGCGTTGTCAAAGGCTTGTTAAATCCTCAGCAACTTGAGGGCATCGGGAAACATTTGCAATGTTTTTGACTCTCAACATTTACTCTTGATGGCCTAAACACATGTTTGTTGTGTGTGTGTGTGTTGCGGGTGCGACCCCTGCAGTTTGATGTTGCTAAATCACACAACAACGACAGAAGAAATTGACATCATTTACTGCAGCTCTTGCTTTCACAGTGACAGAGAATAACGCACGACTCTTAGGTTTGTAGGAACTGAGTTCTGTGTTTTAACTACTTGTTTAAGACCGCGGATTTAAACCACTATCACACATCGATTTGCACGTTTGAGGGAATGGCCTGAAAAGTCGACGCCATGGAATCGGGTGACAAACCGAAGAAAGCGCACAAGAAGAGGTTCACTCAGACAGGAAGTGGGCATTTTTACCGGACCTAACCAAACCCAGGAAAATTTGGATTGAACCAAGAAAACACACGGATGTCGCGGTCCTTGGACACCATTGTGAAACCTGGCGACTGGCAGGGCAGCAGGGCAGAAAGCCAAGAAGAAAAAAGGCAAACAAAGTGGAAAGGACCGGATGCATTGTTGCAAATTGACGTGGTCTTGTCTTAGACTGGGGTTACACTGGAAGATGATGATAAACCACCATATTTCTGGGTTCCTTTTCTTTGGACAGACCAAATGTGTATTCAAATTACATATATCGATTTTGCTATGAACCAGCAGGCGGAGAAGCACAATCCAAAAGCACACACCTTTTCTGGTGGCACGCGAAGTGTTTGGGCCATAGCAATCCAAGCAATGCAGTGTGCCAACCTGGCTATTTGCAGAGGTCGTTTTGCAAGTTACCGTTTCTGGATTCAGGTGCAAAAACGTGTGCAATACACACTGGAAAGGCAAGCCAAAAGAGACAAAGCTCCAAAAGTTGACAAGAACCCTGAGGTTCAGTGCAAGTGGATTTTTGATTGATTCGAATTGCCTCAGAGATGATGCCTGCAATTTCAAAGAACGATCAAGGATGGTCATTGGTCATGTGATGTTGCAAGGTGCCGCCACCATTCATCGTGGTAATTCAAGGTCCTCCAGGCAGTACTTGGAGAATGCCATGGGTCTGAAGAGCGATCATGACCAGTTTTCTGGGTCTATTGCTTCTCCAGTTTGAACCCACCGCAGGTGTTGGGAAAACGACCTTGATCCAGTCGCTGGTGAAGCACTATGCAAAGCGGGTGGACTCAGCTTAGGTGCTGAGGTTCAACATAGTTCAACTCAGGTTGCTCAACTGCCTAGAGTCGCGACTGAGGCAGCGATTGATACAGATGGGTGGGCCAGCCAGCGACTAAAACTTACTGAGATCTTGGGAGGTTTTATGTAATTCCATGTTATTTTTCAATTGTGTTGTTTGCACTTTTTTGAACAAACACCTAGCTTGATGAGGTGACATTGGTGAGTGGGCGGCATCGAAGGTTAACCATCATCGAGTGCCCACAGGCTGCGCTGGCCGCTGGCCTTTCCTATCCTTTCCTGCCGCCGTGAACTCCAAGGAGTGTTTCGGAGTGGTCTCGGTTGTGCCTCAGGAGATGTCCGCCATGTTGGATTTGGCCAAGATTGCTGATTTGGTGCTCCGCTTGGAGGGAAAACATGACTCATGGAACCGGGGGGAGAGTTTCAACAAGGGGGTTGATCGCGATAGATTGAGGTGATGACATGGATCACTGTTTCTGAAGTCGCAGCAGAAACACTAGTGTCGGCATGCTTGGAATTGTCTCCCACGGGCTGCAGAAATTTCAGGTGTTGCTTCTCATAGACGCATCCTACGGTTTTGAGCTTGAAACCTTCGAGTTCATCAACATTTTGCAAGTGCAGCAGACTTGGGGAAGCCCTTGCATTTTTTTTTGGTGTGTGTTTTTTTTGCAATGCAATCTTATTAGAAGAAGCTGTGGGCAATTTGTGGGTGAACAATGGTGAACATGTTTCCAAGGCATGGGTTTCCTCGTGCCTAAAGCTCAGTTTACTTCGCGCAGTAACTATGACTTGGACATACTGTAAAGGCTTCCAAGTCCTTCCAGTCATGCAGATGCTGCAAAGGCAGCGAACAAAAACATAGGCTACACACGGCATATATCACTCACTCAATGATGTATTACAGCCTTTCGGTGTTGTTCAGGTCATCGGCGTTCTTACACATTTGGATTCGTTCAAAGAGAACAAGCAGCTCAGGAAGGTGCTGCTCCCAGCTCGGAACACCAGCGCAAGAACGAAGAAGTGTTGCTGGAGATCATGAGTTTAAACAAAAAAACATTGGCTGATCCACCATCTGGGAAATCTACAAGGATCTACAAGGAATCTATAGAAAACGAAAGCGTTTGGGGGCTCGTTTTCTCTTGGTTTTTCCTTGGGAGAAATGGAGAAATATGTGGCGTTAATTGTCTAAGGTCAAAAAGACGATGAAACATCGCTTTTGGAGCGGAACCCAGAAACGACGGGTCAAGCGAGTACCTGGGGTAAAACAGGATAGAACGGTGACGTACAACAGGTTAGAGTCCGCCGGTTACAAAATAGCGTCATATTATAACTGTATGCTATATAGATCCATATAGTTTATGTTATTTGATATTATATTAATCTGTATGTATGTATAATATATGATTATAAATTATATATACATACACGTATAATGACGTATATATACATTATATATATAATATACAAAATATTGCGACATGCACACAGGATTGGATATCAACGACCGAATTTTCCCGCCGAACGTTTCCCTCAGGGCTGAACTGTACGATGGCGCGAAGCTCTTCTACTTGAGTGGATTGCAGTACGGGTGTGACGCCAAGAATGCTTTTTCAACATTGAATGAGTCGGGTACCCACAATGTTGGATTGGTCCTAGTTAAAAAATGCCAACACATGATATGGGTGGCTGGGTCTTTTACACACCAAAACCGAACGAAATTGTTGTACAAGAGGATGAGGACTGGGGATCAATCCTCTCAACGATTTGACAGGCGTTATCACAGGCTGGAGATCCAGAATCTGGCTCGCTTTATTGCTGTCCTGGGCTCAGAGATTCAAGCTTCCTTCAGGGTGACTATTGCACTATATTGCACTCAACTGTAAAGTTTTCCAGACATTTGCAGTATACATATATATATATATAAGCATATATACAGTACAGTGTAGAATTACATGCAATCTATGCATCATTTACATTCATTTACATTCATTTACATCATACATGTGGAGTCGCCTCGTCGCCTTTGTTTCTGCCAGGTGCAGAAGGCCCCCATTTTGTCGTGGCGCCAGAGTCATCCCTACATCCTGGCGCTGCGCTGGGAAGACCAGACGGACCCCACCTTGGCGGAGACGGCGCCCAGGCACCGATTGGATCCGATTGGATGAAGTGGATGAAGGATGAAGATGGATGAAGTATTTCTATATTTTCTATATTTTCTAATTCTATGTATTTCTGTCTTTGTTGTTGGATATTCATCTGGATATTCATCTGGATTTTCTATGAGTTGTTCAGAACATTTCAGAACGTTCATGTTCTTTTGTGGCAATCTTTGGTGGTTGTAGACATAGAGGTTGTAGATGCTTGTATCCCGAATTTTGTTGGCATCAATCTCAAGATATCTTAAGCATTTTTCCTCAATGATACCTGGAGGAGGAACAGAGGAGGGCATTTGTGTTGGCTGTTTGCATCAACTTGCACGCAGAAAAACAAATCGTCTTGTATGTAACCACTTGAATTTTGGAATCGTAAGTTGCTGCGCATCAGGAGAGTTGATTTGTACGGCTATGCCGGGCACTTGGAACAGAGAAGGACAGCCGGAGGGGATGAGACTCCATGGTGGCTAAGCTGTTTGGATTGCTCAGCTGTCCCGATTGTTTCCTGCACAATGGGAGATCTTCCATACTTGGCGGTAGCAACAATGGTTTCCCGTAACATTTCCATACATTTTCTTTCAACCAACATCAACCAACGAATGATTCTTTCAATGTGAATCAGCACAACTTCAGCCCCACGGCCCAAGGTCTATGGAGGAAGATTGCGAGAAGGACTCGAAGTGACTCAGCTTTAAAGATGTGGAATGAAACGGATGAGACAGTGGACATATCATGACATGTGTGACATATCCCCCTTAGAATTCTGCAAACGGGACGACCCTGACATCAGCAGCGTAACCTCAGCACTGAGCCTCAGCACTTGAGGTGCACCTTCCTGGTGTAGGAGTGGCAACTCTGGGTGTAGCCAGCTGTGACAAGCTCTTTGACTTGGTTGCGGTTTATGAATGCCAATGATGTGTATGATCTGTATGCTGATGTTGGCATTGGGATGCGAAACGCTACTTTGTTACTGTTTGAAGATGAGTCGTTATGTTTTCTCCGTATGTCAGGAGACTTCAACGTAGCGGGCATCAAGAAACTATCTGATCCGACGCTACCTCAGTGTCTCTTTCATGCTTTCCAGTGCATTTTCCCTCAAACCAACCGAAAAAATGACTAGTGACTAGTGACACTTGGTTGGGTGCCTCAAAATATCTGGTTGTCAGCAGATGTCAGCAGTTTTCAACATCATTCAGGATGAGGATCCGCATTGAGGTGTCCCCCTCCCATGGAGACGGAAGCTGAGCGGAGAAAGGCAGCTGCGCGAAAGCCGGATGAGAAGTCGGGGGGCTCAGCCTGGCTGTGGGCACCAAAATCATTGATTTCCAGGGGGGACATGTTATCTGTATATATGATTATACCCAATAGTATATATATATATAGAATATATAACTGTTCAATACTGTTCATAATGATTCAGAACTAGGAATTACAGTGATAATTGTAGTTGTAGTTCTCCTTGTCGTAGTTGTAGTTGGAGTAGTTGTTGTAGTAGCTCCATTGACCATTGATCAGCAAATGTTTCTCCCATCCATCGCATTTGATGGCGTCATTGGCTGCATGTCACCAGGGGCGCAAGGGCTTTCATCCACATGTGGCCCATAGATGTCCTTTTTGCGCTGGTTGCTTAATTCATACAGAAACAACCTGAAACAAGCAATAGCTTCATTATGAACTAAATGGGGTTGATGTTTCAAAGAGAAATAGCAAAGTAAGTCATGACTTAGGATAGTCAATAGATGTCAATAGGCTGAGCAGGTATACGAAACCAGCCCGCAAAATTGACAGAATTCTGGGTGAAATCTCAGGCCGAAGACGAAGAATGCACTTCGCACCTTGGCAGAGCGTCATCGTGTGGTTTATGCTCCCGGCTCGGACATCGGCAGCATCACGGTGGATTCGGAGGCGGGAGACCCAGTGGACCTGTGGCTTTGTGCACAAGCTGTGGATACCCCCAAAAAAGCGCTTTTAATTGGGAGGAAATGGATCAATCATGAGATTTTGGGTAATGGTTGTGTCTTCAGACAAACCAAATGATTCCAAATGTACTGGTCAAACGGTATGCCATGTTGGCATTTGTTTTAATTGTTTTCTTCGTTAAATCCTCATTTCGGCAGTTAGATTTATATCCTTTTCTTTTTATTATTTTTCCCGAGAGCGTCTGAGCGCAGGGTTCTTCCAATAGTGGGGGTCTGTATCTCATCTTCTCATCTTCACACCTTCTCATCTTCACACCTTCTCATCTTCACATCTTCTCTCACACCTTCTCATCTTCACATCTGCTCATCTTCACATCTTCCCATCTTCACATCTTCTCTCACAACGAGAAGAGCGAAAAGAGGAGAGAAAAAAGGAGGAAGAGGAAAAGAGGAGAAGAGAAAAGAGAGAATGCGGAAAAGGCGGAGAAGAGAAAAAAGGAGAAGACGGAAAAGAGGATAAGAGGAAAAGGGGAGAGGAGGAAAAAAGGAGAGAACAAAGAGCAGAAAACGGAGAGGGAAAAAAGGAGAAGAGGAAAAATAAAGGATAAGCGAAAAAGGAGAAGAAGGACAAAAGGAGAAGAGGCAAAACAGGAGAAGAGGAGCGAGAAGAGGAGAGAAAGAGAGAAGAAAGAGTGAGAGAGACTGGAGCAGAGAGAAGGGGAGAGCAACGGGGAGAAGAGAGAGAGAAGGAGGGAGAGGTCGAGAGGGAGGAAGAGGGTTGTTGGTGCCGGCGGGGAGTCACGAAACGTGAACCCTTTCGCACGAAATGAGGGTCGATCGGCGAAAATTGCGGTAAAATTGCGATTTTACTTGTGCCGGAGCAACCCTTTCGCACGAAATGCGGGTCGATCGGCGAAAACTGAGGTAAAATTGCGATTTTACTTGTGCCGGAGCAACCCTTTCACACGAATGATGGTCGATCGGCAAAAACTGAGGTAAAATTGCGATTTTACTTGTGCCGGAGCAACCCTTTCGCACGAAATGATGGTCGATCGGCAAAAACTGAGGTAAAATTGCGATTTTACTTGTCCTGGAGCAACCCTTTCGCACGAAACGAGGGTCGATCGGCGAAAACTGAGGCAAAATTGCGATTTTACGTGTCTGTGTGTAAAAGCGTCCGTGTGTAAACGTGTTAGTGTGTAAAAGCGTCTGTGTGTAAAAGCTTTTGTGTGTAAAAGCGTCTGTGTGTAAACGCGTCTGTGTGTGTAAAAGCGTCTGTGTGTAAAAGGGTCTGTGTGTAAAAGCGTCTGCGTGTAAACGCGTCTGTGTGTGTAAAAGCGTCTGTGTGTAAAAGGGTCTGTGTGTAAAAGCGTCTGCGTGTAAAAGCGTCTGTGTGTAAAAGCTTTTGTGTGTAAAAGGGTCTGTGTGTAAACGCGTCTGTGTGTAAAAGCGTCTGTGTGTAAGAGTGTCTGTGTGTCAAAGTGTTTGTGTGTAAAGGCGTCTGTGTGTAAAAGCGTCTGTGTGTAAAAGCGTCTGTGTGTAAAAGCGTCTGTGTGTAAAAGCTTTTGTGTGTAAAAGCGTCTGTGCGTAAAAGTGTCTGTGTGTAAAAGTGATTGTGTGTAAAAGCGTCTGTGTGTAAAAGCTTTTGTGTGTAAAAGCTTTTGTGTGTAAAAGGGCCTGTGTGTAAACGCGTCTGTGTGTAAAAGCGTCTGTGTGTAAGAGTGTGTGTGTGTCAAAGTGTTTGCGATGCAAACTATTGTCTTGCACTTCTGCTATTTTGTCTTAATACTCCTCTTCTCGACTGCATATAACACATCTTTAATATATTGTTTCTAATATGGTGTCTCCATACTAACAAGAGAAGACCCTGCTCCTCTACGCTCTCGGGCCATCCGTGGTCTAGTTTTTTTTGGGTGAAACAATTTTACACATCCTTTGACCTTTGGTCTACTTCTAAAGTTGAAACCATTCAATTTGATCCATGCCCGGTTGGTTCAAGTTGCTGCACGGATGATAGCGATCTCGCACCAATTGCTCGGCTGAGGCGATGTATATCTATGTTCCGGACCAGCAGGCCGGTGCTGAGCGGCCATGAATCACCCAAAAATCATGATGCTACTACGGACAAAAGGACGCTAGCAGCAAACAGCTGAAGGATGAAGGTGGTGTGCAAATCTTGATGTGTGAAGTTTTCTGTCTACTTGGCTCAAGCCCTCCAGCTCTCAAAGCCGTCTCTGACCGTTCACACCGTTCGCTTTCAACAGCAGCCATGCGTGAGCTCGTGCACGTTCAGGGAGGACAGTGCGGCAACCAGATTGGTGCAAAGTTCTGGGAGGTCATTGCGGACGAACACGGCATTGACCCCACCGGAACTTATCATGGTGATTCCGACTTGCAGCTTGAATCTCGTTGGCAAGATGACGGATATAGACTTTCTTTCCCTTGTATGTTCTTGTATGATTTGGTTCTTACATGTTCTCACGATGAAGTCTTTCATGATACTAGGGTACAGTATAACCATGATAAGGATACAGAAACAACGATAAGGTTTTAGTAACGCTGATAAGGACATTTGGTTAAAACGACAAGATCACTACCGTTAGTAGTAATAGTAGTAATACATTATCATATTCTATGTATGTATTTATATGTATTTATCATATTCTATGTATGTATTTATCATATTCTATGTATGTATATATAATCATTAGTACTAATACATTAATATGACCGATAACTGACATAAATACATTGACCGATAACTGTTTTGCGTGTTCATTATTATGCAATTTTTGGCTTTTGGCCAACGACAAGATGGGAGATCCCTGGCCGTATCCGATTGCAGGGAGCCCCAGCATCCTGTGAGGGGCATCTGAAGCGTTGCATCTCAAAGCTGGGTGACGCATAGCTGGGTGACGTGGCATTGCCCAGCAACATGTCCTAAGCGCAATCAAGGGTTGTGGAGGTTATGCGGTTTATGCCATGGTTTTGGCCAGGCCTCGAAAATGCCAAGGCGTCGGTTGCGAAAAAACTCTCTGTTTCGTCCGCGCGGGTTCCCAGCAGTGTTTGCGCCGACCGCTGCTCGAGTAGTCGCAAAACCATTAGCTTCCAGAACCATGCACAAGGCGCGTCGCCTTTCAGTTCTTCTTGAAGTCACTGAAGTCGACCGGCAAGGTGCTGTTAAGTTTTGTTCCACTTATACGGCTAAGTTGGGGCGCTGCTTCTACAACAGGCCATGGCTTTTGGAGATGCCGTGCAAGAATGGAAGAAAACCAAAGACAGAAGTTCATGGACGACCAAAGCCAGGGTTTGGTGAGAAACTCAGTAGTCGATGTGCGCGCTGGTGAAAACTTACCCACCCCACTTCCAAAACCTGACGTTGCAGGAATGCTGCGCTTCGCCGTTCTTTTGATGTGGGCAATCGGAAGGTGCTCGAAGCATGTTTTTTTTAATTATCAGATGCGTTTCTATAGCGTAGCTAGTCATGTTTCATGGCGCTGGCCTTGATCTTTGGCTTGCCTGCGATGTCTGTATCCCTGGAGGCTCTTTCTGAATGCTCTTGCAACCTGAGCCTCTCATGTTAATTTCCTTTCTATGTTTCTTCAGTTCGTTCTCTGAAATGCTTATTGTATGCTTCGCCAGGCATTCGATCGCTTGGCTCAGGAACACCAGAAGCAATGGATAGCGAGATTGGAACAGGCCAGTTCGGGAGTTATTTGGAATAGAACTTTTACAATTACTGGCTTGTTGTTATACTCATATTCGTGAACCGGCGAACCATTTGTTAATACAAGTGGGGAACAGAAGAAGTAAAACAAACCACCAAGTGAGCGTTCTTTAAAGCATGAGTACTGGTTGTTCGCAGCTCCGGACAGCTTCAACAGACTCCAGCCTCATCGGCATTTCAAACCTTTCAATTTTCCCTTATATATGCGCCAAATTACATAGGGGCTTGCAGAGATTCTCGCGATCTCTTGGCTGTGGTCGCAGTATGTCAGGAATTCTCCTGACGCAATGAGACGATTAAATGCCAGGATGGTTTCGATTAGCTTCCTTTTCAATTTCATAGTTCATGGTAAACACATGTAAACACATGTTTTGGATTTTCTAACGCTGTTCCTATCCTTTTGCAGGCTTTGTCAATCTGTGTTGGAGTTCGTTTTTTATTTCAGCAGTACTTAGCCTCAACCGCTTCTTTCTAGTCACTAAATTAAGCAAGATGGAAACCTTGGGTATTTTTTGTCTACACGCCCCAAGTAAAACACTCTTGCGGGACACTCTTGCAAGCCACTCCTTATGACACATTATGGCACTCCTGCCGAAACTCTTGCAAGACACTCTTGGTATGACATGGTTGTGGGACGCCCCTGTAAAAGATACTCTTGTAAGACTCTCTTGTTGGACGCTCTTATTCAACACTCTTGCTATGACGCTCTTCTAAGGCACACTTGGTGTGACACTTTTCCAGGACACTTACGTGACCTTTGTTCAACCGGCTCCCATGACCTTTCTCCAACTCATCCCAATACCTTTCTCCAACTGGCCCCAATACCTTTCTTCCGCTTGCGCCAAGCACTTTTTTGTCAATGGTCGTGTGACCAAGCTGTTTCCGGTTGCCGCGGCTTCTCCTGTGTCACAGGACAGGGCCACCACGGTGGACATGCAAGTTGAAGCAACCATAGGAATCCATAGGCGACAATAGATATGCCAAGTATAACATAGTAGGGCGAAAAAAACCCGTGGACAGCTTCAAAGCAGGAGGGTTTGTGGCAAGCCAAACATTGGAAGACAACGTGACATGACGACGTGGCGACCCGAGTTGACTTGGTACACGATTTGCTGTCTCAACCTGTGGCCGTTCGGTTTATCACCTTGTATCCCTTCCTGGTTTCCTGCGTGGCGCCAGGATTCATACGACGTGTTCAACTTGGATGCTTCACAGGAGAGCTGCGTATAACATGCCACCCATGATTCTGGTACCACGTGGTTCGTTAAAGATCTTTTTCAGAGGGGGCCTCATTTTTGGCTTACGTGATTCATGCGCAGCATTATATGGTTCATTGAAAATAGGCAGCTGTTGATGGTTGTTGGAGGTCTTGAAACTACCTGAGGTACCAACGCTGGGATTGCATGGGGGTTGTCACGGTGTCTCACGGTCTATCATTGTCTTTCATGGTCTCTCACGGTCTGTCACGGCATCTCATGAATGCTCTCACGGTCACAGTCTCTCACAGTCTCTCAGGGTCTCTCACGGTCCATCACGGTCCATCACGGTCTTTCACGGTCTGTCACGGTCTTTCATGGTCTGTCATGGTCTTTCACGTTTCTCAAGGGTCTTTCACGGTCTACACGGTCTCTCACGGTCACAGTCTTTCACCACGGTCTCTCACGGTCTGTCACGGTGTCTGACGGTCTGTCATGGTCTTTCATGGTCTCTCACAGTTTCTCAGGGTCTCTCACGGTCCATCACGGTCTCTCACGGTCACACTCTCTCACGATCTCTCACGGTCTGTCACGGTGTCTGACGGTCTGTCATGGTCTGTCATGGTCTCTCACAGTTTCTCAGGGTCTCTCACGGTCCATCACGGTCTCTCACGGTCACAGTCTCTCGCGGTCTCTCACAATCTATCACGATGTCATGGTGTCTCACGGTCTGTCATGGTCCTTCATGGTCTCTCACAGTCTGTCACGGTATCTCATGGTCTTTCACGGTGACAGTCTCTCACAGTCTCTCACGGTCTCTCACGGTCCATCACGCTCCATCACGCTATTTCACCTCTGTCACGGTCTTTCATGGTCTGTCATGGTCTCTCACAGTTTCTCAGGGTCTCTCACGGTCCATCACGGTCCATCACAGTCACAGTCTCTCACGGTCTCTCACGGTCTGTCACGGCGTCTCACGGTCTGTCATGGTCTCTCACAGTCTGTCACGGTATCTCATGGTCTTTCACGGTCACAGTCTCTCATGGTCTCGCACGGTTTGTCACGGTCTCGCACGGTCTCTCACGGTCTGTCACAAACTTTCATGGTCTCTCATGGTGTCTCACGGTCGCTCACGCTTTTTCACGGTTGGCCTTGGTGGCAGCTGCCTGCTGCAGGACCGTTACCCCACCTTGGCTCTTCTGCTGGACCTGGTCAACAACGCCATCGCAGATTTTGAAAAAAGTACGATGCAGTGCAAGATAGTTTGTTGGCGATAATGGTGTTATCGGGCTCGACGATCGGTTCTCTATCGCGGTTACCACTTTTTCAATCGTGGTTACTACCTCTTGTTTTTATCGCGGTTATTGCGCGCTCTCTCATGACACCATTGCTCTTGTATATAAGTGTTGATTCCTTTGGATGTGCCATGATATATCTTTGGACCTTCGTAGTTTTTCGGGGGCTGATTGAAACAAAGGTTTTTTGGCAGATCATGGGTTGGAACTTTCTACTTGTTAATGTCGCTTCATGTCTTGAACTGAGCACCATAAGTTCATTCATAAGTCATAAAATATACAACTTTGCAATGTTTGGACAAGCAAGTTGAGTGGGGAAACAGTATCGGCGCTGATCTGAATTTCCCGAGGAGCGCATCAATGTTTATTTCAACGAAGCAACTGGTGGCCGCTATGTGCCTCGTGCCGTGTTGATGGATCTTGAGCCAGGATTGATGTGGCCAAAGACTGGATTGATACGTTTGTTCCTTGAATTATAGCAAACCTCGAAATATCAATTGGCAGATTTCCATAGAATTAGAATTGCAATCTTTGAGCGCTTTACAAGGCTGGATCTTGCTACAAGGTGTCCTTAGAAAGTCGCTTTCAATGTAGCATACCCTTGGATCCCTTGGGAACAACATCCTGATTGCAGGAACCATGGACAGTGTTCGTGCCGGACCTTTTGGCCAGCTGTTCCGTCCAGACAACTTTGTCTTCGGCCAAACTGGAGCAGGAAACAACTGGGCTAAAGGTCACTACACTGAGGGAGCTGAGTTGATTGACTCCGTGCTTGATGTCGTTCGCAAGGAGGCCGAAGGTTGTGATTGCCTTCAGGGATTTCAGCTTTGCCATTCCCTTGGTGGAGGCACTGGTGCAGGCATGGGAACACTCCTGATTTCCAAGGTGCGAGAAGAGTACCCAGACCGTATCATGGAAACATTCTCCGTGATTCCTTCACCAAAGGTGTCGGACACAGTGGTGGAACCATACAACGCATCTCTGGTTTTGCTTAGGAGGAGCTGTGACCCAGTGTATAACTGTATAACTTCTTTGGGTGGCAGATGTGCTCTTAACAAGCCTTCCAAAGGTGAGCAATCGCAACCCACACAAATCCAGGAGACAAAGCATGCATGCATGATGCTTTTGAATGTCATAGCACCATGTGTCCCAGTTTCCCTCCCAACTTCACTGTTTGATTCTAGATGGTTTTTGACACAATCAGTGATTTGACCAAGGCAGTCTTGAGCTTCCATCAGTTGGTGGAGAACTCGGATGAGTCCTTCCTGCTGGACAACGAAGCATTGTACGATATTTGCTTCCGCACTTTGAAGCTGACCACACCAACATATGGTGACCTGAACCATTTGGTGTCTGCTGCCATGAGTGGTGTGACCTGCTGCTTGCGTTTCCCAGGACAGCTGAACTGCGACTTGCGCAAGATTGCCGTGAACCTTGTGCCATTCCCACGTTTGCACTTCTTCATGACTGGATTTGCACCATTGACCTCCCGTGGTTCTCAGCAGTATCGTGCACTGACTGTTCCTGAGCTGACCCAACAGATGTTCGACGCTAAGAACATGATGTGCGCGGCTGATCCTCGCCATGGCCGCTACTTGACAGCAGCCGCCCTGTTCCGAGGCCGCATGTCTACCAAGGAGGTTGACGAGCAAATGTTGAACGTTCAGAACAAGAACTCTTCCTACTTTGTTGAGTGGATCCCCAACAACATCAAGGCATCTGTGTGCGACATCCCACCGAAGGGACTCAAGATGGCAGTGGCATTTGCGGGCAACTCCACTGCGATTCAGGAGATGTTCAAGAGGGTGGCAGAGTACTTCACTGCCATGTTCCGCCGCAAGGCCTTCTTGCATTGGTACACTGGTGAGGGTATGGATGAGATGGAGTTCACTGAGGCCGAGTCCAACATGAACGACTTGGTCTCTGAGTACCAGCAGTACCAAGATGCCACTGCAGAAGAGGAGGGCGAGTTCGATGAGGAGGAGGGAGAATATGATGGATGAGCCAGGGGCATTGAATGGAACTTGGTGAATCCTGAGCCCATTGAGCCCATGTTCAACACGTCAAAGTTTCTCTAGACGTGTTCTGGGCGAATTTGCTTGGTGGTTTCAAGAAAGAGACTTGAAGCAACCGAGATGCATCAAAAAGGGACACTCCTTTTGATGGAGTTTTTTCCTGCCCAAAGTTACTACTCGTATGGCATGAAGCACCTTGTGTGGGAATGTTTTCTTACTTGTATATTATGATATATCGAATGTGTATGTATGTATCTATATACATATATATATAATGTGTGTATACAACATAGGCTTTATTGAAAGGCGGCGGCGGAGTTTCTGTGTAGAGACTAACTCTAGCCCACGACAGTCCTGCATGAGCATGATTTGCTCATTTCGGCTCATTTCCACACTTTTTTTTGTATGGAAACAACTGGGGATGTTTCAATTTACCTATGATATACCCATGTTTTTCTACAATTGGCATTGGAAGATGAACCATCCTGAAGAATCCAATTTGCCGTGCGCAGGTGGGCTTCACGCCAAAAGAATCGGAGCGCCTCGGTGACTCCTCGTCACCCCACTGTTCCCTCCATGGGTTGCTCTAAAAATGGGACACCCCATGGCCCATGGCATCCAGAAATTCCGATGTTTTAAGACCAGGTTCACAGTGGTTCACATGCAGGTTCGTATTATTTCATTTCATAATCCCATCTATTTCCATAAGTTCCATACAGATTTCCATATCCACAACAGTTTTTTGTGGGTCACTCTGCAGTTGCGGAGCTCATATCTATCCCCTGTTACCCAAAGGTCGCAAAAGGAGCTGCCAGAAGCTGTGCGGTTGGTGGGGAGCTCCCAGAAGATCTCATTCCGTGAGCCTGGCTTCTGTCACTTGTTGTTGGCTAGGTGCAATTTATGGTTCTATGTCTCAAGCTGGGGGTAAATGAATATATGTAAATCTGATTACACATGACAATTTCAAAGGGACAATTATGATATTGATGATCAACTATGGGCTGTTTTTTTTTTGCCTTCCCCCTTGTAATTTGCGGAGGAAAACCATAACTAGCCCGATTGCCCAATCGATTAGATAGGGTGATTTCTAACGTCTAACGGCTCGACCTGAATCAGGTTCGAGAGCTTCAAGACTCGGATGCCGCCCTGGACAAGGCATCATTGATGGGAGGGAGAAGATCAATCACACCAAGTCGGTAAGGTGGAACAATGAAGCTGATCCCCCTGAAGATTTTCCAAAAATTATGTAGTAATGTAGTAATCATACATATACTAGTATCCATCATGTCTATTACTAGTATGTATTATGTGTATTATATGTATGTAAATATCTTGTTGGTCTTCCGCCAAAGACAATTCGAAACTCCGGGCTTTTACCTTGGCACCCGGGAACATCACCAAGTTGTATGTGCATCGATGAACATCAATATCAACTGATGACAGTAACAGGAGCTAACAGCTAACAGGTGTTCATGTGAGCGGTATGAGCCATTTGGGTTGTCTCAAACATTTGGACCCCCCAAAAACGCATGGTTTAATTGGTTTATCATTGTCATCATTATCATGATGTTTGAAGATCGTTTAGGTATTCCCCCATTGGTGCCACATCCACATGATGTGCTGAGGCGTCTGGACAGTCGAACCTTCGCCTTCTGGGAAACACCAAAGTGCGGATGGACCCACAGCAACCTCCAGGCGGGAAGCCCCTCGAAACACTGAAGATTTGATGGATAGATTCGGATAGATCATGATATTCATGATCGATTCGATAGATCTTCGTTTCGTCATCTAAACGATAGATACTTGGCCCATCTTGGCCCCCTTTGTTTTGGACGATTTCTTTCAGAGAAGACACGGTGAACTCACCTGCAGAGTTGCAGATGATCTCTGACTTTGGGATGTCACCAGGTTGATGTCTGAGTTTTTCTATGTTTTTTTCATGTTTTTTCTATTGTCCGAATTCAGGGTGTCCTGCACGTTTTCCATCAACCCTGGGGTCGAGTATATGCTCATTTCCATTTCTATCATTTCAGTTAATAGCTCATAGCGAACATGTACAGTAGACAAACCAGACTTTGGGCGGACATACTTTCCAATTTACTGTAACTGCAGAATTAGGTGTGGGTCACCCTTAAAAACGAGGTGGGTCAAAATTGAAGACTTAAGAGAGATAAAGCCAAGTGTGGCATTGGAAACGAGACCAGTGACCAAAACGAGGTCAGGGAATGGAAAACAAACTAGGGTCTGCCACCCCTTTTGCAGTATATAATCTCAAATGACTTCCGTCGCCGGAGAGGATTTCCGGGTTTTTTGGAAGCCAGGAAGCCACATCCGAAGACCAGCACCAGAGACAGTGGGCGAGGAAACGGACGAGGTGCCATCCAAGTCGTGGCTCCGGACGTGACCCATGCACATGGGCATTCCTTTCAGGCGAATCTGTAAGATTCTGTAAATCATGATGCCACTGATGCAGCATTGAATATGGTAAATCACACCAGCATTTGGTACAAACATACCTGCGAAACAATTTGCTGGCAAGTTGTAAGTTGTATGAGCGAAGTTCACGGTATGTGGTGATGCAGTGACTGCAGTTGTCATGATGCCACAGGGCGATGTGGATGCTGACGCCGAAGGGGAGGAGGAAGCCGACGATGAAGATGACCCTGAGGAGCCTTGGAGGGGCCCTTAGCTAGACCCTTCTAGTTAGTTTTCTAGCCGGCTTGTTAGACATGATCTATCCAATTATCATTATCATCAATTTCCTTGTTCTAGGGAAGTTTTTGCTTTCATTACATATGATGGGCAACTTGATGATCAACCATGAGATATATTGGGATACCATCAAGTAAACCACCACAGATACAGAAAATCAATGAACATCCATGAACATCCACCATTTGTAGATCATTTTCAGGGGAAACCATGGGAAACGGATGGATTTCCATGTGGTTTCCCGCAGAGCTCCCGTCCTTCTGGCAGAGGTTCCCGCAAAGTTTGGCCAGGAGCGCGATGAGGAAATGCTGCAGCGAGCGGAGCAGCGCTTTTCCCGTGCTCCGCGACTGGAAGAGATAGCGGAAGCCTTGGAGAGGTTGATGTTTTGGAGATGATCATGTGGTTTCAATATGTTTCAATCCCCTTCAATCCCCTAGGACCATGTTCTTTTTTGGGCAGTGTTATATGAATGGGGGATGGGATTATACAACTGACAGAACACAGTGCTACTGTAATTGCTGCTTTTGATTCTCTGAAAAAGTGCGATGATACTGCAGGTATGCGAAAACAAATCTGTAGAGTTTCCTGATTGTATCAACTTTGCTGACAGTGTTGGGTCTATGGAAAGTCATCGCTTTCCGAGGTCTATGGAAGTAGCAGAGTCAACGAGCAGTTTGGAGGTGCATCAGGTGCTGGCCGAGTTGGGGACTGCTTGAAGATGTTGAATCAAATGTCATGAAATGGAGGTTCCTAAGTCATGTGGGCACCCCAATAGCTGGATGGTTTATAATGGAACATCCTATTTACCCTCTGGTTATTTAACATAGCCATGGAAAATGGTCCATTTATAGATGGTTTACCTATTAAAAATGGTGATTTTCCATGGCTATGTTAAATAACCAGATGGTAAATCTATTTAAATGGATGATTTGGGGGTCCAAACTACATCCAACTAGCCAGGTGATCTCTAAGGGAGCTCCTTGGGAGGCAGTCGAAGCACACCCGAGAAGAGCAACGGGGCAACAGACCACCAGACGGTGCCATTGTGCCTCGAAAAGACCAAGGAAGGGCGCATGTGGAAGAGCGATTTTTGGGGCTTTTCAAATCTAGAAAAGTGGGATGATTTTTGATACTAACTTGTGAGTTCAAGGGCCTGAGCGCCTCCAATTGTCACAATTATCATGGAACGGGGAGTTTTTGATCAGTTACTTTTGGTATTTCAGTGGTTATGTGTTATGACAGTAGACTCAGTAGACCAAAGTCCCATGATCATCGAAGCAGCCATTTGGAGCCTGCATGGACAAACAACAACTATGGTCTCAAGTGGCAGGCTTTGGACTCGTTGAACCGGTGGCTTCTCTGAGGTTCGATGACGAGGAGGAGGATGAGGATGATGTGGGCGCAAGGACAGAGAGTGTCCCTGGAGTGAAGACAGATGCAAACTAAGAAAATGGGCTATCGACAGAGGTTCAAGGTTTGATTCACCCAAATTAAGGGCTGCCGCCCCTGCCGCCGACCCCGGAAAAGTGAAGAAGCCGAGGGAGGTCCACGACCTCGATTCTGTGGCTATTGGCTGCTGGCTGCTACTGGCGCTGGCTGCTAGCTACTGGCTATGTGCACCTTTTGCGTGCTCTTGCCCACGTTCTTGACACCCATTGGTGCCATCCTTGAAAAACACAATTTTTCGTGCTGCTAGCTGCTGCACTGCTGCCGTTGCGCGTACTGCTGCTGCGTCTGCTTGTGTCTGCTGCTGCCTACTGATGCTTGCTGCTGCCTGCTGCTGCCTGCGGCGGCCTGCTGCCTGCTGCTGGTGCTGCTGCTGGTGGCTGCTGCTGCTGTGGTGCTGCTGTCGTGCTGCTGCAATCAAACAGCTTCCAAAGCAAGAAACAACTGCTGCTGCTGCTGCTGCTTCTGCTGCTGCTGCCCTTTTGCGTGCTCTTGCCCATGTTCTTGACACCCATTGGTGCCATATAAATGAGAAAATTACCAAACGTGACGTCTGAAACCCTATAGAAATATATACAAGATATATAGAAGTGCCTAACGTGTCGTCTGACATCCTAGAAAAACACAATTTTTCGACAGATTCTGTTGCTGGAGGCTGCTAGCAGTAAAACAGTTTCGAAAAAATCACCTCCCGGGGGAAAACACCAGGGCTCTGAAGGACGAGCGAGTGCCAGAATCACGCCAAAAAAGTGCCTAACGTGTCGTCTGAAATCCTAGAAAAAGCTAGATTTTTGGTAGGCTGCTGGCTACTGGCTGTTGGCTGCTACTGGCGCTGGCTGCTAGCTATACTGGCTATGTGCACCTTTTGCGTGCTCTTGCCCATGTTCTTGACACCCATTGGTGCTATATAAACGAGAAAACTGCAAAACGTCACGTTTGAAACCCTATAGAAATATATACAAGATATATAGAAGTGCCTAACGTGTCGTCTGACACCCTAGAAAAACACAATTTTTCGATAGATTCTGTTGCTGGCGGCTGCTAGCAGTAAAACAGGTTCGAAAAAATCACCTGCCGGGGGGGAAAACACCAGGGCTCTGAAGGACGAGCGAGTGCCAGAACCACGCCAAAAAAGTGCCTAACGTGTCGTCTGAAATCCTAGAAAAATCTAGATTTTTGGTAGGCTGCTGGCTACTGGCTGCTGGCTGCTACTGGCGCTGGCTGCTAGCTACTGGCTATGTGCACCTTTTGCGTGCTCTTGCCCACGTTCTTGACACCCATTGGTGCCATCCTAGAAAAACACAATTTTTCGTGCTGCTAGCTGCTGCACTGCTGCCGTTGCGCTTACTGCTGCTGCGTCTGCTTGGAAAAACGCAATTTTTCGATAGATTCTGTTGCTGGCGGCTGCTAGCAGTAAAACAGGTTCGAAAAAATCACCTGCCGGGGGGGAAAACACCAGGGCTCTGAAGGACGAGCGAGTGCTAGAACCACGCCAAAAAAGTGCCTAACATGTCGTCTGAAATCCTAGAAAAATCTAGAGATTTTGGGTAGGCTGCTGGCTACTGGCTGCTGGCTGCTACTGGCGCTGGCTGCTAGCCATTGGTGCCATCCTTGAAAACCACAATTTTTCGTGCTGCTAGCTGCTGCACTGCTGCCGTTGCGCGTACTGCTGCTGCGTCTGCTTGTGTCTGCTGCTGCCTACTGATGCTTGCTGCTGCCTGCTGCTGCCTGCGGCGGCCTGCTGCCTGCTGCTGGTGCTGCTGCTGGTGGCTGCTGCTGCTGTGGTGCTGCTGTCGTGCTGCTGCAATCAAACAGCTTCCAAAGCAAGAAACAACTGCTGCTGCTGCTGCTGCTGCTGCCCTTTTGCATGCTCTTGCCCATGTTCTTGACACCCATTGGTGCCATATAAATGAGAAAATTGCCAAACGTGACGTCTGAAACCCTATAGAAATATATACAAGATATATAGAAGTGCCTAACGTGTCGTCTGACATCCTAGAAAAACACAATTTTTCGACAGATTCTGTTGCTGGAGGCTGCTAGCAGTAAAACAGGTTCGAAAAAATCACCTGCCGGGGGGGAAAACACCAGGGCTCTGAAGGACGAGCGAGTGCCAGAACCACGCCAAAAAAGTGCCTAACGTGTCGTCTGAAATCCTAGAAAAAGCTAGATTTTTGGTAGGCTGCTGGCTACTGGCTGTTGGCTGCTACTGGCGCTGGCTGCTAGCTACTGGCTATGTGCACCTTTTGCGTGCTCTTGCCCATGTTCTTGACACCCATTGGTGCTATATAAACGAGAAAACTGCCAAACGTCACGTTTGAAACCCTATAGAAATATATACAAGATATATAGAAGTGCCTAACGTGTCGTCTGACACCCTAGAAAAACACAATTTTTCGATAGATTCTGTTGCTGGCGGCTGCTAGCAGTAAAACAGGTTCGAAAAAATCACCTGCCGGGGGGGAAAACACCAGGGCTGAAGGACGAGCGAGTGCCAGAACCACGCCAAAAAAGTGCCTAACGTGTCGTCTGAAATCCTAGAAAAATCTAGATTTTTGGTAGGCTGCTGGCTACTGGCTGCTGGCTGCTACTGGCGCTGGCTGCTAGCTACTGGCTATGTGCACCTTTTGCGTGCTCTTGCCCACGTTCTTGACACCCATGCCATCCTAGAAAAACACAATTTTTCGTGCTGCTAGCTGCTGCACTGCTGCCGTTGCGCTTGCTGCTGCTGCGTCTGCTTGGAAAAACACAATTTTTCGATAGATTCTGTTGCTGGCGGCTGCTAGCAGTAAAACAGGTTCGAAAAAATCACTTGCCGGGGGAAAACACCAGGGCTCTGAAGGACGAGCGAGTGCCAGAACCACGCCAAAAAAGTGCCTAACGTGTCGTCTGAAATCCTAGAAAAATCTAGATTTTGGGTAGGCTGCTGGCTACTAGCTGCTGGCTGCTACTGGCGCTGGCTGCTAGCTACTGGCTATGTGCACCTTTTGCGTGCTCTTGCCCACGTTCTTGACACCCATGCCATCCTAGAAAAACACAATTTTTCGTGCTGCTAGCTGCTGCACTGCTGCCGTTGCGCTTACTGCTGCTGCGTCTGCTTGTGTCTGCTGCTGCCTACTGATGCCTGCTGCTGCCTGCGGCGGCCTGCTGAGTAGTAGTAAGTAGTAGTAGTAGTAGTACTAGAAGTTGGGGTCGGCGGATATAGAACAGAAAAAATTGCTACCAATGCTGTGTCAGAAAATCCTTTTCCCTTTCGCGCTCCCCCTTGCGCAGCCGGGGTCGGCGGATATGGGCAAGAACCTGTTCCAGCGTGTAGCACAAGAATCACAATTTCCCGTTTGCCGCAAGTTCTAGGACGGCGAAAGGAGAAAAGTTGGGGCGCCCAGCTTCAGCATTTTGTGCGGGTTTCTACACCAGCTGCACAAACTTCAGGCAATCGCCCTGCTAGGATTTTTGGTATTGCTCTAAATGATCACTTCCCAAGAAAGGACACTTTGAATATCTTTTTATTATGAAGATCTATTTATAGTATTTTATAAATTTTTATAGTATATCTATTCGCTGTTTGGTTTATGGGGCTTTTAGACATTGGTCCAGTTTGACCGCCTAGGACTGGCTTGTTGGGCAACCTTGGCGATCTGGATGGCTTGGACTCTGTGCGAATGCCACAGCTTCCAGGGGAGGACGGGACCATACGGGACCTGCGGCTGGCCTGCGGCTGGGTCGGATGTCTTTTTTAGGCCTTGGAGAGATAGATAGAATGGTAAATATATATATATGAATATACCGGTAATCTTTTTCGAAACTAAACCATCCCGAATCTCAATCGAAATAATCGAACTGCTGCCAAATTCTGACCCATACCCAGCTTCATATTGAGTTTCCAACCTGTGAACAAACTGGCAGGAAACGCCATGGGACGAGGAAAGAAAAGAATCTCTGAAGGCAAGAAAATTCATCACCGGTCTGCTGCCTGGAGAAACTGCGGGAATCTGGGTGGGTGGTGATAACTGTGGATGGCTTTTTCCATAGCCTTGGTGCTAGATCATGAGGTGGATGGAGTTCAGCTGAAGAGGATGAAGGGAGTGGCGAGGCCCGGACTAGGTCTTGACTGAAGAGATTGGATGCTGTTTTTTGAAGAATAGAGAAGTTAAAATTTAATGTGGGGAGAATCCACTGTTGGTATACGAACAACAGGAATATACTCATACATGCCAAGAAATGGCTTGAAGTCGAAGAAACTTGGTTATATCATCAAAGCTTGTAGGAACGTGCGTCAGTTGTTTGTCCTATGGAGCCGAAAGGAGGTCTAGATCACAATTTATGCCCACAGCAAAACGTTCATTGTCTGAACATCTGGAACCCCATAAGCATCCATAAGCCATACACGATCTCATGGTTTCGAGAATCACATTCCCAATTGGAAAGAAAGCACCGATTTTCAGCCTCAGCTGGAGGAAGAGACTGGTGAGAAAGCCGAGGGGGCCGAAACAAAAGAGGACGCTGATCCAGCTGAAGAGCAGAAGGATCCCACCGCTCCTCCCGATGTATTTTTGGATGGTCGGCCCGGCATGACTCTGGTGGATGTGAACATTTTAAGACGAAAGCCAGATATTTGGGGCATTTCCAGTATTACATAGCCGCAGGATGCCACATAACCATCAGTTTTCTTGGATTATTTTTTGAGGTCCTGGATTTTGATCCACATCCATGCGATGTCCATTTGATGCCAGGCTTCCCTATTGGCAGCTTTGTGAGAGTGCGGCTGGAGGACACAGACTTGCGTAAATATCGTCAATGGAGTATGGGCCAAAATTTATGAACCCACCAAAATGATCCAAAATGGATTGTGAAATGCATACACCTGAATCGTCTACGTAAGATGAGATGGTGCAGGACGTCCCTGCTGCTTGTGTGGCAGAAATGCGCCGAGCAAAGTCGGAGGCTTAGAAATCATTGCACAAGGACTGAACAGCTCCAGTAATCTCGCGATCCCATCCCCCAAATAAAATCACACAGTCGTTTGGGGTACAAGAAATATCAAGAAATGAGAAGATCTCTAAATCTGACTAGTGTTCCTGAGGATTTCTAGAAGTTTTCTGTTTATGTCAGGGGTTGGGATTGCACGGCCAGGCCCATGATTCTGGGTGGACTGCTCCCGGGTGAATCCCGGATGGGTTTAGCCTTGGCCTCGGGCAAAACTGTTTTTTCACATTGTTTTTTTTTGCCGGGTATCTAAGGCGAATCTAAGGTAAAATGTCTCACATGTCCCAGAAAATGGTTACAGCGCTTGCGAGGTTCAGACCAGGATCAAGCGACATCGCTGGCATCCCAAGCTGCTGAAAACATATGACGCCCTCTTACTGTCCGTTGGCTGGAGGCGCTTCCAGATGCTTGGCTGGATATGATGATCCTTGTTGCTTCTTACAGTTGGCAAGTCTCTGGGTACACTCTTTGGGAAGCCAGATGGGGGCATACTGGCAGATCTTTTTCAAGAATCAGATTCCAACCGTGACGATATGATATGATTTGTGCCATGATCCTTTTTGTCCTAGATTCTCCACTTTGGAGAATTAGATTTTCGGTGTTGAGAGGTCCCATGCTACACCAGCATGATGAAACAGAGCGCTAGGTCAGGCAAGAGAGTCTTGCTCTGTTTCCACTGAATTACTAAGAAAGGGGTGGTCGTACTTTGCAGTTTCGGCATCGGTGCTTCGGGCGACCGCTCCAAGGACACTACCCGTGTTTTCCATTGAGGACAGAGGCGAAAAACGCTGCCGTCTCAGCAACGCATCTGTCAGACCTTTATCAGTGGAGGTGCAGACGTCTGAGGTATGCGCTACTTGAAATACACCTTGGAACATGCCCATTGTACCATGACCTGTCGGTGCCTCAGGCATGCCTCAGACAAAGAACCCAAAAACTGATGGCAGCTTTGAGCTGGTTGCGAGGTTATGGACCAATGGTGCCTCCAAACACTGGTGTTCTGGCCTTCAGGTGTGATGTTTCCAGTTGTTTTGCGCATTGCTCAAAAACTTGTCCTTTGTCATTCTTTGTCCCTTTGTATAGAGAGAGATGTTACAGGATTGTGAATGGGCCACGGCTCTTGTGAATTTTGCAGGAGCTGGGAGAAGGTTGGGCACTTCCGAGTTTGCGGGACAGGAGTGGCCAAAGCCTGAACATTTTCCCCATGTCCGAGACCACCATAGTCAATTTAGTCCATTATATAATTATATATAATATATTATATATAGTATATACGTATATATATATATAATAACATATGCATAATATATATATATATATATACACATAATAATAATAACAATAATAATAATAAACATAATAATTACGAAAGCCAGCTAGCTGGCTAGTTGCTGTTTGCGAACGAAGTGAGAATAGGGGGTGTGGGGGGGGGTGGTTGCCGAAAGGGAACGAAATCTCGCCGTGCCCCTGTGTTGAGCGCCAGAAAACGGAGCATTTTGCTGGATTATGTACCACTAGGTAATTTGCTGACGGTGGGGTATCGATTCCCCCTAGGTCCGCCTTTTTGGTGGCCGGAGAGACCATGAGGATGTATTGGAAAATACAATGAAACTGCAGGAAAACATGATAACGATCAGAGGAAATCGTACAAAATCCCCTGGAAAACGGACGAAAACGGAGCGAATGCTAGGAACAAACCATGGAAAATCCCTTGGAAAATGGAGGAAACCGGAGCGTATGCTAGGCGCAAACCATGACGATGCAGTAAACATGCTGGAAAAATACAGTGAAAGTGCAGGAAAATGTGATAACAACGAGAGGAAATGGTGCAAAAAGGATCGGAAAATGAAGGAGACAGGTAAAACTCTTGGATTAATATTAATATTGAAAAGGTATGAAAATGCAGGAAACCAGAGGAAATGGTGCAAAAACCTATGGAGGAAAGAGGTGAAAATGATAGGAAACATGTAGTAAAAAAATGCTGGACAAAACATATTGAAAACCCACGAAGAGGATGTATTGGAAAATACAATGAAACTTGAGGAAAACATGATAACGATCAGAGGAAAATGCTAGGAACAAACCATGCAAAATCTGTTGGAACATGGAGGAAACCGGAGTGACTGCTAGGAACAAATTATGACGATGCAGTAAACATGTTGGAAAAAGACAGTGAAAGTGCAGGAAAATGCGATAACAACCAGAGGAAATGGTGCAAAAACGATCGGAAAATGAAGGAGACGGGTAAAACTCTTGGAAAAATAGATTAAAAATGCATGAATAGACTGAAAACCCACGAAGAGGATATAGAAACTGCAGGAAAACATGATAACAATCAGAGGAAATCGTGCAAAATCCACTGGAAAATGCTGGAAAGATACAGTGAAGGAAAATGTGATAACAACCTGGCAGGAAAATGTGATAACAACCAGAATAAAGGGTGCAAAATCTGTTGGAACATGGAGGAAACCGGAGCGACTGCTAGGAACAAACTATGACGATGCAGTAAACATGCTGGAAAAATACAGTGAAAGTGCAGGAAAATGCGATAACAACCAGAGGAAATGGTGCAAAAACGATCGGAAACTGAAGGAGACGGGTAAAACTCTTGGAACAATATATTGAAAATGCATGAAATGCAGGAAACGAGAGGACATGGTACAAAAAGCCATAGAGGAAAGCGGTGAAAATGGTAGGAAACATGTAATAAAAAAAGCTGGACAAAACACAGTGAAAACCTACAAAAGAGAAGAAAGTAACCACAGGAAACGGGAGAAAAAGCAGTGGAAACTGGAAGAAAAGTTGTGACAATATTAGGAAAACGGTGTACAAGCTAGGAAATGCTTGTAACAACTAGAGGAAACGATGTAGAAAACAGTACAACATGGAGGACACGCGTGAACATGCTAGGAGGCATGTAACATGTTAGAAAAATACAGTGAAAACCTAGGAACATGTTATAACTAAAAATGCTTTAAAAATACAGTGAAAACCAAGACAATGTCAACGAGCGGAAACGTTGAGCAGGAAATCCGATTTGGTTTCTGTAGATAATGTTAGATGATGAGCAATGTAGTTTGGTGATAGGAAATAGTGGCTGACTCGCGTACAAGACATTGCCATGAAACCTTGGAGCAAGATGCGGATGGTATAGGAAAAAAGATGTATGAGTTGTAAGATTTTAGGAGTTGCATGGGAAAATTGGTTTCATGGTAATCTGTGTGAAGTTAGAAAAGTGTGATTTCGTTCACAGAGTAAGAAAAATAAATACAATCTGCAGATTAGAGTATTTATAATGCTTAAAGCTGTTTGACGTTTTTTGGTGCCTCCCTGATTCTGGTAGTTTTGTGATAAGAACTACAAAAACGATCTACTGGTAAACGGAAGGAATAGTCTTTCCGGTTTAGAACTGAGTCGACTGTCAAGTGATGCATAGGCTCCAGGCCTCTGGTTATTGTCACAAAGCATTGGAATGAAGATTGCGCCCAGGAGCCACCTAGGTTAGGAGACAAATGCTGTAATATCATTGTAAGAGGCCGTACTGAGAAGGCTGAAACAGAACTAAAAGTGAATCTTGTACTAAAACATCGAGAAAGAATTTGAATCTTCTAATGGCAATGACGGGAATGATATGCATCTGTACGTCCGTGATAGTATGTGTGCCTTTTAAAAGGGATGTTTGGCGAGTGTGATAGCTGAGAAGATTTTCCGGGATGCCAAACAATTATCTCTATCGATGTCAGGGATGATGCTATTCCGCGACATTTCCTGTAAAATACCTATTTTCCAGACCCTTGGGGGGTGGGGGGGGGCACCCAGGTCTGTAAATGGCCTATATATATATATACTTTTGATTTGGACTGCATGTTCGCCACTGTTCTATATTTCCCGTGGGTTTTGCATTGTTTTCCTCGATTTTCATTCGTTCTTATACCCTTTCTTACGTATGTTATAATATTGTCTTGGGTTTGCACTGCCCATTTTGCGAGTAGAGCTATGTTTTGATTTCTCACCGTACGGCCAAAATGTTGCGGAACTTCGCGGAGAAGCATGGACCACGATTCTGGGGAGAAAACAATTTAGACTTTGAGAGGTCACATGACCACTGTTCACACAAAAAAGCGGGTGTTTTTTATCTACAATAGGTGGGAGCAAACTTGCGCTGTTTTAAGTTTTAAGATAAATGAGCAACCAAAGGCGGATTTGCGGAACTTGATATAGAACTTTTCACAATGCCGCAGTACATTGTAGGAAACATATTTGGATATAGAAGTTACAAAATCGTGGAGTTTACCCTAAAAAGGTCCATTTAATGATTGGAAACTTATGACCCGATAGCAATTGTTGATGTTGGGGCGCTTCATGTTTGAGCCATGCCATATGGATGAGGTGGAGTTTCACGCGCCCCCGCGCGAGTCAAAAAGCAAGCGCTGGCTTTCGTTCCACCCCTTCTCAGGTCATAATAATAGTAATAATGATTGTAATAAATAACAATAATAATTGATAATAATAATAAATGATAATAGTAATAATAATATTATATATATATAATGTACACAGAAGGATGGTCTTTACTTTACATGTAAGTTGCAACTCTGACGATATGATGACACGGAAGATGACGAGGAAGAGATGACTAGGCTGGATGATGACGAATTTCACAAGGAAGATGGTGAACATGTTGATGATGCATGACTGGAGCCTGTGCTGCAGCAAGAACATCAACATGAAGTTTAAGCAACATGTGGATCAGTTGCCCTGTGGGCGCGGGGTTGCTTTGATGATGCTTGCAACAATCTCTCAGGTCCTTGAAGCAGCACCAAACTTTGATGTGAAGAAGAAACTAAAGTTGGTTGGAGAGCTTGGAGCCTCAGCTTCACCACCAGTTTTTCTGGAGAGATAACCCATCTTGATTGCGCCGCTGGAAGAGCTCTTGCCTTGAATACAAAGGAAGCCTTGGAGGATACCAGTCACAGCACCTCACTGGCATCATATTTTTGTGCTTTGGAGGGGTTCACTGCAGGCCCTTCAAGATCTTCAGAAATACAGCGTTCATCAAGAACATGTTCAGTTCAGACCTTGAGGTGCGCATTTCCTCTTTTTTTGGCCGCAGGAGAAAATTGTCCGTCTTGAAAGAGATCATGACTTGACATCAAGTCAGACATTGGCAGTTTGCTTTTAATTCAAGTTACTTCGATATGTCACTCCGGATTGGCAAGCTGATGTGGGCCGGGTATGGATCAGCGTAAAGGGACCTTTCTGGGGTCAACAAAACTCTAGGCATTGAGATTTACTAGCATGATTTGAATAATATACTAGCATATACTAGCATGATTTTAAAGATATTTACAGTCTTCCGAGGCATTTGTTTTTCACAATCCCCTTCTCAAACCATATCCAAAATCCCGTGAGCAATTTCGTAGCGACTTCCTGCGACCATGTGCGGCGTGCAGGTGAACAAATATATGCATGCGAAGATCCAGACCGTCAGTGGCATCCGAGGAGAAATCAAGAAGGTGAACCTCTGCTGATTCGGCAGTTGGACCGGGCTATGGCGGCTATGATTTTTGATATTTGTGTGCGACTGGACCAATTCGCATAGAGGCTTTCCTTGGTCTTCGGCTTGTTGGTGATTTGTCACTAGTCTTGATTTCTGGCCTTTTTGCGATTTGGCTGAAAGCAGAGCAACGCGTTTTGGCAGGCAGAGGGTGTCAAAGGAAACTTCCGAGCGTCCTTTGAGGTGGCTGGCGTCGTACTAGCTGAAGAGCTTGGCTGGATGAAGGGAGAGTAGGAAAACAGTTTTTTGTTTGCCACAGAATCCTCAGTTTTCCATGCATTCAATTTTTCCCTGAAGCAATTCTTGGATTTAGATGTAGGGGAGCTACCTTGGTATGGCACCTCAATTTGGGACTTGTAGTTTTTCAGGACCCACACATGGCTGGTCACTTTAAAGGTTGGCACCAATCCACTTTTGGTATTTTAAATCCTGTGTGTTATGTGTCATTTGTCTGTCTCCTCCTAGTTTGCAGGTCCTTTGATGACAGGGTCCACAAGAAAAAGCGCAGTCAGTCAGGGTTTCTATTGAAGTCTCGAGATCAGCATTGCAGATTTTCATTGGAACTCCCCGTGGGCTTTGCTTCTCTTTTGTCTCACTACATTGCAGGAGAGCCGTTGGTCAATTTTTGAGACTGCAAAATTGACGGGAATGGATTTGCAGGATCGAATCCTTATGTCAGACTTGGTCGTCTGCAAGTAAGAACCTCAGCGAAGCACCATTTGATTTTTGTGCTCCGTATGACCTGCGTTTACCAATGCTTTACAGGTGCTGGGTGACTGTTCCCTTCAAGCAGTGCAGCCGTCTGGTTGACTCCACGGGTTGTGGTTGTAGAGGATGACTTTCGAACAACCACAACTGGTGGATGGCAGTAGCATGCCATGATCGCCAGTTGGATCTAGCCAGTAACAACACATCGTGGATTTCAGTGTTTAGATGGGGAACTTCTGTCAAGATGGGGATTTGCCCCGGCCATGTTCAACTCCTTTTTCGAATCTGAAATATCAATGGCCCCGATCCTGCAGGAGTGTCATCTTTTTTCTTACTGGTGCTACAGGGACTGGGGGAATTGGATTGTGAAAATCGTTGTAATATTCATCAGCAATCAGCAGTCCCACTACTAGTATGATATATTATGATCATTTTAAATCCCATAATTAGTTTCATCCCAGTACTTACTGTGATAATCCCCCCATGATTCCTTACTGATAATGGGGGAATCCCATAATTTTAAATCCCATAATTAACTATGATAGATAATTCCCCCATTCCCTACATTTAGATCATTTAGCAGTCAGTTTTTCCTCCCTGTCCCTGTCGCCAGGTTTTACCACCCTGTCATCGATGTGCCCAACTGGCGTCCCGCGCGCCTCATTGGGGAACTTCGCGCCGAAAAAGGCCAGTTGGGCATCAAATTTGGGGGTACCGGGTACCCAAATGTTTCAAGACGTGCCACAAATTTGGTCATGTTTGGTTTAGTAGACAGAAATAGTCATTTTTGGTTGTAAGACCATTCAACCTATTTTGGGGTTGATGTGTTTTTTTTCTTGTGATTAAACACTCCAAGTTTTGGGGAGTTGAACATGTGCGAGTATGATATGATGATGTTTGCGGGGGGCGGGACGCATCGCATTTTTGGTGGGTAAATAGGATTCAATTACTGAGTACTGTATATAGTCAGTGATTAGTGGTGAACCCTCCCCACAGGTTGTAGAGGAAATATATGGAGAGCGACAGCGTGATCCCATCTCTTTGCGTCTTCTGACTATCCATGTATTTCTCGTGTGTTTTCGCACCAGGCGGGCAAAATGTTTTCGTTGGACTTGCAGAATAAATACGTGGGAAAGTGTTTGCCAGGTGTGAGCCATGGTTCCTAGTCCTAATAGGTCTTCATGTCCTTGGCTGGAGAATGGGTGTGCATCGTGAGGCGTTCTTGTTCCCGATCAAAAAGATAGCTGGAGCCCCAACAGTTGGGCATTTGCGAAGTGCTTTTTCTTGGTTTTCTTTGGCATCATTTCATATCATTTCCATCCATACCTGCCATAATCCTGCCATATCTGGTATGGTGATCAAATGTGATCAAATGTGATCAAATGTGATCAATAATGGTGATCAATAATGACTAATCTTTACTAATCTTACTTTGGAGATCTTTGGAGCTTGAGCTGCCGGAGCCTCCAAGGCCACTACGGGAAGCAGCTGGTTCGTGCTGAGCGAAGGTTCAATTCCTTGAAGATTCCCAAGAAACTGCAGGTGCCAAGCGGTGCCAAGTTGTGCCAAGCGACTGTCACCGTTGCAGGAAACAGGTCAGGGGAGTCATGGCACCCAGGAAGCTGGTGAACATCAAAATAGCTAAAATTTATGGATGTTCATCCCCCTAAACACGAATACTTATGGGACTTTTGAATGGTATTGATCCATTGCATTCCATTGCCGTGTGCAAAAACTATTTCCAGCTGGCTCTTGGAGTGAGAAACCTCAAACCAATGCAGTGCACGTGTCAGGCGACCTTGCCCTTCAGATCAAAGGAGAAATTCCAGCCGAAGAAGAAAAAAACGGCCCTCAGCAGAAAAGCAGCCATTGCCAAGGCCTCAGAAATGGGGTGATTCAGCCTTCAGTTTTACGATGCCCAAAGGATTGTGGCTCATGGGTTTATGTTTTTAAGACGCTTTCTGTTGGAAGAATGGACATACATACTGATTCCAAGAGCGAATATGCCGTTCGTTTTCTTGTTTCAGCATGCACAAGAATTCATTGAAGGACAAAAAATGCAGAGGACCCTGACCCTCACATATTTGGCCATACTAACTCCATGGTTCCTGAAGAAAAACACCTTCACCTGCTGAGTATGGCCAAACTGAGGTGTCTAGCGAGCGTGAAAAGGAGGTGAACTCTCTTCTCTCAAGGCAGAGTTTGGTTATATGACTTAGCGTGGAATGGAAAGTTCTTTATCGTTCTTTGTTGATAGGTCAATAGGATTCAATAGGATTCAATAGGATTCAATAGGTATAATTGACCTGAAACGGCCTCAAACAACCTGAAATAATCATATGATGTCATATGTGTGTATCATATGTGTATCATATGTGTTATAGTCAGTAGATGTCAGTCGTGTTGTAGTCGGTAGCCCTTGGTCCCTCAGAGCTCGATGGTCGACTGGGGCACCTGGAGGCTCTACACGATCCGCAAAGAAAAAGCTCGCGTATGGGGAACCAAGAGATGTAGAGATTGTGTTGAAAAGCAGTGTAAAATGTGTAAAGATGTATTAGCGTGTGGCTGACAGGGTGCTACAACTGGCATGAGGTGAGAAAAGAATCAAGTGAGCGAAAGAAGAAGGTGAGAGCAACATGAACATACGCAGAACTTGGGAAAGATGCAGAGGAGATATGGCCATTGCATTCTGCATGGTGACTATGGTAATTCATGGCAATTCAACTTGGCAATGGGAAACGGCTTGCTTGGCAATCATATGCCTTCTGGTAATTGCTAATCAAACATGGGAATGAGATGGAATGATCCCTGTAAATGGGCATACTATGCGAAAATCACCACCACTGGGGGATTTTCCAGGCCATGTTAGTTGAGGGATGGGATCCCTATCCGTTGAGGTGAAGGAAGTTCAGGATCGCTTCATCCAAGAGAAGCGGGATGCTCACAGAAAGGAGGCGAAGAAGAACCGCTACATCAAAGAGGGCCAGTGCATGCCTAAGTGGAGCCGAACCCCCCAAAAAAACCAAGCCACGATTGACTTTGGAGATTTTTGTTGGGGTTCCCCGGTTCACTGAAAAACAGGGGAATGAACTACCACTGAATTGGGGACATAGCCTCAGTGATGTAGCCAGTAGACCTGATTGGTGGTTCCCTGTACTTTATGGATGTTCCTCCCTGAACATGACGTGTATATCATTGGGACGGATAGCCCAACCACCAACCAGAACTGCAAAAAGTTGAAGCATTGAAAGTTGATCTTATTTGGAGATTGTTGAAGCTGTCCAGGCTGTCCATTCACAAGTCCTATACTTCTTTCGGGCTGAGGAAAGATGCCAAGAAGCGGAAAGCGATGATGATGGACTGAGGCCTGAGGTGTCACATCACTCTGCACCTATAGCGCGCTATAAATCCTTGCTTTGCGTCGCATGCGAACACTTGGAGGCTGAGGAGCTATCCTGACTGGTGTGGCCAGTTTTGCTTGTCTAATTGCTTACAATGGCAATCTAAAGATATGCCAGATAATGAACTCCGCGGCGAGCGAGGAAATGGGCCGGTGTGTGCTGTCGCCGGATTTAGCCATGTTCAGTCTTAGTTCAAGAACTCGCTCATTAGATTTTGCCATGGTTTTGACCAGGAGTGCAGCTTTCAAGATCTTGGGGAGCTTTTCGGTTCAGAGCCTGTGCGGGCGATCCCCTGGGAAGGGAAATCGACTTGTCAACATGAACAAAAATGGAATTATAGATTATAGATGAAGAAACATAGGCATATGAATTATCAGATAAGAAGTTAAGAAGGCAGACAATATATGAGATATGCATTAGTCATAAAATGCACGAGCAAATACATAGATAGATCATGATAGATCATGATAGATCATGATAAATCATGATAAATTAAATGAATAATTTCAGAGTTTATAACATTGACCACTACAACTATTTACTGCACCAAATTTCAAATTTTCCTATGGTTCAAAGCAACGAGCTAAACCTCATGCTGGCCACCTTCCCGCGACCCGTCCCATCGCGACTGTCGCTGAACTGGCCGCTTGTGAAGAGTGGCAGCAGGAGAGAAGAGTTGATCCCAGTCGTCAACTTCTCAGTTACTTATGTTACTTGAGGTGCTCATGGCTTTCCTCCATTTCCATCCAGTTCCATCCAGTTCCATCCATTTTCCTCTAACAAAGGTATGATTTCATCCAGTTCCATCCATTTCCATTGGTCGTTTCACCCTGGCCCCACTTGAAGCTGGTCCAAGGAGGCACATATCCAAGGGCCATGCCGGGATCCTGGTGGAGCCCTTAGTGGTCGACTGGAAACCCAGGAGCCCAGCAAGGAATTGACACATTGCTGGACCAAAAATGGTGGAATGCCCCCACAAACCATACTAAAACCATACTAAAACCATTACCAGACCATACTTATCATATCTTATCATCACTTATCCACTTCGTCTTACTGGCAAAAATTATTCATCGAACCATTTTTTGGAGGATCTTTGATTGATCTTTGAGGGTCTCTGTGATGAACTTTATCCACTTGACAAGGCCCTGCCGCTGGGTGTCCTGCCAGGCCAACGAAGCTGCAGATTGCCAGATAAATCTAGATAGCTTTAGTTGATCCACCTATTGGAACTTCATGCAGTACATGAAGTATGTTTATATTGATTGATTTTGATAGGACATGGCCCGAAAATCCAGGGCTTTCTAATCCTGAAGAAGAACTGCACAACGCATTTGTTCCCATTTTTGATGCCTGGGAATTGTTCTGGTGAGGCTTCTGTCGCGGCACTGCCACTGGCCGGCCTTCTATCAGTAGGCCAAGTTTTTGATGGGTGATGTATCAGTCACACCCTATCAGTAGCTTGCAAGCACCGCCCCAGTGGAAGAAGTTCAGTTCCGGCACCGTTTGACTAGTAGCCTCGTTTTTTTTTCCCAGTTTCCCAGTATGGATGTGGGGCAAGCACATGTTACAGTCGCTTCAGATATGATATAGCCATATATCCCCCTGGGCCCCCAATGCGGGGAAGGCAGTCTACTGCCGGACCAACTTTGTGGAGAAGACCACAGGACAGCAGCGTGGGTGTTTCCAATCACAGGTCCGGGGTACCAAAAAACACAGCGACTGCAACCATGTTGCTTTTTGAGGATAGAGATTCATTAGGATTCATTGAATATCATTGACATTTATGTATAATGACCTGATATCTATGATACATATTTGATATTATTAATGGTATCATAATATATTAATGTATCATTGACATTCATTGATATAATATATTTGGAATCAGCAAACAAACTCCACCTGAGATCTTTGCCAGCCACAGGAGGCCGAAGCGAACGATGTTGGCACCCCAGAGGTGATTCGTGACCGGCGGAGAATGTGAAACGGGTGAAACATTTGGGTGGCACCCCATAGAATCGGATGGTTAATCTTCAGATTCTGATTAACATTGATTAACAGGGAACATCAGGGAACATGGATGAATACTATTGACATCTATTGACTAGTGATGGTTGATACCGTTGATACCCTGTTAATGTTGGGATCCCCTGGGTGTCTCAGGCTCAACACGAGCTGAAAGTTCGCCTCGATGCTCTGCGATTGCTGCTGGGACGCCCAGATGGTTCACCAGATGTCTGGAAAATCGTCGAATAGCCCCAGATGGTCGAATGGTTATACAATGTTATACAGTAGTATGTTATAGACAAGTTATAGATGTTATAGTCATCATGTCACCATATGCCCCAGTAAAATGGCCAGTCTACGGGTATCTATCCAATTTCACCAAGTCTGGAACCACGAAATGCGTAGCATCACCCTCAGCGTTGTGACATTGGATCAGGCTATCGGATTGACCGGTTTTTGGCATGTGCAAGAAATGCAAAACAATGTTCCAATGCCAAAAACCAGGTGTTTGAGTCACACCAGAGATGTTTTGTGCACCCCCAAATTGCACCGCAGCACAGCACCACAGCGATGGATTTTCTCCCGAGGCAAGAGATGCACCTACCCTCCCTGCCTCAAAGCCTGAACCTTGGGCTGAGGTTTATCAACGGATCAAACACTTTTCCTTAGATAGTGGTGGGGTCCTTCATGGTCCTTCGAGTTTGATTTTTGACCCATGGCCAAATGGATCAGTGTCCATTGAGTTTGATTCTTTGTCACCATTTCTGCCTCGTGCCAGGTCTTGCCTTGGAGATGTTGAGAGAAGCTGTTTCCACGTGCCCTGAGGCACAACAGGAGGACGGGAACTGCCGAAAGACGATCAGATCCAGAACCAGAAACGGACATTTTTTGGGATGAACATCCAGCATCATCCAGCATCATCCAGCATCATCCAGCATCATCCAGCATCATCCAGCATCATCCAGCATCATCCAGCATCATCCAGCATCATCCAGCATCATCCAGCTATACCTGCTAGCTTCACCGTGCACCAGGATACTAGGGTTTTTCGATGTTTTTCGACTCGGCTGCCATGGCCATGTAGCTTTCCAATGCTTTCCAGGGGCATTTCATTTCACAGGAGATGGAAGGCCATTGCGCACCAGAGCAGCTTGAGGCGACGGCCGAATTGCCATTGGATTTTGCATCAAACGTGCCTCAAAAAATGGGGAGGTTTGCTGACAAAATCGATCAACTTCCGTGTTTTCTGAAGCATGAACTTTTGACCCATACTATTACCAACCAATATGATTAATACAAACGATTGCTGGAGTTGAACAGGATGAACAGGTAAAGCGAATAGGAGGAATGTGCAAAGAAGAACGATCTTTCTGCCACGACACGGGTCAAATCGGGTCAACATTTGAGGCCCAAATTCAAGTCTTGCTGTATCGCCAGATACCAATTGTGCTTGATTGAAAATTGTGACCATGGTATACATACATATACATACTGTATACATACTGTAACTCCCCAAATCTGGTGGATTTTCACATCCTTTTCCCCTTGAAATAAGCCCGGCGCCCAACACTGCCCAGTTCCTTCGTAGCTTCGTCGCCGAGCGCTTCGGCTCGCCGCAGTTTCAGGGCGGCTTGAGGATGTGTCAAATTGGCGCCTTGGAGCAACTTGAAACCATCGGAAACCATCGGAAATGTGGGGAGGTTTGGACCCGGTTTGGATAAGTTGGATAAGGAGATTGAAATCCCGCCTTTCTATTCTTTGATCACTACAGGATTGTCTACCAGTTGACCGGGGCGGAAGATACAGATGAGTATAGTATATTCCATGACCCACCACAAAATGCGACGAGACCTTCCGAAGTTGGCAACTCCATTAAGAAGCCCCTGGCAATGAAGCTGGCTGATCGCTTCTGTTTCACAGTTTCACATGTTATTTCTGACCCAATCCCGTGGCAGAGTTCCATCCTGAGAAGATGACCCCATGGATGCCACTTTGGCCTAGGATTCAATGCAGGGCACAGTGCGGCTGCATTGCTGGATCAGGCGGGATAGGATGTTTTGGTGGCGAATCACCAATTGGTTACAAGTACCAGCAATAATCCATTGCAGGTTATATAGGTCTCGCATGTCTATATGCAGATGCAAAACAAAACATGTACTTTGCTTTGCAAGTCATCAACCTATATATCAACCTTATTCCTGTCAATAAATCATCAGTACTATGATATTATCATCAGCAATATCCATAGATTATCCATTGATAATGATTATCCATATGGATCCATACTGGGGTTTCCTAAAATAGGGCTACCCCCAGTTATCATCCATTTTATTTAGATTGGGATTTTCCATGATTTCCCATGGAAATAAACCATCCAGCTATTGGGGAGGCCCCATGGAAAGCCCATATCTGATGGCTAAGGCCCCTGAAGGGAGCGTGCTCCTCTCCTTGGACCTGGGTCAACACGGGTCGGGCTCCCCGGAAGGAGGGCAGCAGATGACGCTGGTGACGGTGATGATGACGATGACAGTCTGACAGATGATTCGTTATATTTGTTATTACATACTATTACTAGTATGATAATAGTATGATAATAAGGTTGTTATTGATTATATGAATGATAATATATGATAATAGATCAAAATACATGATACATGTTCATTATCAACAAATAACATGGTCAAGATGAAGACCATCAAGATCCGGTAATTTCGGGATTGGAGATGCGAACCTCGGCCTGGCGCACCCCCCTTCCGGCCTTGGTGGGATTTCAAGGTACACACGGCCGCTAGAAGAGGTTGTCTCCAGAATAGCCAAGGTTTGGGGTTCAAAATTGGGCAGAGTGGGATGGCACATGATGGCACACATGGTCTTTTGACATTTCGGGTCCACAAACTATTGATGTTCGGGGCAGCAAGATGTTTTTGAGATTTCTGACCCATGGCCGCATATCCAAATCATGGATGTTCGTGGTGCTCAAGGATGGACCCCATGTTTTCGCGCCAGGACAAGGACCAGACGCACATTTTGTTGGAAGGCAACTCTGCTGAGATGTTGCCACGGTCCGGACCTCGAGGGATGCGCATGAAGGAAAAGCAATGGTAGAGACAGTGGCCACCGGCGCCACTGTGATGAAAGTGTGTGTGTATATATATACATATACACAATTATACATACAGTATATACACACACCCACAGACCGCGTAAATACGACTCATGTTTTTGCGCGTCAGAGTGCAAAGGGCTCTTTTCTTCAGAAAAAAACATCAGCGACAGCTATAAAGTGAGGTTTCGGCACATTGAGTTTGACCTGATTTTCATCGATGGGAACCATGCCTACGAGGACATCATTGCCCTTATCGTTGCTGCCAATGGTTCCATGGTGATATGCCTAGGCATTCAATATCAGGGTACCCAAAAGTGGATGGTTGTTCCTGCATCGGATCCTGTATTTTTGATCAATACCCAGATGAGCACAAGGGGTGGGTGGGGTACCACCTGAAAGCGCCTCCAGCTGCAGAATTTCTCCCATGCCAGGCAGTGAAACTCGACGTGCTGCTGTGCCTGCAGATGGCCACAGAGGACTCATTGAGGTCGTTATTCTGGGGGAGGCTTTGCTTGAAACACAAAGAACTTAATATATTCTGATCACCACTGTTGTACCAGCAGGTTGTGTTGGGAATTAGCATATCTATATAACTCATTACATCTCAATAGATCTCAACATTTCGCGACTCGGGAGGACACGTTGGTGCTTTTGAACCACGTCTTCACAGACATGACAGAGGCCTGCCTGTTTGATCTGAAGATACAGGTTTGGCTGCAAGGTGAAAAACCAATAGCGATCCACCACCTTAGCAAAATTGAATTTTGAAATCATGTAATTTAGATTAATTTAGTGATATTTTGATGAGCTCCTTTGCCGATGTCAGGGTTTGGGTCCGACCAAAGTGTGGCTTGAGACCCTCCGAGAAGGAGCCATGATGCACTTGGCGGGAGGATCCATGAAGTGAGGTTCCATGGATAGTGGGTCAGAACCCATAATTTGCGGGGACATTCGGATAAATTGTGGTATATTGGGATATACAAATACTGGCATATATGATTCTCTCTCTCTCTCTATGTATATATATATATATATATATATACATACATAATACACATAAATAAATAAAAACATATATATATATATATTTAAATACCATAAGTCAGTCTGTAACAATCCGCTTGCCACTGTAGCTTCAGGGAGCATCCCAGTAGTTTCAAAGTAGAGAACATGGGCAAATGAATACCATCAATATAGTCATTTTCAATGAAACGGTTTAGATTTAGAGCGCAGTCTTGAACTTCATTGCTCATGGAAGAAGAAGAAGAAGAAGACGAAGAAGAAGAAGAAGCAGAAGCAGAAACAGAAACGATTTAGATGCTCACCGCAGGTCCATGTCTGACACTCGGCAATCAACAAGCTCCTCAAAAGACATGGCATTGATGGTCTCCCAGTCCCAGGCGCTTGTTCCTACATCTGCAGGAGAAGCGAAGCAAATTGGGTGGCATTCGTGCTGCTCTCGACACGGCATTGCAATCGCAAAATGTTGTGCATCGCAGAATCGCAACGAGTCATTCGTAGTCTCCGGAAAGTGGATGCAGACAGTTCTGAGGTGGTATGCGTCAAACTATGTCAAACTTACAGACCCCCCACTCAAATGATTTTGGTGTTTTTTGAATCAACATGCAGTTTCAGGTGCAACCACTGACTTGACGGATATCTCATGTATGGCAGCATTGCCCAAGTTGTGAAAGGGGCTGCTCGCTGCCGCAGCTGCTTCAATACTATCCAGCTATGTTGATGGCGATCACCGAGAACAAGACAATGATTGGAAGGGGCTCGGACCTGAACCCTGCACAAGTAGCCCTTACAGTATGGCTCTCTGACAACATTTCTGGGATGAGGACAGAGAGCTTCTAAGAGCTTCAGCATTTGCAGCAGTACGATCCAACATATGGGGATGAGTCAAAACCAACACAATACCATAATTCAGGGATGAACATCCAGCTAAGCCATATAGCCATCGATCAAATTCACCATCATGTGGGCCGATTCTGCAATGGTTGCGACGGCGCCTCGGATGAGTGTTGTGCCCCAGCAGGTCAAAGTGGATGGGGGGGAGTCCCCACGATTCTGGGTAAGCCTTGGTTGAGTGGTTAGATAGTCGATCCTTGCATTTGTTGCCCAAAAAATGAGCGAATATTCTTTTTCTTGCACTGTATCTAGTAAGATTGGTCATGGATTGGCAAGGGCAAGAACTCATAATCCACAGAATCATTTGCAATAGCCTTTGATTGCTGCCAAAATGTGTCGAAATGCATTTGTGTGGAAGAAGTGCATAAGACCTGTATAGAGCTTGGGCTAGGAGACTCGGACTGTACCACTTTTTCACCCTGCTCTCGACAGGTTCCGTTGGTTCGGTCGGCGTCATGGTCCGGTCATCGAACGGCGTCGCGCTTGCCGCGGTCACGGGGTGCACTACCAGGCCATTGCTGGAAATGGCTCATTTTTTTTTTTGGCAGTACCTGACACTAAAATCATCTATATTTATATTATATAAGAGATACACCTCATATCAAGGTGGCTATTGGTAACGGTTTCTGCTCAGTTTTTAGTAGTGACTACACTTTTCAAGCCATGGCGATGGCGATACAATAACCCACCATTTTCCCGGCCCTCGCCAGGCTGGCCAGGGGCATACCTTTCTGCTGCGCTGTTCCTGCCAGGCCAGGTGGGTTGAGCCCCGATCGTTTGTGGACTTTGTTCATTTGGGGCTTGAAATGGCAAAGTTGCTGCGATAAATGGTGGGAAACTTTGGGATACCCAGTGTTTGGACAAAACAATTGTTGGAATCAATTTGGGCCTTCCTGAGGCTACCTGGCAGTTAGTGCTGGACCATGGTTTGATGTGGTTTTGGTAAGGAAGACAGGACACTACATAGAGCTTCAAGTGTCCTCTAGATTTTCCCATGAATACCCACTCATTGATATTGGCTTTGCCGGAACATAGGGTAGTCCAAACTCCATTGTCTATATAAACATATTTCCCAAAATGATGGCATCATCTCATATCCGCATATGATTGGGTGCAACTCAGCAAGCCAGGCGCTGTGCGACGGTGTTGGGCTCGATGTCAGATGTTCAGGCCACGTTTGCTGCAGTGGTGCGGACAACTAGGGGAACGTTCTTCTGTTTTTAATGGCACCCTTAAGCAATTCCAAATGAGTTCAGGTGCTGGACTCCCACAGCATTTTTATATATCTCAAGCTGAAATCTGAAGGTGTGAAGTCGTTCCAGTGAGTGTGAGGAAGCCCCAAGCAACTTGTTGGCTCAATGTGGCTTCTCAAACATAGAAGCTGACGCGAAACTGACATGACATGAAACGCACAGTTTTACAGGAAAAATGAAGACCACAGATTCAAAACTCAATTTTCTGAGAATGGAGGATCCATGGGTCCCTTTGAGTTGGCGGTTGGAGGCCAAGCAGTACCAAGCGGATTGGCTTGAAAGCACGGCGAGGTCCAGCACGGTCTGGTGAGGCAATGCTGCGTTGCGGCGTTGCGGTGTTGCGTTGGCCGACGTTGGATGGACTGTTGGAATGGATGAAACATGATGAAACTCGAGCTAAACCAGGCTATACCAGCTATATACTAGTATCCATCTAGTATCCTGGTGTGACCATGGGGCCAGGTTTTTCACATCATTTGTCCGAAGACTTAGAGTAGTTGGTGGATGTTGGTGGTCTTGGTCCAAGGTCAGTGTTTGCAGCAAAGATAGTGGCCGAGCTGTCTTCCCCTTCAATCACATGGCTGATGCACGTTCCCAAAAAACTACCTTTCTAAGTACTTCCCATGGAACCAGATCAATGTATCAGCAATCAGCAGAGTATTTCCCGTTCAAAGCTATCGACCCATGAGGCCTTGAGGGATCCCATGCCATACTCCACAGGCAGATGACTACTTCAAACCCCTGGTCGAGGGAGATGTGCTCTCCGCCTCTATGCCTCAGCGGTGTATTGTGGCCCTGATGTTTGTGGGGAAGCCCGCCTGCTGCTGCTTTTATGGGGGGAAAGGTCGAGGGTTGGAGTAGCTGCGGCCGAAATTGGGAAGCCGCACATCATGGGAGGGTTGAAGGTGGCCATTTCACCTGTGTTTTTTTAGCATCTTGAACTTTGACCCACAAGATCCACAAGCCTTTTGATGCCTTTTGGGTCCATTTTTGGAGAGACAGAAGAGCAGTTCAAGGGATTTTGTTCAGTGACGGGCCAGTGCCAGCTATCAAAATATCCGAGACATCCCTAGAGTTGATCCAAAGTGATCTTTCAGCAAGCAGCAAGCAGCAAGCAGCAAGCCCCATAAAAAGATGTCGACAAGTAAAAACAACCTATAGATCATTTATGGAATCATGGTAAGTTTCGTAAGTTTCAATTAACTTGTTCATACATGTTCTATTTTGGAAGGGGCTTCCTGGACAAATGGACTGAACATGTCCCCAACTATGCCTTGGAGCTAGCCATCGGCGAAAGGTGCTGCTGCTGTTGGGCTTTGTGAAGGTCTCGATGTTGGTGTCTGCCTTGCCACTGCCACAGGCCGAAGTTGATCAGGGCGTCATTGACCCAAAATATGCCAGCTAAAATATCTGGTTTGTTGGGGATAAGTGGATAAGTATACCCCATTATGAGATATCATGTGGATATATTAATACTATTGATGAATGAGTACACTGTGATAATGGGATGGGATAGGGATGATAGGGGAATTTTTCATGGCTCAATTGATGTGTCTGGAACCATCTTCGATCGTAGATGTTAACTTCTGTTGCCTCTGAATTTGCTCGATTTACTGCCAAGTTTAACGGTTTTGACTTCGCCTTCTAACATGACAGGTGTTCTTCTACTCCTGTGTGGCCATCCTTGCTGGCATGGAGTTTGCAGATTTCGGCACGGGTGTGTACCACTTCTCCGCATGGGGCCCAGAGCAGAAGTCCTGGGATGAGTTGGGAGTGCTGTAATTGAGGCGACCAGAATTCAGATATCCAGTGTGCATCAATTCTATCAGGTTGCCAACCTGTAGGGGAAAGGATTGTCCGTTTCACGATCTCTGTGAAGCCAATCGGTACAAGGTAGACAACTACGGCAGTGCAAAGACGCCCGTGGTTGGCTCTCAGATCGAGGCTTTTCAAGGCCATAAAGCAAGTGATAGCAAGTGATCCACCCACTGTGATCAGTGGCAAATCAACAAATCTTCCAAAGTTGCTTTGAAGATCTTTGAAGTGGTGCAAGGAAAAGGCAAGATGTTTCTTTTGGAGCCAGGCCATCACGAGGAGCCATGGACGATCACCTACAGGGATTTCTGACCCGCCCTGAGTGGGTTTTCATGTCAACACTGCAGTTGGCCCAAACACAGTGTATCCCAAAAAACACTAGATTCTTGATGCAAAACAAGATCCTCTTGAAAAAGATAGGAAAGTACATCCCTACCCCCTTGTAAATTGATTTGATGATGTCCTACTTTTCAACCTTCTTTTGGGAATGGCTTTAATTGATTTGATTTTACTTGTACTTTTTGTCAACCATTTTTTTTCCTTGTGTGGGATGCATATAATGATACACTCCATTTTTGAGACGAGGCAACAATTGCTTTCCGACCTGCGTGGCCACCATGCCATTTCTGGTGGCCTTCGAAATCTTCTGCAGCGCACCCTTTGTCCTCTTGTGGGTGCGCCTGGCGCCGCGGTGCAAATCGGGGATGATCCATGAGAAGCCACGAAATTTTCATGTGAAAAGCCAGGTCCTTAGTGAGTTTCAACCCATTCCCAGTTTAGATTATTATATTGGTTTTGAGATATGTTTAGATACCTAGTACGGGGCGACTTCCCTTACAAAACCAGCTACTTCAGAACAGTACCTCTTCTCCATGTATGCAAAATCTCCAATTTAACCATCCTTCGTGTGCAAACAGAAATCAAAGATTGCAATTATGTTGCTTTGCCGCAATTAAATGGCTTAAGATACCATGTTGATGAATATGTGCACCAAAATAATCCAAAACATAGAAAGCCCCCAAAAAAGTGTGTACATCTACACATGAGCAGTTTTCAGAACCATTATTAAAGGGCTACGCCCTCTGCCGCCGACCCCTGGACACTGGAGGGTCATGCCTGCCTCTGTGTCGTAAGCATGAAATGAACCCTAAAGAAACCAGAAACTGACCTAAACAAACCATTTGTATGTGCGTTTGGCACTGTGCACATGCAAGCAGCATGGACCCCTGCAGGATGACACGCACAACTATGTGCTCTGACACTTTTTCATGGCTCAAGAAATAGGAGCTTTCGTCATTGGGCAGGTGTCTTGGGGACCTAAAGGGTTGCTCTAGCACTTAAGACCCATACCCGAAGCCCCCGTTCGTAACCGCAGTATGAAACTTTAAATGGCATCCTAAAGAGACCCGAGACGACACTGCACTGCCAACTGCCACCCTGCTCGTGTCCTCCTGGAGCCGGCTTTCGTTCTGCACCGCTTCGGTCCAAGCTGGAGTCCAAGGACCGTGTCGCAGGGCTAAAACACCATGGCAGTGAAGGACGGATTGGGCCCGCGGCCCGTATCCCAGACTGCCAAACGTCACTTTCTGAACCGACTAGAAACTAGCTCCAAACCTTGACTTTTCCTGCGTTTCTGCACTGCCAACTGCCACCCTGCTCGTGTCCTCCTGGAGCCGGCTTTCGTTCTGCACCGCTTCGGCCCAAGCTGGAGTCCAAGGACCGTGTCGCAGGGCTAAAACACCATGGCAGTGAAGGACGGATTGGGCCCGCGGCCCGTATCCCAGACTGCCAAACGTCACTTTCTGAACCGACTAGAAACTAGCTCCAAACCTTGACTTTTCCTGCGTTTCTGCACTGCCAACTGCCACCCTGCTCGTGTCCTCCTGGAGCCGGCTTTCGTTCTGCACCGCTTCGGTCCAAGCTGGAGTCCAAGGACCGTGTCGCAGGGCTAAAACACCATGGCAGTGAAGGACGGATTGGGCCCGCGGCCCGTATCCCAGACTGCCAAACGTCACTTTCTGAACCGACTAGAAACTAGCTCCAAACCTTGACTTTTCCTGCGTTTCTGCACTGCCAACTGCCACCCTGCTCGTGTCCTCCTGGAGCCGGCTTTCGTTCTGCACCGCTTCGGTCCAAGCTGGAGTCCAAGGACGTGTCGCAGGGCTAAAACACCATGGCAGTGAAGGACGGATTGGGCCCTGCGGCCCGTATCCCAGACTGCCAAACGTCACTTTCTGAACCGACTAGAAACTAGCTCCAAACCTTGACTTTTCCTGCGTTTCTGCACTGCCAACTGCCACCCTGCTCGTGTCCTCCTGGAGCCGGCTTTCGTTCTGCACCGCTTCGGTCCAAGCTGGAGTCCAAGGACCGTGTCGCAGGGCTAAAACACCATGGCAGTGAAGGACGGATTGGGCCCGCGGCCCGTATCCCAGACTGCCAAACGACTTTCTGAACCGACTAGAAACTAGCTCCAAACCTTGACTTTTCCTGCGTTTCTGCACTGGCCACCCTGTCGTGTCCTCCTGGAGCCGGCTTTCGTTCTGCACCGCTTCGGTCCAAGCTGGAGTCCAAGGACCGTGTCGCGTCACTTTCTGAACCGACTAGAAACTAGCTCCAAACCTTGACTTTTCCTGCGAAACTGCAACTGCCACCTGCTCTCCTCCTGGTTTCTGCACTGCCAACTGCCACCCTGCTCGTGTCCTCCTGGGGCCGGCTTTCGTTCTGCAAGCTGGAGTCCAAGGACCGTGTCGCAGGGCTAAAACACCATGGCAGTGAAGGACGGATTGGGCCCGCGGCCCGTATCCCAGACTGCCAAACGTCACTTTCTGAACCGACTAGAAACTAGCTCCAAACCTTGACTTTTCCTGCGTTTCTACACTGCCAACTGCCACCCTGCTCGTGTCCTCCTGGAGCCGGCTTTCGTTCTGCACCGCTTCGGTCCAAGCTGGAGTCCAAGGACCGTGTCGCAGGGGAACACCATGGCAGTGAAGGACGGATTGGGCCCGCGGCCCGTATCCCAGACTGCCAAACGGAACCGATTAGAAACTAGCTCCAAAACCTTGACTGTCACTGCGACCTTCTACACTTCCTCGGCGCCGGCTTTCGTTCTGCATTGGATCCAAACCTGCCACCCTGACGGATCGTATGTGTTAAATTCCCTGGGGCCGGCTGGCACTCTGTTCGTGCGCCGGCTTCGGTGCTGGAACCAATACCGTGTCGCAGGGCAGTGGAGTCCAAGTGAAGGCACTAAAACGACCATGGCCAGGACTGCAAAACGTCATTTCTCTTAGAAAGGGAACCTTGACTAGCCAAACTAGACTCCAAACCTTTGAGGACTTTACCTTGCGTTTCTGCCTCCAACTGCCACTAACATAGCCATCCTCCTAGCGCCTGGGAAAATCTTCTCGTTCTGCACCGCTTCATGTGGATTTTCCAAGCTGGAGTCCAAGGAACCGTGTCGCATGGTAAGGCTAAAACACCATGGCAGTGAAGGACGGATTGGGCCCGCGGCCCGTATCCCATCACTGCCAAACGTCATGAATTCTGAACCGACTTCAGAAACCAGCATCCAAACCTTGACTTTTCCTGCAAGGTTTCTACACTGCCTAGACTAAGATGGTAAGATGGGGATTCCTGCTCGTCCCAGCTTCCTGATTGGGAGTGGCTTTGTTCTAGGTGTTATTATTGTGTTGTGAACGTGTTACAACACTCTGTTAGACGTGCTCCCCTATTGTTAGCAATAATACTTTGTTTAGAATATCAAACTGTTGATTATAACATTATAACATAATATACCTTTGATTATAACAACTGTTAAGTTATTGTTATTTGTTTAGTATCATTATTGCTATAATCAAAGGTCCCCTATGACGATTGGGCCCGACATCGTACAGTTGGAAGTGATGCTGGATCTCTTCCACTAAAAGATGCAGCAAGATTGCTAAAGAAGGCGGCCGTGCAAATCAACGGGGACATCCCTCTGGTTATGTCAAAATAGCTATTGAAAATGGTGATTTATAGTGGTTTTCCCATTAAAAATGGTGGATCTTTCCTTAGTTTTTTGTATGTTTACCAGAGGGTGGCTGGATTAACAAAGGTACCCACCTGGTGAACAGCCACAGAACTATAACCATGTTTAATGGATAAATCAACGATTTCGACTGGGCCATTTTTCATATTTTTGTATGTTTACCAAGAGTGTAAATGGGGATCAACTAAGAAAAACCCCAAAACCCATGGAAGCTCACCAAGAGTAACCGTGATGAGGGCTAATTGACCAAGCTGTGTTTTTGCAAGGGGTCGACTGGGCCAAAATATGAGGATTGAATGAGATTAACCAAAGGAAAACTTTCCCGTTTCCAACATACCCTCTGGTTATGCAAAATAGCTATTGAAAATATCCATTTTAGTGGATTTATCCATTGAAAATGGTGATTTTCCATAGTTTTTTGTTTTACCAGAGGGTAAAGCACATTCCTGGGGAAAAATTCAAGGTGTGAAATGATGTACACCTACAGATAGCATGTACCTCGGGAAGATATATCAACTGGTCTGGTTGAGCGGAAAATAGAGGCTACAGAGTTGACATTCCAGACTGGGGCTACCTGTACCCAGTCACTGGATTGGTTCTAACGACAGGAAACCGCCCGTTTTTCGGCATGATTTGCCACAAAAAACTGGATGAATTTACCATGGATCATTCATAGATTCGGTTCCACTTATATCTAGTCTATGGTTATCATATATGGTTCTTATGCACATGTTTTTCATGAACACATCACCAGTTTATTAGATATCCCGATTACCCATCTATGGATATCACTTTATGAATATCATATAACTGTATATTATATATATGAATTCCCATTAATATTTCATTTTACATGAATATATCCTAATATATCCCAGCCCGTTTTGAAAAGATCACCACCGGACTTTCCCAGCTTCAGGTGGAGGTTTGGGTTTTCAGCATCGCCAGAAGCACAACGGGTTTTCATGACCACATACCATAGAAATAGATGCTTTACCTATTAAACATGGTGATTTTCCATGGCTATGTTAAATAACCAGATGGTACTTATTATCACAATATATGGCAGTGTGTCAAAACCAATAGTACCCCTTTTTTGTTCACATCAAAATAGCTGGGATTTATGGATGTGAATAACCCACTAAAAATGGTATGAAAATAGGTATTGATCCATGAGCCATATATATATATCTACTGGTTGGTGGTTTGGAACCATGGAATTTTTAATTTTCCCCAATAGTTGGGATGATGATCCAATCTGACTTTCATATTTTTCAGGGGGGTTGAAACCACCAATTAGTATATATATAGACATATATTTAAAATGAATGCAATGTAATGTATTGCAATGGCAATGGAATGTAATGTAATGTATGTACGTATATATATTATATATCATCATTTTTATGATATGTAAATATATTTACCCTCTGGCTATTTAACATAGCCATGGAAAATTGCCCATAGAAATAGATTATTTTCCCAGCTATAAACCTCCATTTATTATGGTTGGGATTTTCCATGGCTATGTTAGTCATAACCAGATGGTATATGATACTCCACCATACACGAGTATGTATGTGTTTTCTTTATCAGTTGTTGAAAAACATCGGAGCTCCCATCGTGGTGCGCCCCAGGTCGAAAAGTTGGTTTATAATCCCCATTTGCAATGGTCACCAACTATGGTGATATAACCGATTGGTTAAATAAACCAACTACCCTCTGGTAAACTCATATAACTTTGGAAAGATCCATCATTTTTAATGGGTAAATCCACTATTTCAATGGCAATGTTCAACAGCTATGTTAGTTTACCAGAGGGTATATTGATTTGGTTTAGTGATAGAACCACCCTATGGTCACCTATTAAGCTGGTTGATATTGGTGCAAATAGTTGGTATTGATAGAATCCTCATAAACACAATATTTGCACCAACTTCGCTAACGAACTGGGGAAAAACCACAAATTACCATAGTTATAGGGCCGAGGGCTCCAACTTATGGAACTTAGAATCCCATAGTAGCCATAAGTATCGCCCCAATTGCACCAGTACTATTAGCTATCATCAACCAGCTATAAATCCCATGAAAATAGTGCTCCAATATGTCTCCATATCGATTTCGCCATTCAATCCCATGAAAAATCAGGTGAAGTCACCATTTTCCTATAGCTTTTCGGGCTAAAGCCAGGCTTTCACGGTTGTCCCAACCCCCCATCCCAACACGTTCATCCCATCCCCATGAAAGCTCCCCTTTTCCCATGTCCCAATGAAAAACCAGCTCATGATTTTCCCCATGATCCGTTTTCCCATGGTTTTCCCCACGTTTTTCCCCATGTTTTTCCCCACGTTTTCCCCATGATTTCCTCCATTTCCTCCATATTTTCCCCACGTTTTTCCCCACGGTTTTCCCAGAACAAAGTGGTGATGCTGGTGATGATCTCCACGGCCTGTGCCGATGCGGCCCCCGGACGCCACGACACGCGCCACGTGGCCCACGCGCACGTGGCGCGCGACCGGAGCAACGTGCCCAGGCCATGGGAAAAACCCGGGAAAATATGGGAAAAATGGAGGAAATCATGGGAAAACCATGGGAAAAACAGCCGGTGTAACTGAACAAAAACTTCACCAGCAATGGTGAAGATTATTGAAGATATGGGATTCGGTGAAAATGGTGAAAATCCTACGGCGCTTCGCGCGTTTGCGCCGCCAGGAACTCCCAACGTTGGCTGGGGACCAAAGCGGCCTTGAAGGCGGGAAGTGTCCGACTGAAAGTATTGAAAAAACATGCAGAAATCATGACCATCTTTGATTTACATGGCATCATGCTGCATCTTTCTAAACATGTGGGGCTGGTTTCAATGGTCTATAAGTTTTACAAAACCATCTTTTGAAGTTTTGTCACTCACTTTTCATGTTTGCATCATGACCATTCACCAAGAAACATGACATGTCGACCTCGACCAGATCTAGGAAGGTGCCATGGATAGCCGTCCCCCAAAGGGATGATTTTTGGGACAGATGGGACATGGTCAAAAAAAATGCTCCCCGGTTTTTTTTGCATCCCATGTCGGGGGTGTTTTATCGTGTTTGATGTTGTTTAGAAGGCCGAAATTGGAAGGCCGAACATGAGCAAAGAAACATTCGAATCTTGGGTTTGGGGTTGAACATTGGTCCAGATAGGAAAAATCATTGACACATTTCCCTATTCTGGGGCTAAATCCACCAGTTTCAGAAACATACCGATTTTTCTTGGTTAAGTATCCCCTGAGAAACCCCCTAAGAAATCCTAAGAAATTCCCTAATCCTCATTTTTTGGAGTTAGGTCAGCATTTTCCAATGGAAAACCCAAGGGAATCACCAGCTGCGCCGTGCCAGGCTTTGTTGCAGTCCAGCGAATTCCTGCAACTCTCCTCGCAGGTGGGAAGTCTGGACGAAGGCGCGGTAGATGATTTTTTTTGGCAGATGGCAAGGTCAATATATGATAGGTACATATGTATATCTACTATCTACAATTACATAGATATATCTACAACTATACATTTGTATAACTATGTATATATTTTCTTGGATATCTATATATTTGTTTCTGTATAATTATATATCTCTGTATATTTGTTTAAATGTGGCAGAATGATAAGCAACTGGATTGTTTGGAGTTGTTTTACGCTGTTTTTTCTTGGACATGGCCTAATGGTTGGTTTCAGCAACCAGAAACTGGATGTTTTGCTAGCACGAAAATGGTGAAATTCATGGGAAGCCACGCGAAAAGAGGCAGATTTTGTTCATTGTGGGTGGAAGAACTTTGGATTCCGGTGGATGTTGGATGTTTTTTTGACCTGCGAAGAGGTTTTCCAGGTTTTCCTGCGACTTTTATCACCTGCAGCGGCTTTGGCCACCCTGGAGGCTGTATGGACTTCGCACACTTCCTCTACCTGGTCCATTCGGCACTCCAGCTGAGGGATGGATCAAAAGTGAGGATTTTTTGGCAAAACCCTCCGGTGTCATCAGACGTGACACTTGAAAACCCCCATCAAAAATGGATGTATGGGAAAATCACGAATTTTAATTTACAAATGGTGTATTTTCCATTGCTATGTTTGATTACCAGAGGGTATGTCTGTCCAATTACCACGGTGCCTTGACCCTCATCTTGTAGGCTCTGGGCTCTGGAAAAGGATGACCTTTCTTGGTTTCTTAGGAACCAAGCATGGCAATGCTTAAAACTCATGGATTTTCAATGAGAACAACATCCAAAAATGATATGTGCATGGTGGATTGTGGTTTTTGGGCCCCACTTGAAGGCGGTTTTGGGCCCCACTTGAAGTTTTTGGTGAAATTTCTGTGGTTTGAGATCCCAAATATTGAGAAACAGCTTAGCATTTGATTTTTCATGCCTTGTTGTGCTAGGGTTTCAAGGCAATTCAATTTATACGGGCTATAATCGCATTGAATCTCCACTTGTGCGGAAAGATGTTGGCGAACCAAACGTCCCGTTCCCATGTTCGTGAGTCAAGCATTCGCATGTGGTACCCTAAGAGTCCAATTTTTTCTTGTCGGAACCCACAACAAAATCCACACATTCTTCAGCTGCTCCTTGCTGACAAAATCTTGGATTCTGCAACATCTGATAGATAGCCGAATCGGATGAAAGGAACAAGTGGAACAAGTCCAGGCAACGTCCACATTCGATGGTTAAAAAAAGTCTTCCTGCAAATTTGTAAACCAACCCAATGGACCAAACCTCATCTCAAAGGAATCGCGCTAGAAATACGCTAGGTTTCAAGTTGAACAACCCATTATGGGCCGATTCTTATCCATGTAGACATTATACTATTATACCACAAATCAACCACCCATACATCTTCAATACCCATCAGTAGCGCATAGATCAGCCATCCAAGTGTTGGTTTGATGGATCATTGAAACCGGAATGCCCAAGCGATTTGTGGGTCAAAATCATTCACTTTCCTCTGTAATTTTCCCCAAAAAAATCACGGAGATTCATTGATACTTAGATGGGCTATGGGATTAGCTAACTGGTTAGTAACTGGGGATATAACCTCCTATATCCCAATTATAATCCAGTTACTAACTAGTTAACTAATTAACTAACTCCATGGCCCATCTAAGTACCTGTAGTTTTCCCTTAAATCGGGAGTTTCACCAGTATCCAGGTGATTTAACCGGGTGATTTAACCCAGATTTAACCCAGAATTTATCCATTGATAACATGACTGATGCAGGATAGATCAATTCTGGCTTAAATCACCGGCAAATTCCCCGGAAATCCAGATTTTTTGCCCACGAAAATCATAAAAACTGCTGGTCAATCTCCACGGTTTATCTCGTTTGTTACCGGTAATCTGTTGAAACCAGAGGGTTGATATATCCCATGATCATCCCACTGCACCATGGCACCATGAACATTGGGATGATATTTCATGGGATATATACATGGGATGATCATGGTAATATATATACCGGTTGGTGGTTTGGAACATGATTTTCATTCAGCTGGGAATAATCATCATCCTAACTGACGAAGTCATATATTTTTCAGAGGGGTAGGTCAACCACCAACCAGTATATATACATATATGTAATAAAACCATATATAACCAACAATTAATGGGATGTTATATGGTATATGGTATAGAATAAATTACGATTCAGAAACTTTACCCGATTCAGCAACTCCGATTCAGCAACTCCGATTCAGAAACTCCAAGGATTCAGAAACTCCGGGTTGTCCCGATTCAGCAACTCCACCCTGTCCCGATTCAGCAACTCCACCCTGTCCCGATTCAGCAACTCCACCCTGTCCCGATTCAGCAACTCCACCCTGTCCCGATTCAGCAACTCCACCCTGTCCCGATTCAGCAACTCCACCCTGTCCCGATTCAGCAACTCCACCCTGTCCCGATTCAGCAACTCCACCCTGTCCCGATTCAGCAACTCCACCCTGTCCGATTCAGCAACTCCACCCTGTCCCGATTCAGCAACTCCACCCTGTCCCGATTCAGCAACTCCACCCTGTCCCGATCCAGCAACTCCACCCTGTCCCGATTCAGCAACTCCACCCTGTCCCGATTCAGCAACTCCACCCTGTCCCGATTCAGCAACTCCACCCTGTCCCGATTCAGCAACTCCACCCTGTCCCGATTCAGCAACTCCACCCTGTCCCGATTCAGCAACTCCACCCTGTCCCGCATCCTTCCCTTGCATAGAGTTCTTCTCACGGTTGCAAGTCATTTTTATAAACTTCCCCCCCCCAAAGCTCTGCATGCAATGGTATTCCTCAATGCACATCCTTCCCTTGCATAGAGTTCTTCTCACGGTTGCAAGTCTTTTTATAAACTTCCCCCCCCAAAGCCCTACATGCAATAGTAGTCATCAATGCATACCTTCCCTTTCACAGAGTTCTTGTCACGATTGCAAGTCATTTTCTAAACTTCCCCCCCAAAAGCTCTGCATGCAATGGTATTCCTCAATGCACATCCTTCCCTTTCACAGAGTTCTTGTCACGATTGCAAGTCATTTTCTAAACTTCCCCCCCCCAAAGCTCTGCATGCAATGGTAGTCCTCAATGCACATCCTTCCCTTTCACAGAGTTCTTGTCACGATTGCAAGTCATTTTCTAAACTTCCCCCCCCCAAAGCTCTGCATGCAATGGTAGTCCTCAATGCACATCCTTCCCTTGCATAGAGTTCTTCTCACGGTTGCAAGTCATTTTTATAAACTTCCCGCCCCAAAGCTCTGCATACAATGGTATTCCTCAATGCACATCCTTCCCTTTCATAGAGTTCTTGTCAAGATTGCAAGTCATTTTCTAAACTTCCCCCCCGAAAAGCTCTGCATGCCATGGTATTTCTGAATGCGCATCCTTCCCTTGCATAGAGTTCTTGTCACCATTGCAAGTCATTTTCTAAACTTCCCACCCGAAAGCTCTGCATGCAATGGTATTTCTGAATGCGCATCCTTCCCTTGCATAGAGTTCTTGTCACCATTGCAAGTCATTTTCTAAACTTCCCCCCCCAAAGCTCTGCATACAATGGTATTCCTCAATGCACATCCTTCCCTTTCATCGAGTTCTTGTCACCTTTGCAAGTCATTTTCTAAACTTCCCCCCCCAAAGCTCTGCATGCAATGGTAGTCCTCAATGCACATCCTTCCCTTGCACAGAGTTCTTGTCACGATTGCAAGTCATTTTCTAAACTTCCCCCCCCCTCTGCATACAATGGTATTCCTCCTGTTCACTTCACAATGGTCCCCCCCCAAAGCTCTGCATGCAAGGGTAGTCCTCAATGCACATCCTTCCCTTTCATAGAGTTCTTGTCACCATTGCAAGTCATTTTCTAAACTTCCCCCCCCCAAAGCTCTGCATGCAATGGTAGTCCTCAATGCACATCCTTCCCTTGCATAGAGTTCTTCTCACGGTTGCAAGTCATTTTTATAAACTTCCCCCCCAAAGCTCTGCATACAATGGTATTCCTCAATGCACATCCTTCCCTTTCATAGAGTTCTTGTCACCATTGCAAGTCATTTTCTAAACTTCCCCCCCCCAAAGCTCTGCATGCAATGGTATTCCTCAATGCACATCCTTCCCTTGCATAGAGTTCTTGTCACCATTGCAAGTCATTTTCTAAACTTCCCCCCCCAAGCTCTGCATACAATGGTATTCCTCAATGCACATCCTTCCCTTTCATCGAGTTCTTGTCACCTTTGCAAGTCATTTTCTAAACTTCCCCCCCCAAAGCTCTGCATGCAATGGTAGTCCTCAATGCACATCCTTCCCTTGCATAGAGTTCTTGTCACGGTTGCAAGTCATTTTTATAAACTTCCCCCCCCAAAGCTCTGCATACAATGGTATTCCTCAATGCACATCCTTCCCTTTCATAGAGTTCTTGTCACCATTGCAAGTCATTTTCTAAACTTCCCCCCCCCAAAGCTCTGCATACAATGGTATTCCTCAATGCACATCCTTCCTTTTCACAGAGTTCTTGTCACGATTGCAAGTCATTTTCTAAACTTCCCCCCCTAAAAGCTCTGCATGCAATGGTATTTCTGAATGCACATCCTTCCCTTTCACAGAGTTCTTGTCACGATTGCAAGTCATTTTCTAAACTTCCCCCCCAAAAGCTCTGCATGCAATGGTATTCCTCAATGCACATCCTTCCCTTTCATAGAGTTCTTGTCACCATTGCAAGTCATTTTCTAAACTTCCCCCCCCAAAGCTCTGCATGCAATGGTAGTCCTCAATGCACATCCTTCCCTTTCACAGAGTTCTTGTCACGGTTGCAAGTCATTTTTATAAACTTCCCCCCCCAAAGCTCTGCATACAATGGTATTCCTCAATGCACATCCTTCCCTTTCATAGAGTTCTTGTCACCATTGCAAGTCATTTTCTAAACTTCCCCCCCCCAAAGCTCTGCATACAATGGTATTCCTCAATGCACATCCTTCCCTTGCATAGAGTTCTTCTCACGGTTGCAAGTCTTTTTATAAACTTCCCCCCCAAAGCCCTGCATGCAATGGTATTCCTCAATGCAAATTCTTCCCTTGCATAGAGTTCTTGTCACCATTGCAAGTCATTTTCTAACCTTCCCCCCCCAAAGCCCTACATGCAATAGTAGTCATCAATGCATACCTTCCCTTTCACAGAGTTCTTGTCACGATTGCAAGTCATTTTCTAAACTTCCCCCCCCCAAAGCTCTGCATACAATGGTATTCCTCAATGCACATCCTTCCCTTTCACAGAGTTCTTGTCACGATTGCAAGTCATTTTCTAAACTTCCCCCCCCCAAAGCTCTGCATGCAATGGTAGTCCTCAATGCACATCCTTCCCTTTCACAGAGTTCTTGTCACGATTGCAAGTCATTTTCTAAACTTCCCCCACCCAAAGCTCTGCATGCAATGGTAGTCCTCAATGCACATCCTTCCCTTGCATAGAGTTCTTCTCACTCGGTCCGGTTCCCATTCTACGGCATGCCCGGCACACCCTGCCTATAGATTTCCTATTTTTGAAACTTCCGCCACCGCCTTGCGCAGTACTACTGGTAATTTCTCATTTATTTTCTAGATTGTGTATTCCCTTTCAATTATATATATACAGTATATCCTCCTGGGAATTTTCCTTAAAAAGTTCAGGACATGATGTCCTTAAAAAACTGTATTTTTTAAGGGACATACCTGGCCGGCAAAAAAAAAAAAGTTCTATTTTTTAAGGAAATCCTGTTGTTTGACGGTCTCCTATTCTTTAAGAGGCCTTCCTTGGAAGATTCTAGGAACTGGACCATATATATATATTCATATATCATCCACATCCACATATCTCTTTAACATGTACATGAATGTACATGATATGTATCCATAAAATCTTAAAAATATTCAGAACATTTCATGCTTGTTTTCAACTTGGGTATCCAATTCTTTAAAGGGGCACCCCTTGGTGTGTTATTGACGGTCTCCAATTTTTTTGCAATCTTGGTTCATTGGGGTTAGATTCTTTAAGGCTGAAATTTGCCCTGGTTCGCATTCTTTAAGAGGCTACCAGTGGTCCCTTAAAGATTCAGGGGTCAGGGTCGGAGGCCGAATTGCAAGGGGGATTACAGTATAAAGTATACACATATTCTGTATGTAAAAGTGTCTGTATGTAAAAGCGTCTGTGTGTAAAGGAGTCTGTGTGTAAAAGCGTTTGTGTGTAAAAGCATCTGTGTGTAAAAGCGTCTGTGCGTAAGTAGCCGATGTACGTGAGTAGAGGAAGTCTGAGTGACTGAGCGAGTGACTCCGCCTGCCACGCAAAAGACAAGGGACGCCAGGGCGTACATCCGACCCCTTGCACATTGTCCCACGCCTGCCACGCAAAAGAGGCGGAGCCCAGCAGAGCCCAAGGGACGCCAGGGCGTACATCCGACCCCTTGGCAATGCACATTGTCCCACGCCTGCCACGCAAAAGAGGCGGAGCCCAAGGGACGCCAGGGCGTACATCCAACCCCTTGGCCATGCACATTGTCCCACGCCTGCCCGGACGCCAGGGCGTACGGCGTACATCCGAGCCCTTGGCAATGCACATTGTCCCACGCCTGCCACGCAAAAGAAGCGGAGCCCAAGGGACGCCAGGGCCACCCGCGGGCTTCGAAGTTTCCGAATCCGGGGGGCAGGGAGTTTCCGAATCCGAGGGCCACGGAGTTTCCGAATCCGTGGGCCTTGAAGTTTCCGAATCCGAGGGCCTGGAAGTTTCCGAATCCGATGCCCTGGCAGTTTCCGAATCCGCGGGCTTCGAAGTTTCCGAATCCGGGGGCCACGGAGTTTCCGAATCCGAGGGCCACGGAGTTTCCGAATCCGTGGGCCGGAAGTTTCCGAATCCGAGGGCCTGGAAGTTTCCGAATCCGTGGGCTTCGAAGTTTCCGAATCCGGGGGGCAGCGAGTTTCCGAATCCGACGCCCTGGGAGTTTCCGAATCCGTGGGCCTTGAAGTTTCCGAATCCGAGGGCCTGCAAGTTTCCGAATCCGAGGGCCAGGAAGTTTCCAAATCCGCGGGCTTCGAAGTTTCCGAATCCGGGGGGCAGCAAGTTTCCGAATCCGAGGGTCTGGAAGTTTCGGAATCCGTGGGCTTCAAAGTTTCCGAATCCGGGGGGCAGCAAGTTTCCGAATCCGAGGGCCTGGAAGTTTCCGAATCCGTGAGCTTCGAAGTTTCCGAATCCGGGGGGCTCGGAGTTTCCGAATCCGAGGGCCAGGAAGTTTCCGCATCCGGGGGGCAGCAAGTTTCCGAATCCGAGGGCCTGGAAGTTTCCGAATCCGTGGGCTTCGAAGTTTCCGAATCCGGGGGGCAGGAAGTTTCCGAATCCGAGAGCCAGGGAGTTTCCGAATCCGTGGGCTTCGAAGTTTCCGAATCCGAGGGCCTGGAAGTTTCCGAATCCGACGCTAAAGTTTCCGAATCCGGGGGGGAGGGAGTTTCCGAATCCGAGGGCCTGGGAGTTTTCGAATCCGACGCTGAAGTTTCCGAATCCGACGTTGGCCATATGGTATATATATATAACTACATCTATGAAACCTGAAACTGAAACTTGAAGGGACATATATATATATATATGGGACATAATATATATATATATATATTCATGGTAATATATACTAAATCTATGATCCTCCCATGATATCTGCAAGCCTCAGGTTCGGCAGATGCAGAGCCGTTCGCTGCGCGAGGACTTAGCCCCCATCTTCGATCGCATGCTGCGCAGGCATCGGTTCGGTGATTCACCGTACGTTTTCGCCGGGAAATGGGGAAATTTTAGCTACCCCCCCGTTATTTATAGTGAGTTTTCCCATTTAAAAGGGTGGATCTTTCCATAGTTATGTAAACGTTTACCAGAGGGTATACCCATAGTTGTGATTTCCATCTGGTTATGACTAACATAGCCATGGAAAGATCCACCATTATTAATGGGTAAACCATCTATTTCTATGGGCCATCTATACCATGGCTATGTAAAAAATAACCAGAGGGTAACATCGATTTGGAACACCCAGCATAAAAAGTCCATCATTTTCCGAAACCATGGTTTTTTTTCCATCTATGTAAGCGTTTAGCCTAGGCTGAAGGAACATCTGAAACTTGATTTTGATGAAAAGTTGGGATTTAACCAGATTGAATCCAAGTTAGTTTCAAAAAGTCTGTTTGATTGGTTATTTCATGGGGATTTAAGTATGCATACGGAGTGCTAAGCAGTAAACATGTGAGGGTATAATTGATAACTGATGGTTGGTGGATGATTACTTGGTTGGCCAGTGGAAATTGGGTCAAAGCCTTGATATGTATACCATCTATTGGGGGGAATGAACATCCATGAATTTCGATTTACCCAGGACACGGGTACCCAAGTGAGTGGTTTATTTTCACCCAAAATAAAGATCCAATAGGACCATATAAGACCATATAAGCCCATACAGAATCTCTCATAAATCCACATAAAACTACTTTTTCGTTCAAACATGCTCAGCAGTGAAATCCCCATCAACAATGGAGGTTTCGTTGGGAAAATCATCGAACTACGGCTGGTGTATTTTCCAGCCATGCTTGATGTCCGGAGGGTCTCCGGATCGTATAAAACATCATTCCGTATAACCAGTCTGGTTGGTGGTTTCAAATATTGTTTATTTTCCATTTCATATATGGGATGTCATCCTTCCCATTGACGAACTCCATCCTTTTTCAAGATGGTTAAAACATGTTAAAACCACCAGCCAGTAGTTCCAAAAAGAATAAATCATAGTTCCATATAACCATATAATCACCATACATAATCATATAATTCCATATTAATTCCATATAGAATAATTCATATCTATAACCATTCATATAAAACAATTGTATATAATCAAATAATTTATCTATCAACCATATAATCTATTATAAACCATAATCATAACAATAATATATCCAACAACCATGGGTTCCATGTTCCAGAAACCGCTCCGGAAAAAAACAACTTCCGTCCGAGGCGTAAGAAGGCTGGCACCGCCGTGATCAGTGCCGTGGGCGTGCCGGAAGTGAGCCAAGACGCCTGACCGCGGATTTGGTCTGGGAGTGGATGAAATGTATGTATGCATGTGTATATATATATATATGTATTTACCATATATATATATATATGTATATATCCATATGTGGTAATTAAGAATGTATATATGTGTATATGACACGATAGAAATCCAGTCCTGACCTCACTGTGACCTCTGTGACCAGACTGGAATGATGGTGTTCGGGGATCCCAAATGACCTTCTTTCAGGTTGATGAATTATAGTAGTTTACCCAGACATGTACATGATATGGGGACATGGGACTATATGATTTATGGAGGTTTTAGTTAGGATTTTTAGTGACTTAGTGATTAATGGGCTTTTTTTAATGAATCGAAAACAGGGCACCCAAAAATCCATCAAGATTCCTATTCTTTGTCATAGTAAAATCAACATCTTAGAATACCCACCCTATTTTCAGACGTAAAAAAAATCGCACATCAATTGATGTTCATAGCTATTGTTTCCACCGACCCTTGGGTCATCAAAGGTGGCTAGCGGGGAAATCCCCTCACTAAATGGAGGTACCTGCGGGATTGGATTGCCCAAAAAAAAACATCTAGGCATGTGTTGACCATAGGATTTCCGCTCAACAAATCCAAAAACAAACAAGTTACTGGTATCAAAGCCCATCAGAAACAACGTAACCATCTTCCATCTGTTGTGGCATCTATTGTGTGTGTTTTTGGATAAGATTACATTCCACATAGGATTTGAAGGACTATATTGGCTACAACGGTCTTACGGATATAATAATCCGTTCTTTTGATATCTGTGAGTTTATACTGGTTATTGGTGTAAACACAACAACAAATTGATTAAGTATATGGGAATATATGTGTACATACACACATACACATGTACCTACGTATATACCTACATACGTACATACATACATAGGTACGTACATACATACATAGATACATAGATACATAGATAAATACATGCATGCATCCATGCATCCATGCATACATGCATCCATGCATTCATGCATCCATGCATCCATGCACCCATGCATGCATGCATGCATGCATGCATGCTTACAGACAGACAAGACAGACAAGACAGACAAGACAGACAAGACAGACAAGACAGACATTACAGTCATTACAGACATTGCAGACACTACAGACTCTACAGACATTACATAAATTACATACATTACATACATTACATACATTACATACATTACATACATTACATCTATTACATACATTATTTATATTACATACATTACATACATTACATACATTACATATACATATACATTTACATATGCATATCTTTTACATATGCATATACATTTACATATGCATATACATATAAACATTCATGCCTGCCTACCTACCTACCTACCTAACTACCTACGTACGTACATACATATATATAACTATAATTATATTATTTTTTTATGGGCATATAATATAATGGAGTATACCATGGTGGGAATCCTGAAGAAAGCTGGGTTATGCGGGATTTCATCGATGACATTGAAAGCTGGCCTTACTTTCGGTCCAGTTCCCCCCAAAATGTGGGAATCTTAAGCTTAATAAGCTTAATCCCCATGAATATATATGAAAAAAAACCACTGGCATATGCCAAGTATTTGTATTATTGGATAACAATCAGACTCTTCCGAACATGTGGCACTATATGTGCTCAATAAATGGCTGTACATATAACATAGAAAGTGTGCACTGTTGTGAAGTATGAACAAATATAGTGATTATATAGTGCATACATATATAGTGCATATATATATAGTGCATATATATATACTGCATATATATATAGTGCATATATATATAGTGCATATATATATATATATACAGTGCATATATATATATAGTGTATATATATATAGTGATTGTATAATGTTTGTAGAGTGATTGTATTACGATTAGATAGCACATGTTTGGTGATTATTTAGTGCTTACATCCTGTGGAAAGCCACCGTCGCGGGTTCAGGCCTTAGAACTCCTGCACATGGGCCCCAAACAGCGCGAAGATCAGCTGAAAATCACGGAGTTTCTGCCCCTTGGCGGCGAAATTTGTGTTTCGGAAACCCCGAGAATCTCATAGGAAAAACTGAAAAACCAATTCATTGAGATAAAGCACACAGATGACGTGTTTTCAAAGTTTGAGTTGGTTTCATTGTTGATCTATACAGTATATTTATGTGTGCATGTATGTGGTGCGAGATGGTCCATTGATAGATTAACTCCTAGTCTATATTTATATGTAACAATATTCATACATCTATATCTATATACATAAATATATATATATCATATGTATACACATATTACAATATATAGCAATAGCCCCCAATTTTGGTTGGTTAAAAAATCCCCAGGTGTGGTGAATGACAAACCATTGCCATTCCAACAGGGCACCTGCCATGTGACAAGGGTCTCTTTTGATTGGAGGAAGATGGAGGAAGGATCATGATATTGGCATAGACTCAGTTAACTCTCTGTTTCATTGTATTTATGGCAAAGGTCCATGTTACTTGCCTATTCTGAAAATACGTGTGCCATAATACTTAATCTTAATCGCACCATATCTAATTTGGTCACTAGCGTTTTTTTTTTTTGAAAGGGCGTTGCATCAACAAAACATCAGGATTCACATAGTGAATCGTTGGTTGATGTGCACGTGAACGTTGAACGTTGATGGGCTGTTGAAAACATTAACGTGTCTTACCCTCTGGTAATTTAACGTAGCCATGGAAAATCACCATTTTTAATGGGAAAACTCACTATAAATGGCCATGTTCAATAGCTATGTTAAATTACCAGAGGGTAACCAAAAGAAACGATGAATCAAATCGACCTGCAGTAAAGGCGCTTTTTGACAACAACAACAACAACAACAACAACAACAACAACGATCTGACCAACATATAGGGCGCAAAGCATCAAAAAGAAACAAGATGAATGGGCAAATCGCCTAGGGTTCATAGTGGGATGTCCGCAAGCGTGGGAATGTGGGCCACAATGAGGAATCACTATCACTAAACCAACTCGTTGTCCAGGACTCGATTCAACAAACATATATCGTGAAAGATCGCCGAGGGAAAACCACAGTAATGTCCCATGAAAAAAAATGGTCTAAGATTTTTTAAAAAGGGGACATTAGGAAGATCATCTTAGACCAGGTATATCATAATCATATACCAAGTTTTTTTTTAATGGGATTTAAATGGTCCCAATTTTATCATTGGTCTAAAAATATAAGGTATATCCCATATACCAAGTTTGTTTTTAAATAAAAATAATCATTTATCACTAATGATTGGAAAATCTTATCATTGGAAATATGGGATAATGAGTAAAGAATGGGCTAATTTTTTTTATATCACTAATCATTGGAAAAGATGGGACCTTGGGCTCTAAAACTGGAGTTTTTTTTTCGGCACAGATCCCTGGCGCGCCAGGAACGAGGTCAATGAGTTCGGCTTCACGCCGTTGACGTTGGACTTTGAAGCCTTTGTACGCTTCATCCGCCAGGTCAGCTGGAAAGCTGTGACATTTTGATGGTAAAATATGTAAAATATTTTTGGATGTCCAAAATCTATTGCAATGATTCTTATCTAAAATGTCACAGGATAATATTGGATAAAGGTAATCAATCATAATCAATCATAATCAATCATAATCAATCTGGATTTCTCAGATGCTACAATCTACCATCGATTTATTCTGATGATCTGCCAATAATAGTCGTTGATGATCTGCCGATGGCCCAGGATGATGGTGATTTTCATGACAGATTGGCGTTATGGCATGGCTTAGTGGTTATTAGTGATGACTAAAACGGTAGAACTAATTCGAAAAATCACTGAATAGCTTAATTTGAGATGGTAGATTCGGAGTTGATGTAAGTTCTGACGGCTGAATTGGGAAATGGTGAATGGTTTTGGCACTTTGGATCAAGAAGGACGGCAAGACATTCTGACTTTGATATATTCATTCCAAACTCAAATCATTCAAATACACGTTTATCCCACAATTTGTTCCCATGTTATCTTCAAATATATCCCCAAATTGGGTATACGCAGCAAATTTCTCCTTTTGTAGTGGATTCTCCAAACTTTCCATTATGTCACACCATTATCATATAATTTCATTGTTGGTCTGTTAGAAAAAAATCAAGAGACTACGATGTATTCATAATATGAATCGCAGTGTGCAATGGGAATATCAATGTTTACACAATTTTCATGCCAAACGAAGATTTCCCATGATTTCCCATCATATTCTATGCTTCCCAAATGATTTCCCCGTCACGTCCCAAGCATTTCCCACCTTTCTTATCCCCAGCATTACTTTCTACCATTGTAGTTACCATTAATTGATTGCCATTAATAACAACAAATAACCATTATAACTTATAACCATTAATAACAACTAATAACCATTAATAGCAACTAACTCGAAAATAACAACCATTCATATCCATTAGTTACCTATCACATTGAGCTATCTCCATCCAGCTCAGGTGAAGGAGTGGCAAGCCACGTGCATGCGCGCCGAAGACCGGGCCTATGGGGTGGAACTGGGACTCCAGGAGCGTAGCTCGGAGCTCGATGTCAGACTTTTTCGGAGATTTTTGAGGACTGACACCTCGATTTTCGCATCATCGGCATAGGCAATGGCCAAGTGAATGTAGTTGTCAAAGTCTGCTAAGAGTGCATCATCAGCATACAAGGATTTTCGCGGATATTTTTGCGGACAGACATGGCTAATGCAGGATTTCCACTTTTAAAAAAACATGTGGGATGAAAGTGGTATTTTGCCAATGCCATTTGCACCATCCCCAAGTTTGAGGTTTATGACTGGGATGATGGGGCAACGGGGTACAGTAACGTCAGTGGTCGAAACGAATGCGCCTGACATCAACTAATCTCTGGTTGGTGGTGACTGGAACCATGGAAATTTGAATGACTTTCCATTCAGTTGGGAATAATGATCCCAACTGACTACTACTTTCCGGAGGGGTAGGTCAACCACCAACCAGATCTTACTTGTGCGTTTTACGTAGGGAATTTTCGGGAATGATCCACTGGAAAAGTATCAAGCAGATCATCCCAACAATCCCCAGCAAGCCATACATTCCCTACGTTTAGCACGCCAGGCACCAGTAAGTATGTTCCATTTATTCCATGGATATTCCTCCATATGTTCCAAGTATTCCATCATTTCTTTGACCCATAACATCTAAGTGCACTAAGCCCACTGGTTGCCCATTGGGACGCCCAGCAGACAAGCGCCTTTGGAAGCGGCCTTAGACACGACCCAGTCACATGATCCGATCACGTATCTCTACTGATTGGAAAGCATGAATATGAGTATCTATAACTTATTTATGGGTAACCCTATTTATGGGTAACTTATCTATGAATTATTTATTATATATATATATATTTATTATATATATATATGATAATTAACCATCCGTTATTTTCAGCGATTGCGAATAGCATTGTTTTCACCCATGTATCATTTCTTTGTTATTCATTATGCCGTTTTAGCTTATATCTTCTAGTGACTGGCAGGTGTTCCCCCATTCCAAAGGCAGTTCTGCACCTATTATATTCCCGTCTTTGATACTGCTTCCCCGTGCCTAAAGCAGGTAATCCGACATATCAAATATGGGGATTCTTGCTAAATTCCCATTCTACCCAAGTCCTATTAACACCAGAAAAACACATGTCCCCATCGCGCGGAATTCCCAACTGCCCAGTTGTTTCTTTGACCCCTCATCCCCTCCCATGTGGATCATTAGATTAATGGTCATTTCAGGAACCGATTGGAGGTACCTACCATAAGTATATAAGGCCTATTTTTCAGGCCTATGTAAGGGAATATCCCCGCAAAATATGGCCTTACATGGTACAGTACCTCCATTTTAGGATCCTGAAATTACCATTGATTAGAGCAAATCCCATAAATACCATGATCCGGGTATAACACATTAATGATACATCCCATTCATGGGGGACTGCTGGTGGTTTAATGGGCGGTTTAATGTGGAATATTATGGCCAACAACATGATCAATGGTTTACCATCCTTATACCTCCCCCTTATACCAATGGCATATATGTATATTATATATATACATATATATGTATACATATATGTATATATATATACATATATATATATACACATATATATATATATACATATATATACATATATATATATATACATACATATACATATATATATATACATAACCATATATCAGCCGGATATATCTGGATCATCATGGTAACCCTCTTCTGAAAGCTCCATTTTTCACCCAGATCATGGTAACCCAAGGCATGGTCGACGAGTTCCGCGTGATCTTCGACATCATCGACAACACCGGCAGCGGCGAACTGGATCTGCTGGGTGTGAAACGGGCCTGCGGCCTGCTGGGGCAGAAGAGACCCTCGGCCGGCGTTGCGTTTTTAAAAAAGCGCTCCAAGGGTAAAGCCATGGATTTTCTAAGCAATTCGCATCCAAATTGCTGGGAGTTATAGATGATTTGTAGATGATTTGTAGATGATTTATAGATTTTCATATTTTTCATCCCCACCAAAAATCATACGTATCAAATCTTGAGCCGTAGCCATATAGGAAACAATCTGGGGTAAATTATAGCGATCGGGAAATCAACCCCAACATGGCCTTACATCTGGCTTTGGGGAATTTTGTAATGTTTGCCACTAGAGACATAAGAATGATATAGAATGATGGGATATGTCGTCCGTGAAGCAAGAGCAGTCTTTTGTGTTCCCCCTTTTATGGTATTACCCTCTGGTAAACTAACATAGCTATTGAAAATCACAATTTTTAATGGGAAAACTCACTATAAATTGCCATTTTCAATAGCTTTTTGTATGTTTACCAGACAGTATTATTCCTGCTGTTGACTCAACTCCTTTCCGGATTTCGGGTCTCAGATATGATGGGATATTCAGAAAGGATGGTTTTTGATGCTGGGATTTTTTCATAGTACACCAATGGGATAATACTTGGATGATAGTGGTACAATAATGGGACAATCATTGTTCATATTTACCTAATAAGAATAGAATCATCAATAGGATATATATTATATTATATATATATATTGGAAAATTTACCCAGGCAAATCATAGAATATTCATGGGAGATTCGTATTGGATACCTACGCGTTTTTTGTTGTTTTTCAGATGTTGTCCCCACCAAAAATCGGAGATTCTCCAGTGGATCGGATGGGACATCCCCAAGAAGGCCATGAAAATATGGGATTTGTTCATCAATGTGGGATGTGAAACATGATTTTTTTTTGCTATGTTTGATTGTTTGGGGTGAAAAATTATTCATGTTAAACCGGAACGTTTTTCAGGAGCCAGGCCATTTTACTATGCCATCTATGCCATCTTTTGGGGGTGGGCACCAGCATTGGCCAGCGAAAAATTTGTGTTCAGCAATAGTGGGTTTTGACCCATATCCTCTGAACTAACATAGCTATTGAAAATGGCCATTTATAGTGAGTTTTCCCATTAAAAATGGTGATTTTCCATAGCTATGTTAGTCTACCAGAGGGTAGTGGGTTTTGACCCTGGGACCCAAGTCCCAAATAAAGATTCTGATGGTATACTGTATAAAAATCTGTATTTGAGTCTGCAAATGATGATACAAAAAAAACCCTCCGGTAATTTTTCACATAGACATGGGAAAGCACTTTTTTACAGGTAACCATTTTCCATAGCAAACCGTAAACTTGCCAGAGGGTAAACATGGTTGGTTGTTGATGGGAATATACTGTAGTAAATGATGTTATTGTTGGGTGCAAACCTTTAAGTCACAATGATTAGCGTTCGTTATCTCTATGATTGGAATCATGATTTTTTGTTGTTCAGTGTATTGCTAAAGGGTATCATCTCGACTTATACCTATACATACTGGATTTACATATGTCAAATCATATGTGCATGCAGTTTGTAAATACTTACCCATCATTCCGATGAAATGGGTCATCATTCGGATACTTCTCACTTAAATCACAAAAACTCAATTTAATAAATATATATATATATATACATACATATACATCATATGTATCAAAGATGACTGTTCTATGAATGGATGCGCCAAATCATCCAACTAAAAATAAGACCAAACATCATTGACACATCAAATCAAACCATGGCCTAACCATCCACAACTCACCACCCATGGCCATGGCATATATATATATGTACTTCATATATCCATGATTATTGCTATTCTTATTTACCATTTGATTACTGGTTAGTCGAAGAAATCTGGTTGGTGGTTTCAAACATTTTTTCCATAATATATGGGATGTCATCCTTCCCATTGACGAACTCCATCATTTTTCAAGATGGTTTTTCAACCACCAACCAGATAATCACATATTATTGATACCCTCTGGTAAACATACAGAAAACTAAGGAAAGATCCACCATTTTTCATGGGTAAATCCACTAGTTCGACTGGGCCATTTTCCAGTTCACCAGTATATATCTATATATCTATATATCTATATGTCTATATATCTATATATCTATATATCTATATCTATATATATATATATCATATACATCACTATTAACCATAATAGTGTTATATTAATACATGGTTACTATAATGATTAACATCAGATAATATTACACCATTGATTTGCCATCTAAAAAGGGCGCCCCGGCTCCACCTAGGCCTGTCCTTCGAGGAGTTACGGAAGATCTTCGAACAGTTGGACAAGGACGGCAGCGGCGCCATCGACTTCCGCGAGTTCCTGCATCTGGGACGGGAGATGGAGTGCCGGGGCGGGTGGGGGGTGGAAAATGGCCGCTGTTGAATAGAGGAACTGTTGAATTTGTTGGACAATGTTGGACAGAAACTCCGATTTTTCAGGGATTCCTGTAAATTCTGTCCGGGAAACATCAAGAATTTCATGTCTCCATATGGGATGACGCGCAAATTTCGTTTTTTGGGTGATGACCCGAGGCACATGACCAACATGGCGAATCTGGGCAAACAGAAAGGTCGCTCCAACCCCCTGGGGGCCTCTCGGCAGCTGACCCGGCGCCCTTTGGGAGTTTGAAGTACCGAGGGCACCCACAACTATTAATGGTTATTGATGGTTATTAATGGTTAATATAGTCTATAATCAACTATTTTGAATAGGTAAATCAACTATAATCATAACTCTTGGTGGTGACTGGAACCATGGAATTTTGAATGACTTTCCATTCGGTTGGGAATGTCATCATCCCAACTGACTTTCACTCCATCATTTTTCAAGATGGTTTTTCAACCACCAACCAGACAACGATGTCCAATTCTTTGGGTGGAAACACTCTCCGGTGGAAAATCAAACGTGGCAACTGCAGGAAAATCACCTTTATTTATAGTGAATTGTCCCATTCAAAGCTCCATTTTTTTGGCGGATTTCCAGTTGCCATGTTTGATGACACCGGAGGGGAAAAATATCAGTTGTGTTCCCAGGTTGGGATCCATTTGTTATGGAGCTCTGGAATGCTTGATGTGAACAATGTGAATGAGAGATTTGGAACTTACCCTCTGGTTATGACTAACATAGCCATGGAAAATCCCAACCATAAATGGAGGTATCAATGGGAAAATCATCTATAAATGGGCCATTTTCCATGGCTATGTTAAATAACCAGAGGGTAGATTCTTTGATACTGTATGCTACAAAAAGAATCAGACATCACATTCGCAGCTGGTGAAGAAACTACCATTGAAACTATATGATGGGTGTATTAATTACATATAATACAATATTAATCAATATTATGTATGTAACACTATATAACAATATTCTGTCATGTATCATGTATATCACATGTACTCAAAAAGTACATCACATATTGCATATGGTATATTATATATATAATATGTACATGCAGTGTCTATATATATACATAGATATATATATAGATAGATGACTGGCATACAGTGACATCAGTCGGTCGATGTTCCCTCGCTGTTCCCAGGCCAATGCCGCCATCTTCTCGCCCTTTGGCTGGTCTGACCATCAAAATAATGGTCATCATTAAGGTCATCGGTGCGTATTATTGTTACCCTCTGGTAAACTAACATCAGCCCACATGAAAATGGTTGATCATGATGGTTGATCATGGATTTTCTATGGATTTTCTATGGTTGATCATGATTTCTATGGTAAACTACTCGTAACATAGCTGTTGAAAATGCTTGATTTACTTCGTGGATTTACCCAGCGAGATGGCATGGTGGATCTTTCCAGTTCGTTTTCTGTATGTTTACCAGAGGGTAGCGTCATGGTTTTTCCAGTTACAGCGCCAGACGGTGACCCACGTTTCACTGCTGAAAATGGCGAGGGCGCAGGAGGTCGAGGCCGCCTTTTTTTTCGGAAGTGGGGTGACTTCAACCCCCCATTTTGGCAGTAAAAAACCCAAAAAACTCTATAGTCATTTGTTGAGTCATTTATCTAACTGTACTAGTTTTTTTTTGTGACGAACCATCAGCATCACCAAGTAAGTGACTTTTTGTTTGGCATTGAGGCGAATGGATATTTCGGTTTAACTGTTGGGCAATGGGATGGATGGTGCTGATCACTGCTGTAAATCAACGATTTTTTGTGTCGAAAAACGGTGGCTAAAAACCCCAAAAAAAGGGTTGGATCAAGTTTGGAAAGACGATCACAAACTATAAGTCTTGTTGGGGTAGCCTATTTTTAGAGAAACTCCAGTTGTGTTGTCGTTTTCGGTTGTCCCATGAAAACCTTGAACCCAAGCGGTTCAGCGGTTCACCGGTGCAGACACCGCGATGTGGAGTCCAATTAAATATCGCTAGAAAGGCAAGCATCGGGTACTCGTCGTTCAAAGTACCCGACCTGGTAAACAGCCACACAACTATGGAAAGATCCACCATTTTTTATGGGAAAATCCACTATAAATCACCATTTTCAATAGCAAACTGTTGACATAACCAGAGGGTATTTCAAATGTGTCCCACAAATAATTGTGTATGAATCATTCCACCACGATCTTCCCAAAGAATGGCTGGATAGATCTCAGTTGATATCTCCATTTTCCGAAAAGGTATCCCCGCGTCATCATTGGATAGCTCCATATAAAGAATCCCAGTTGGTTTATCAATTATATATGAATATAATTTTCCTATGGTTATCATGGTCATATATTGATATATCCCAATTGGTCATCATTGGATAGCTCCAATTGGTTTATCAAACTAGCATGAACCAACATTCAGAAAGGGTATACCCTCTGGCAAGCCACACAAGTAGATGATTTACCCATCAAACACATCCGTGGCTCTGTTGGTTTACTGAATGGTAACTCGAGCCCTGGTTAGTAAGTCCCTGAAAAGGTGATAATCCCATAGTTAAAGTGCATGTATATAATTATATATAGCATCGCAAGTCGCAAAATAGATAGACCAGTTGAATGTTCATCATCTATACAATTGAGATTTCAATAGATTTCATAATTTTCATCATGTTTCATCATGTTTCCATCATTTTTCATCATTTTTCATCATTTTTCCATCATTTTTCATCATTTTTCATCATTTTTCATCATTTTTCCATCATTTTTCATCATTTTTCATCATTTTTCATCATGTTCCATCATTTTCCATCATTTTTCATCATTTTCCATCATTTTCATTTTTCATCATGATAGAACACTTGAACTTTCTGGAAAACACTGGTCGAGCTATCACTTCCATCACCAGGCGACTGGTCGTGTGACCTGGGAGCCTCCGCCACTTCGAGAGGCGCCCTTGGAATGATGGGATTTTTTTGGTGTTTTCTATTTTTTTACAGATGTATTGATGTGGGTATGGAATTATATAGATGTGGTGATATATATATATATGTGGTTATCAAACAATAATGGTTACTATATGGTTAATATATGGTTAATATATGGTTACTATATGGTTAATATATGGTTAATGATGATTAATAATAATCTACAAGATGGTGCCCCATAGTTAGCTAAGTTGGTTTATAACTCCAATAACTATGGTTTATGGTACTTATAAGTATAGTTAATGGGATTATAAACCAACGTATAACTGAGGGGCACCACATTGTATTGATGTGTATTCCCATCATTCCCATCCATGATAGAAAATGTGCATTATCCATGTGTATTATCTATTAACAAATTCTTGGAATGATGCGTTTTCTAATTTTTTCGACAGATACCCTCTGGTTATGTCAAAATAGCTATTGAAAATGGCCATAGAAGTAGTTGATGAATTCCCATTAAAAATGGTGGATCTTTCCATAGTTATGTGGCTGTTTACCAGAGGGTATATTGATGTGTATTGATGTGTAATATCTATGTATTGTATATGTGTTCTCCATCCATGTGTATGGTTGATATTTCCGCGCAAGTGTGTGCATGTAGTCAATGTAGTGTATCTCCGATGTGTAGACTGTGTAATTCTTTACTTTTATACTTACACCTGGTTGGTGGTTTGGAACATTTTTTATTTTCCACAATATATGGGATGTCATCATTCCCATTGACGAACTCATATGTTTCAGAGGAGTAGGTATACCACCAATCAGTACATGTACTATTGAGTAGACCTATTCTATGCAGGCAGTCTACTTGAAAGATGGTGATAGGCGCCTGAAGGTCAGTGTGGCTAAGTGCGGTTTTGATTTTTTGGGATGTCGGGTTGTAAACATATATATATATATTTATTTATTTATGTATTTATGTTATTTATTTATGTGTATATTTTTTTTTGGTAGGTATCTTTCGGAATGCTTCTCGGATCTCCTTGGATCAGAAAGGCCTTGGAAGGTGCTGTGAAAGGATGAAGTCATGTGCAGACTGCCTCAGGAGAGCCCCACCTCTCAAAACTCCCAAATTTCGCAGGCGCGGCACAGACTGGAAGTCCCTGTGGCCATGGCTAACCTTTTGGGGCAGGGAAAACCGTGATTCAGGAAAATGGTTCATAGGGATTCAGTAGGAAAGTTTCTGAAAGTTCATGTTTTTTGAAACTTTATAGGGATATAGGGCAAAGGGAAAAGAATGATTCAATGAGGTTAAGTCATCTTCGGGTGTCAAGTTTCCAAGTTTGCAACAGCAAGTTTTTGATAAAAGGACACTGAAAACAATGTGGGTAAAACAATAAACTATCCCCCAAATCACCATAAATAGGTCGTATAAACTATTCCCAAATTATACCAAAAACATCTGTAAAATTGAGGATTGCTTGTTTTTTGTTGAAATATAGGAATAGCATGGAATAGCAGAATGGAAAATAGAGGGACATGCTTTATGTGTTATTGAAGAAACTGTCTAAAAACTGAGAATATTTGAGAACGCATTATTGGCAAACACTCCATAAATGGGGAACCATTCCGTTGCCACACCGTTGGTGGATTTTTGTTTCTAAGCTGCCAAAAAAAAAGGTGATAACTCAAGTATCAAGGTCAATTTTGGTGCACCCAGTGGTCATGCCAACCCCAGATTTAAAAGCTGATTGATCGACAGCCCACATGAATTAACGTTCATTCGGGATTGTCGGAGCTACGTTGCTGCGGACTGCGGGTAGAAATGAAAGTCTGGGTACCCTCTGGTAAACATACAAAAAACTATGGAAAATCACCATTTTTAATGGGAAAATCAACTATAAATGACCATTTTCAATAGCTATGTTAAATTACCAGAGAGTAAACACAACGGGTACAAAAGGGTCTGTTGCAAGTGGCAAAAAGATTCTTCGTATTGCGAAAGACAGCCTGGTCAACTGTTCAACACAATGTCACCCCTTTTTTCTGATACCACTTATGGTAATCCAGCATAGCCGTCGAAACTAGCAATCTTTAATGGGTGAAGCATCTAAAAATTGCTAATTTTCCATGGTTATGTTCAACTACCAGACGGTATATTCCCATGGTATCCCATGATATCTCATGATATTCTACTATATTCCAATGATATAATAGTGGATATTCCATATTATATTCTATTCTGTTACATATTTCAAATATTCTATTCTGTTACATA